GCAATCTCCTCCCCTTTGATATCTAGCGGTGTGGCCCATTGCACATGCTGAGATCTTTCAGCGAGAGAGAGAGAGAGAGAGAGAGAGAGAGAGAGAGAGAGAGAGAGAGAGAGAGAGAGAGAGAGAGAGAGAGAGAGAGAGAGAGAGAGAGAGAGAAGTCCCCACTACCCCCGTCGCTTTGGCCGAGAATGCTCTTGGCGATGCCAACCTGACAATTTCCGCTCATCATTTTCTTAATTCATGGTCTGAACGGAAGATTTTATACAAAACGAGCCTATTTTTTAAAGCATTTTTCATAGAAATCTCCGACTAACGAAGCCGGCCAGAGGACGATGAATTTCAAGGAGGAGGGAACGAGTTCCCCACATGAAGTTTGAATGCTACATCAACAGCTTGCGTAGACACAGCTATGATTACCTTCAACATCATCTTTAGGGAGATGCCTTATTACTTAAGTTGGGAATATGACGAGAGAACTATTGACCTTTGACATATCAAGAGTGACATTGTTCCTTGTTTCAGGTTGAATTTGGCCCTTCTCATGGTATTCATCAATTTCACCACAAGAATAATAATCAAAAGCTTTAGTTTGAGAGCTACCTATTTAGAAATGAAATTGTGGGTAGTACTACCATCAATGAGGATTGTAACTCTTTTATCATGAATGAAACTTATAAATTTGAAAGTGTTGAACATTAAATCCTCCACTATCATGTTGGCCATGAGTTCAATATTAATTAGTTTGTTAAGAGGGAATTCTAGTAATAAGATGTCATCATCTTTGTGTTCCAAAGCTTTGATGAGGTTTTCTTCGATCATCAATACCAATAGCTTTCACTTGCACTGGTGACTTAAGTTGTACTTCTCATTACATGAGAAGCAAAGTCCTTGCATGCATCATGCTTGAATTTCTGAATAAGTCAGTGCTAGCCAACATAATTTGTCGGCAATGTTCTCCTCTTATAATGATTCCATTCCTTCTTTGACTCCTCAAAATGTTTGTTTTGATAGAATGAGCTGCACTTGAAACCTCATTGATATTGGAAGAAGTAATTCTGATTGACTAACTCAAAATTGATTATTTGCATGTTTTGATATGTCCTCTGGTTTCTATCAATTTGAGTGCAAGGTTCTTTGTTTCCACATACTATGTTGTTTGTGTCATTGCCTTTGGCCTTTTTGGCTCCAAAAGACTTACTTTGGCCCATACTTCTCATTTTAGTCACTAGAGAAATGTATTATCAAGGAAATGTTCTAAAAGTCCTTTAATCACAACAACCATCAATTTGAATTCTTCTCGATATTCAATTACTAACCCTCTTTATTTTATCTCCAAGAATCATTGACACTAGGATCTCAGCTAGTTGTCATTGAACCTCTTGAGTATCTAATGATGAACATCTACCCAACTTCTCAAAATATCTTATTTAGTGGTCCACTTAAACCAAGGTAAAGACTTGCCATCTAGGCTCTTTCTTGTAGTAGTCAACTTTTTTGCTACATTTGACTTGTGGATAAAAAAGTAGAGCTCGACCCAAAAACTTAGCCTTTCGAATTGTATCCACTGAAAACATGCATCTTGAGTTTTTGGGCACACTCAACCATGTTTTTGTGTTAGTTGGATCATACACGAGAGTTACTATGTTCTTACTAGTGTCATGATTCATAATGGCATGGTCAACCTTGTGATAGCAGCAGCATGTCCCCTTGACCAAGGGGTTGGTCTGATTGACCTTGGCTAGTTTCTTCCCCATCTATATTAGTATGTTAAATTTCTAAGAGTGTATGTGGCGATGGTTGCTTGATTTGCTAACACATGTCATCTACAGCCCACTCAAAAGGTTTGAACTATCAGGTGATGATTTTATCTCATTCGAGAAGAAGTGTCATATCATACTTGATGTCAAGAACATTTTGATGGAGTTGGTTCATGTCCTTCTTCACTTATTCATTCTTATCATTCTACTTGGATGGCATATGGCGAAGATCCGATGGCTCTAATACTTGGATGGCATATCGCTAAGAATTTTATGAGGGAGCATGACTGGGGAATGGGTTAGATTGAGGAATGAGAGAAAGAGAGGCCTTTTATCCTCAACTAAATGAACTGAAGTTAGACAACAAGACTGGACAACTAAAAACTAGTTGACTTCACAAAGGTCCCTCTCTAGCTAAACAATCACTTTGAGGGAGTTGACTTCCATGTGAAAAAGGTTATTTCACTATGTTATTTGATTCTCCCTCCATCCACATCACATAGAGAGAGGGAGAGAGAGAGAGAGAGAGAGAGAGAGAGAGAGAGAGAGAGAGAGAGAGAAAGAACTTACTAATCCTGGTACTTTTCTCGATAGGAGCTGGGGCCGAGCGCATCACCCGTTCAGAGTCGTCAGATTACGTGGCTCTCCCGTTTCTTCGCCGTCGGAGTTCTATCATGAACAGAGGGAGGGCGATCGACAGCCTTGTTGCTGTGGAGACGAGAGCAAGTCCATGTGGTGGAGGAATCCCCATTAAACAATTAGAAGAACGCAGGTTACGCCCTCCGAGACTGGGGGCTTGGAGTCTCACTTTCCTGGAAGCTTATGACTCGGAGTTGGGTCGTGTGAAGAAAGATTACCCGGATTTGGCATTGCTGTGGTTGACGGCAATGCCCGGCATTCGACCTGGGGACGTCGTCCCGGTAATCGGTTGGAGCTCTATAAGATATCTTTAAAGAAAGGGAGTGGAGTTAGTTTTTTCCTTCGCTTGTTCCGAACGTAGAGGCGCGAGGAAGTAACGAAGGGAGACGAAGAATACTTCCGAGGCTGAAGATGAAGGGGTCTGCTTGGGTGTTGTGCTCTTCAACCTCCCAGTGGAGTCCTGGCCTTTGGTCTCGCACGTTCGCGATGGCGCCACGCAGGTTCTTTCCTGGTTTCTGTTGCCATCAGCTGATAGTTCTACATTCGTTGCTCGTTTTTCGACTACCAGCGCGGTTTTCCACCCCGCTTCGTACTTTCCTGTTATTAGGTGTTTGAACTTTGGTTCCACTGGTTCGGGATGCGGCTCTGCTCTTTTCTTGTAAAATCTTGGATTGTTTGTAATTCTCATGCCATTTCTGGGAGCACGATTCCGAAGGTTTTTTTACAAAAGGTGGGGAAGAGGTGGACTGAAATGTGCAGGCAAAGGTGGCAAAGGTTATGTTGTTTCCATCAATCACATTTTTACCATCGATGCCCTCTGTTGTTCATGTAAAATGTTCTATCTGAAGATGTAACCTATAGACTTCGTGTTGGCATATGGAGACATTCACAGGAATTTATTTTTTTTGAGGAATTTAGCGTCCTTTTGAAACTCTAAATGTAATATATACTTCATATTACATTCAATCCAGCCTACGAAAAAAATGTTAGATTGTATTAGCCTTTCCTAAAAGTATTTAAAGTCAGTATAAACAATCCGATCTTCTTCATGCATAACGAGTTCAATCTATCATTTCATTGTAGGTTTGATACAGCCTGTAAATTGAGAGATCAGTATCCTTCAAGGCTATTTATAGGATTTACACTTTCAAAGGCTCTATGCAAATTATAATTCATCTCAATGAGCCAAATCTTTTTCCCTCCTTTACATTTTAACTAGAGATTTCGAGTAGAGAAATATTCATAGCCATCATTTTCATGGATACAAATGCATTTCTGGTCAGTTTTATGCTGTGTTCTTTTACATTGTGAGGTACAACATTCCTGAATTTTTAGTCATGATTATTGCTTCATGCATTAAATGGCACCGATCATGTTCAGTACTTGCACCTGATTATGTTTTCTGAAGATTGGACATTACTGTTAGAAGTTGAAGTGAGTAAAATCTTTAGTCATGTACAACACAACAATTCCTGTTTTAAAGGTGGTTTGTCACTTACAGTGTTGATCAACATATTCTGGAGAAATGGAAGAACAGCATGTTACTAGGAAGATAATATATTGTTTCCTTGTAATTCGCATATTAAATATGAGTTATGAATGACTTTGTGATTCTTTTTCGTTACATGCAAAATTACAATGCTATTGCCACGCCAGTATTTTCTATGGTGACCTCTGATTAACTGTAAAACATGCATTGGTTTCAACTAAATACCTAGCTTTTAATCTCATTTAAGGAGTTATAAAACATTGGCTATCTAAAAGGGTGTACGTGATACCTAGGTGCCTTTCTGTTTGAGCTGAGTCAGACGAGCAGCCGATCAATTGGGGAATTTATTTTTCTTATCTGTACCTTTCAATATATTTTAAAATAAGGGTTTCATATTATTCAGTGACATTTTTTACTAATTTCGGTTTTACACAATCTTCAATACTAATTTTTTGTCTCTTTCAGGAATATTTCTTCTTTCTGTTCGGAATGGATGCATTATCCACGTCTTTGTGAACGTAAATTGTTTACAGGTGCTGAAAATATTACGCAACTTAACCTATTTTTTCCCAATTGAAGTTATGTTCTAGAATTGAAGGCTCGTACCTTTTTAGTGCTGGAACTTGTATCATACCCACGCCTGCATTGACTCATAATCTATGAGAGAAACACTCAGACATCCATTTGTTAGCGAAAGTTATATTAAATATGAAATTATATGTTGGGACTTGCATCTGGGAATAAATAAACTTGAACGTACACTTTACTGTTAAGTTTTGTGGGTTGTACAAAGCTCTATTCATAATTGTTGAATTCAGTCTGCATGTGGCCTATGTACCTTGAGTGGTTTACTTGCATTTCATTATTACTCGCGATAAATTCAACATACTCTTTGAGCCAAATTGATTCAATGGGAAATAATTTCTCTGATCACTGTTGTGATCTCCTAAGGCAATCTGCTGCTGTCTTCTTTAACCAAATTGATCTATCGACAGCATTATCACACACGTCCTGGTGTATTTTTGTGTTGTGATATAATATTGTTTATAGCATTTTTATTTAATACTGGCAGCCGTTATTTATCTTCAGGAGACAGAGGGACTGATCTTCTTTGGATGCCAAATATTGTGCAAGCACGTAAGTCGATTCTCAAGAACTCCAGATCGTCTAGTCTGTGTGCACCTTGCAGTCTTAATGAGGAAGGAGGGCCTTGTGACGTTAATAATATGTGGAAAAATTGTGATGTTGTGGTTTCTTCTCAACATGTAATTGCCTTTTTTTATTGTTTCTGATCAGTTATTCATGTATGCTGGTGTATTTTCATTGTGACTGTTATCACTGGGTGATGAAAACACTTGATGACCAACATGTCAGGCTTGCCAAAAAAATTATTTGTTACCTAGAGCTCAATCTTTGTGACTTTTATTTTACAAAAAACTAATATTGTAACATTTATTACGTTCCTTCATGTTATTGAGCTTGTGTTTTGTTTTAAATTCTGACCGGAGTTCACATGCAATTACTCTTAATATTTTGTCCTTGATTAAAGTTTTCATCTGGAAATTGTGTTTGAATTTTATTTTCTCTGTTCTAGTAAATTCTATTTTGACAATAAATGGACATTTCTAAATTCAGCAGACTGGGTGTTCTCTTACAATGTTGTAGAAAGACTTTGGGATGGTTTGGTGTTTTTGTGTGCTTTATATTTCTTAAATAAGCCTCTAGGTTCGCATGATAAATTACAACTCTTTATTTGAACGTTACGACCTACTGCCCAGATTGGCAGCAAAGTTTTTTATTTTAGGTTACAATTTCAAGCACATTGTTGAATTAAGTGTCAATCTTCTTGCTATGCTTTCTTCAGTTGATTTAGTTTACGGAAAGGTATCTTTCTAGAATTACTTTAACCAGGATCGTAAACCTAGCTGAATCCCAAATGAAAATCCCCTGTAATCGCTTCAGAGTTAAGTGACGTGCTTCCATAATCTCAACGCTCTATTATTGCAGTTTGTTTTCCCCAGAACTTTAATTCTGTGAACTAGGAAACTCCATCTAATGTTCTTTCTTATGTTTACCCTGACTATCTTAACTTCTTGTTCACTGTTAATTCCATAATTTCCACGGCAAGTTTTTGATTTAATCTGCAGAGTTCTCTTTCCCCTTCTACTATCACGGTCATTTTTATTTTAACCCCAATTTTCATAATATATTTACCCTTGAAATGCACCCTTGTCTGATGCACATAATTGAGCATTCCGACGAAAGAAAGCTGTAGAAGATGTAAAAAAATGTTAAGAATGACATAAAGCTTGCATCAATTGTAGTTTCATTGCTATTTTAACTTGATTTACATACTTGCCCAGTCATATTCTTGTGACTTGAATTTTTACCTTGAATCCAAACACAGGGATAGATGATCCTGCATTACCTTGAATTTTACCTTCTTTCATAGGGTTGTATGCATATACATCTGCTCAAAGATTAACCTAGATATTTTGGTTTAGAATGCAGAGTATGACATTCTTTTAACTCAGGGTGTGGATACCCAGAATCCGTATTTCAGCCAGTCACTTGTGACTCTAGGCAAATGGTCAATTTCCGACTAGGCAGTAGTTACGTGGTCCTATATTCTTAGAAACATTAGGGGATCACTGGATCACCACTTACTTGCAATAGCAGAACCTTCATCATAGCCATTTACATTGGCAAGGATTCCTTTTGGGTTGTTTGTAAGTACTTTTGTGGTTCTTCTTCATTCAAACTAAGGCTTAGAGAGGTTGGTGAATCAAGTGTAACTGGCTGAACTTGATGTGGTCTGGGCGATCCCAGGATGGCTACTTCAGGTCTGTCCAGGTTTTAAATTTCCAGGTTTCATGTGTCTAACAGAAATCTCATGTAGCAAATTGTGACTCAATTCTTCCTTCTCATCGGGGTAGGGGGAGAAAAGGGAAAAATGTGAGGTCATTTGGTGGTCAGGAACTATTCCAAAGAGTAAGGCTGCCATTCCCGAAGATTTTAGCAACGACCATTAATGCCTTATGCTTGTCTTGCTGCTTATCAGCTTTTATCATTCGAGCATAATTTACTAACAACGAGTTATATTTAATATTATAAATATTTACTATAATGTTTATTCTATTGTTGTCACTCCCGCTAATTTCGATTTTACGACTGTCGTCCTTCCACTGCCAAGTCAGAAAAAGATTCATTTTACATTTTAAAAAATGTATGAAATGTTTGACTTGCAAGTGCTGTATTCCAGGAAAAAAATGCCAAAGGCCTTTTGGGATACTTTCTCTCTATAATTCTTAAAATGGCATACCTCAATAGTGCGTACAAACTATTGAAAGGCGTCTTGACTTTATCACAACATGCTCCACATATTTTTGTTTCTGGGATCTTCCCTTTTGCATGTATATCCAATTCGGTGAGCAAGCCAACGCCTCTTAATTTGGATGTATCACTGCCATCATTTGAAGACATCAAATGGATGTTATCTCGCTTCTACTATCTTTTCAATATCCAACTTGAAAGGAATATCGGCTTGTAAGTGGATTTTTTTTACGTAATTCCAAAATAATTATTTGCTTTATTCATTTATTTTAGTCAAAGGTGTTATTTTACTATTTGGTTGTGCTATTTTTTCTTTCCCTTTATATTTCTTGGAACATGTTTTGTTGATATTATTCAGCTTTGATTGACTCATATAGTCTAACTAAATTTTATGAATTACAAAGTCGTGATCCACATGGGTTTTCTGAGTCAGTACAAGAGTTCACCGCCTAATCTTGGGATTTAGATCTGGAGGTTGTTTGGCTCGAATCAGTGAAGACTTGGTGTCATATCACACGTTTAAAGTTGTTTGAATGGAAGTGCTTCTAGTCATATCAGCCGTCTTGGATCATTTTGGAAAGGACAAATGATTATTTTTTGCTTATGAATGTATCAAATCTTACTTTCATTGTCCACTGGTTCATCGTTATGCACATTAAGTGACCAATATCCATTTGTCTAAAATTATCTGGTCAGAGTTTGTGGTGGTAGTACTCTCTACATTGTCATACCAGCATTCTCTACATCAATTTTGAAAGCTTTCAGGTCATTAGGTCTACATCCTGCGACAACCAGGGGAACATCATCACCTTACGTACTTTCATTTAGAGTATTCATCATCTTCTGCAGCAGGATAATCATCAAATACACAGAATTTTTGGTCCTTTTTTGTGGGGGACTTGGTGCTGCTTTGGAGTATTATCATCATCATCAGCAGCAGTAGCAGGATCATCATCAGATACACATATAGAACTTTTGGTTTTTTTTTGTGAGGCACTTGGTGTTGCTCAGTCTCCATTCTTTGTATCATCTTTGAGATACTTATAGAGGCATCCATATGAAGATTTCCCTTCGTAAAAAAACTGGAGATGACTTGCTGACTCTGATGGTGACGAGTAACAAATGATACACCTTGTTGTGTTAAAATAAATTTTTACTTCAAATTTCTTTTACTTATGGTTACTGTTCTATTATATTGTCACAATAAAAGAAATAGTGACGAAAAACTCAGCAATACTTTCCTTTAGAATGCATAGGCAATGATGTTATGAACTTGATAATTGGGGGATGTGGCTCAGCACTTTTTCTGTTCCCGTTCTCACTAAAATTAAGCATCCAATCACGTAATTTAGTGTCTTCTCACCAGGAAGTCACTAGTATTTCTGATATACCCGACTGATCTCTCCTGCCCTCACAGTTCTTTAAATCTTGAGAACTAATGGACTCTAAGGCCCTTGAATCTTGCTTGGATGTCAGCTGTCTAACAAGTGCTGCCAGTTCATCTGGGATTTTGCAGTGTTAGTTCTTGAGTTGAGGGTTTGGCTTGGTTTAGGTTCATAAAAGTAGTTAAATCGCCTAGATTGGTTCTCTCTTTAGTTGAATCCTTTGTCAGATGAAAAGATAATAGATTTGAGCTGCCTTTATAGTTACATCGTTTGAATTTAAATTGCACGAATGAGAGGAGTTAAGAATGTCGTATCTCATTTCTTGGTCAATTTTACTTTCTTTGATTAAAATATTGTAACCTTTTGTTTTGTGCCTTTAATACCTGTTGGTTGCTTGAAAGGTTTGCTGGATTATGTTTACACTTGTCTGTATAATAATTAATATTGAGTTACACATTTGAAATTTGTCCGCCATCTTTTTGAACATAATGATTTAAGTAGGGCGTCCCAAGACTCAGTACTGATTAGTCATGTTTGTGTTTCTATGTACCATGCAGATTTCTTATTGTATTATTTGCTGCCTGTTTCTCATTCGTCATCATGGGAGGCTTCCTGTTCTACAGATACAGGTGCACCACAAGAATTGTATATTTTCCATTTACTATTAGACATCGTGCACAATATACAGTTATGCTCCGAAAGAAAACTCCTTTTTAAATGCTTTCTTTGGTATATGAGATCGATTCAATTAAACTCAATTAATAAATGCAACTGAAGGAAAGGATCAATGATTAGCACAAGATCAACAACTTATGTTCTCACCATCACCTAAAATTTTGTTAGAGCAATGGGGATTGGGAGAGGTGGCATGAATAGGGATCAATTACATTACAATCTGTTAGAAGTATTTTTGGGCAAACAGCAGCAATTTCATGATGAACGTTGTGTTTGACTGTTTTGCATGTTATCCTATTCAGAGGTATTAGCTGTTCAAGATCACGTTAGGATTTAGTGGAAAAAACCAAGCAGGTACCTGTGCTTGGTTTTTTAGTAGTACGAGAGGAGGTGTTTACATGTGCTTCATGGCTAATAGAAAAACTTTATATGTGATAAATATATACTATATCAATGTGGTGTGTACCATAGGAATAACCCAAAATACCCAAAGTGACAAAATCGCGTTCTTGCTAAAAAGAAAAAGTCTCTTCCTCTCTTTCACCAGATTCTTCCAGCTGAAGAGCATTGGCTTTAAAAATATGTACACTCCGTTTATTCTGTATGGTGTGAAGGGTCATGAGTTCCGCCACATCAAATGTATTTAAATTAAATGGGAGTGAAGTTTCCGGACCTAACTTGCCACCTAATGCCAAGTAGCTCTATATAAAATAGATGAATTAACCTGACTGAAAATTTTCTTCCTTTCTGCTCTTTCCAAAGCTACGTATTCTGTAAATGCTTCCATTTCCGTTTTTCTGCATCATTGTCATAATTTATCTTGAGTTCAGTGTGTACTTGTCATTTTGATGTTGTCATAGTTGCACAATTTAATAGTCCTCGCATATATAGGAACAGGAGAGTAAATCCTTGTCTTTCTGCTCTTTGCAACATTCTACTCACCAACCTAGTCGCTGGACTTACACGCGAGGGGATGATGATTCACCTTACCTGAGACCTCCCTCCCCTAAGAATGCATATTGGAGATCTCTTAATTACCATAGCAACAAACCTGGTGGTGATTAGAATTGTCCGAATCCTCAGATCTATCTGTTGTCAAAATCCATTTAATAAATTATAGAGAAAAGACAGTTTCAACTCACTCTGCTACAAGTCTACTTACAATCCAGCTTGAAAATGGAGCATCTGCTTTTATAGGAATTCTCGGAATGAATGTAGTCATGTAGAACGCTTTCTCGAACTTGCATGCATGTGGATATCTGATTCCTAATATTCAATTTGTTAACCATGCTCTCTTTCTCGTGATTCTAGATGCCATTTGGTAGGGTATAAAGCCTACTTGCCCTTAAACCTATTTGGTTTTTCCTCCAGAATCAACTCCAAGAAAGTTTTGTCACGATTCTCAGATGTGTCCCATAAAGAACTCCATTGTCCCAGGCAAATGGTGCATAATGAAGCCTCATGAGCCTTGTAACGAAACCTCATCCTGTGCAAGAAAAAAGCCTTATTCAGGAGCTGGAAATAGACAAGAGCAGTGTGTGTAACATTAATTCCCTTTTCCTTCTGCTTAACTCATCTTAGATGACTTGGGGAGAGTTCAGAGTCCACATAAAAAGCTTTGTGGCTCTTGGATGTTTGTAACAGTGGTATCTGTTTTCTTCCTAAAACGTGTGAATTACAGCCATATCAACAAATCAAGTTCTACTCCAACTGATACTCGGTGTCACCAGGATAAAATATTTTTCTTTCGTTATTTTTTATCTGCTGCATTCATATCCTCTTTGGAGGTGCCAATATTTAACAAGCTCTTTCATTACCAATTTAGGAAAAAGCAACAATCTCTGGAAGACTGTTTCTGGGATGCATGGGCTTGCCTTTGCTCATCTTCTACTCATTTAAGAGTATGACATTTCTTCAAATACAGGTTCTCTGGTTTTTAGCTTATATGTGGTGAAATTGAGGTCTTTGACATTTGTGTTTTTATACCAGCAAAAAACGCGTTTTGAACGTATTATCGGCCTTATCCTTGCTGTATGGGGAATATTATTTTATTCCCGTTTGTTGAGTACAATGACTGAACAATTTAGAGTGAGTCTTTCCTTAAAATTTTGGGAACTATCCTTTAATTATATTGGAAGAATGCTTTCTATCTAACGACTGTCTTCCACAGTACAATATGGAAAAGATCAGGGAAGGTGCTCAAATGCAAGTTATGGAGAGTGATCATATTATTATTTGTGGTATAAATAGTCACCTGCCTTATATACTCAAGCAACTAAATAAGCATCACGAGTCTGCTATTCGAGTTGGTACTGCTACATCGAGGTATATAGGTTTACATTGGTTGTAAATTAAGATCAGATCGACTAACTACAAGTTGGTGGGAGGCTTATAAGAATTTTTTCTGATATGAACCTTCTGATTTGAAGGAAGCAAAGAATCCTCGTCTTGTCTGATGCTACACGGAAGCAAATGGAGAAGCTTAGAGATAATGTTGCCAAAGATTTGAACCACATTGATGTTATAAACAAAAGGTAACATAATTCAGCTCATCTTGCATCATTGTCTGCCAAATAATTCATACCTTTTGTAACTTTGATGAGATGCATTAAGGGTCAACGTTGGCACTTTTCATCTGTTCTAGGCCATAGTGCAAACAAATCTGGTCAAAACCTCAAATAATACTGTTTTTGCCTGTTTTGGAATTGGCTATAATCGATAATCAATTTTATATTTTTTAGAACTTCTGTTTGTGCAACGGTTTGATTTGACAACAATCTGTAATTTCTTTCGAAACTTGAGTCCTGTGGACAGAATCATTTTTTAAACATTTATTGGAGGTCATATTGAAAGTCATTACTTTGAAGTTATTCTTTCTTAGGATTAGATTATAATTTAAATTCTTTTCTTGTTTACAAATAAATAAATTCTATTTCACCACAGGACTAGTGGAAGTAGAAAAAGGCAGCTGTTCTATCTCAAAAGACAACCATAACTGGAGTCAGAAATAAATCTCACCAGGATAAATTCTAGTTTTTTTAACCTGCTCTTTTGGATGTGATAAAAGCTTGCTACGTGATATCAAAATAAACTCATAACAGGAGTCGAACTGAAACTAATAAAACAAATCTTGTTCTCTGCACATTTTTTCTTCCCTTAATTTATTTTAATTTCTTAGATAACGTACGAAAAATTTTAGAACTGTTTTGGCAGGTTTCTTATTGATTATACTATTTTTATATTAAAATAAGTTTTAAAGCTCATGCCCTTGGGATGCTACTACTTTTGAATCATAGTTTTAGATAAAATGGGGTATGCTGTTTTAGTTTCACTCTAATTGAAGATGGACAACCTGAAAAATATCTTTGTATCTTTTCTACACTAGTCGTCTTACTTATGAATTCCAGCGCTTCATTAGTGTTGGGAATAGGCCAGTAAAGCTTGAACACAGTTTTATCTGAAGTTTGGCCCATTAATGCTGCCTCAAAATAGGAATAGGCCCATCCTACCATCTTTCTAGCCTTAGTTGGGTTGGATCTGATAGTCTAACATGGCTTTGACACCTACACCGACATAACAAAACCCCCGACCCAACCCTGTGTGACAACATGGACAAAATAACTGCAAAGCCTCCTTGTTTTCTTCTACTTACATTGTACTCTTCACTCTGTCTGGCTACCCGTTCCTCTCTCCCAATGGTGCTTCCATCTTTGGTACATCAAAACGATGCAACTTTTCCTCCAGCTGCTCCCTAGCGGTATCTGCTCCCTTACATGGGTGTCACGAAACCTCATTCCGGTTCCCCCTCTCCCCCCACCCTTCACAAGCAAAAGGCGTAGATAAAGAAACACCTCCTTTCCCTTTCCCCCATTGTTATGTTCCCCACCCTTTCCCTCACGGCCAGCACCCCAGAAACCATCGCCAAAATTACGGTTGTCAGGCTTGGCCGGTTCGGCCTCAGCGTTCTTGGGCTTGGGTCACGCTTGGCAGGGTACCTCTATATGCGATTTTTTTATGTGCAATACTTCCGGATACACTGAAAATCTTTTCTTGAAAACGAATACAAATACCAAACCAGTCATCATTTCCTCACTGTTGCCTACTTTAAGAACCGCCAGTTGCCTGGTTCAGCCCTAGTGTTTTGTTGGTGGAACTGATCAATAAATTTAAAACATTAATTTGGTTTCTTTTTTGTAGTGTGCATAACGTTTAGTTATTAACGAGTATTTTTGGTCATCTTGGTCTCTTTTTATAGCGTCTTCCCTAATACTGATGATATGTGACCTATGGTGTTGTACAGGAATAGCTTCTAAAGGGTCGCTTTGATAAACATTAATCTTCGTATACGTCTGGATTCTTTTGGATTCCTACTGCTCTCTAATATTATTTTGGGCCTGTGGCTTCAGCCTCTGCCTATTGCTGCTCACTGAGCCTGCCACTGTTTCCCCTTGCTTTTTATTCTCCTGCCACTGCCTCTCCCAGTTCTTTATATTGCGTCTGCCACTGCCTGCAGTCCCTGGTGCCACATTCCTCTCTACTTTTGCTGCTGCTTCAGGCTTCTGATCATGTCCCTAGTTTTTGATCTTGCTTTTTTTCTCATTTTCTCATTTTCCTCTAATCCTTTCTCCTTATGGTCAATCTTCTTATTCATTGGAATTCATTATCTTTATCCTTGTATTTTTTTGGATTCAACTAGTTTATGCCTTAGTTGGAATCGGAATTATAAGATGAATGCAGAAGGAAAATCTACTGATGTAATGCGCTATCATGATATATCTTTTGAACTTGGTGAATACGATTCGTGTTCTTTGAAAGAAACGAATACCTTTTGTCTTTTCCTTGTATCGGGGTTTTCCCCAGTTTCAGCTGTTTGACTACAAGTATGTTGACTAACTCTTGAGGTTACTATCGTCTGTCTGCAGCTGCAGTCTAAGCTTGACGAAATCTTTTGAACGAGCCGCAGCAAACAAGGCACGCTCTATCATTATATTACCCACAAAGAGCGACAGGTGAACTCTCCCTGTCTTGTAATCTGTTGTGTGCGTTAATGCCAATACGTTTTTTGGTTTAACACCTGATAGTTGTCTGTACAGATGCACTAGTGATTGATTTAATGCTGGATACTCAGAAAAGTGATGCATTTGGAAAAAATAGTTATTTCGTTTCAAATTTCAAGTCGTTTAAAGCCATTTTCATGCTGAAAATCCAGGGTGTTTTTAATCATCTAACTTATTTACTCAGGTACGAGGTTGATACGGATGCCGTCCTCTCATTACTAGCACTACAATCTCTCCCTAGAATGACGTCCATACCAGCTGTTGTTGAGGTGTGTTTCATGCTAAGTGCCAAAATGGGAATCGTGTCTGTTAAAAATGTCATTGTGCAAAAATGGCGAAAGGGTTTAAGGACAGTAATTTGTATCACAGTGAATTTTATATTAAGAAAATAAAAAGGCTCCCTATTGATTTTTTTTTCTTCCAAATTCTGTGCATAGAAAATTCCCTATGCGCAATATTTATTTGTTCAAGTTTGGATCAACTGGTTTCTAAGACTGCATTCCAACTTCCACGGTTCTTGATACATTTTTTGTTCAACTATGTACGATCACCATATCCATGGTTCTTTGTTCAACTAGATACCTTACTTCGTATATTTTAGAAACTCTTCTTTCATTAATGGTGATTCTTGTGGATTCGAATGAAGGTATCAAACCCGAGAACAAGTGAGCTTTTGAAATCAATCTCAGGCCTGAAAGTTGAACCTGTTGAAATGGTTGCGTCAAAGCTGTTTGTTCAGTGTTCTCGGCAAAAAGGGCTCATAAAGATTTACCGGCACTTGCTTAATTATAAAAGTACACCTCCCTTCTTGAAGAATTTCTTTGATTACGATAGTAAATAATTACATTAGAAAGGTGTAATCCATCTGACTACTTGCTTACAGCTTGATACGTAACTGTAGCTAGAGTATACCTCGTCTCTGAAGTTCGTTTTTAATGTTCTTCACAGCATCATTTGGGCTTATTTGGTTTAGCATTTTAGGATGCAATCTGATTGTATGTTTTTCTGTTAAAACAGAAAATGTATTCAATCTCTGTAGCTTTCCAGAACTTGTTGGGTTAAAGTACGAGCATGTGAGACGTGGACTAAAGGATGTAAGAAACTGCTAACTTGTGTCAGCTTTTTTGGTACGTTACTTAAGGCTTTATCTACTAATGTTTCGTGCAGGTGGTCGTATGCGGCCTTTATAGAAACGGGAACATGTACTTTCATCCAAATGATAGTGAAGAGATGCTTCCCTCCGATAAAGTGTGTAAGAACTTTGGGTTGATACCTGCAAATGAAATGAAATTCTATTAACTTCTAGATGGCTGCCCTAAATTTCTAAGATTACAGAACCACTTTTTCTCATATTTGTAGAGGTTGATGTTCAATGATCCATGTTAGGGTAGTTTAATCAAGCTTACCTTAATTATTGCTAACTCATTCCTTCATCTCTGGAGTATACAGATCTTCAGGTATAGTTTCTTTCTGTAAAAGATCTCCAAATGGGGCTTCTTTCGGCATCTTCCAACCCATAATGATAAAAATTCTAACTTCTATGACAACTTCTACACATCTTTAAATCTGTCACCTGGTCCTAAGGATATTGAGAAGGAATCATGATGTGGTCCAGGTGGCCAAGATGTTAAAGAAATATATTTCAATTTTTTGTTAGAGAAATATCTTCAAACATTGGATGTTACATACTAATTGGAGGAACTTGTTTCCAGGTTATAGTGGCCAATTTGATGAGATTTTGCAGTTGACGTGAAGATAACAAAAGGAAGCTGAAGCAGATGTAAACAACGTAATGATGCAGAAAAAGATATTAAAAATAAGGATGAAAAAGGCTTAAAACAGATAATGACAAAGCTTAACATGAAATATTTCGCGAAAATGAGAAAAAAATTAATGAGAAGGGAAAGGGAAGGAAATATATGCCCTCACAAAATCAACAAAGTCATAGTGACTCATTTTTAGTATTGTTAATATTATTTAAGTCCAACTCAAAGTCAATTTGGTACAGGTAGAGTAGGCCCCTATTCATAATCATAGGTTTATTTTTTTGGTAATGAATAGAGGATTAATCTAATCACATTTCTTCATGCGTAAGCTGATTTTTTGTCTTTGTCATCTGGGCAATATGAGTGCAGACACAGAGCAATCATTAGCTCTGAATAATGTTATTGATCCATTCAGCTTCAAATCAGTTGGCAATGAGTGGATTATCATTGCAATTACTAGTTTACTTTTGTAGGAAATGATACAGTACAGTTCTTAGTAAAGGTCTATTTTTTGGGGTGGAAACCATGAGAAGAAAAAATGGTTATCCTCGTCTCTGGGTACAGTTCAGCTGTCCTATTCTTTAACCTCCTCAAGCAATGAAGAAAAGGCTGAGATACACAGAGGTTCATTAAGACTATTAAGAGTGTGGAGATGGACATGAAAAGACGAAAGAATTGAAAACCACTTGGATGACTGATCCACTGATGGAATGATATTATACTGTTAAATCTTCACATCGGATAAGTGGAAAGTACACTAGTTTAGAGGGCTTTGTTTTATCTTGGCTGATAGGTTGGTGTTTATTTGAAAATTCTAGGAGTCAAGATGGAGCCTAGGGAATCTAAAATTAGGTATTTGCATCACCTTTTTGAAATTGGGGAGTGAAATGTAGCAAGGCTCCTAGAATTGAAATTTAACTAGGTTTAGTTGAACTCTGAAGCGAAATTTAATTGACAATATAACGATTGTATGGGGATCAATGTAGCTCGTGGAGTTATCAGAGTGCAATATACAGCTCAGCCAAACTGCATGAGGACTGGCGCAAAGATTCACAAAAGTTTGTACTATGTCTACATCTGCTATGAACATTTTGGTCAGATAAAAGGGATCGATCGTTTTGACCGTACCGTGCATTTCGTCTTTGAAATCTTCTGTATTAAAGGGTAGCAATCTATGCGATACTTCTGTGGTTGGAGTGGCCTCTGTCGTGGGTTCTCCATGTTCCATCCTCCTATTTGTCATTGTTACTCTGGTTCCATAATGCTGGGAGGATGAAGTCACCACGTGTTTCAGTTCAATGTGCTGCATGTTACTCATCTGTGAGATGTGGATAACCATAGAGTATGATTATTCTGGAATGAGGAAACTGTGTTCAGATAAATATATCGTTGGTCGAAGTAGGTTGTCTGAATGTAACAAAACGTTCATTTGTAAGATCAATAAGGAGAAGAGGCTACCTGAAGGGCTTCCATATCTGCAATTTACGTTGTGATGTTTGCAAGAAGTATTATTCAACTAGGAAATAAGAAATTATAGCCATGAATGTATAGTGTGAAAACATAACAAATGCAGAAATGTTCTCACTTCCTAAAGAATCCACCCTAATGAGTGTAGCCGGTAGGTAAATGAATGTAGGTAAGTTATAATGTTGGAAGAGGTGAATTTAATGGAATTGGTGTAAATGTTTGGGGGTCCTTGCATTGCCAGTAGGAAGATGACACATCAGGAAACTTCCACGGTAATAGAACTCTCCATTTAAGTCAACATAAATCATGTGGTTTTCCTGCTGCGGGCAAAGTCAATTATCAACACGAGAAGGTCCAGCAGAGAATGTGGAATCCACAAGATGGTCCAGATAGTAAGTTACCTGGTTCTTCATCTCTGTGAGGAATTGATGCGATGGCTTTCAACATGCAGAAAATCTCTTGTTTGTGTACTGACATTTGAGGGGGCAAAGTTTGTTCGTTATTCGGGAACACTCAGTGGGGTGAGTTGGAGATCAATATGCCAAATAGAGGAGCTGGCAACAGCTCTGTGCTAGGGCTGTTTTTCAATGGATGTATACTATTTTTCGTTTTTGAATAGAACGTTGGATGTCGTCAGGCTTGTAACAGTCATAAGCCATTTCTATCAACAGGTCGTCAACCATCTTCAATGAACTCAAAAAACTTGTGAAAGGTTGTCTGAGTTTGTTCGGCTTTAACTTGAAGAAATAAATCCTTCAGTAAATGCTGACTGACTGAACTTCTTGCTCTTGCATTTGGTATGCATCTCAGGATGTTTAGAGTTATTCTTGATGTTGAATCCCTATATTCTCGTTTTCCTTTTTATTTCGTTTCCATGCTAGTATTTCTCTTTGTTAATGGCAGAAATGATGCCGTTTCTAAAACTTTTGTATATGTCATCCCTTTCCCAAATGATTGATGTTTAAGGATAAATTTCATGAAGAAAAGAATCATGTAAGATAAAATGTTGAGAATTCGATAAATCACGTTTCTATGGCTAGTGTTGGCCTATTGTTGATTTTAATAACTCTTCTATTCCCATTGAAGTTGTTGTTCATATCACCTGTGTATGGAAAGAGAAGGCCAGATTTTTTGCCGTCAGACAATCTACTAGAAAGTCAATCGCCACAGAATCAGGTGTCTCAACGAAAGAGGTCATCACCAGACAAATCATTTGAACTGAGAAAAACCCGTCTTGCAAACATAGTGAAGCGTCCCTTGAAGTCAAGTTCAAAGGTAATCTTTTTCCCTTAAGAGTGTGGACAGGATTCTATATTGCGAGGTATCTGATATCCAAAGACCTTTGCAGACGTCGGATTGGAATCTAGGACCAAGAGAGTGTGTACTTATTCTGGGATGGCGACCAAGTGTTCATGAGATGATTCGAGAGTACGACAATTATCTCGGTCCTGGCAGCAGACTGGCAAGTCCCACTTCCTTGTCATTTTCTATTAAACATGGATTAACTTAGGATATACATCTATATTGTATGTTATCTTCATCTCATCTATTAAAGATGCCCTTCGCATCTTTTATGAAAACGATTACAAGGACCTCTTGAACTTTTTCCCAATATTGTCACGATTTTCAAGATACTAGTAAGTGGTAAATTTATCTGTAATTATTCATTTAATCAATCGACTCCTGGACGTCAGTTTTTAAAATTAAAAATTAAAAAATGTTTGCCACTATGTTTTTTGATAAGTTATTTTCATCATTATCCAAATTTTCGATATGATAATTTTGATGTTGAGGAGCTTTATTTCAGAGCACATTACATTGAAAATTCCAGTGTTTTTCATTCGGTCGACTATGTTCATCTTACATTCGGTCGATAAAATTAAGTTATATTTTTTCAAAAATTCGTCAAAATGTCACTTCTTATATCCTGATCCCGTGATTGGTTAGTTTCTCCTGTCTATGGTTGTACTGAGATATTGGATACCCGGGTAGTATTTATTACCATGTAGAAAATGATAATTCATCATAACTAAACTCCTACATTTGGCTGTGAAGTAGACATGAAAGAGGCAGATGGCACACATAATTTACAGATTTGAACCTGACCGGTTTCATTGATGTACTTCAACCCTACGCGGGCTGGGTGTCCGTTTTTTAAGCTCAATACTCACCTGCTCCTACAGTTTAAAGATAGGATCCGATCAGAATTCTTTTCAATAAGTTGCCAGTATCTTAATAAGTTGAAACCTTGATATTACACCTTGGAACATAAAAGTTATAAATGACTTCATAGCATTTTCGTAATGTATCTGTTTAATTGCGCCATATGTTTTTCTGCAGGAAGTACTATCTGAAGCTCCTATTTCTGAGAGGACAAGCTCAGCAAGTTCTTCCAGACGAAGTGAACTGAAGCACATTAAGGTTTCGCATAAGGTCAATTTCTATGATACGTCCTATCTGAGCCACTTATCTTCATTTATCTATACGTTCAATTTTGATCTAATCTGTCGCTTTCTCATGTGAAAACTCGTGTATCTCAGGTTGGAAACCCAATGAGCTACGACGACCTAAAGGACACAATATTGAACATTCGAATGTCCATGAAGGGTGTCCAAGATGTTCCTTTGACAATAGCAATAATATCTGACAGGGAATGGCTTGTTGGAGGTAATAACATATGAAACCAGTAATGCTAGAGGTGTTTTTTGTATGACGTAATACTTTTTCTGCAGATCTATCAAGGGCGGACAAGCATTCAGCATATACACTTCTTCTTGCTGAAAATATCTGTGTTAACCATGGAATTAAGGTTAGTGGCATATTAATTTTAATTAATTTATTATTTCCCCCATATTTATAATTTTTTATGCTTCCGAATGCTCAAAGCATCCGCACTACTCATCTTGCATGTTCATGGTAAACCCACGATCCCAAATCACTAGAAGAGATGAAGATCACTGTTGACAATGGCCATTAACAGTGGAGCAGTAGAATGGCGGGCGATCATAATTCATAGCATTTTCTAGCAATGATAATGCATGCCCACTGGTTCATCGATCCCTTCTGCTAGCATCAAATGAAGAGAGTTTCTCAAGAACAGAGAACTAATTTCATCAAAGGTTTCATTGATCCGTTTCTACATTTACTCCCTTTTAAAGAGAGCGGTGTGAATGATGTGTTTGACCTAGATAGCTCACGCTGAAATTATGAAAGACCAGTTCGTGATTTGGTCCTGAATTTGGAAAGATCATCTTTGAGGAATTCCTCCAACATCTTCTTCACTAGAAATCAAGTAGACTAGATTCAGTATGCTATGATGAATCTATATATTGGGAACATGCTTCTTGCAGGTGGCGAACCTGGTTGCCGAAATCGTTGATACTAAACTAGGCAAACAAGTAAGTATACCCTTCCTTTTCTCCTCCAGGCTCCGTTAGAAATTAGTGATCATGATTGGCTGACTCTGCAGATCACCAGAATCAAGCCATCCCTCCAATTCATTGGTTCAGAGGAAGTAATGAGTCTCGTGACTGCCCAAGGTCTGCCACCACCACTCTCTCCACCAAGAACATGCAATCTTTCATTAGTCACTCTTGCTATTCACGCAATTCAATCAAATGGCAGTTGCTGAGAGTTGTGAGTTGAACAAGATGTGGAATGACATACTTAGCTCCGAGGGAGATGAAATATATGTTAAGGTGAGTATCTATCTATCTATCTATCTATATATTTTCTGTGAACTCTGTAGCTCATCATCTAGGGTTTTCCTCTACTTGATTTCTACATTGATTTCATAGGATATCGGGCTGTACATGACCGAAGGAGAGACCCCGTCCTTCTATGAGCTTTCTGAGAGGGCGGTCTTGCGCCATGAAGTCGCCATTGGCTATGTGAAACATAACAGGAAGGTAGTAACCTTATTAAATTTCTATTATCTTCTTCTTCTTCACCATATGCATATAAATACATCTTCTCTGCTTTGGCAGGTCATAAACCCACCAAACAAACTGGAGCCTCTTGATCTTGAGATGAGTGATTCCCTGATAGTAATCTCTGAGCTCGAGGGCAGCTCGACGACCGCCATTTAAGTATATGCATGTTGTGTTCACCAATTATCCCTTCATTCGTACGGATGATATAAGTCATAAAAAAATATATTCTCCACTATTGTTGGCTTGAAATTTCTCTTAGAGCAACATAAAAAAACGTGGTCTTCAATTCCTTGGAAAAGAAATAATATTAAATAATTGAAGGGAAGAGGAAGTAAAAATACACCTAATTTTGATAGGCAGTATGCTGTCTAGTCTTCAAGAAAATATACTACGTGAGTTAATATGCTATTTTTAGGAACATTAATATGGAAATCGTGCTCATGCTTCAAATAGTTTGGACGTAGAAATCCATGGGGTTAACTAAGAGTTTCATCATATGGACATACAATTCTCAAGGAGTTAATTCCGGGACAGCTAAATCAATTCTTTTTTTTTTTTTTTGCCTATGATCTAACCTAAATAATGATGATTATTGGGCTAATGATTTGATAACCATACTCAATATTATGATTATTTTTTGAACTAATTCATTGAACAATGATTCAAAACTAAGTTACCAGTATGTTATCATTATTATGAGTGTACACGTAATTTGGGTTTCAAAACTACAATTGCTCACCAAGTTTGTACACGTAATGAGCGTTGACTATATTGGTTGAAGTCATCGAAACCCATGAAGTCAAACGCATGTTTTAATGCTTACATATTCATCCCATATTGTGAGTGAAAAAAAATCTTAGCTATAAGTTGGTGCATGAAACCCTTAAAGGGGTAAGTAGTTATTTTCTTCCTAAATATTTCTCTATTTTATTTTTGTCTTCATTTTGGTCGGCGACTGAACGGAAGAAAGTCCAGGTATATGATTTTAAATACCTAAAATATCCGAACTTTTGAGATAATTCGCTATATAGATGATATAAGGACAATTTATCAAACATCATGGTGATATAGGAGAATATGAATATTTTATAGGAAAATCCCAGGAAAGTACATGTTCCTCCGTATGCGGAGAACTGAGTCCTGGAATGGGTTGCGCATCTCTTGTTTCGACTCCTGCTTAGTTGTGGGAGCGCCTTGTCTGTACGGATCAAACCGGTCGTCACCGGCGAAGAAGAACGGCGAGAAGATGCGGCCGCCGGGACGGCAAAGGGGTGCGGCGGCGGGGGCCTTGATGCTGTCGTTGTGCTCAGCCTTGTGTGCTGTGGGAACCTTGGCGGAGGGTGTCACCCCGTCGGAAGCTTTGGAACTCAGAGAAGAGGTTTTGGCGACCGATCTCTTTGCTCTTCTTCCTCTTTATTAGCTTGCAAGTGAAGAAAAAAATGGAGAATTCGCGGACACGCGAGTTATTGCGGCGGATGCTTCGTGGGAGTAGAGGTCGCGTCGGATTCAGTCGTGGTGTTGTTTGCTTCTAGCATTTATTTGGTCAATTAAAATTAAAGTGTCGATGTAATTCGGAAAGGTGAAAGCACTCTTCCGTTTTCTTGCCAATGATGTGTTGATAGTTGTGGTTTCTTTCATTTCTCACACCAAATGAACATTCTTATGGACCATATGTTGTGCTGAAGAAAAATTACCAAGCTAAGACGTCACGGTGGGGGGGTGGGGTTCTTGCCTGTGAAAGGAAAATTAGAAGAGAAGATTTCGTCAATTTTACCTTCCAATACAGCAGCAGATCTCAAACTTACCTTCATTCAACTGAACTGATAGGATTGGAAAAAAAACCACTGTTTCCAACGGGTGCTGGGTTTTCCAACCTGGTTTAGGTTCTCAAATCTTTCCTCTTCTGCCAAAGTTACAGTACAAAAGGGTTTTAACTTATGCTAGTTCAACAACAAAAAAAATAATTTTTATGGGGAATGCATAAGCGCAACTATTTTTAGAAGTTTTCCATTTAAGACCATATTTTCGATCAATGATCTTATCTTCTTCACCGTATTATGTTGGTCCGAATGACAGTTGATATCTGACCTGAGCCTTCCGCATTTCTGAAAATAGAAGATGGTTTGTGTACGGTTTTTTCTTATATATGCACCCATATACGCATGAATAGTTCTCAATGATGATGATGATGATGAATTTGACCGTTTTGCAGTTATTGATCCTTGGGAAAACAGATATTTGCGTGAATAACTATGCATATGCAAGTTTCTAATTTGTGAATTGCCAGACGAAAACATTTGTCTTTCACACCTGTGCCCTAGGATAGCCATGAAAATATTTTGCCCAGCTCATGCATATGATAATAGATGATCCATCAACAGTGGCAGCTTTGGTTACATCCGTGCCCTCCTCAGGGTTCTCATGTTGCTTCTACAGTCATCGTCTTGTAGAGTTCAGTTTAGCCACGTGTAACAGGAAGACGGCATCTATGTGACCATTTTTTCAGATACTCGAGTATTCAAGTGATTTTTTTTGTGAAACTATGATCCCTATTTTTGCTAAAAGCTGATTGTTATTTTGACGGTCGATATGTTTCCTTTCAGAAGCAAGATAGTTATATTATCTTCTGTTTTCCTTTTTAGGTTCGTGAGATGTTCTACCATGCCTTTAATGGGTACTTGCAGCATGCTTTTCCCCTTGATGAACTAAGACCTTTTTCCTGCACAGGAGAGGACACACTCGGTGGTTATGCTTTGACTCTGGTAGTCATTTTCCTATATCTTCTGTTACGGTGATCAATATTTAGTGAAAAATTATGATTATCTTTTCCCTGTTTCGCCATCCAACAGATAGATTCCCTTGATACATTGGCTTTACTTGGGGATCGGGAGCAATTTTCTGCATCCATTGAATGGATCGGGAAAAATCTTCGGTTTGGCATTGTGAGTGATCCTTGGCGCAAGAAGAACGGGTTGATCCGTATCATCTTGACTTGGTTCTGCTTCCTCTCCTTTTTTTTTTTAACAATACCGAGTCGGGTTCTTCTCCTGCCAGTATCGAATATAACAGTTTGGCATTGTGAGTGCTACATTAACGTGATACAAACATTTTTCTTTATCAATATTTTTTAGTCTTCTTTTATGCCAGCATGTTTTCCAAGGGTCCGAAAAAAATGATATCATTCTTTGAGGGATTTCATTGTTTTAGTTCGTAAATTTTTTATGATTTTGAGGAAAGTGTGTTGCTCTTTGTGAATAATGGCCACCTATCATGTATTTTCAGCCATACCTGGCTGTAAAATTAAATTAGTTCTTTATTGATATTCTCTTAGATTGTAATTCTCTTTGATCAAATACCGCTCGTTAAATGGCAGGCTTAAATTTTTTAATATTTATAGAATCTTACTAAGAGATGATATGTTCTTGAATATCAAAGATTGCATCATATAGCTGGCTCAGGTTTTCGTGGTTGGGCAGCCTAGACCTATGTTGGTACTCAGAAGTTGAAAAAACTGAGTTGGGGTGGAGCCTATCCGCACAGTTGAGATGCTCATTATTTTTAGTTTTTAACCAGATCGTATCGCTTTCAAAGGGGACAATATTTTGCACTTTTTTGCCACAGATGTTGCAACAGTTTTGTGGTCATTGAAGTTGAATACAGGGAAGGAAGATGTGGAAAAGAAAGAGAGAACATGAGTAGCCTCACGTAGCCAAGCCTAGTCTTGAAGGGAATAATCTCATCTCGTATAAAATCCTCATAACCTAGGTAAGAGAATCGGGGTTCCAGATTAGTTGTTTAAGCTTCATTAGAATGAAGCAAGCTCAATGCATTCCAAAGTAAGTAGGAATAGGTAGAACTAAGGAATGGGGAAATAAATAAATAAAAATTATTAATAATGAATCCCATGACATTAAGTGAGACTGTCTATTTTGGAAGATTTTCCTTGTTTGTGTTCCCGTCTAATCAAATTTAATTTTCTAAATCTAGGCAGCCTTACGGTTTTCTCTCAAAAGTTTAATTCCGAAAATGTTTCAAAAACAACTTTCAATAACTAAGATATTTTTCGAATAAGTCATGATGATCTTGATCTAACTTCTAAAAGCTGAATTTATGATGCTATTTAGTCATTATTAAACACAAACGAAACCTAAGATTTATACTTTTTGTGGCTGAACGAAACCTAAGATTCTCTGCGGTGGTTAAAATTATAGAGAATAATCTTATGCTCCATTTCCTTGGCATGGTAGACATCTGCTCCATGAGAGAACAAATTATGACAGTAAGCACTGCTGTGATGCTTTACAATGCTGTTCAGCTGCATGTGGCATAGCTGCATTTTTTTCCTGAGATACACCACCTCAGTTGGTTAGGTGATGTTCTTTGGGTTGCTTATGTGTTTCTATTGCCTTAGCTCCTTATATAATGTTATCTATTGTTAGCATTCAATTTTTTTGCTTCTTAATGACACCAATAATTTTTGACTATATTGGACTTCTTATCTATGTGATTTTGCTTTACTTTAGAATTAAAGTTGCGTTTTTTTTGGTAACTTTCTTGCCTCTGCTAATTCTTACTTGTGCAGAACAAGACAGTATCTGTGTTTGAGACAACTATCAGAGTTCTTGGTGGTTTGCTATCTGCTCACCTAATTGCTAGTGATTATGCCACGGTATGCTCATTCTCTGTTGGTCAGGCATTAAAATGAGCTGCTCAAGTCCCTTTATTTTTTTTCCTCCCCTGTTTGAAAAAGAACTGATTATCACCCTTCTCGTCCATGGATTCTTCACAACACTGAGAAGTGCATAACGTGATAAAAGTGAGGGGTATGATGCCATTTGTGAAGCCCACTGGCCATCACTTTCCAGAGTACGGTAGATAAAGGAAAATTGAGATTTAAGATTTCAAGGAAACAAGTGATGGCTCATTGGCTTACCCATTATGCTCTGAGGTGAGAGCTATGTGATTCATATTTTAAAATCTATCTTCAAATTATTTTATGAAGGGAATAACTATTGAATATTTGACAAAGTAGATAGAGTGCTTGTATTAAATTAATATCAAAATCCTGAGAATTGATGTTTGCATAAAATCCAGAAAATAAGCAACCCTTTTAGTACACAAATTTTGTTGAGAATAGAAGCTTTTTAGAGCTGATATGATCTTAGCGATAGTGTTTGAATGTATGTTGCAATTGGATACTGACAGGTAAGCACATGACATTAGACTATGGAAACTGTTGCGTAGAGGATAAATTGATGTTAAAATTAACTGACTTGTTGGATTACACAATTTTAGAAGCCTTGAACTTGTCCTCCCTCCAATTTTCTTTCTTTCCTCGTCAACTCAGTTCTATTTTAGTTTTATGAGCTTAATCCTCGTGATTATTCAAAAATAAGGGTATGTAGTTGCAACTATTCTTGTGACGCAAGAGGAAAATTCAAATGACACATCAGCCATAATGTTTCATGGGTTCTTGTATCTGCAGCGATTTAAGGGTCCCTAATCTCTAATATGATGTCAAAAGTTTTTTTTTGTGATTAATTCCTCTTGGAACTTTTCACAGATACTTTTTACCATTCTGCGCCTCTTAAAAAATGAATAAAAAACTGATGCTTCTATAGTCGGTGTTGAGTAATATCATTGTGCACTACTAGCCTTCATTGCATCCAGAATCTCGGTCTTTGGTAGAATTGAGCGGAGTTTGAATGGAAGTTGTTGGGGATCGAATGAGTTGTGGAAGAGCTTTCCATGGGGGTAAGACGGTATACCTTTTAATGGAAATATATATGTTTTAACGTAGACTTTATGGCACCATTGTATGAATTTCTCAACGTGATTCTTTTTACTGATTTTTCTTATATATATATACATCTACTGCTCAAAATTGAGTTATTATAGCATTAGTGGCATTAAAAATGCCATCCATTTTCAGGGTATGAGGGTTCAGAATTATGACGGTCAATTGCTCCATCTAGCTGAGGACCTAGCACAAAGACTGCTACCTGCATTCGACACCCCTACAGGTGCTATTTCAAAATTCTCGATTTGTTATGATTACATGCAGGAACAGGAGGAATGAATGTAAAATTTGTAAACAGCCTAATGATCTTTATTTGGATATTGTGATACCCTTAAGTCTTGGGAACTTTATGCTTTCTTTATTTGAATAATTAAAGATTTAGTAAAAATGAGGGCAATGTTAGTGAGGACTGAATCTTGACTTTTGTCTCCACGAAACAAACTTCAAATGTCAGAAACACTTAGATGTCATTGCTTTGAACCAAACCAGAAGTAGGATGAAGGAGCAGGAGGAGGCATGAATCCCTAGTTCTTGTATCATCTGGATGACTTATAACTTATGAAGCTATTCAAGGTCTTTCTGCACCTGTTGGAAGGTAGCATCCATCTTAACCGATAGCACCATATGCAGTTGGTCAGAAGTAGCATCACAGCTGCTGCTGTAGCTGCCCTCTTCTGTCAATCATGAGAATTCAAAAGAACACTGACTTGGAAAAGGATTCAGGATCGGGGGGGTCAAGCTGCCAAGTTGTCAAGAGCAGTCTTGACTAGGAAAAAAAAATTGGGATAGGTATGCCCATTCAGTTTGATCAGGGCCAATTTGTGTCAAGTTGGATTGAAGAGACTAGTTTTGAATTGGTTATCTGGAAGCTGTTTGCAGGGAGGTGATGAAAATATATGCTCATATACAGTGTCCACTGATCTTGCAATATATCCACCCATGGCTGCCAAAATATTTAAGTGCACTTATTTTTATCTTTAGATACATTTCCATCCACTATCTGCGAAAGTTGTGCCTAGTGGATATAGAGAGGTCTCCTGTGCTGCGATATAGCGTTCTTTAATGCCATTTAATGGGATAATGTTGCAGGTATTCCGTTTGGATCTGTCAATCTGATGCACGGAGTTGATGAAAATGAAAGCAAGGTATCCTATCTAAACGATAAACGAAAATCAGACTATTGAGTGATCTAAAAAGCATTCCCTGTTAACCCAGAGTTGATTTGGAGATATATGTCACCGTGTCATATGATATCTGTCACTGTTAGCCACAAACCTGCTTCTTCATTCATCTTTCGACAATCAGCACATGGCTTTTTTAGGATTCGACGAATGATATATGTACTTTGCAATAGTTACACATACTTCTGGTCTCAACTTTCACTCCAATCTCTCTGTACTTGCTTCTTCCAAGCCTAATGGTAAGACAATCCCCCTTTACAATGTGTTGTCTTCTTATTCATGAGATGGTTGGAAAGATATCTGTATAAAGCTGATGTACAAGACATACTAAACGTTTGAGTTTTCCAGCTACAATCACCTTAGAACTTTTATTATATGTTTTCTTATAATGGATTTCTATTTCCTAATATTTTAATGTTTATTCTTTGACTCGCTGTGCAATGAAGTTTCATATGCTATTGCTTTTCTTAAACTTTCGCTGAACCATCCGTGGTATGATTTTAAAATCAGCAGTTTCCTCCTATTCTATGTAGTATTTATGTTAGTGGGTATGTGAATATTGGAAATACTGTTCTCCGTATTCCAGTGAAGGGCATTTTCCCACATTATCCTTGTTGTTTTTGTTATTATCTTGGCTAGCCCATTGGTTGATGAAGAAGTAACCAAAATGAGAAATTGGCGTTATGTTAATTTCTCATGTTTTCTTTCTTTTAGAGTGCCAAGGAAACTGGTTTGTTATAGACCTCTGTTCAAATTTTCTTCATCTTTTCATGTTTTTCGCTACTCATTTCCGTGCAAGTATTTGTGGGATTAATACTAGTACTCATTTTTTTTCATGTCTTTCGTTCTTTGCTAGATGACATCAACTGCTGGTGGTGGTACCTTGACTTTGGAATTTGGGGTTCTGAGCCGCTTGACGAATAATCCTGGTGTGCTTTTCTTTCTCCCTATTCTACCAGGTCATCGTCTTTCTTTTCTAAGCCGCTTGACTTTGGAAATGCTGGTGTGCATTTCTAAGCCGCTTGACGAATAATCCCTATGCTGGTGGTGGTACCTTGTCTTTCTTTTCTTATAAATTCTATGATCTTGAGGAACCTCATTTCACCAGGTCATCGTCTATTCATTATGTCACAGTCTGTTCAAATTTTATCATTGTTAGATACCAATGTGATGGTTGCCCTGGTAGAAGCTAGTAACTAGTTTAGCTGGGTTTTGTACCCTGAAAGTACGCCTCTGGTAGCCTTCTCTGTCCTTGAAGACATTAGTTAGTTCAACATCAGAGGTAGTACTCTCTTTTCTTTTGGACGTTAGAGCCGTAGACACTCATCGTCTATTCATTATGTGCCAAACACTGCTCCACTCTAGTTTTAAGCTTGTGATTTTTAGAAGAGTATTATATGATCTTCTCATATTTTTGACATTTATAATTGATTATTTTCTAAGCTGATAATGATACTGTAATTTCAGTATATGAGGAGGTTGCAAAGAAAGCTGTGCATGGATTATGGGCCAGGCGATCAAGGCTTAACCTTGTTGGGGCTCACATCAATGTTTTTACCAGTCAATGGACGCAGAGGGTTGTATTCTGTCATTCAAGTTTTCAGTAACAGTGATTATGTAATGAGTGCATCTACTTCATGAATAAGTATAGTGATTTACATAGCTAGCAAGCTTTCCAAAAAAATCCTATAATTATCATACTTATTTCAATTCTTATGAACTTCATGGCTTCATCTTTAGACAGACTATCGTAAGCACATATTTCTGAACTTGACAAATGAAGCCTCTTATGGCAGCTATTTGCTTATCTGGAAGTTCTATAATGTCTATCTTTTCATATTATTTACGAGCTTCTGCCGTTGATTACCGAATTTCCACCTATGTTTGTCAGATACATTTTCTTGCATAATTAAAATGACTGGCTATGGCCTATATTTATGTCCACCTGTGACAATTCTATTAATGATTCTGTTTCAAATAATGCCAAGAAACAACATTGGCTTTAGATACACAATCATAGACATTATTCCCCGGAGAGAGTATTGGATGCGAGTCCTGAATAAAACATATTTTTGATTTCCACTTTCATTTTCTTATTGCCTTGGAAGAGTAATCGGTTTCTTTAATCCAGTATTAACTTCTGTGATTCTCCCGCAGAATGAAAATTGCCTTCAGATCAATTAATAGAGGTTCGAGCAGCTTTTGTGAAAACTCAATCATTTCCTGAAAAACTATCTTTGAATATTAGCAGATGCCATTATTGGCCCAATGATCTTCCCAGTTTTGTAAAATAACTCAGAAACAAAGTTGCTGATGGTCACAAAATGTTAGTGTTTTTGTAGCTCGTCCTGTAATGGAATATATTTATTTCCATCAAACGTTCTCGTATTTTTCGAAGTGTCTTGTCTTGTTGTTCGTAATGTATTATTATCTTATAATAACAGCACAAAATTTGATTTATTTAAACCTCGGTGTTTCAGATCACAGCACGAAATTCTTACTCTAATATTAGATGGATTAAATGTACTATGTAATTCTAGTGGTGACATGAACTTATCGTTTTTGCTAGACCATGAAAAAAATCACAATTTGATCTCCTAAACTAGTGTTAGTTTGTCCAATCGCTTTGATTAGACTTATCATTGGAATGTAATTGACTTATTTTTGTATAGCATGCATTAATGCAGAATAATCCAAATCATCAAGTATCTGAAGCCTGCAAGTTTTCCTGCCATTTCTTCCTGAAATAAAACTTCTATAGTCACTTTTTTTAATTATCATGCTGCTTTGGTTGTTACAGGATGCTGGGATAGGGACAAGCATCGATTCCTTTTATGAGTATCTCCTGAAGGTGAGCTCTTATGTTTTACGCTTGGATGAACCCAGTTCATTGTAAAAGTTTTCTCTATACGATTTCATAAAAAATGAAACAAATTGAGTGTATCAGGAAAACTGTGGTGTCCATAGTTTTTTTCTTTTCATTAAAATAGCTTCATTTAGTTCAGCATTTGTTTGGAAAAAATATCTCATTGTAGCATAGAAAAAGGGATAAAAAAGCTTGGTGACCACTCTGAGATTGTCAGTTCTGATCGCCAACAGATTAATTATTTATTAAAAGAAGGTACATGAGTTATCTACGAAGCTACTAAAGGACTTGTGGTGCTAAAGTAAATCTCATTGTTTCAGGGAGGAAACTTTGGTTCAGTATTCATTTGACAAATATAAACAATTTATTTCATATCTTAGGCATGGTGGTACAATTTATTACTATAGAGTGCAGTGGGCATCCATGATAGACCGGTGGATTGTAAGTAATAATGATATCAAATAGAAACTTGAGTTATTTTCCAGATATGATATCGTATTTGGAACTTGCTTTGAAGTTCAAAGTTATACTTTTTTGGTTGTAGGAGATGAGATTCCGACATATTTGGGGTGTTAATGAGGGAAATTACTAGGAATCGTTTGAGAAGATATTCTAGTTATGAGCCACGTGAACTTGGAATAGTGTGCATTGTGACTCACCTTGTTGATATCTTGGTAGTATTGTTCAAAACAGTTCTATTTGGTTGCCTACTTTGTTTTCACTGCTTTAGTGCCCCCATAGTCTCATGTAGGCAGACTTCTTTAATCAGCTTGATTGCTGCCGCTTGTGATACTGATAATATTGTTATTGATTAAATTATTGTTACTTATTGAATATATAATAAGAATTTTACATGGTGCCTGTGTCAAAATAGCAAAAATCTAGACAACCATACAGTTTAGGTAAAATTACATAAATATGTATTTACGTTTTTTCAGCAAACTGTCATTAGCAGTAAATTGCAGCCTCAGGTCTCTACTATCTCTTCTACCGTGCAATTATTCCTTTAATTTTTGAATGTGTGATAGAGAAACATGAACTTGAAGGCTATTTTGTGATTTTTCTCCTTCAATTTCGTTCTCATTTTAAGTTATCAATATCCCGTCTCCTTTCTAAAGTTGTGTTACTTTAAGGCAGGCCTATTTATTGTTTGGAGATGAGGAGTATCTCTTCATGTTCCAGGAAGCTTACAAAAGTGTTATGCACTTTCTTCACCTGGATCCATGGTAAATTCTGTAACTGATCTTTTTTGATTCCATGACTTCTTTTCCCTCCCAGCATACTCTTTATTTCGTAAGTTGGCAAAATATCCATTCACTCTTCAGGTACGTGGAAGTGAACATGGATTCAGCTGTTACCGTCTGGCCACTTTTTAATAGTCTGCAGGCCTTCTGGCCTGGTCTTCAGGTTTTTGTTATCTTTTGCCTTTTAACTCCTTCAGGTCATGCAATTATATGCTGATCGACTAATGATGCCATGGTTGAAAGGTTTTAGCGGGGGATATTGGTCCTGCTATCCGAACTCATGCTGCCTTCTTCAGTGTCTGGAGAAAATATGGCTTCACACCCGAGGGCTTTAATCTTGCGACATTCAATGTTCAGGTTTCTTGTTCCCAAACCAGGAGTTTTTTTATTTTGTCATATTGTATGTTTTCATCTGTCTGAATTTATGAAAATGTTTACTTCAGTTTGGACAGAGGAGCTACCCGCTGCGCCCAGAATTGGCAGAGAGCACTTATTGGTTGTTCAAAGCAACAAGAGATCCTTGGTTAGCACCTTATCTTTATAATGCAAATGTTTTATGGTGTTCATTTTTCTACAGAAGAAAGTTCTTTGTGAAATTTGCTGTCTTAGGAATGCTTAAGTCCCATTCTGTAGGTAAACTGGCATGCACTCTTTCTTTAGGGCCATCTTTCACCTATTTGAGAACACCTCTTCCTTCCAGAATCAAGTTTAGTCAAGATACCGTTCCAAATTTTGATTCTGATTGACCCGTGTAGCTAAAGCAAGTCTAGAATCGATGTTATGCCCCATAATATTTAATTGGAAATTCCACTGGATTTCAACAAATTCTAATTCTGTCCCTGAAAAGTTTTTTCAGTCTTCTAAAGGTTCCACTGAATATTCCTGCTCATAATTGATCCTTCCATTCAAATTATCTGTTGTTGCTTGTTTGCGCATAAAAATGTACCTCCTATCAAAAAGAGGCAATGATCTGGCGTGAGATTGAAGCTACCTCCTGCCTAATTTATTTGGAATGTTACACGGGTAATTGCTTCTTCCTCTTAGAAAAGCCATGTCCTTGATATCTCTGGATTCAAAATAGCCTCTGTTGTCTCCATGTTTTTACTTCGACACTTTGAACACTTGATTCCTGAGGTGATTGGAATGACTTTATTCATTCAATTCTGTCATATCTTTTATCCGATTCTCATGTGTCCCTAGATTTTCTTGACTCAATCAAGCTCTCTTCCTTGAGACCTCTAATTTCGTGGTTTTTAACAGCCTGTTGTTTTTGTCTACAAAGGTCCAAAGTGCATGACCTTGTGGGTCTGTGCTCTTGGTATACGTTGAGGCATCTCGACACATTCTGTGTTTCTCCATCTAATAACCTCTTAAGACACTAAAGACATTTGTGCTTTAGATTGGAATATTCATCACGTACAGGGTTACCCATTCGCTTTTCTACCAATCCTATTTCTCTGGTCATAACCAGAAACCTGGGAGTTATAGTTGACAATCTTCAGCTAAGTCAAGGTTTAGAACCTTAAGGTGCTGTCTTGTGATTATTTCTGCCCATAATGGTAACTGTACTGTGACTATTTCTTGCGTCTACTGCATGACACAACATAAGAAAATTAAGATCATCGGTAGCAAAGGATTTTAATTGTATAAAATCATGACACAAACTGTCTGAAAGGGAAGACTGGCGTTTTGCAATAGTCTTGCTCTTGATATTCACCTGTCAAAGGAGTCAAAGCACTTATCATCCGTGCATATTGTGCATATTGTAATTTTCTCATGATGTTTTTCTTTTTGCAGGTATCTTGATGTTGGGCGTGATATCGTTTCTAGCTTGCAATATGGTGCTCGGTGCCCTTGTGGCTACTGCCATATAGCAGATGTAGAGTCTCATGCGAAGGAGGATCGTATGGAAAGTTTTTTTCTTGCAGAAACCGTATGCCTTTATCCTTTTCTTCCATCAATCGACCTGTTAAATGTCTACGGTTCTGATACTAGCGGGTCCACATAGGAGAAAAGTTTTGATGTGCTCCTTTTTAGTTGAATGTTCAAATAAAATTCTATTTGAAATCGTAATGCTATTCGCATCCTCCTGTTCTAGTTTAACCTCAGTCTTACAATACTCATGTATTGTCTTTGATTTTTCATATGTATTCAATTACTTGTTTTTTCAGTGCAAGTAATGAAAGAACATTTCAGGTCAAATATCTCTGGTTACTCTTTGATTTGGCAGTCGGTCCCAACAACATTGTCGAGAATGGACCATATAAGTATGGGCACATCATCCTCTTTGTTATTTATATTTCTGGTTGCGATGCGATTAACCTTTACTGTCTCTGTTCTATCAAAATCCCATGCAGGTATATCTTCAGTACAGAAGGCCACTTGCTCCCTGCTTCTCCTGAAATATCTCTAGTGAATGAACGCTGCTCTTACTTAGGAGCATTATGCTGGGACACTGGAAAGAAGAAGCATGACATGCCTTCTAGTCATCAAGAAATAAATAATTCCAGATTCCACGATCAGGCTTACAGTGGTTCCCATGCCAGATATCTCAACAAGCCGAGTTTTGATTCTCATATGAAATCAAGAGAGTCTCATTCGGCTTCAGGTTTTATTAAGGCAAGTACTCTGAGACACCTGTGATCTTTGGTTTTAACACGATGCCGACATTAGATAGTCTTGATCTCTCTCCCGTCTTGGGAACCAAAAACTTGCCTCGTTGGCACTTTTCCTTTGGATCTTTTGTGGAGGAAATTTATCCGTTAGTGCTGAAGCTTAACAGTTCTTGAGTGGTGTAAACTCGTATTGGTTGATCATATTTCTTTAAACCTCAACAGAATTTTTCCATAAAAAGTTCATGAAATGTTTTTTTGGTAAGTTTCACTGTGCACGTTTATCCCGTTCCCTACAAATGTTTAATGGGGTGGTTTTGCAATTTTTAGGCGTATAAATAAATAACTTATCGGACAATGCCATCATGTGTAAGTCGTTTTTTGCAGAGTTTTGTAAAAATACAAGGACCAATGCAGAGTAGAAGGCAGTTAGTAGTGGTGATAAGAGACAGATTGTGGCATTGAGAGATGGAGGAGGTTTCTTATTTGCTCCCAAGAGACTGCTTTCTTTCTTGTTCTTCCCCATTTGAATGATGCCCAGAGTCTCTTTTTCCTTTTTTATCTTCTCTTTCTACTCTAATTTCCTTCCAAGTTTATTTTTGAAGGAATTGAATTTCTCTTTCTTGGGTTTTTTCCGGTTTTATTTGGTGTGGTTTGCTGAGAGTGATCCATCAATTAGACATTGCCAAAGAGGATGTACTCTTAAAATACTATTTGAAGGCTGATTTTGATCCAAGGTAGCCTGTCATGGTTAAGTTGTGATCTCATATGATTTCTAATCTGCCTCAAGTTAAGATAGTATTCTACAGCTTTTCGTTGGGATCATCTGAAATAATCCGTCGTCCTCTTTTTCATTATGGCAGGGCTCTTGCTCAGGGCTGGATCATGGCCAGAAGTTTGGCATATCATATAAGCCTGAAGCAGAAAGAACCCATGAAAGTCAGGGTGAGAGTCAGCAAGAGAATGACCTCCCCCAGAGACACTCCGTGGTCTTGGTTTCTGATTTAAATGTTAAGCATGCAGTTGATTATGTTAATGATGACATCAAATCTGGGTCACATCGAGGTATCCAAAGCATGGCTCAGATTACAGAAAACGAAGATTCTGAAGAATAACGTGAGATGAATCTCCAATGAAATTCTTCAGGTAAACCTGTCGAAGGCTCAAATCTGATGTAACCTCGAGGGAATGCGTAATCGATGCAACCTCCACAGTCAAAATGGTACTGAGAAACAGAGGATCACCGGAACTCGTGCTTCATCATCTTCCTCCGGAGAGAGAAAGGGAGAAAGATAGGCTGCTGACGACAACAAGATAGACCCAGTAACGATGTATTCCTTCATACTTTGCGGGAGACTAGATAATGTTTTCTGTATATTCGTCAGGTATTTAACTTTTCTTGAGTTCAGTCTGAACATGATCTTGGGGGAATCCAAAGCAGGCAGAGGTGGAAGTCGAAGGGATTCTATGCGGGTGTGGATTTCGCTTCCATTTCCTCTTGATCATGTTTGCTTAGTCTTCTTTTAGAAGCCTGATCTTCGTCAGATTTCGGTTCAGTTTGACTTCATTCTTTTCCCCTTAAAGCATAGGACGGTAAGCTTTGAGGGGTGCTAGTTGTGTTGCCATCACTTCAGGAACGACAAAATCAAGCTGACGGCATAGCCAGCTAACAACATTACGGGATTTCTGTGTCATATTTTCTGACTTCTAACGTCAGTGCAGATCTAAACGTTTCAAAGAACATCTGCCGCTCATTTTACGTTCAAGTTCCCTTTTCCCGTTTGTGTGGCTCACCTAGTTCAAGATCACGTGCACATTCCTGTCATTTTGTTATCAGTGACGATTAGTTCTTAATAATGATAAAACATTCTTCGTCAAAATCACTAGGATTTATTATTTATGATTGTGTTGCTTTTGGCTTGTGCTATGAATTTCACAAATATTTATTTATTTACAGTGTCAAGTTGCAAAATATCACATTCTATAGGTTTGACCGGGATTGGAACCCATGATACGAAAATAATACACTAGCTCTAGATCGGACTTGCATATAAGTACCTACATGTGCATGTATATGTAGATGGGTAGCTATGTCACGTGCTTATGCATCTTACTGAATTACCACTTTTAGAAAGTGAATGACTAATAAACGGAAAGTTAGTCAAGTCGGTGTTTTTCTTAGATTTTCCCGAATTTAGCAGGATCGGCATTAAATGCTTGGATCCAATTTGGAAAGCCCGAAGCGGAAACGTTCCTATTTGGAGATACAATCAATTATCTTTCTAGTTGCTCGCAATAACACAAAGTATTTTTCAAGAATAAGTGGGCGTTCAGAAATATCATAATTTCTCTAGAATAATGTGAATGTGTTGTATCTGTCAAGGCCTACGGCCTAGCCTGTCAATGGGTTGGCTGGATCCTGGCTAATGGTGTGACCGGGTCAACCTGTACTCTTGCGTAGATTATCGGTCCTACATGGCAACTACCCGTGTAAGTCAACTCTTGAAGGAAGGAAAGGACAAAGTACTCAGCTAGGTTTCAATGACTAACCAAGCCCATTCATAAGCCTGGATCAACTTAAAGTTTTAGCTCCTCGTCATGGAGTTCTTATCTTAGCAATATTTATGATCCTGTCTTCTGAATGCATAAGGGGTTATTTTCACGCCCCTTTACGGTCTAAGGTTTTCGGACTTTTGTGTGCATTCTTCTTTAGTTGCATGGGAACGTTTGGGATTTCCAACGAGGTGTTTTCAGATGAAAGCTTTGAACGCTCTGGGACTTGTTCTTTCGGTTCTTTTCGTTTCCTTGTATGATAGCAATTAACTCTATAGCTTACTGTTTTCTCATTTGTTAATTCAATCATCGGCAACATGGTATGAGTTTAATGATTGGTTCATAAAATCATGACTTTCAGTTTGACCTCTCTACTTCAGAAAATGTCAAAGTTTAAAGCCTGGGCTATGTCAGCTTGGTATATCAAAAACTCACAACTTCTTGCACTGTTTTAGTTAAATTAACGCGTATGCTAGGCTTATTACCCTACGAATCAATACATCTCACGATTTCTAATAATGCCAAGCTGAAACCGTCCAAGCCTATCATACGCATTAATTATTGAAGGCTTGTAAGACCAACGGCGAATCGCTCACCTAGAATGATTGGTCATTTAAATGTGGCGCATAATTCACGCTCAGTTGTGTACATTCTTGTCAATGTATGCAAGATTACCCACACATGGTCGTTCACATATTTGTTAACTAGAGACTGGAAATCACCGAAAAGGGTCATCGCGATCGGGTTCCAACGGGGCATTGGTTCGCTACGGGGGGATCCAGACGCGGAAGGGTCTCCCCGCTCACTGGTGGTCTGATTGTTGAACATAAGACACCGGCTGAAGGTGGAATAAGGGGTTTGCATGATGCATGCGGTTCTCTTTTAGCCGGACCCCTCAAAGTGCGCAAAGGGCAGCGCATTCTTATGAATATGGTAACAAGAAGAGGGAGATTAAACGAAATTACCAAGGTGAAATGTGCCTACCGGATTAGGAAATCACCCGGACGTTTGGTTGCGTTGGTCTGACCAAGCATCTGGGTTCCACACCGTGACAGCAAATTCTGCTGACCCAGCTATGAAAACAAAAAACACCCAGCCCTAAGTCCTTCGTGAGGTTATTTTTTCGGTGAATGAACTGATCATTTGGCTCTTATTGCTTATGATAGTATTATTAGGTGAATTTTTTGTTGGGTCAACGCTAGACTTTCAATTTGTCCTCTTTGTTATCGGCAGAAGATCTGCAAGGGAGAGCCGTGACAAATTAACGTGAATTTTTTTTTCGGGTAATCAGCAAAATCTTCCGCCACTTGTGATTTTCAGCTTCCTTATTTTACGATGGCAGATGGGGATACACAACGTGGCCACCAATGGGCTCAAAGCCAGTCGTTGGTGCCAGAAAACAAAATGCCATCCCGTCTCTCCCAACAAGGAGGCTAGGAGAAAAAAAAAACTCCCTAACCTACCTCATCTTTCCACAGCTTCAGAGGTACGTTTACCTATAAACGCAGCCCTCTAGCCTCGGACCATTTCATTATCCTCAGCCTCTTACACGAAGATGTGAACATCCTGCAGAGTATATCCCGATCATCGTTAGCCTCCCTAGTATCATCAGAAAAAGGAAAGTGAGTGATTTGCTGACGTGCTTACTCCCATGGAACATCTCCTGCCAGCATCCAGTCTCCGTCCTTGTCTTCATAAATGATGACGTCGCGTTCCAAGCTTGTCTTCCCTTCTGCACCGTAGAACCCCCCGAGGACGCACCTGAACATGCCTTCCATGGCTTCGCGAAAATCCTTGTAGCCCTTGTAGGCTTTCAGGTCGATCTTCCTCAGGTAAGGGGCTCCGTCCATCCTCACCTTCACGTAGAGACCAGGGGCCTCGTTCTCCGTGTTCCTCCCAGGAAGACAGTTCTTCCTGTAGGATCGAATTGGAGGCCACCCCACCACCTGTGTCCTGCAAACATAAATTGGACTCATGAACGTATGACCTCGAAATCAGACTCGCAAATCTGAACAAAAATTTAAAATGATCCATTTCTCCTTGTCCAGAAAGGATCAGGTTGTCCACGAGCGCTTACTTGGTTGCAGGTGCGATATCTTGCCCGCTCTCTGCGCCGCCAGCGTCAGTACCGTCTCCCCAGGACCCGCTCTCCTCGTCCACCTCAGACAGCGTTCTCTTGCCACCCCTATTGGTCGACGCCATCGGCTTCAAGGGCTCGTCATCAACCGTTCCAGGCAAGCCGAGTCTCAGTTCCGTCGCCAAGAGCTTGCCGGAGTCCCCCTCGTAGCTCCCCTTACCTTCCATACCTTCGCCAGAGGTCCGACGGAAGGCATCCATTAAAGTAGGTATGGTGGGGGGGTGATGAGGAGGTTGGGGGTTGTTATATAGAATGGCATCCCTTAAAGTATACCAAAGGAGGGGGACATCTCTGGGCATTGTACTCTTCCTCTCGTTACAGCACAGAGAGGGGAGCCGTCATGGACAGCTATGTCGGTCGGCCACCTGGGGTGGATGAGGGACCCTCTCCATCATCTGTCTTCCCAACAAAGGTAGCTCTAGCTGACCAAGGTTCACCATGAGCACAACCTAGTCTCCAAAAAACCAACTCTCAGTAAACTTTGCATCATACGATTAGGGTTCCTAATACCGAATCAGCCCCTTAAGAAGACCTCTGATGAAGCCACCGGCGTTACTGATAAAGAAACCGAAGGAACTGTGCCCGTCTCCATGCTGATGTCGATGCAAATATAGCGGTAGGATACTGCTGCTGTTCCAAAGAAGAGATGGGTGTCGAAGATCAGATTAACAAGGGCAGGTTCCAGTATCTGTTGATAAAGAATGAAAATTTTCTACGTGAAAATTATTTGCGGCCGTCACATCGGATTGGGTTCTCTATGGATTCGGACACCACGCCGAGTAACTAAACTTATCTTCCCACTACAAATTATTTCGCTTTTAAACAGATCGTTTTGAATAGACGCCAATGCTGACACGTGTCATCACCATGGGCTAGATAGATCTTGTCGCCCATCCGGATAGGATCAATCTTTTCTCGAGATAAAAATAAGAATTCAAATTCCTCTGCCCTTTTAAGTGCGATTATGAGTCCTACTGTTTGAATCACTAAAGTATTAGGTGAGCTTAGTAGGCGGCCTCCCCCGTTTTCATCCCCTTAAATTTACTCCTAGATGACTTTAGTTTGACGCTTAAGAGATTCGTTAAAAAAAATTAGGCATGTAATCGTGTAGCATGTAGGATAAGGATATCAGACCCTATCTAGGCGGTGATATGGTCACATTGTATCCTCAATTTCCTGATTTTAGATGCATATAGAAATCTTATTTTTCAAATATTACAGTAAGCTTCATTAGGTCTATGGCTATTTAGTGAAAAATCAAACAAGGAAATAATTATTACATTAGTCAACCAAAAATGTATTTCATTTGAAGCCACAGGTAAATAATTCACCACATGCTTTAAACCTATTATCAAATATCTTTCTAGTTTGCTTAGATGGTAGGGACTCACCTCTCAACTAATAATTAATTGGAGAATTGATGCTTGTATCTTTCTATCCAAGGCATGGAGAAAAATAGCAAATAACTAGTGATGGTTTGGTTCATACGGTCTTAACCCGTAGAGGAAAAAGAACATGAAAAAGAGAAATATTTGATATGGAGAGTTCATATCATTCATATAATCAGTAAAAGAATCGTGATTATATGATAAATCATGAAGCAAGTATAATTTTGGAACATGGCTGATGGGCGTGCACTGCCCCAGGAATCATCTAGTTAGCTTATTTTCGTTGAGCATAGCGAGATGGTCAGTGTCAGCCAACGACATCAAAAAAATCTCAAGGACAAGATTTTGGGATCTCCAGTAATCCTTATTAGACTATCTCTTGATCCATCCAACACTAGAAAAAAAATCAGACGTTATCAAGACGGTACTGGGGCATGAAAGTATTAAATCAATATGCTATTTTATTATCTTGAGTTGGTTTGAGTGGAGGAAGAATGAAGGAGATACTTAAACTAGTGTCATACATATTCATTGGCCTACGCTAAGTTTAATTCAAATCTAGTCCCTCAAAGAACAGCTGGTAGAATTCAATCCTGTAATGTGATATAAAAACCATTTCTGTTGTGAATATATATGAGCTAGTAGCTAGGAAAATTTTGGCGCTACTCTGAGAACAGCGTTCGGCGGGGGGATATTCTCCTCGGGACAGCGAACGCGTTTGAAAGGATCCTGTCAGCTGCGCGGACTTGCATGGATCAGTTGGGACCGCGCACGTGCCTTGTCTATACTAGTAATAATCGTGTGCACCTATACTGTTTCGGACTATAAATGGACCTTCTTCCTCTAGCGTTTACTTGGAGCGTCGACAATGGAACCCGTTAAGTTTAACTCGCCAAATCGACATCAACATGGGTCAGAGACCCCTTTACGAAACATGATTACATCCGACGAATAGATTACTCAAAATTAAGAGAATTCTCCGCATTTATACTCTCGCCAATTTAGAAGTTTCAATAAACGGCATACAGTTTGAGAAATGTGGAATTATATAGGTTATTTAGGATTTTCAACGGGGTAAGTGCCCTCCGGTGTAATCCTTCACTGGACAAGCGCCTCTCTCTCTCTCTCTCTCGCTCTCGCTCTCGCACGAGTGCAATCACTAGATAGAAGGTCAATTCGATTATTTATACAGCCAGCCAAGCGCAGGTGTTGAATCCATGGAGCCCCACCACGTTAGCCAGCCCTGGACCACGGCGGTAGCCGAAGGGGAACTTGCCCATCCCACCCAATGCGGGAGCCGCAAGCATTCAAAGTCGCCAGGTCATCTGCCCCTGGCCATGCGAGGAGACTCTGGGCAGCGAAAGGGCCGGCGTCATGACAGGCAGCACACCGACAAGGGTAGCCTTTTCTCTGGTCCGCCAGGCATACCCGGAGATCTTCCCTTTCTGAGGCTCTCCTACTAGTTCATTTCTATCAGCAACAAACGAACGTCCGCTCAGTTGATTCACAAAGATCCCCCCCTTGACTCCTCTTTTGTCCAAGCTTGATCTCCTCTTACGTCCTCTCTTTCACCTCACTTCTCCCCCTCCCATCTGGGGACAGACGGAGGCTGTCATGGCGAAATGCGGCAGACACACGAAACGCAGGTGAACCCGGACCCTGTCCTATCATCTGTCATCACACGTGCGCTGTTTTCCGCAAGCTTGCATGGCGGTGGGTGGTGGAAAGCCAGCATGATGAGTCTCCTCCGTCATGTGAAGCTCTAAACGCGAAGCCAGAGAAGAGACCAAGGAAGAAGAAGGCGACTCTCTACCTGCACCTTCCCACCTTGTCTGCCTAGTGTTCGTGTGCAAGCCTGTGAGAAGATGAAGCACGTGGGGTTGCCTATCTGAAACCATCATTTATTAATTTCCCGTCTTCTCATCTTTCCTCTCAGCCTTCCGTTCTTCTCACAGTCAACCCTGCTCCATACATACTGATATTTTATTGTCACCCACGTAGTATTTAATCTCTCTCTCTCTCTCTCTCTCTCTCTCTCTCTCTCTCTTTCTCTTTCTCTCCCCCCCGCCCCCCAAAGAGTTAATCTCAGACTCTGTTTTTCAATTTTTTATGTATTTTTAAAGTCGGGAGTCTTGTATAATAAGAAAACGTAGCTCATGGACAAGCATCGCTACAAATTATAAAAATACGATAATACGAGAAAATACTGGTATTTTCTTCTGCGTAATAAAGTAATGACAATGACCTTGAGAGAGCCCTCAGCGAGATCCAACCACTTCACTAACTACAATGAAAAATTCATCACACACGCGTCAGGAAACCACGCAGGGGTTCTCGGGTTTTATGCATCACGTTCTACACAACAAGGAACAGCGGACATGCGAACAGACACGAGTGGCCACAATCTGCAGCTTTTCATTTCGCCTGTGCCCACTTGATGCGTAACCCTATCTTCTTAGCCCGTAGGGAAGGAAAGAAATAGTAAAATGGGCCACTATGTTTCAGCGAGAGGTCTCTAATGGCTCAGCGTAAGGCCCACTAACTCCTAACACGTGTGTGAACTCTTCGCCTCCTATTATCGCATATGTGCAAGATGCGGACTACTAAGAGTTCTCCCCATGCATCGGCTCATCCACCTCTTCTGTGCTCTCCATGCTATTCCAATCTTTTTCTAGGTTCTCTCTCCAATCTCCTCTGGCGAGACCATGAAAATCAAACGGGTTCGGCACCGCACATGTTGAGAACCTGTGTTTTTTTATTAAAAACATTATTTTGATGAAGATTTGGCACTGTAAGTCACGATCAAAGAAACTAATAGAGATTCAGACCGCCACGACAAGTGCCAAACATACGTTGGGAGATGAGACCGATGAGAAAATTAATCATTATGAAAATAATGAAGAGTGGAACCATATAAGCGAAATATTGGTTTTAATCGTCGAATCTTGGCATTGATGTAATTACTTTTTTGTACTATTTTGTATGAATAATCTCATGACAGGGATAAAATTCGCAACCATATCATAGAAGGACAGAGTTGAAGTCTAATACCGAGACCTAAAACAAAATTCGCAACAACTTTAAAAAATCTAACAGCTGTCCTTCCTAGTGCCTTGGGATTGCCCTATAGCATCTCGTGGGAACTACCAGCACATTAAAGGTCGTCCACCGTCCCCAGAAAGGCTGGGCTGTCTACTTGATCGAGAGAAGGGACGGGTGCGGCTAAGCAGACAGCGTAGAGGCGGCTTGGTCACCCACACACATGGCCTGTTCCCCGGCCCCCGCTGGCCCTGCGAAGGCTGAAGGAGGACCGTAGATGACCGAGCTGAGAATATCGTGGTTGCGAGCCACAATCTCTTCTTTATTCTTATAAACCGGAAACCGATGAGAGTGGGACACAGGAGATATCAGATTATTCAACATGAGCACACAGGCAAGAGGACAGACGCCGTCAGTTATCTGCTTCCTGTCAGAGAGACACGAGAACAGAAAACCAGGGGAAAGAGAGAAGGATCATGTGGTGGTTCTATGGTACTCGCACAAACTCATACAAGAACACGGTACGGACACATTTGGCTGACATGGCCGATCCAGAATCCACGCCTCTTGTCGCCTAGGTGGGTTAACCCCTCAGTTCCTGTTTCTGCGCTTCTCCTCGGCTCTTGGAGCTGGTGTTATCTCGAGGGTTGACAAGGGAAATAACAGGAAATTGACGAGGATGAGTTAATCTCTGGTGTAGACCTGAATTCTCAATCGATTTCAATAGTAAACAGTTAACGCGAGAAAGATGGGTTTTATTGTAAGAGGACTTCGTGGTGAAACAGGAGGAAATAGCCGCATGTATAAAATACTGACCGAGACCAACAGCTTCGGAGCTATGGATTATGCGTAGACGCCTGCAAGAGACCACGAACATCCTGTCGACGCGGAATACCAGTTTCAGCGAATTTCCATCAGCGTATAACAATGTGAATCATGTAAGCATCTTATCAAGGTGGGAAGGATATGATTTGATCAAGAAAAAAAAATTACCGCCGTTTTAGTCATCTAAGTATGTGTGAGAATGTGTATAAGTGTATACGTACATTCGACGGATGGATAGATAGATAGCGAGAGAGAGCGAGAGAGAGAGAGAGAGAGAGGAAGAAGAACAAGAGTTTACTCCCACGGGACGTCGCCCACAAGCATCCAATCCCCATCCTTGTCCTCGTATGTGGGGACGTACTCCGACCCGTTGAGGAGATCCATCAACTTGCCCTCGTTCAAGAAATCCCTCACATGGGAACCGCAGTTTCCTGGTTACACTCAAAACAAAATAAGCCCATCAGAAAGGAAACCAATGCAGACCCCATCTCCAGAAACGTGTTCACTGATGAGCTGATGAAAACCAGTCACGAGCTATATGATTCCCACCCAGTCACACGGTTTTGTTAGATCTCATTAAGGTTTCTGTTACACCCATCTTGCCCTTCGACGTGATGAGGTCTACCTCTATGCAAGAATATAAATATATATATGTATTGATATACATATGGAGTCAGAGGGAAGAACAATAGTAAGGCAGCTTCATATTCACGAATGTGGCAAGAAGCAAGCTGATAACTTCATGGTATGGCTACATCAGAAAAGACTTTTCCCTTCACAGGTGTAATGTATTACCCTTATTCGAAGAATTTACGAGGCTGAGGTCGGAGAACTTACCACCGGTGAAGGAGCTGAACATCGTCTCCAAGGCTGCGGACAGCTCCTTGTAGTTTCTGTACGTCTTCAGATCCACCTTGCGGAGGTACGGTGCGCCGTCCATGCTTACCTTTACCAAGGTGGCGCCGCTGACGGGTTTCTCCCCATCTTCTTTTCCGCTGGGTCTCACAGCCTGCACCGAGAGGATGTTCTTCCGGAAGGATCTCACAGGGGGCCAACCTACAACCTGTGCCCTGTGACACGACGAAGATGATTTCTAGATCACTCTTCTAATTCAACACAGAAGCTGAAATAAGAAGCATATCAGGTTTTCCATCGCGTTTCGACGCCAGAAATCGTGTAGTTAATCTCACTATCGCTAAACTCCCTCAACTATCATAAATATTTCTTCGACAAAGTGTTCCTGGACATTACTTGATGGAGCAGAATTCAAAGGAAGGGCTCAAATTCTCATCTGGAACGCTTCGCGTGCGGTTTGAGATTGAAAACCCGACAGACGGACGGACACAGAAGGAAGTTACCCGACATAGCTTTTAAGTTATGAACGCATCGGAGATGGGGCCTTACCAAAATTTAGATCTCACGCGACTCGTTTATTTTCCAATGATGAGTCAAAGACGCCTCGATCATCGTTTACCTTGCATCCCCGTTAGATCTCATTGATCTAAGAGCATGCTACTTCTCCTTTCCAAAAAGAAAAGGACAAACAAGAGAGTCTGGACAACTATAGAGCCACATCGGGAAAAAAAAAATCGAATAACAAGGTGACTTAAAGGTGTTTCAATGAGGCCCCCTTGATAAAACAGTTCTAAAAAATGGAAATCGATAATAGGAAAATAGTATCAACACAGCCTTTGGGACAGAAATAAGATCCCCTTTGAAGGGAACGAAGATAAGAAGAGACGCACTTGTTACCAGGGGGCTTCTCGGGGCTCTCAACCTCTGCGATGAGGACGTCCTTCCCGCTTGCCGTCCTCGACTTCCAATCAGCCCCCTCCACACCTGCGCCATGACCGGGGCAGGCGGCCAGCTTCAACTTGAGGTCAATGGTCTCCGAGAAACCCCTCTTGCCGGCGCTCTTCACGGGCAAACCGAGGCGGAGCTCCGTCTCCTCGAATCCCAGGCCGAAGCCTTCGTCCTCCCTGTCGCCCTCAACTACGGCGGCCTCCATACCAAAATACCTCCTCCTCCTCCTCCGCCTCCTCCCTTACTCTCCACTGTCAGAAGGAATCTCCGCAGGCTTTATGAGGAGGATCAACGGAGGGCGCGGCGACTGGGCATCCGTCTCCGTGGACGTCACCAGCCTTTCCTCTTCTCCACCTTTCACTGCTTCCCGTGGGGGGAAGGGGGGAGGGGTACGTGCTCGTCAGATGGTAAAAACCTGCGGGGAGTTCGCCGGAAGGTGGCTGCCGCGGCCGGTGGTGGGGAGAAGGCGTGAAGGAATTATTGCCGTCGGCGGAGTGGGGGGGCCATTCTTCTTCGGGATGGCCATCTTCGGGGTCAGCTTACCTTCCAAGAAGTCTCCAGCTGCGACTGGGCAGCGGTGAGGATAATTAGGTCGACGACGGCTGGTGGGCGAAGACCAGCCGACCAGAGATGACGTCCGAAGACGCGTTATTTCTGGCGGGAGCAGATCCGGCGGCGGACACGGCCGGTGTCCGCGGGGTCCACGTGTCGGAATAGACTCGACAGGTCAACGGAGCCGTCACATGGGATCACGTCAGTGTCTATGCATGCTGGCAGATCGTCGGCATTTCAACCGTCAGATAAGATTCTCGGTGACGTCACTAGTAAGTTTTTTGCCAAACAAAGGGGAGACCATGCCGGACCCATTCCACCACAAGAAAAGCGCACCTGTCACGGCATCAGTGAGCGCGGTCGTGGTTGCCAACTTACACCGTTGATTTGATTAATATGATATAATTGCGTGGGTGAGATCTGCTCACTGAAAGAATGACTCATTGTGGCCCGGTGTTTTATTTGGGCCCGACCTCAAAGGCAGAGGCCCAAACCAAATTAGAAGTTTGACTGAGAGAAGCCCAGATGCGAGACTGAGGACCAAAGAAATCCATATAAGAAATAAAGGTGAGGAGAGAGAGAGAGAGAGAGAGAGAGAGAGAAAATAAGGCAGAGCGTAGTGCGAGCACTTAACTTCGAAACCTTGTTCACCGCCGTTCTTGACTTGACAAAGATCTGCCCTGCAGTATAAATTTTGTAAGCCAAATCAAGGGCTGGGATTCATGTGGGAATCAAGGAAATAGTACCAGGAGTGATGTAAGAAGATAATCTTGATTTTTGATACTCAACAGTTTCCATAAGATCAATTTCCGAACTAAAGTTGTCACCTTTTATTCATTAAAGGAATTAAAAAAACTGGTAAATGTTCTTGCCAAATTCATGCTCATATAATGAATTAAATCCGCGAAACTAGAACACGGTAACATACCCACCACATAAATTCAGGGCCCATAAAGTAATATCCAATGCTTCAGCCAACTTGTGAGACCCACAAATTAACGACATGGCAATGACTAATGTACCCTGCAAACGCTTGAAAATCACTTGCACCGTCTATGATGGGCCCACAAATTAGGTATAATTTCTTAATGCTTACCAGATTCATCTCGAGTAGTTCACCACTGCAAACTTCTTTGGTTCATTTTCCTTCCAACCCATAACTTGCAGCATGACGTGATGGGTGTATGAGAAAACCAACATTCCATGCTGTAATTACCTTTCTTGCCTTGCGGAGGAATCAGTGAAGTATGACATGGAATATAATATCCTCTGTCCACATTGAGATTGTTCACAAAGGAGTAAAAGTTAACGTTGTGAGTTCCAATGATGAGATGTAAAGTTCGCATGATGTGGATGAGAATTATAAGATCATTATGATTATATCGGACAATTATCCACAATTTAAGCTATTATTGACCTCGGCTGCGTTCTTCGGGACTTCAATCCAATAACAGGTCGGCACCCTCTTTACTAAGGCTGCGATCATGAGGATAATGAAACCGTATCAGACTATTCGGGATCATGGTTCATGATCTTATCCGTACATGAAAAGTTGTTTGACTTATTAGCACCCTCGGATGACGTGCAGTGAACGCCGGGGATGCCTGCGAGACAGGATCTCTTCATTGGACTGCATGGCAGAAGCGCTCGGAAAAACTTGTCGACTCTCTCTCTCTCTCTCCATGACCGGTAGATAGCTCGCGGCGTTCGGTCGGATGCGATGGCTGCTTCAAAATTCTACAGCCGCCCCCAAGAATGGAGACCGACGAATTCGCGGAAGAAAGCCGTGGCAGAAACTTCCCTGCCATCGTCTATAAAATGGGAACCACCCCCCCCTCCGCACTTGAGCATCACCTTTTTGCGAGAAGAGTTTACCTCACACCCTCACAGAGAAAGACAGAAAGTGATAGAGACAGGGGAGGGAGAGAGATGGAGAGGGTGGCGGTGCTGACGCTGCTCCTGCTGGGACTAGCTGCGGCGGCGAGCGCTCAGACAGCCTCCAACGTGCGGGCGACATACCACTTCTATAACCCGGCCCAGAACAACTGGGACTTGCTCAGGGTGAGCGCCTACTGCTCGACGTGGGACGCCAACAAGCCACTGTCGTGGCGCCAGAAGTACGGCTGGACGGCCTTTTGCGGCCCCGTCGGCCCCCGCGGGCGCGACTCCTGCGGCCGCTGCCTGCGGGTGACCAACACCCGCACCGGCGCCCAGGCCACCGTCAGGATCGTCGATCAGTGCAGCAACGGTGGCCTCGACCTCGACGAGGGCGTCTTCCGCCAGATCGACACCGACGGCAACGGCTATCAACGCGGCCACCTCATCGTCAACTACGCCTTCGTCGCCTGCTGACCGATGACTTCCTCCGACGGTCGCCCACGCGGAGGCGTTGGCCTTCTTCTCCCCGAATAAACTCGGTTGGTCGTCCTCGTCGAGAGGCGTACTCTCTGGTAGTGCGAATAAGCGCCGGCGTTGCTATATCTCTTCTCATCTTCATCACAGAATAAGACAAAGAGTCGATTATATTCGGCGACGTTGACGATGGGCCGCGTAAATCCGGAGCGTAGAGAGTCTAAACGGGCACCTTAGTTCTGATCTCGAATCTCAAAGTCTAGTTTAGGAATAAGAAACAAAAAATATTCCACCCAAAAGTCAGCCCCAGGTCCTCTCTCTCTCTCTCTCTCTCTCTCTCTCTCTCTCGTTAAAAAACAAGGGTCAACTGATTAATAAAAGTCAAAGATTAATATACGCACAGCATAGTTACAAGCATGGAAACTCACCGCCGCCCCCGTTCCCTCCGTGGAATGAAATAACCAAGTCAACCATCCCAGTCCACGGACTTGATTACCACATCAGAATCCTTCTTCGACTTCATGATAAGCTCCGCATTCGGCCGGTCATTATACTCCACCTGAGTTCGTCAAATGGGGGAAGAACACCAAGAAAATTTCAGAGCGGACGTTGAACGGTCAAAACAAGAGCTGACAAGGCGTTGACTTTATATTTCCATGACAAATTTTCCCAATACTTAATGTCAAAAACGGAGAAAATATGGCCTGCCCTGGTCCAGATTCATTGGATGGAATCGAGGTGGCACTGGTAAACCCTAAACAACCTGATAGAATCACAAGTACTCCCCTTTTAATGAAGGTTTTAATCCCAAACCGGCCCGCTAAAATCATGATAATATTCATCTTCTGAGTCAGTTTAGGCGACATGATATTATTCAATGCTCCGAGATAATTAGCATAAGTCAAGGGGGGATTACCCGCAACTTTGCAACGTCTGCTGTTTTCCCTGCCAGAAAGAAGAACAAAGGGCAAAGATCATTTCTACAAACAGAAAATGATTTATTATTCATGAGAGACTGTCCGCTAGCAGCAATACCTGTGGATATGTGCCTTTTAAGAACTCGGTGCATTGCTGTGTCTAAGTCAACGTCAATAAACCTACAAATCAAGCCAGAACAGTGAGAAAATCGATCCCTGTGTTAGATGAATATCTTATTCAGCGCAGACCACACAACAGGCAGAGTATCATTCATGAATAATAAGTTATGAACTGAAGCTTGAAACTTACCATTTTTCGTCAAAAATGGAGGAGATTTCCTTCCAAGCACCATCTTCCAGGAAAAGGTAATTCCCTTCGACGATCACTGCTTTATGACTGTCGAAAAGGACCAGGCTGGGTGAGGCTACAAATCGTCAACGTCAAGTTCATACAGGTGGTTTCATGGATGGCTAACAGAGAAATTTTGAGAAAGCAGGGGCCTTTAAAACAGGAAGGCCTGTCAGAAAATGCTCGCAGAAGAGAGGTGAGTATGAAGCTCCTAAAAAGATGTGACTCCTATTTTGAGAATATTATAGTACTAATTTCATGTCATTGAGAAAGCAATTTCCGTTGACAATCTGATTCCAGACATGGTTTCTGTACACCATAGAATATGATCGATGAAATGAGACATTTAATGAAAGTCGTGTTCAGGTAGTATGATCAGATAAAACAAAAGGATTAATGTTTTGGTTAACAATAGTTATGATGTTTCAATGGCATCATACGGTTATAACCAGCTTTGTCAAGCTTTTTGGGCAACGAATTGACAGGTTTTTTCAGCCTTTATCCGGTTTTTGATGGTCAGACTAAAATATATAAAAAAAAAAGGAGGTCAAATCACAGTTTCAAGAAAGTCAGGTCTCCCCATGAAAACATGAATGAATTCGATAACAATCATTACAATGAATTCGAACTACTATCAACTTACTGATGGCCAACAAAAATATCCTCTTCCACCGGATCTCCAACACCATGGTCAAATGATGGCGCATAAACTGAGCCCTGAATTGACCACGAATGCAGAGAATTATCAACATCAATAGCTCATTATTAGCCATAAAAGTCGTATTGAAGTCAATGTCCAAAAGTCAACGGGAAAAATAGACAACAATTTGGGACATAGAGCTATGAACTTCAGTCAAAAATTAACTAAATTTAAAAGATAAAAAAACAAAAAAAATGGATGGCGTAACCAACAAAAAACGTAGCTGACCTGCGTTCTCAGCGTCTGAAGACATTTTAGGAGCAGAACTGGATCAAACGTCCATGGAGCTGGACACAGTGATTTTGGAATTAGAATCTTTTGCATAACATAGTATCTAGAATCTCTGATTAACCCATCAGACAATCGCACCTCCTCTCCTGGCATATGCTTCCTTTGGATCCTGGTGCATTGAAGAGTAAAGCATTATTCAATGGGTAACCTCAATGATTTACGTTTCAGAATGGGCTGGCATTGCAAACTACGATGGCAATGGAGTAAAAAGAAAAAAAGATCGCCTAGATCTCATCAAGGAATGAAAAACTTACCTCCATGGCATCCAGCTGAGAACGGTAAAGATGGAAGCCATCCATGGGAATAAATGTAGCAACATCAATGGGATTCCCATTGGGAACCCTTTGTGCCCAAATGCTGTTCAAACGACGGACTACCTCAGAGGCTACAGTGCTCTTACCTGCACCAGGTGGCCCAGCTAAACCGACTAAGTACCTGCAGAAAACAACAACAGATTCAACAACATAACGAAAACAGTGGCTTTTTAAGAGCATTAGGCTCTTGTACAGAGAAAAACAATCGATGAATTCTTCAGATAAGAGTATTAGGGTCTAGTACAGAGAAACAATCCATGAATCCTTCAGATATGATGTTTCTTCCTCCCATCAAATCCTTTGCTCTCATGAAAGAAAAAGCCAAGAAAGAACAACATGTTCATCAACAACCGTATCGTAAAGGAGGCAACAATGAATGCAAACTTATGGAACTTGTGCTTCTAAAAATCAAGAACTAGAATTATGATGCGTTTCGCAATTCAGTCCGAACGTTTATGACAATGAAAAAAGAATAAAGCGTGAGTAACATATATTTTCAAACAAATGAAGTGGCACAAAACATATGAAGGCAACAATTCTCAAAGGCCTCTCCACGGTTAAACAACTGAATGTACCCAATCTTCTAACAAAGAAGAATTAAGAAAGTTCCTCCCTAAATGAATTTTTAAACATAAAGCCCCTCTCCTTGGTCAGTTAAGTGCTGATCCATATATCTACTCACTTGGATAGTTTCATGATCACAGGATGGAGAGAGTAAATTTATGCACCATATGTACATATTTGTAAACAAAACCAAGAAGACACAAAAATGAATGAAAGCATACTTAGCGTTAGGATTGACCAATCTTGTCATATTATGAAACAGACGTGCAGCTAGAGCATCGTACACCTCTTCCATAGACCTACAATACAAATTAAATTTAAGTGTGAAACATATTGCACAACATATTTTTCGGCAAAAATTGTTCAAGACAAGCTGGTTGGCAATTTCTAGAGAATGAAAGATCAACAGAATGACTCCAGCCTCCACAGTACCCCAGTTATAAGGTCAGCACAATGTTCAAATTCAAATTTGAATAAGGTAAGATGGTAACCAAGAAAAAGAAACAAAATCATAAAATCTATAAGTTTTCAATGATGATGAAATTCCTATTAAGTCCAAATCAAACCATTACTCCGAAAAATCATAGACATAAAAATCAAGTATATGTGAGATATTTAAAAGAAAAGGAATGATAGAACGAGGTAAAGATCAGCAACTGTTGTTTTCTTTTCAGGTTAAACTTCAAAATTTAGAGTAATCAAGCACACTTCCATATAAGAATGTGCCAGTGGCATGAATTCGAGATATGGTATTAAAAAACTATTTCAACAACGCATTGATTATAGGTTTAAAGAACACACAACAACGTGCATTACTATTATAAGAATGTATACACCACATGAAAGCACCACTAGTTGTCCATTGATTAAGAGACTTCAATATTCCATTTTCTCATCAGTAAAAATAGATATTGATTTCTTAGCAAACGAAGGCAATAACTTGACCCCTAGTAATGAAGTAGCAATGAGACCAATAATGAGATGCCATATCAGCAGCTACATCAGCAGGCGTAGTGGGGCAGCCCCCCAATGCAGATAAGGTCTTGTCCCACTTATTTCCGCCTTAAAGCTCAGACTAAGCAAGAGAGGATTGTGGGCAAAAATTTCATCAATCGTGATATACCAATGAAAATGTATTTTGCAATGCATCATACCACACCCAATGACCGAACCCTGTACCTTTTTTTTTCAAAAATGATCCCATTGAAGTCGAATTTTCAGTCCCGACACCACTTTAGAACAATTTTATGTTTGATCAAGTAGAACAAGGGAAAAAAATGGGAAATAGTGGAAATATGGGTAAACTCTCAGTAGCCAGGACCCCCTCCATGTCTTAAGCCCATTACTCACTTTCAGTGGCAGCATGATTTGAACTCGGGCGTCATACGTTGGTGAGATTAGAGCAAGCGCATGCATTGATCGGTTACAGTGGCATGCACATGGCAGACAGATTCATCAATTCCAAACAAATACCTCTAAGTACCTTGACATAGATAAATTACAGGGTATCTAGGGAATCAGACACGATAGGATCTGATAAGCGAATGTCAAATAATTTGAATAAGAGAAAATAGTATTTTGACATTTTAAGAGAACAGAAGAGTTAATGATAAAAATTAGAGGAAAGTAAGACAATAAAAGATATATACACTAGATTTTTTGAAGACATGCTCCATTAGTTTGTAGAACCTAAACAAGAATGCAGATGCGCTTGGCAAACGTTATGTTGAAAGAAATTATTACCTTTCTTCCAGAACATGAGTCACTTGATTAAAAGAGGAAAAAACCTGGTACACGCAGAAAGAATTAACAATCACAACGCTGTGAAGGAGAAAACTAGGACAAAGGAAACGGAAGCACCTTTATAAAGCTGCTTTTGGGGCTTTGGGATTTATTTTGACACATTATTGCTGGCCTCGTCGTTTTAGTTGGGGGAATGAGCAGCTGATTTTTATATGAACAATTATATCCCCCCACTTTGGGAGTGGATAAACCTGCGATGATGAAAAGAACTTTGTGAAAGAACAGCAAAACAAAATGGCAGACGAGTAGCACAGCGGATAAACGTTTCAGGACAAATAAGGAAATAGAAATAATGGGATTCAGCTGCGGAGCATATTCTACGCAGTACTGCAGCTGACATATATTGCACCACCCATATCATTGATTTCTTATCAGCAGGAGTTTTCAAAACTCGCGTCAAGTCCGCTGGGATGCTTCATTATTCCATGAATTCTAGAAAACATAGACGAGGATATCAACGAAAACACCAGAGAAGCATAGAACACATTCTTCCAAGAAGCATACAAACTCTTGAGATCCAATCATCCAAAAAATCCAGCGATCACCAAAAATAATCCGACATCCAGGAAAGGATCTCATCCACTCCTTTCCTTGAAATTATTTGCGTTATAATTTGTGTAGAAACCAGATGATCCTTAGTATTTGTATTCTCTCATCACCCCAACAACAGACTAAATGATTATTGGATTTGCATTTTTTAGTACATCCAATGTAAAATTATTTGAAGCGAATCCATGGCACCACCTAAGCTAGACATCAACTGCTGCTGTTTTCTTCTTCATATAAACTCTTTTTAATTCCGAAAGGGAACTCAAATCGTTGCATCCTGATCCTACGAGCTTAGATTTGATAATAAAAAAAACATAATCTGAGCAGGACTTTGGCAGTCACATTCCTCAACCAGGTTGCTGACACCATTTTCTCGTACCCTTTGATCCACGATCGAGCAGATGACGATGCTACTTTCTCTCACCTCATTGTTCACACGTAAGAAATACAGATGCGTTCAAACCACTGACTCGTCAACCACAATCAGGAGTGCTGAAAGGGATGACGCACAAGGGTTGATTCTGTCAGAGAGGAATGATAAGAGGCACCACTGGATTTATCTTCACGACAACACACGATCAACCGCGAAAGTTCGTTTGTTTCTGATAGAAAAATGATAAGAGCGCCAAAAATAGAAGGAAATGGGAGACGGGTCTTTATCTCAGGGGCAGAAAGCTTCAGAGTGGCACTCTAAGGATCAGGGAAAGTGCAAGGGGGGAAGAGGTAGTACGTGCTGGAGACCCCTCAACATCGTACTGGAGCATGAATGACGGCAGAGAAACATTTTCAATTAGAACCGCGGAAGAATTCTCTTCCGAACTCACACAGGAGATCTACAGATCGGAGCACCCCGAAGGACAGACAAAGTTTAGCAAGATCAAACGCAGCGAAGAATACCAGACGAGGAACATCCCCACCCAACGGCGCCCACTGCAGCCCTCGTAAACACGGCTGACATCTCCATCCCGCACCGGGCGCTCGCGTGGCGGAAGTGTCTGCAAGTTGCGTGTGAGAGAGATAGAGAGAGAGAGGCTGCAGACTCTACCAACGTAGCGCGGCAGTAAGTACCCAGATGAACGTCATCGGCATAATGTGGAGGCCAACCATTAGAGCCGAATTAGCGGGAGTTCCAGCGTTCAATCGACACGACGCATCCCAAATCGATTATGAGGGATGACAGCTACAATCACAATCTATTTAATGCGGAGTTTGGGCCTGACGCTCCCCGAGAATGCCATCGAACAGGTGGCACCAAAAGAGCCCGCGAAAGAGACGATCACGGACAGGGAGGGCCCGTCAGTCTCGTCTGGAAGCTCATGGTTGACTTCTGCTAAGCATCTGACCACTGCAGACCCCACTCAGATTAGCTATAGGCGACTATTACCGTGTGCTATTTTCTTCAGCCAAATATTCTGATTGTGCTGCATACTGTTCTTGGATTTTAGGGCTAGAAAAGCGAAAGAACCTGAAGAGTACCCACCCGTGAAGGCATGATACGGGTAATTACGTTAGCTCAAACCGACCAAAGTGACTACGTATTGGGTTCATTGTGGGCACATTTTTAGAGAGAGAGGGGGAGAGAGAGAGAGAGAGAGAGAGAGAGGTGAACTGCCTTTAAGATCTACGCCTTCGTTGACGCTATTCGGGGAGAGAAACCTGGGGCCCTCAATCTCGCCATCTGTATCCGCAGCTGGGGTTGCAGCAGACGAAGAACAGCGTCATGCCTTCCTCTCCTCTGCTGGCAGCCTGTCAAATGACAGATATATTGAGACAAGAAACAAATATCAGGATCGTTGCTAAAAGTGGGACTCGGCGATCGTTTCAGAAACTTATGAAGAAGTATATAATTGCATCCATGTATGTATACGATTCTAGCATTCAAATGGGATTGTCATCGTCAGATGAGCATGAAGTTCAGGCGACAGCCTCTGATCGGGCAAGATCACTCTTCTCTTTCTTTTTCTTATATTTCTGAATTCAGTACTCTGATTAGAACACTGCATACATAGATCAAAGGATGCGCATCCAAAGAACACATCGTGATACATCCAAAGGGTGGCATGGGTTGTAGATGATGAATATGTTTGCATTTTCAATCAAATACAATCCATGGGCTTGAAAAAATTACTTTCTTTTTCAAGGTCGAGGAGCAACCAGAATCCGGTGGCCGATCTCAAGAACAGAAAAGAGCATCAAATTTGATAAGAATTCAAGAAAAATAAAAAAAAGCAACCCTTTATTAGGCAGGAAAATAAATTTAAATTTTACATCATCATTTAATGGGTAACCAGAATTATCGATAAGAAGAAAGCAGAGCTGTTTCGTTTCAGCTGGGTCAGAACCATCATGATGAATTTGACTTGAACTTGGTCGACAACTTTAAAATTCTACCCATTAAGGATGTCCCTTGACCTGAGTAATCCAATGATTAATGTGACAAAATAACAGACAAAACGGGGGGGGGTTGACCTGGAAAAACACTGCTTCAGGGTGATTGCATTTGGAGCATCTGACATTCTTGGTACGAGGAAGAGTCGGATCAGCTGCAACATCCTGCAGCACCTGCGTGCGCTCACCCAGAGAATGATGGATCTCATTTCTGTACACACAGTTATTGTCAGCCACCTCCTGAAAACAGAAAAGGCATGAGACATCTTCGTGTGAGTTACATAATGAAGCTCGCGTTTGCAACAACACCACCCGAATTTTGCGGTGAAAAGTGTGGAGGAATGAATAGGAGAGAAATGTACTCAGCCCTGAGGCTGAGCGCGCGGTTCATGTGAATGCATTCTAGAGCTCAAGACATTCGTAACGTGGTGCTGGTTCTCCCAATATTCCCATGTTTTTATCTCCCTGTTTCCTCTGTTCTGCTTGATGTCTTGTAGATTAAAGAGTTATTTAACATTCTTGGGTACATTCTATTCATCTAAAGATACAAAGCTCTGTTGAATATCTACCGTCACAAATTCCTCCATAAAAAGATTTTCCTTGAGAAAATTGCTCTAGAAAGTCAATTCGTGGATTTAAAAATTCTTTCTTTTTCATTTTTGAGCATTAAATAACGAGAAACCCACCACCTGGAGAACATGACCTCCGTGGAGAACAGAATTCAAAGGCCATTAGCTAAGATGTTCCCAATCCAATTATCATAATCCATCTCGGGTAAGTTGAGTCAATAGGCAAACAAGGTTGAAATGAAGGGTCAGTTAGTGGCAAAGGATCAAGGATGTGTTACAAGCCAGATTGGGCAAGTAATATCACATGAGAAAAATATATTTATCTTCAATAATTTGATGATTTTTTTATTTTTTTTAAAGAGAATGTACTCCATACTATGTATAAAATTAGTTCATAATTCAACCGTATGATATCAATAAAAAGGCATGCAAAGTGCAAAAACAAACTGGGGAAATAGAACAATTGTTACAACAAGAAAAAAAGATAACTAGTTATAGTGGACATCTAACGTGATCCTCATAAAATGAAAAAGATAGCAAAGAAAAACACATGATTAACGTCATAGAAAGGCAATGACAGCCACCTGATGGTCACAATTGCGGCAGGCATAGAGTAGGATCTTCTGCTCTCTGTCTTCCTTCGGATACAATATGTTGTTACTGCAGGATCATCACAAAACATTCATGAGCTGAAAAAATTAGAGTACAACTAATGATGCAGAAAAGAGATCAATACTTCTTAACTCCACGTTCAACAGCAGGTCAACCTACCATTCGCGACAAAATTTCATAGTACTCATGGCTACTCCTGAGGCTGAAAAGAGAGCCCTCCTATTTCTATGAAATCCTTTTGTCACTTCTAGTCTTGTCTCAAAATGAAGGCAGATTCACAGATTTTCAGCGTCTGCCTGCAATATACCAACATTTTAGTTCTAGTTTATAGCTTTATAAACAATAGACACGAATTTAGAGCAATACTAAAATTCATATTATAAATGTTCAAGAGCCAGAGCAATAGCTTTTAGGTGGACATAATGGCATGCAATAAATGATAAAATGATAATCTGTATCCACAGTATCCCAGATATCCCTAGAACATACACCTAAAAACCATCCAGCGCACAGCATATAGCAACTCCCAACCCATCACATTCCACATCATCCATCTCAAAAATTCAGTGTCTTACATAGAAAACTATAGGATCACCACAACAGATGTTAACCCCTCCGACCAACCATATCATCCATTGCACATTCCAAATAATCTCTCCAACTTATCACATTACCCATTATGCATTTAGGACAAGTTCCTCTTTGTCCGCTCATCATGCATTTAGCCACTCTAAAGATGAAGAAACTCAAAAGAATGCAAGTCACCAAAACCCACTTCATTCCTAACATTATTCCTTGTTGCTCTCAATCATGCTACTTTGGTAGGACCTTCTTCTATCACGCTTCTGTGTTTTTGGTTATCAAATTAATTCAATGTTACCCCACAATGCCCTCTTCTCATCAACTGCAAGTCATCAAACTTTATTACGACATCACACAGGTAAACATCAACCCTGCACCTAAATTTTCAGTTCGCTGAGCTCCGCATTACCAATGGATAAGATATGAAACTCCACACACTTAGAACAGACCGTCCAACTCTACTTCTATGATGTCCCCACAAGCTTTGTCTCACCTGATCAAACACAATAATGGCATAATCATGGTAGGCCCAAACAGAGCAATAAATATGGTCACGGATGAGGTTCTGAAGGCATCATATATATATGTGTGTGTGTATATATATATATACATATGTTAACAAGATCAGATATGATTCAATGAGCGCAGCTCCCAAAAAAGTAATTCTATTCCACTGGGCACAGCATCCACTTGCCAAGCCCGTTTCTCACCATCCACAGAATAAGCCGAGCATAATGCTTCTCACCGCCAACAAATTCTACAAGACAAAAAGTCTTCTTTCCGTAGATAATCAAAAAGCACCACCACACATGGTAAGCATGATATTTATTTTACAGAGGGAAAGTAGACAGGGAAAGTCTTCTGACCTATTAGGAGGTCCTCATCTTGTTGCTACACACTTACATATAAATAATAAAATGAACTATATGATATCAAAATACATATTACTATTAAAAATGAATTTACAAAACTAACACATGGAACCATCAACAATCAAATGAGCACATTAAAAAAACCATAACCACATCACTTTTTCTCAGTATCTAATATTTCAACCTCTTCATTTCTATTTCATTTACCTGATAATGTCATTATCATCCATAATAGCCTTTGTGAACTTGAAGAATATGTACACGACAATATCATAAAGAAGACCATAAAATCCTCACCACATATTGGCATGGTCAGTGAGAGAGCTTAGTTTTATTTTACAACTAGATAAGAATACCAATCACACCACTCATTTCGCCACATAAGTCTGTAGAGGATTTCACTTCACTAGTCTTTATTATTTTCTCTTACCCTTATGTGTTACTTCATAAATAGGGTTTGTATCTTTATTCATTATTTTTCACATACGATTGATAAAGCTTCAATTCCCTTGAGCACATCAATGGCATATGTCAATGTGTATGTAAATCCACTGAAAATATCAATAGCATGATTTCAAATCATTCTACTTATCAAAGAGGGAAAGATAAACAGAAGACAATCTCCAGAGGAAATATAACCACAATTTCAATCCATTCACCTTTAAGATAATACCAGCATACCACTAAATTATACGTAAACACAATAATGTGAAAGGATATCAATTACTTGAGAAGACCCCACGTTCAAAATTTTAAAAGTATTGACTCGCCAAACCTCGAATTATTCCTTCAGTAGTAACAAATCGTTTTCCTCTCTATAGGAAAAAAAAGAGACTTAATGACTCAATAATAAAAACCAATTGCATTCTTCTTTATCGGGCCAGCTAGATTAAAGGTCCCCCTGATACCATCATCCCATTGGCCCCAAGGTTCGTGATCTGGCCTACACTTACACCCCATGACTACACCAGACCGAAGAGGGCTATTGTCCAGCAATCTGCATGGGATGCGTCCCTAGACTGATCATAGTATCAATCCAACTCTTTGCCTACTTTACGCCCAGACCTTGGCCTGTGCAGAATGCCCTAAGTTCTAACAACTAAGGAGGCAAACCGCTGCATGCAAGAACGAAGACAGAGGTCAGCGTTGCAGCCACTGCCATTTCCATTGGCAGAATTGCCAAGTCCCCTAAACCACAGCCAGAGCAACAACTACGAGCGGTCTAATCTACTGCCTGTCCACCACCAAGAACCCAAAGTCATGGGGTGCGGTGTGACACCTGAGCCCCTGATGCACGCACACCCTTCAGCTCTCCAGCCAGCTGCCGGGGTTGCCCAATTTCTAGACTGTACCGCCTCGCCAGTCAGTTGATAGCTGCCTCGGCACCTACCTACGAAATAGAAGAGAGAAGGAAAGAAAGAAACTTTCCTGGACGCTGATATTTTATCGCAGCCACCACTGTGCTGCCACCGCCACCATCGCCTTCATTAATCAGCGCTAACAAGAGATAGTCAGGAGAGACGGGAGAAAGTCTTCAAATGAGAGAAAATATTTCCCGTATTTTCCTCTTCTCTGCCTCTTCAAAAGCCGCACTGCTAAGCCATAGTACACGCAATAATATCATAAAGCCGCACACCCAATGTAGTTGATTTGATTTCCCTCTTTCCAGCGCAGTGCAAGAGACACTCCCACGGAATCGTGAAGATGTCCCTAGAGCCCTACGCATGCTTCCCACAAAGGCTATACGGGCCATTTCCCACCGAGGCTTTATACACTCAAATCTCCAGAACTCCAGCCGAACCCCCAAATCAGCTGCCCAGGAATCCACCCAAAAAACTGCTTCAACTAAACTTCCTCGCACTCTAAATCCCGGTCAGCCGTCTCCGCATGATTCGAAGGAAGAACTTTCGAACTGGAATCGGCCTCAGACAACTCATTCAAGATACCACACACCAAACCCCAGAAGAAACCATAGGCGTAGAACCATTCAACGTTGAGCGAGAAATAAAATGGGAAGAACACGTACTCCTCTTCGTCTCGCCTCTCCGACGTCTCGACCCTCTTCTTCCTCTCTGGCTCAGACGTCGCCCGGCTGGGAGAGCAGCGGGAGATGAGACCGCAGGAAAAAGCCGTGCGGTGAAGCGGGGGAAACCATGGGACTAATTCTCCCCGGTTGTCAGGGTCCAATTAATATTTACTTTATTTTAAAAAATATATAAAAAAAACCTCATTAAAAGCTCCATTCCGGGAAAAAAGCAGAAGGTTAGCCGTTATTTTATTTTATTTAAAAATAATAAATTAATAAAGAAAACCCAGGTTTGAGCCACTTTTCTCTGCAAGTACACCAAAAAATTCCTGATTTAACAGATTACACCCGTAATCAGGCAAAAACAATGAAAACCGTGTTTCCCCTGTTAATCATCTCGATAATTTAATTAAAAATTAATTTTATTGCAACTTAATTGGCGGCATAATGTAATTTATACCAAAAAACCCAGATCACCAGATTTTACCCATAATTTTATTTTACTAATAAAATCCCACCCCTAATCAAACAAAGGAAGTTTTTTCCCCCTAATTTTCGTATGTAAAATTAAATTCCCATCATTTTTTTTCACAAATTAATTGCCAAACTGTCACAGGAATTGTAGAGGCGACTAGTTCTACCCAGCGTTTTGAGAAAAATGCTCCAACGTGTACGTAAACATATATATATATATATATATATATACACATGTGTGTGTGTATACATATGTTGATGTGTGCAGGTTACCGTTGGCCAACCTTGGAGATCATTCTATGGGATAAATAAAGACGAGAATAATTCACATATTCCCCGTATTCATTGACCAAATTCTATCAACAAATCTCGGACACAATTCACAGCCCGCAGCACTCATCAACCCTACCAAAAATAGAGTCAGGTATGGTTCTGGTTCTGTCTCTGGCCCTGGTTCCGTCTGGCGCTGGTTCCTTTTTCTGTATTCTTCTTTTTCTGCTGAGATGGCAAAGGAGCGGCAGAAGGCCAAGGGAGAAGAGCCCACAGCCTCGTAGCAGCAGCAGCAGCAGCATCAACCTTGGACAGCCAGGGCCTGCAGATGCTCCATGAAGACCTGAAGGCTCACATCATCGGTGAAAATGATGTCCGACCCATCACCAGCTCTGGTCTTCTGAGTGGCCGAAGGGTTCAGCTTGGCGAGAAGGAACCTGGCCTGGCTGCCATACTGTTCGCACTTGATGAGCTTGGGGACTGGAACCCTCTCAGCGGCCAGCGCCTCAGCATCCGACTCGGAGGCCTCCAGCAGCTTCCCCAGGCTCTCATGGCCAGGCTCCTTGTCGAGCCCGAGCTTCCTCCACTGGGCGATCTTCGAGCCATAGTGGACCACCACATAGAAGTAGGAGTCAAAGAGCAGGATCACATCTGGAGACACCGAGCTTATGTCGAGGAGAACCGGAATTGGCGGCCCGTCGAAGGAGTACTGGAAGAGGGTGGGCTGGATCATGATGAGAGACTCGACCACCCTCTCCCTGTTCAGCATCAGCCGGAAGAAGGCGGTCTCGTCGGGACTGCTGTTGAAGATGTCGATGAACTGTGACCGTCTCAGGTAGTACATGAACTGCGGGTAGAGAGAAAAGCCTGAGGAGAGCCGGAACGATGATGGGTCCTCGGGGATGTAGTCCCCGAACCTGGAGGTGAAGCGGATCAGCATGTCGTCAAGCCACCGGATGACGTCTCGAGCGTGGCACTCCTCCGCCCGCTGGACGGCAAGCCTTGCCACCACAGCAGCGGCAGCTTCTTGGTCAAACCCAGCAGCAATTTCAGGGGACTGAGAGCTGACCCACCTCCTGGCCACAGTGGTCACCCTCAGCCGAGCCCCGCCGAGACCGTGGCAGTAGCGGGTGACGAACTGTATGAAGAACACAGGGCCCAGCTGATCATCACTGCCCACCTGGAAGAAGAAGGCGATGCACGTCTTGCTGGTCAGGGTGCAGAGCTTCCAGCTGCAAGTGCTGCTTTCTCCAATCTTCTCCCCACTCACCGAACTGTGTTTCCTCTTCAGGGTCGTGCAAGGCCCGAGAGCACCAGAGATCTTGATATCCTTGGTGGTGATTATCTCGATGGTGGCGTCGAAATTCATGTTCAGGGGGTCGTTCTCCTCGCGTCTGAAGATATGTCTCAGGCACCTCCTGAACTGCTCAGACTCGAAGGATTCTGCCAGGACCATGAAACCCCCAGAGCTCTCCACAGGGGCTCTCATCTCTGCTGCACCGACCTGATCCAGGGAGCAGGCAAAGAGGTCGAGGATGATGGACCTGCCTGACAACCTCTCTGCTACCTCCCTGTAAAAGCTTCGGGCCTTACTGAAGAGAGGAGCTTGGCCATTTATGAGATCCCGATGGGTCCGGATAGCTTGGCTGAGGTCGGTCTCTACCACCATCCCAGGGCCGACCGTCGCGGGGCCTGAAGTGAAGACCATGATCCTGCCACCATTGTGGGATAAGCAAGCTTCTAAGAGAGCCACCGAGGTGGAAATGGCGGCGCCAGTGGCCCTTTGAGGGCGATGGCCGTGGAGGGCAAGAGATGAAGAGGCAATTTCTTCAATGGCAGTGGTGATTCTGAACTCGCAGTCAGAAATTCTCTGAACAAATGGCTGAGCGTGAACCAACTGGGACGTTCTGGATCTGCTGTTTCGGGGATGGGAGACGCCAAGAAGCTCCTGGATCTGGAAACAAGAAGTAGCCATTCAGATGGGGAAGATGAGTTAATGGAGCAAGCGATCATTCAAAGAACAATCCAATCCAAATTGGAGACGCTTCGTCCTCAAGGCTCTGGAGCAGCAGTCACATTCCATGCACATCAAGCTACCGCCCAGACTGAATGGCGAGCGATTCAACCAAGCCCGCAGTAACGAAGAGAGATTCGAACAGGAGAATTACCTTATCGGAGGGAAGATCGCGTTCCCCGCTCAGTATGACCGCCCTGGAGCAATCGGAGAAAGCCAGATCATGTACGGCGACCATGGAACCAAATGAGACCAGCCCAACCAGGGAACTCTCCGGGAGCTGCGCCAGGACGTGGCTAATTTCGTTCTTCATTGCCCCGAGCTCGTCCTCCGGCGAGCAAGTGTCCACCACGAACACAAACGCGGGTCCCCCGTCCAATCCAGCCGTCGCGGATCGACCAGGATTGTCCGACACCGAGAGCGAGGATGAGAAGGACCGGCCGGAGGAAGATTGCGACGATCCGAACCCGCTGAAGAAATTAGGGTTAGAATTGGAGTAGGGGTTGGCGGGGGGCCCTCCCGTCGAGGATTGACGAGAGAGGTTGTACTCGACGGTACTGTACGTGGGGAAGAGCTCTGCGGGGAGGCTGTTCTCCCCGACGCCGGCGTAGGAACGAGGGAAGGTATTCTTCCGCTGGCAGAGCGGGCAGACCCAGACCGCCGAGCGATAATCAACGCGGGCGTAGGGATTGATGACGGCGCGGCAATCAACGCAGTGGAGGGGATCGTAGGGCAGCAGGGGGATGTCCGGGAGGGGGCTCAGAGGAGTGTACATGACGGCGAGGGGGATGACCAGGTCTGCCACCGCCGATGGGGACGACGGCCACGAGTTCCATGACCATCGCAAGCCTTCGATGCTCTCAAGCTCGGCGAAGTCCATCTTGCGGGAGAGGAAAACAATGGCTGCGGGGATGGGGAGAGCGGAGCCGTCTGTGGCCTCACATGGGGTCTGCGAGATCCTCGGAAGGGAGGGAGGGGTGGCTGATGTTGGCGACGATGACAGTGAGATCAATGGAAGACCTAGGACCAGGGCTAGGGTTTCTCCTCTGGTCGAGGAACCCTCCGGGGAGGGGCGCTGCCCGGAGGGGACCGAGGGGGAGAGGAGAAAGGAAAAGGAGAGAATCAGGCGGCGCCGCTATTTCCACGTACCCATCTCGGACGCTACGTCCTTTCCGGCGAATACCGGTGGTATTAGCAGGAGGAGAGAGACTGAAACAAAGAGAGTAAAAGTTGCTGAACATGGTGTGGATATATATCACAAACGTCTTTTGCAGGAAAAAAAATTCGAAAGTCGTAACACGCTCATAATAAAAAATTCTTGAACACGTAGATTCCTCGCTTCCTCATATATTTTTCATTTAATTATATTTTTTTATAAATTATTATATCTACATTATGGTTTTATCGTCCATAAGAATTTCTCAAGCTACATGGTGTTCTTCATCATTTTTTCATGGTCTTGTGAAAGTCAAAGAAGGAAACCTTACAAGAATATTGAAGCTAAAATATTTATATATTCTTTCATAGTCATCAACTTATTTTTTTTACATTTTTTAAGAACCATCGTATCAAAAGTTTCCAGACTAAGTAAAGAGGGGGACAACGTTAATATGATATTTCATCAATACACCAATTATTTATAAAATGCGGGTCACTAACCTTAGTCTAAGGTTTGATAATCATTTTGGTTACATATACCACCCTATTAACTTAAATATATTGATTATTTAATATATATATTTGGCAATTATTTCTCAAACTATATTATCTCTCGCAATCTATAAAACCCACATTATTATTTTTATAAATATAAGTATATGAATGTCGGGTCAAAATATTAAATAAATAAAAGAAAATTAAGATTATATGCATCATAAGAGGTTTTTAGATGCACGTCACTAACTCGTAGCATACAAACTAATTCGTCAGAATTTATTGTAAATATCAGCTCGTTGACTTTGGCATGGAATTCAACAGCTCAAGAGAGACCACGTCGATAACATGGTTCATTGAACACTATCGAAGTAATTTCTCACAACTATAGAGATGGGTTCGAAGATGGGTGCCATAGATAACTATGATTTATCTGCAGAGATAATGCTGAAAGACCAGCTCTCGCATGATTCACGCACAGCCACCAGAGGTGAAGGAGAACAGATGAAGAGTATGGAATGCCTCCGTCTCATCCCAGGAACCACAATCCGCAGATGAAGAAGCCATCGGCGAGACAGATTACAATTGAAAATAGGGAAATTACTAATTACAGGAGGTTTTGGGGGCAAATTAAACACATCAGAACATGAGAATGGCATAGGAAGGAAGGCGGGATAGCCTCAGTCTGTCGTACAGGATGAAGAAGATGGAGGAGGCTGAAACCTGGATGGCGATGGATGATCGCGGCGGGGGGTCATCAGCTCAGAGGGAGAGGCCCGAGTCCTCGTCCTCGTCGAGGGAGGAGGTGTAGACGAAGAAGAGGGACCAGATGAGGGCGAAGACGCCCAGCAGGATCCACCCCAGGAGGTTGTTGCTGATCCCGAGGCTCAGCCCTGTGCCCTCCGTCGACAGCCTCTCGTCCACCAGCGCCATCGCCGGGCTCGCCACTCCGGCGGCGGCGGCGGCAAGCAGCGCCGCCGCGGCGCTCACTGGCGCGGCGGCCCTCTCCTCAGAGATCGAGCACCTCACCCTCCCGCCTCTCGCCCGCGCCATTGCCGGCAGACCTAAACGAGAAGGGGCTGAGTCGAGCAAAGAGAAGCAGAATTGGCTGCAAATGGGGCGGATATCTCCTTACCTAGAACCGGCGGCGACGAGGCTCCGTAGATCGCCGCCGTGCGAACGACGGCGCATGTGACGACGGAGTTCACGGTGGCGGCGGCCATCTCTCCACTTCTCGGGGAAGAGCTCACCGCTAGAGAGAGAGAGAGTCGAGAAGAAGGGCAAGAGAGTGGTAGAGATGGTCTCCCGGATATTTGCCGGGGGGGGGGTAGCCTTCGGAACGAACCTCATCATGTGCGGACCAATCAAAGTAACCCACGTTTCAAAATCCTATCCGCCTTCCCGTTGATTGGTCAGCGTTCCCCGACTGCCGTTCGATTGAAAATCGACAGGTTCGAGGGGAAAGAATATCAGGGGATTTCAGATTAAAGGCGTTTCCCGCATTCCAAACGCATTATTTTAAACGGGTCACCACCTGCGATTTTTGGACGATCAAAGTCGCAGAACCAGGCGGCGCCGGCGCCGGAGAAGGGAACCCTGCGAATCCGGCGTAGAAGATGGTCGAATTCTCTCACTCTCCATACCATAAAAACGCCGTCGAACAGACAGATGTTAGGGAAGGCCGGAGCTTTTCATCACGGTGTCGAACACCATCGTGGGTTTGCGTCGGCTGCAGAGCCGGCATGGTGGGTTGCACCGGGGTCGGGCTTCCCAGCGAGGACCTTCGACTAGCTCCTTGCAGATTCTGGCGACGTACTTGGTTTCAGTTGAAGACGCCGCCGCCGCCGCCGCAGCCGTCCAGAGGCCACAGTTCTCCAACTTCTCCGGCCAGCACCACTCGCTGGAGCTCTTTTGTCCTCCCTCCCTGCTCTCGCCGGTCCTCCTTGGCCAGGTCTGATTCCGGCTGGACGACGACGAGGTCTCTGAGAAGGGCCACGGATCTACGTGGCAGCGCCGTTTTATCTCTACACAGCCACGTGGGCCACGCTTTTGTCCCGAGGGTCGTCTGGTCTGACCATCAAGGGACATTACGGATCTCTGACCGCTGGTTGGAAGGCCCGACGGTGACGTGGTGGCGGAGGAAGGGGGAGGGGCCCCGCGTCGTCTCCGCCGCAGCGGGTCTGCTCTGCAGAGAGGGTGAGAAGAGGGGAAACGGAGAACTCGATTCGATTCTGCTCTGGACATCGCTTTGCTCCCGCCCGCCCTTTTCCCCCCGCAGGAGCACAATTGGGGCGTCTCTCTCCCTTGCCAGGGTCTGGAGGCTCTGGAGCGACGGTGCCCCATCGTGCCCCGTGAGGGCGGAGATGTAAGCTGCTGGACGGCCTCGGAGGCGGTGAGTGGGAATGGCGAGAGAGGGGGCCGTCATTCCGGCGGCGCCGCCGGTGGACGGGTTGAAGAAGAAGGTATCGGCGTCGAGGAGCTGGATCCTGATGGACGGGACGGGGGGGGAGACGATCCTAGACGTCGACAAGTACGCCATCATGCACCGCGTCCAGATCCATGCAAGGGATCTTCGCATTCTGGATCCCCTGCTGTCCTACCCTTCCACCATCCTGGGCCGCGAGGGTGCCATCGTTCTCAATCTCGAGGTGGGGCGCGCGCGTCAATCGTACCTTTTTTTTTTAGTCTTGGTGTCCCCTTTTCCACAATTTGGTGGTTCTTCTCGGCCCCTTTTTCATAATTGTCTCTGTTCATCTTGTTCTGACCGAGCCTCCTCATTTGGACCTCACCAGCACATCAAGGCCATAATCACTGCAGAAGAGGTACAATTATTTGATCTTCTTGTTCTCTTTGTCGTATGTTTTCTTCCTTTGGTCTCTAGGCTTTGGTACTTAGCGGATTATTGTTTCCTTGGAGTAGGTATTACTTCGGGATCCACTAGACGAGAATGTCATCCCTATTGTTGAGGAACTTAGACGTCGATTGCCAGGCACGCACCTCACTCACCAGGGCCAAGAAGAAGGAAGGGAGAACTTGAGTGGACAGCACGATGTCGAAGCTCCTGAGGAAGATGGTATATTTTGATTTGGCTACTGGAAAGGCTCATTCTGTTGTTGATGCGTGAATGATGCTGCTTTGGACTTCGATTCTTCTGGTTGAGATGGTACTCTGATGTTCAGAAATTAGTATTCTTCTATAAATTGTGCAGCAGTGTTACCAATATGTTCCCGATCTTCAATTTTTTAGCTCTCAGTCTGGTGCTGAGTTTTGTATCGAAATAGTAAAATAAATTGTCTTTTGGAAGTTTTGAAATCAATCCGAATTCCTACTGACCTACCGTTCGATTTTAACAATTGTTATTTGGTTTCGATGATTGCATGATATCTGGGCATTAATATGTGTGCTTCGATAAAGTCTAGGATTCTATTTTCAGCAAGTGGGTGATGGAAATTTCTGTGGGAATTATCAACCAGCCTGGTTATACTGTATCCACTGTCTACACGGATATGTCTTGCATGTTAAAGCTTAGTTTTAAATTTATTTTTGAAACTGAAACTGATTAAGGACCAAAAACAGGTGATTGGCAACTGTTAGGAGGTGTCTGGAAACATATCCATTATGATTTGCACTTTGGAGTTAATATGAGCTAGACATGTTCAGTAAGACTCCCTCTTGATAAGGGATGGCCATTCTTAATAGATAGATATTTGCATGCGGACACATTTGCTTGATTATCCGTTTATTCATTTCTCTTTGTCAAGTTTCTATATCCTCCCTCTTCTTCCATTCTTTACGGGCCCTCCCCTATGTAATTGTTTTTGTTTTTTGTCTGATTTTCTTTATATGAATCCGTGCAACGTATTTGAAATTTATATATGAATACCCGATAACTGAATCTTTTTATAGAACTCTTCACAAATATAACCGGTATCATATAAATATTTGTATTTGGAGGTTGATGAAAAAGGTCTGTTTGGATGTGTAGTCGTCTTTGTGATCGGTTCTCGTTATTATGAAAATTTGTGCAATGAGTGCAATGTTGAAATCAAAATTTTCTTCTCGCTTTTCTTAATTTGTTCTTTTTGCTTATTTTCCTCTGTATTTTCAGTTGACATGGTGCTGATTAATGCTTTAATATAGAATCCCCATTCGAATTTCGGGCATTGGAAGTTGCTCTCGAAGGAATCTGCAGCTATCTTGATGCACGCACAACGGAACTGGAGACTGCTGCATACCCTGCTTTGGATGAGCTGACCTCCAGGGTATGAGGAAGCTTTGATTTCTTCGTATCCTTTAAATATGTTATGGAGCGTTCTGCATTCAGTTTCTTCTTCTTTCATTGTCATTTTTCTGTGAATATTCTCTGGAATTCAGGCTTATTTCCTTTCAAATCTTCTATTGCTGCGCGCGTATTCACATTAAACTATATTTTTGTTCAGTCGCATAGAGATCATAATATTTAATGCGTGTATTGGTGAAATGCCGAACGACTGTAGAGATGCATCGAATCTAGGTCATTTTCTTTCGCTCCTATCTACTACGTCAGTACGATTTGGACCTCTCCTCATTCTAATATCAAGAAAAAAACATTCTCCGTATTTCTAAATGGCATATGGAGGTGGAAGGCACATGGGTTGACCACTTTTCAGCTGATTATTTTCAATGGCACAATGGATAAATAAATAAGTCCCAAATTTGAATGCTTGATTAGGAACCTGCTGACATAAATTAAATTAGAAAATGAAACTCTTGACATCTATTTCATTGCGTAATAAATAATATGAAAAACTTGAGCTATCATCCCTATCCCTTTAGAACAATTTAAGCCGGTTTGTTGTCAAAACTCTAGAGAATAAAAGAGTAAATGTAGCCAAAAGGGTACCGATGAATATATCTGTGAGCATAAAATAAAAGAGTCTTTCGAACCACATCTAGTTATCTGGACAGGAAAGCTTCAGAATTTTATATCAATGCACTGTATGATGAAGAATTTGAAATTAGTGAAGATGCTTTCCTGTTTAACCAACTAAATGTGTTCAAAGATTCTTTTATTTTATCTTCAGAGACATATTAAAGAGTGCCTTTTTTGGCTATCCTCACTCATCGAGCCTCCAAAATTGACGGCCTCTAGAGTTTTGATGAAAAACTGGCACGAATTATTCCAAGGGGATGGGAATGATTGCTGAAGTCTTTCAGGAAATGAATGTACTAGGATGAATCTGTCGTGGAGAGCCTGCCTGGGTTTCTAAATTTGGAGCAGCATATTCCTTACCTCCATTGTTTTGCATGCTCAGAGAATAGCTTAGTACAAAGACTTCTCTAGGGAAAATGTACCTCCTATAAATGAGGAAATCAGGTGGTTGGTGAAGATTCCATGAAGATTTTACACTATATTTACTGACTAGTGTGCCATAGTTCTTTAAGCTTTCGGGATTTATATTGCTTAGCACCAAAAATGAGTTTTCTTCTCATGAGTCTTCTGAATTTTTTTCATTAAGTTGATAATGTTCCGTGAATTTTGGAAGACCTCTTTCAATAATATAGTTAGCGATCATCCCTTAATGATGCTGACAACCATTTCCGAGATTATGTTTCCAGCAGCTTATTTTACGACTGCTTGGTTCAAGTATTCATTGATGTTCATTAGTGAGGGAATGGAGGTGAAAGCAGTATGATAGACCGAATTATACTAGTGGCGTTTGCTGGGCGACCCACATTTTTTCGTCTTTCTTTCTTTCTGAATATAGTGCAGAGCAGGGGGAATTTTATACTTATTTATGACAGGGGAATGTGAACCCAGAAAAAAGATACCAAGATCTTTGGAGTGGCATCTTGTAAATAGAAAGGTTTATGGTCATCAACCTCAAGGATCCATTGGTAGTAAAGCTGCCATTTCTATGAAAATGTGTTTGGTAGGTTGGAATATGCATTTGTAGTCATTGACATTGTCAACGTCTGGTGACACACAATTGCGAGGCCCTTCTCGACTGATTTGTGATTGTTGGACACATGGAAGATATGGTTGAGTGTTATTTTGATACTTCATCTGAGATAGTCATTGAGATTCCTATTTTTTGGTGAATTCTTTATGATAAGGAGCTAGGGTGGATTGGTGGACTCTAGTCTGGTAAGTAGTTGAGGTGACCTTCCGATCTATCATGGGGGGTTTGTGGTGTGCGTTTTAGGTTAAAGTATCATGTTTATTTGCTCCTGATGGAGTCTTCACAGGCTTGTAAACCAACATAGTTTAGAAACAAGCCAATTGGTGCTTAGATCTATGGCGTGTAGGGTGTGTGAACAACGGTTTCTAGCATGAAGCAGGTTGGTGGCTTTCATTCCTTAGTTGGCCCAGGACCAGTTAATACGATAGTACCAATCACTATGTTATTAAACACGCTTAAGTGATGACATGAGGAATTTCTCGTCGAGCTAGTGTGGTGCTTGGTTTTCCATTTCGCAACCTCCTGAATTGGCTCAAATTGGTTGAATTTGAGCGTTGTTAAACACTCATGTGAGCGATAGTACCTCTTTGCTGTGCCTACGGCTTCTGTATTAATTGATATTAAGCTCTTAAACTTAGGTTGGTATAATCTGGGGTTCCCTATTGCAAATACGATATTTCTTTTACTTTATTATTTTTTTTGCTGATTTTACCCCTCATTAAAATTTGCAGGTAAGTAGCCGTAACTTGGACCGTGTACGTAAGCTGAAGAGTGCCATGACACGGCTGACTGCTAGAGTTCAAAAGGTACATGTTTTGACGACTATAGCTTCCATTTGAACTAGGATTCATCTGAGCGCTCAAATATTGGGTGTATAAGCTGATCTTCTTGCTAGTTTTGGAATCACTGTTTTCTCTTCAACTTAGAGTTCCAAGCAAAATAGTCAAACACTGCTTCCTTATCCAACATATTTTGACTTAAGTTCATCCCGTTTTAGCTGAATTTTCGAATCAGAATGTTTCATCGATTCCAGCATCAAAACTCTGCTGTTCTGGTCTAAAAAGTAGGTCTGTCAACTATTTTAAACTCAATAATTGTAGCGAAAATATTTTTGTACGTCTGATTCTATTTTTTATCCGAGATTTATTTTTACAATATCTTTTTGTTTGGATTACTCGGATGAAATTTCTTCGATGAGGATATTTTCTGTGAAAGAGGAGTTTCTTAAGGGAAATTTATAGCATTCAGATCCCAGATAATATTTCTTGCCTACGTAACTTTCTTTATGTATGGATTAAATTTTCTCTTTAACTAAAAAGTTAATTCTGGAATGGTGTCCGGATCAAATCTCGTAATAGTTGTCCTTCGTCCAAATCTTTCTCATGTAGATACGAGATGAACTCGAACAACTGCTGGATGATGACGATGACATGGCAGATCTTTACTTGTCAAGAAAACTGGCTGGAGCATCATCTCCTGTCAGTGGGTCTGGTGTTCCCAATTGGTTGTCTTCCCCTCCAACAATCGGTTCAAAGATATCTAGGGCAAGCAGGGCAAGTGCCGCTACAATCCATGGGAATGAGAATGATGTTGAAGAGCTTGAAATGTTGCTTGAGGTAAAAAAAAGCTTCACCGTTGCTTGAGCTGCTGCTGATTTCTATTCAATATTCTGAATATTTTCATACTTTTACAGGCCTATTTCATGCAGATCGATGGCACATTAAATAAGTTGAGCACGGTATGCGTTCCTCTTTTTTTCATGAATTTTCTGGAGATATATTTTTCTAGGGATTATTGCCGTGGTGATTTGGGAACCAAAATTTGACTTTTGGCTGAAATTTGACCTTTATTTTCCAATCATGAAGGATACCATAACGTTACAAAAACCCATGGTATGATTAAGAAAATCTCAAAATGGAGAGATCCCAACAGCATTTTGGGTTGATCAGATTAAATAGTCTGAACATTCCTTCATTATTTTGCGTTAAACCCTACTTCGGTGCTTTAGTCAAAGATACAACTTCATCCGTAACAGAGAAAGTCAACCATTACATACAGCACAAAGTTACCATCAAGTATGGACCATCCACATCAGGATGATGGAAATCTCCACTCATAAGTTGGTTCCTGGATGCCCAAGGCAGTATGCCTTCTGGCCTATGACAGTGAGGCAATATGCCTATGGCAAAGCTACTAACATCGTATGCAAGACGGTATGAATGTTCTAGACTGCTTAGGTCAACCTAATAGAAATAGGAAGTTCACTCGTCATCACCTAGCAATCTAGAATGGAACCTCCTTGTGGTCAGAAATAGGAAGTGGAATGGTTGTCAAGATACAAGGACTATGGTTGAAAATATTTATTAATATATTTGACTTGTGTATGGGTCAAATAGCCGATTCAGGCAGGGTTGACTTACTTGATGCTGCAAAGTCAACCTACGCCCTCCTCACTAATTTTGCGTTTAACAACCAAAGTGGCTTTCTCTCTCCTCACGCTGTTTAATTTTTACTATCTCCTGAAAGCTTATACCCATCACAGCTTCGGGAATACATTGACGATACAGAGGATTACATCAACATCCAGGTACCGACTGAACACATGCTTTCTTTAGTGGGTACTCCGCACTGCTCGCTGCCTAAAGATGGGATGAATGTGGGTTCTTGCAGCTGGACAACCATCGGAACCAGCTGATTCAGGTTATGATATCCATTGAAATCTTCGGTCACACTCTGTCATCTCCCCCGCTGTAGTTCATGTCAGATTTCCCAGGGTTCTTTCCAGCTGCTCTCCGGGCACACCCTTCCTTTGTTACTGATATAATCTGCTTTTCTTTCTCTCTCTTTCAGCTGGAGCTGTTCCTCAGCTCTGGTACCGTCTGCCTCTCTCTCTACTCATTGGTTGCCGGGATCTTCGGAATGAACATTCCATACACGTGGAATGAAAACCACGGATACATCTACAAATGGGTGAGCCAGGGCAACTCTCCGCTCAACCTCTCTCCTCTCTCCTTGCCGTTGACCGCGGTTCTTGTGGCAGGTGGTCATCATTTCTGGGCTGGCCAGCTTCTTCCTTTTCATATCCATCGTGGCGTATGCTCGGCACAAGGGCCTCGTCGGATCTTGATCCGGGAAGAACAGCCCGCCGCCATCAAAGAAGAGGAAGAAATCAGAGCTCTTCTTCCTTGATAAGACGCGTCGTGTGCCCACTCCCCAGTTCTTCGGGCCCGGAATGTCGGAGCCTGGCCACCTGGCGCTCTCTCCTGTAACCACGCCTGAGGCTCTTACTGGGGTCTATCTGGGGTTGGGCTTTACATTTTCTGATATTTAATAATTTGATTATCGGTGGTGTTGCTGGAATAATTTTGATATTAATAATATGCGTGTAAATACCATTCATAGGACATTAGTGCACGTGCGGCCCGTAGCGGCTCGCACGTTGGGGGCCAGCAGTTGGGCCGGCGGTAGTGACGGGTCGTCGATGCCACGCCGGACGGCCTTTCTCTCTGATCCACGTCGCTGTGCTCCCTCAATCTCAACCGTCCGCTCACTAATCGACAGTTCTCGTTGCGGTCGGATGAATACGATGTCCTTTTTCTCTCTCTCTGTCTCTCTGTCTGTCTCTCTCTCTCTCTCTCCCTCTCTGAAGCGGCCGCTGTCCAAATCGAGAGGGGACGGGAGTAGGATGCGCGAAGGTGAGTGTAAGACTTTTCACACCGCCTCCTCCCCGGGAGCGAGGCCGGCCTGAATCATATTTTATGCTGGGTGCCCACCCAACTCTCCCAGCTCCCATCCCCTCCACGCTTCTGCCCTCCATCTCGTCGGGCTCGACTCGTCAGATCCCACACACACCCCCCCGCCCCATTCTCTCTCTATCTCTCTTTCTTGTCTCTGTGTCGTCGTTCTCGTTACGTGGGTTTTACTCTCTTTCTCTCTCTTGTGGGCGATCAATGCGGAGGGGGGAGGAGCGTGGATGCAGGCGGGTGTGGGGGCTCCGATTGCATGCAGGGCGTCCGGTTTGCTGAGGGGGGGGCCCGACGACGACGAGGACGGCGAGGCGGAGGACGAGGGGCCTCGAGGGCTGAGGGAAGGGTTCCCGCGGCGGGGAGGGGAGAGGAGGACGAGATGTCGGTAGCGTCGTGTTCCTCGTCGGGGGCAGGTGGCCCGGCCCAGGTTGTGAGGGTGAAGAGGGAGCTTCTGATCGCGTGCATGACGTGCCCCCTCTGCCACAAGCTTCTCCGAGACGCCACCACCATCTCGGAGTGCCTCCACACATGTGAATCTCCTCTCTTCCTCTCGCGTCCGCCTTCTCCGCGTGGTTATCTGCTCCCTCGTGGGGATTTGGGTCTGGTTTCCTTCGTGTCGTTTCCCTGAAAAACTCTTCGCATCGTCCCTGGTGTGTGTTTATTTGTTGAATCTTGGCTTTCTCGTGTCGTTCGTTCTTGTTCGGTGTGGGCTCGTCTTTGAGAGTGATTGGGTGTTGATTGTACCGACGAATTTTGTAAAAAGCTTGCTCGAAGACAATGTTTCTCTTGGGCCTTGTTATTTATATCTCTGTGGTTGATATATATTTGAAGGAGCGGGCATCGTTCTTCTCTGATTCCTCCGTAGTCTCTCGTAACTGCTCGTTGTGGTGTCACGTGTGAAGAAACCAGGGAAAGTTGATACCTTTGGTGGGTCGGTGGAGTATTTTAAAGCTTCTTAGAGAAATCTGCCTCCACGGATGAGATGAGCAAAAGGTTGCCGTCGGTAAACGCAGTTATTATCTACACTCCACGGACAGCCTGGACTCTTAGCAATATTTCAAATTCGTCATGCAGAGCAGATAGCGTTGATTTCTGGATTTCATTGAATGGTCTGATGTTTTTCCATCTTGCTAGCTTTGAAGTGATCTAGTCTGGCTTTATACATCGAGGTGGAGTTGGGAGAGTGTTTCATGATCAAACGGAGATTAATCTTAAAAAAAAAGGAAGTTGTAATTCAGGATTGCCATATTTCATGCTCTCATAGCTACTGTAGATGAATGCCTTGCATCTACAGTAAATATATTGTCAGCACAATTTCCTAGCTTCCAACTTTATGACTCAGTTTACAGAAGGGTTCAAGTGTTACTGTCATCCTCAGCATGGAGAGGAAGTGGCTGTTTATTAATTGTTAATAATGTACTCTTTGTCTTATGTTATTTGAAGTATATCTAAAAGGTTCATGTGAAGCATTCAAAAGTAGCATTGATGTAATGTTTTTCAAGTAATCTGAGACAGCCTCTTTAATGTCGTTGAAAAGAGGCAGCATCAGTCTCCCGGTTTCAAAATGATCTGAATTTGCTAATCTTGTTGACTTTGACACCATGAATATAGGTGATTTCAAGAAACTTGAGTAATTTATTCCAATGGCATTGTTGAACCTGACGAGTTGATTTGACGACAGTAATCTTGGAGTTTTTATCTTGACTTGTGCTGATTTTGTGTACGAGTTTTAAGCTAGTAAATGCAGATTTTAGAAACTCAAACTGGGTTAAAGATGAAGCCAATATTATAGCCTTTGATCTCTGAAAGTATGAACCAAACTGTGTGTAAAATAATTTATTATACGTGCAGAAATTCAGTCTTGAATATATGACCTTAGGATTGAGAATATTGTGTTAAGACATTGAGGTCAAAATTTAATTCAAAATACACAGAGTTGACATGTATATTCAAAACTGTCCATGATTTGAAGAAATTCCAACAACCAACCAATATGTGTTGACATCTTCAAGGAAAGCGTTGGCAATCCATAAACAAGTGCTAATACCAAAAATGTAGGAAGCCGGAAAAATAGAAGCATAATCACATAATATTTATGATTATTTTTTGAATGGCCTAAGGCTTTCTTGAGTCAAGGCCTACCCTCATTTCATACCTATAAAGAATTGACGATTGTGAGAAAAACCCTAGAAGAATATCAGGACTTAATAACCGAAACTTTCAATTTCAACTCTCTCTCTCTCTCTCTTCCCTCTCTATGTGTGTGTCTGGTGCACAATTTGAGTTCAATTTTTTTTGGCACATTCAAGGTCTAACTAACATTGAAAAAGCTTTTGATGTACTTGAATTATCTTATATATCAATCTTGAACTTTTTTAGATGGTTTTACAAATTGTCTATTTAATTATCGTTGTTTCTAGTGATATATGAGGGAATTTTCTTTTGAACAAGACGGTCCGCATTATGAAAATTGGTTACGTTTTTCGGACGCTGACTTAGATATTAGTTAACTTCATGGGATTCCAGGGGGCAGCTTGAGGATTAAAGCAGGTTTGAGGTTGACAGAATCACTATAAATCGTATGCTCATATAGTTTCTTCTCTCCTCGTACAGATTTATTTCTTGTGGGCGATTTGTTCTCTTATTATTCACCTCAGTCTATTAGCATGGCTCCCACAAAGAGCAGTATACACCACCAGTTAAAGCAGTGGTGTTAAAAAATCTATTTATTTAAACTCATAATCCAGGTTATTTCTTTATCTACTGAACGCAGGAAAAAAATTAGTTATGTCTATCCCATCGTGAGAATACAGGAGTCATCATGCTTCTCAATTTTTTTCCTCTATATGTATAAAGATCTTTTATGGAGACACCTTTAAAGGACAAAGGAGGATGCCCAATGGTGAACCAGACACACATGCTGTTTTATTCGCTTCTCCCTTCAAACTTCCATGCTCCAAGCGTAGAATTTGCCTCCACAGAATTTAAAACATTCGGATCCGTATCATTACCTCCACATAATTTATCGCCTTGAAAGCAGGGGGAGTCCAAAAATCAGTTTTGAATCACATTCTCACTTAAAAATTCCTCATGGATCAATACATGTGCAAATGAGAAATTAGTTTTATGCCAAATATTGATCATTTTGCATGAGCTTATAGTGTAAAATTTTCCTTAGCACTTTCAATGGTTCTGTGGTAAGGCATATCTTTAGTATGAAATAGGAGCCTTATCATGCGCACCCTTAAAAAAATCTAAGATCAGCAAAATATGTGTTTTCTTAGTAAATAATTTCTTGATTCTGAGTTTCATCTGTGATCTTTGAACGTGTTTGAGTTTGAGGTATTGTAAATAACTAAATAAATATTCTATATAACCACATTGTACATGTCACTTATCCATTTTTTTGTATCAGTTTGCAGAAAATGTATTTATGAGAAACTTACAGATGAAGAGCTGGATTCCTGCCCAATATGCAGCACTGATCTGGGTTGCACCCCCATTGAAAAGCTCAGGTCACAAGCCTCATGAACTAAATTTATTGAGATTTTTGAAATGTGTCTTTGATTTGAGTTTATCAATCCTAAAGTTTACTTGCTACGACTTCAGTTCTAGCTTCTCATCTCTACGCCAGCATTAACTGTTTTCAAAATGCTATATGATTTTGTTGGTATTTCAAAAAAATATTATATTTTTTAATTTTATTTATTTAATTTTAAAATAACAATTTCGATGTTTTTATTTTCCTTTTTTCTGTCACATTCTTGCCCTAGCAAACCTCCTTTATGTGATTCCTGCCACTAACAACCTGGCCACTTATTTTACAGAACAGTTTCTAGTACAATAGACTTTAAGAAGTTATCACCGTATCATGCTAACTACAGGGTCAGACACAGCTTAGGTTTCTTGTGGGGATATTCCTGTCTATGACCCTCCTCAGACACAGCTGCATTCACTAGCGTGTCCCCATTGAAAGTTTCAGGCTCATGTTGACTCGGTTTTTTATATCTCAATTAGAATGGTTACCCTAAGTACAGTCCATATTGCCCTCCAGTTAAATAGTGTGTGCATCGAATGTGGACGTTTTGTGTTATTGTCTAGCCTCTTGGAGACACAATGCTAGAATTCGGTGAGTATGTGAACCAAGTTTCTCTTCATATGAGAAAGTTATGCTGTTCTTGGCCAGCAGGTATGCAAAGCTAGCCTGAGTTTCATGTGTTTCGCACCCCATAACGACATAAAGTGAGGAACTTTAAGGCAGACCTTTACTGAATCATTTTTACTGAATCTTAAGAAGGGATACAAGCAACCATATAACCATGTATCCTCTCTTTCCATCTTTTTATGGGTCGCTCACAGTGAAGGTTAAAAAGAAAGCATCGGTGATTCTCTATATTTATGGAAAGTTCCATGTGAAGTCTACGTTGTGCTTTCTTTATACTGAAAAATAGTGCCAGAGCTCTCCTCCCGTGGTTTTCACCTCTCGATGGTTCTGGCTCAGTTTGTTATGCTATATGAAATGTTAAAGGTTTCTTGAGATGTTGGCTTGAGAATGGCACTTGGAAAGGAGCCAGTTTAATGTAGAAGAATATATCAGGGGGAATTGAACTAAGCTACGGTCACGCCTTAAACTGAAATGACAAAAAGTCTTTTGGAATATTCTTTTTTTCATTCCAGATTGAAGAAAAAGGTCTTAAAATGGCAATGACTGTCTGCCACAGGTGGCAGGAAGTTGGTTCCTAGAAAGTTATTGACAAGATCTCAGCTTTTGGGAACGTTGAAAGTATAGCAGCTGCAGGGGATTACATGTGAGTGCCATTTAAGATATTTTTGGTGTGTAGAAGAAAACTGACCCGAGCACTTGCTAAGAGGTAAGTTATCATGCGCGTGCGGATTTATGGGGACGATGAAGATACGTAAAAGTCTTTGGAAAGAGCTTGTGAAAAGGGCATAAATTATTCTTGCCGAATATAAGCATGATATTTTATAGAACTGGACGGGTTTAAGTCCATGAGCTGAATCAGTTGAGATTTGCTGTATAATATTGATCACAATGATGATGTTTCATTTTTCATATGTTTTGTTTTTTATTTTTTCTGTATAAGAGATGTGAAGTGTTATTTGAAGTGTTAAAGATGGAATTTCATCCGCTTTCCAAGAAAAGTTCACATTTTCCTCAGTGGCTCTTTAACCTCAACGCACTTAATATGCATCAATGGGAACTGAAGAAAATGGTTTGAAGATGGTTTATTGTCATTCTCCATTCATGCGTATTGCTTCTGATGAACTCTCTGTTGGATATTTTATTCTGCATTTCATTGGTACATAGATCATGTGATTTCACATTTGATGTGCACAGGCCTGATCACAACATTCAAGATGTGAGGTCCAAGATTTTTCCTTTCAAAAGGAGAAAGGTGGAGGCTCCAGAACTCGTCCCTTCCATTTCGTTGCCCATAAGAAGAAAGGAGAGATCGCTTTCTTCATTGGTGGTCAATACGCCCCGTGTGGCAACACAGAGTGGCTTAACACGGAGGAGAACAAAAGCAGCAGGTAGAAAGGCTGCTGCTTTGAGAGGATTAGATATTGATGAACCAATAAAAAAGGAAGATGATGCAGAGGACTGCCCAGCAACATCAGGCTTTGCTGAGACTCTTGACAAGATTTCACAAAATATAAGACAGGTAAAGCAAATGGCACAAGAACAACCCGAAATTTCCCTCTTGGTACTCTCACATTCAATCTTGGTGACATTCGCTGTATACTTGTGAGTGGATGCAGAATAATTTCAACGCAGGGACGTCAAACCATGCATCTAATAAAAATGCAGAGAATGGTGAGGAACCTTCGGCGGATAAGACGGAACTCTGGAAGCCTTTAAATTGTTTAGTTGAAGCCGCCAATAGGACGAAGACTCTCAATTCCAGTGACCAGGGTTCTGTTGCCAAAACTGAACAAATTAATTTCACTGAAATTGAAGAAAATGCTGCTCCAAGAAATAAGGCCAGGGAGCACCTACAAAAGCCCAAAATGCTGGATGACAAGAATAGCAATTATCACACAACAGTATTAAGTAAAACTCGAAGAGTGAATGGCGCTGGTCGCAAAAGAGCCGCTGCTTCAAGGGAGCTTGAAACCTCAGCTCAAGCATCACTTTGTGGCACAAGCGTTAAACGGGAAAGGGAGACTAACCCAATATGGTTCTCGTTGATTTCTGCCCCAGACCGGTGAGAAATAGCTACGATTTATTTGCCATGAAAGAATGCAATCCTGCTTGGTTATGAACAGGTGGTTTTATTCTCATCTAAATTTTTCAGGGAAGGAGATGCCCAGCTGCCTCAGTTATCTTCATCTTACCTGAGAATAAAGTAAGTTTTTTTCTCGCTGACATTCATGTCAAGTTGTTTGTTGCTGGTAATCCGGTAATCAGTCCTTTTGTCATGTTATGGTAGCCTTCTAGCTCCAAAATTTGAGGGATGCTAGCATGTCTTCTACACTGCATCTGATAGTTAAATTCTCTTCCCATCTTTGGTCAATGGTGTCTACAGACTCATCATGTTGGACATAAACTGAGAGAATTTAAATGCCAGGAAAATTCTCATCCACCGACCCTGTTGCCTCAAGCTTCATTCTGTGTCCAAGTCCTTTTTATTGCCGATTTTATTGTAAGCATGGTTAATATTTATTAATATCTTCTATTTTATGTGATGTTTTTTATTTCTTTTCGGTTGACTGATCATGATGGAACCCCAAAGTTTTGATTCCTTGAATTCAATGTCGCATTAATGAGATAATGTCTCATTCCCTATTCGCCATCATCTCCTATGTAAAACCAGGTCATTTCCAAATAATCCCACATTTTTTCTCTATGAGTAAGAATTGTCGACTTAATGCCTATCTTCACTGTTCTCAGTTCCCTTTAATTTTCTACCCATCTTCCATTTCTCAGGAAAAAACCAAGAGGGGGGGCAATGAGTGCTTGATCAGAGAGAGAATGGGGATCTTATGTGGGATGCTTTTGTGTAAATTCTATTCTATCCTATGAGCTTAATCTTGGATCATCAGGTGCAAAGGGCAAGCAAGTTTTAAGTCTGAGATATCCTGCATTTTCTATCCCGGGTGCGACAAACCCTCAAACCGAAGCTCTGATCGACCATATATCGTTGAAAATTTAATCCGTCACTAATAACTAGCATTTGGCAGAAATCTGGCCATTGATGCAGTCAATAATTGGTTTTTTAGCATAGCCGCATCTGACCTGGAACAGTCTTCTGATTTACATCATAAATTTCTGGTAGACATTTCAAAATTTTATGATCGTATATAAATATGATTAAATGAACCAGGCATTGCATTATTTGAAATTATGCTGGCGTAAATCCCCAGGAGTTTGAACGCAATACTACGTCGTACATCTGCTCGGACACAGAACCAAACAAAAAATAAGTTCGTGGGATTGGCAGTGATTACGGAGTTTCCTGTCAATTCTGCACAAAGCTTTCAGTTTTGGAAATTTTCCCGAGGATCTGGTTGAAATAGTAAGAAGCTCCAGTGGGCTTTTCATATCGCCTTCTAGGAAGAGAAACACTTCGTCGGATCATTCTAGTTTGCATCATGGAACTGCAGAGTCTAGTTTGCCACAACCCTATTTTTATTTTACTTGCCCTACTTCGGTAGCTGGTTAATATTTTGTACCCACTTAATACCTTATGCATTCGCATGTTTTAATCACTTTCTTAATCTGCGAATTATATTTTTGGCTACAGGGATGGCACCCTACCGGTTCTACTAATCCAAAAATACCTTGCCAAGAAGCTTGATCTTGCCAGCGAGACAGAGGTAAACATTCATACTCGTATGGTTTGCATGATGTTTTTATGAGACCAAGATTCTCAAGCGATGCAGTTAACCTTTGATGCGCCCGCCACCACCACCCCCCCCCCTCTCCCCCTCTCTCAAGGCACTCATACCCGTATGATTCGCAACATGTTTGGAACAAAAGAAATTATTTTTCCCGGTTTTTTTCCACATTCATACTCGTATTCTCATAAGACCAAGATTCTTGAGCATTCATGCTCGCATGATCTCCGAGATATTTTGTACAAAAGTATTGATTTTTCTCTGTTTTGAACACAAATATTGTCATATTTCCATGAGACCTAAGATTCCCAAATCCAGTCCAATCTTCGCATCTGAACGCCCCTCTCCACTGTGTGTCTCTTCTTACATCTTCTCTGCTCTTGTTGGGTGGGCAGGTGGAGATCACATGTCGAGGGCAAGCTGTGGTGCCATCGCTGGCCCTGCACAAGCTGGTGGACCTGTGGCTACATACGGGCTCGTCCCAGAGGGCGGTGGCGTCGGCAGGCTCCTCGGCCGAGAACTTTGTGATGGTGCTCGGCTACGCCCGCAGAGTCCCCCCCGCCGCCACTTGATCATCCCCCATCCATTCTTCCGATGCTGCCAATAATCTTGATGTCATAAGTAGTAGTGTGCCATTGTTTCTCTGTCGGATGCTGGAGGCTGACTCCAGCTTATTATTCATATATCGTCTACAACAGTAGGGGCTGAGTAGAAGGCGATGAGTTGGAGATAATTCCTTCTGGCCGTTGTATGATCTTCGTTTGTTGCGGGGTTCTCTCTGTCATAGAAGCCTTGTTATGTCTGCTTAATGACAGCATCAAATCTCATAATGTTCTCGTTTTTTCATAGTGTTCTCATGCTTTTCTACCAGTTGCGAGGGGCTTCTCTCTCTCTCTCTCTCTCTCTCTCTCTCTCTCTCTCTCTCTCTCTCTCTCTCTCTCTCTCTCTCTCTCTCTCTCTCACTCTCTCTCAAATCCTCAACATGTTTGGAGGACCCCGTAATAAAGTAAAAAAGATACGGAATTGGGTTGGGAGCTTTTTCTAATAAATAATATGTTTTCATCTAAATAAGTGTCATTATTAGCTCATTATCAAGAAATTAGACACCAAATGTAAACAGTTATGGGGGAATTGGCGAATAAGAACTCCCAATGACCACCCAGAACAGAGCCAAGAAAAGAAGTACCTGAAGGGGTGAGAAAATCTCTTAAGCCCAGCAGAAATGGGGGTAAAATGCTTAAATTTCTCTGTATTCACTGCATGACTGATCAATTAGAAAGCTGATGGAGCTTGGGTTTGAAGGGTTTAACATCGGAGGCAAGAAAATATTAATATATATAAAGACATAAAACAATCAGCCCGGATGGTTGCAAGAGGGAAGCAAAAGCTCTGATACAACAAAATCCAATCAACTATGGTTTCCCTTGAGCCAGAAAAGATGTGGCATTCATTCACGGTGGGGGTGAGAACTAGAGAAGGAGAGGGTTTTCTTTCGTATATGAACGAGATGAATTCAAGCCAACCAGATATTGGAGTAAGAAGAAAAGATTTAGCAAAGGTGGAAGGTTTTTCCCTATTGTGTTATTGCAACGGTCAGATTAGAGTTTGACTTTGGTAGTGGCAGCGAAGACAACTAAGACTGAAAACTTCTCAATAGATTAGTTTCATAGCGCATATTAATACTGCGCTTAATGATTTGGTCAAACAAGAATATAGCAGCCAATCTAAAAATGCCTCAGGAGTAGGATAGATCCTGGCAATGTCTAAACACCGACGAAACTAGTCAAGCACACGAGATAAAGATGATGCTGCTGCTGATGATGATGATATATATTCATGCATAGGGCAAGACCCACCAGATGTTCTAGCATTATCCAGTTTAAGCAGCATAGAACCGTGAGATCGAGAAGGCAGAAGACAATCTAAAATATGAACAAGGCTTGCAATAGAAACGGCACCCAACATTAATAGAATTATGGATTGTGAAACTGAACAATTTAATATAAATAGTACACACAGATCCTCAGAAACAGGATTGAATCCATCAAGAGCATGTTTACATTTGAAGAGGAAAAGTTCATCGAGAGACAAATCACACATTGAAGTCGGGCAGTTATCACAGTCTGGCTCCTGAATTATTATGGAAAAAAATGAGGAAGCCATTTCTGAAAGAACTCGAACTCCATGTAGAGCCATTTGTAATTTGTTCTCATGAACGATTTACAGGAAAATTATAGAAGAGATAAAAACAGGAATAAACGCCGATCAATCTCGTTCAGCGTGAATTGAGCATTCTGAAGCTGGGTGAGGACGACAGATTCACAAGGAAACATGGGTAGATCACACACCTACCGCAACGACAGAATCTCGAGAAGAGATTGGGGCTAGATCCTTCAACCCCTTCGACGTGGCATATCACATCTCCTTCTTACCCACACTGTCCTGGGAACTACTAGCTTCTCCAAACCAAAGAAATATCACACCCGAGAATAGGGCGGACGATGGGGGCTGCCTACCACGGACAGCAATCCTCCTTCCGCGGCCTCCTGCTCATCAAGAAACAAGTCGTCCGTGATCCTGAGAGCCGAGTGGAGAATTACGACTGCGGCACCGATCGCCAAGGAAACAAGTACGTTCAACCCGACGTGGGTGAGCACGAGAGCCACCACTGTGACGATGGAGAACACGAACAGGACGACACGGTCGCTGAGGGTTCGGTGGAAGATAACGATCGGCTCGTCGCGGGAGAAGTACAGGGTGAGCCAGCCGACGAAAATCACGAGGAAGACGATCATGGATATGGGGTGAAAAATGAGACTAAGAAAGAGGATGAGGAGGACGACGATGGCGTAGTTGACTTGGAAGTAGGCGACGTTACGGCGGACTCGGGCCATGGCCTCGCCGTAGCTGTAAGGGCGGACAAAGGCCGAGATGTCCGCGAACTCCCGCCATGGTCGGCGGGTGGCGAGGAGCTCCCTACCACGCTGCTTCATCAGCGAAATGGAATCCACGACGGCGGATGTACGCGAGGTGGACGCAGCCGACGTCCTCGCAAATGTGGGAATCGCCCCGTACCCGGATGGCGGAGCCGCCGACATCCTGGCAGAAGGAGAGATCTCCCGTACCCCACCTCCCTTGGAGCAACGGAACCAGACAACAAACCCTAACAGCCGAAGAGCTAGCGACAGGTGGGAGATCGCCCTCTCTCCCTCTCTCTCTCCCTCTCTCTCTCTCTTATTTCTCTTCCCCATTCGCGCAGACGGCGGGGAAGAGAGGGCGGAGGAGCAGGACGAAAAGGCCACCAGATTCAGCTCTGAATTACGAACTATCCTAGCACTATTGTCGGATCTAATACTACGGTTTTTCCTTTAATCTCCTCTTCTCTGCGTATCCTTTAGCTCTCTGTCTCTGTCTCTCTCTTCTGGCCCGTCTTGGAATCGCTAGAGAGAGAAAGAGAGAGAGAGAGAGAGAGCTCTGATTTCCAACCGACCAGTACGTGTGAAGGAAGAACGAGGACCTTTTCGGTAAAACAATATTTAAAAATTCTTCTCACGGTTGCATTACGTTGGAGAATTTTGGGAGAGTTAATCAAGAAAAAAAATACTCCACGGAAAATACGAGATAAAAATCCAGTATATGTAAAGGTCTTACCCTAGCTTCTTCACGCGTTGACTAATTCTTCCTCACTTTGATGACTCCGTACCTTAATCGTTGTTGCGCCGTTGACCCTCATCGAGCAGTACCCCCTAAAATTCAGGGTTATTTTTTTATAAAATAAGTTACAAGTTAAAATAACCATAGCTTATAAGTAATTAACACATAATTATGTAGTTAGAAAATACAAGCTTGCGAAAATGTCAGAAAAATAATTGATCCTATTAATTATTTAGTCAACCCTCAAGGCAGATCATCATTTAGGGTAAATGGCAAAATGATGTTTCTTATATTGAAAACTTTCTGTTTTTAGTCAAAATAATTGGCATTATTCGTCATCTTGATTCCCTTCTTTCCTAAAAACAGTAAGTCTCGAGTTGCAGATGGGAGGGGCTGCGCGTGTGGGGCCTTGCCCACCTGATGATCACTTCCCAAGATTCTCGTGGAATGCTGGGAAGATAATGCTCTTACTTATTTTTTAGTTTTTTTTAGAATAAAATAAAGCAAAAGGCTCTCCAAATTCAGATTTTTACCCACAAATCTAACCAAACTCATACGGAGTAAATAAATAATTGGGGCCTCTATGATTACGCCGGCCCATCACGCACAGCACGTGTTCGCTGGAAAGCCTACGTGGAGGGCCCCCGCGCATGTGCACAGCCGGCGGAGGATTGGCCGTCGCGGCGGCCGAGAGTGGCGCCGCGGGCGGGATGCGTCTGTCGGCGTGCAGTTGGAGAGTTTCCGCCGGGAGATGGACCGGGCACATGCCGTGTCCCCACTATGATCTCATGCTTCCGACCGCTAGAGGATGTGTGAAGGGTCAAAATAAAAGAGTCTAGTAACATACGCAGATGCAGGAATCGGCGAAACAAGGCACAGTTTACGGCCATTCAATGGCGCCATCTGCAAGCGGCTAGTGATAGAATGAGGGGATTGCAGGGTCTGGACAAGGGCCGGGATGAGCGAGAACCAGTGGCGAGAGACAGAGAAGGGTACCTCCACATTTTGAGGCTCGCCTCTTTCTCTCTCTTCCTTGGGATCTTGGGGAGTGATCTGGGCAAGGAGATGAGGTCTCTCTCGTCCGGCGCAAGTCAAATAATCTGAGGCGGGAGTTTGTACACGGTTGGAGTGTTTCCATATTTCCTGCCAGATGAGACCCGGGAGAGTGAGACTATGAGCAGGCGTCCTCATCTCATCAAGATATAGTAATGAAAATCAATCGAGGGCTTTTACATCATCGTCACCTGAAGCAGAAGCTCAGGCTTTTAGTCCAAACCATCCTTGAAGGGCCCAGAATCATGCAGCATTTGGATGACGAGTTTGATCTGCCAAGAACACGGATCAGCAATTAACTGAGAACGGTAAGAGCAAAGACCATCATCATGTGCACGAGTATATTATCATCATTAAGTGTTGTCAACGTGACTGTATGAGAGTTGACTCAACTCCAATGACTGAAGACGATGAACAGATGAGAGAAGATACCTGATCGGTCTCGCGTGAGAGAAAGTCCTGAATGGCTACCTTGAAGCCGTCATCTCTGATGTAGTGGGAACTGTAGGTCATCACAGGCATATAACCCCGCTGGATTTTATGCTCTCCTTGTGCTCCAGCCTCCACCTTGTTAAGATTAAGCTCGATGGCAGCTTCTATTGCCTGAAGATGGTTCAGATGGCAATATACGAGGGAGACTAATTTTAGTGTTAAATGGAGAGATGAAGATCACCAATTACTCCTTATACATATATTTTGGCTAGATCACCTGGTAATAACATGCTTCAAAGTGCAGACTTGGATAATAAGCCTGTGGATGGCATCCCCATAGACGACCAAATAAAGTGTCTCCTCCAATCAGGTTGAGGGCTCCGGCAACAAGCTCATCCCCATCTTCAGCAACAACAAGCAGCACATGATCGCCCATCTTCTCTCCCAACTGGTAAAAGAAATCTCTCGTCAGATAAGGTCGACCCCACCTACACACAAAACTAGAATGGTCAGCATCAGAGTAAGAATAGAAAGCAAGAGGAATACCATTTCTAGTTGTATGTCAAGAATATGTACCAAGAGGAAGCATCTTCAGAGGCATCGTCTCTAGTTGTATAGAACATGTTTGATGACCTCAATATAGAAATATAGCTATCTTACTTTTAGATCAAGAACCAATACCGTGCAAAAAGACCGTCCTGATCCTCATCGTTCACAGGGATAATCTCATTACCAAATTTCTTAAAACCAATGTTTTAGGCCATTGACAAACGTCAAGGTTTCTCAGCATAATTCAGAGTCACAAGCATAACGTGATGCCTTATGTTAAAAAAAAAACCCCCTGATCATCATCCTTCATAGGGATCATGCCATTATCAAATTCCTTTCCTTTTTAAGTTAACGTTGCACAATCTTAGTCCCGGTATTCATGATGTCACAGAGATATCAAACATCAATATCGTTGCAAGGCATGCATTTTTATGTGAATAATATTTTATTGACATAATGAAATTCAGGGATCTAAGTTTTCAACCTACAATTAAAAAAAATTGGCCAACTCCCACAGAGGAATGTAATGCAATAGTTATTATTCAATAACTACATTAGTTATGATCCTTCTTAAGGACAGTGTCATCATTAAATATCACGACAATATTACACTTCTCAGCATCATCTTCCAGGACCATATTTTCGGCCAATATTTGTTGAAACTCCCACCCTAGATTCAAACGTCAAAACCATTATATGGCGGTCATCTACATCCAGACTGATATGCCTAAATAAGTAAAGCTTCTTCGGATCGTTCTTACCATTTCCTCGAATGGGCCACAGTTTGCCTACAAGGAATGTCAACAATGCAACTCTATCCAGGGAAGGGTTAGTCCTTATGATAGAAGTTTTTTAATATGTTACTGATCATTGACCCAGGGAAGCAGAATCTCAAGGTGGAACCAAATTAGAAAGTTATAATTCTGGCTGAAATCAGTAGATTCATGAACCCTCACAGGCAAAGGTCTGAGTTCAGGTCATTGTGTCTACTTACTCACTTTACGCTCTAGTTATTGCTTCTGATATCAACTTAGTCCCATGCTTATTTTTCGTGGCTCATTCAACTTTTCAAAGTACCTTGTTCATTGACATTACCACCCTTCCTCACAACAATTTTATTTTTTCATATCCTTTCTCAAGAAAATTTAGATGGAGCTCCTAAAAATTAAAGGAAAAATTTTCATATTTCGATCGATTCTCTCACAGGAGGCATGTCCCCATCAAAAAGTAGGGGTAAGTTTAGAATCCAGGAATTTCTATTAAAACATTTTTGCCTTCTTCAAACATTTTTGTTCTAGAAATAAGATAATCTCGGGATCACTGATTAGCCACAGATATTAGGTCAATCAACTAGCAGCCATTTTCTCACAACAGACTAGATGTTTCGAACGAGTACACCACAGAAATAAGAAAAAGGATCTGCCTGACTCGAAATCATTGATTGGGTCAAAATTTTAAATATTCTTCTCTTATGAACAACTCAACGACCAAAAACATAAATTCCCACGCTTATTGAGCCTAACGCTACCGACAAACGTCACCATGAAGACCGCAGGCCTTCTGCATATATCTGTTAATCTTTGATCATCACTTGTAGAAAATCTCCTTAAACTAGGCCTTGTGAAAGACATTTTTTTTCAAAGAAAACTACAAAGATCTCAAGGTGACAAGCTGAAAGCAAAAGCAAAAGTGCAACCAGAGCACGGATCTGGCAATCAAAATTCTTAGGAAAAAATAAGCACGCAGTGTGCATAAGGTAGTAGTAGTGAGATTGATATTAGACATATATCACCAAAGAAATGAAGAGATGTCTCTCATCTGAGGAAAAGAGTCCAAAGTACAGTACAAAAATTAATGTAGGAAAGACAAGATATATGCCAATTTTTTTGCATGGAGACAGAAAAAACTTAACTTGTTATCTGTTGTGTTCCTATAGAATTTGTAGAATGCATCCCAATGCTCGTCCTGTCACAATGATCACAGTAGATTACAGTAAATATCCACTATATTATTTTCTTCCACCAACATGTATTTGGGGGTGAGAGGGGGGAGGGGGGATCGCCATATGTCAGATCCAATAACAACAGAAGAGAGAATACAATATCATAAGGGTAACTGAGATGGTCAACTATAACAAAAGGCAAATATCAGATGGTCAATTGCGAAATAATTAATTGATATCTAAAATAAATTGGCTAAAATATCTTCCGACCATAAACAATATTATGCTAAAGAATTTTGCGCCTCGAATATTTTTCATGGAATCCCCGTCCTAAGTTAGGCCTTTTGTTGCGATTTGGTACACTATGATGGCAGGATGAGTGCTTGCTTATTTTTTCTATTTCAAACTAAAAGTGGCCGTTAACGAGCAGATGGATCGATTGCCACTGAAAGAAAGGACATATTGACTAGTTCCCACAGGAAGAAATCGTAGGCGGTCTGTAGGTAAAGATGGAAATAGGCACCAGAAATGAAATGCCAAATCAAGAGCTTCTCACTGCTAAATTGATAGATGACAATCGAGATTATTTTACATTCCGATTTGTATATGAATATAGTTAAGTTAATGATACCATGACAAACGAAATATCAAAAAACAGATGAAGATGTCAAATAGAAAAACTATCATCTATCAACAACCCTGGATGGAGAAGATGCAGACTCATGGGGTCAACAATTTGCACAAAGAGATATAACCGACGAGAAGAGCCACTGAAATCTTACGCTCAATCAGGGAAAACATTCCCCGAATTTATCTTTGAATTTTTTTTTTCCAATTTCATCATTTTGCATCCCATTTAGAATTATGAACCAGACCAGGGGTTTAACATCTACAAGGGTGGGATGATATCATTAATATACTTTCTCCACTGTCCTCAGATCTATGTGGTCAATAAAAGTATCTCCACTTTCACCATGCCCTTACAACCCCAGCCAACCAGTGATTCTTTTCAGCTCTTTAGTTGAAAAGGATGGAAATCCTCTATTGAACGGCACCAGAGCAAAAGAGTACGAAGAGAAAATAATAATTATGGGGTTCCAGATGATGATCCTCTAAATTTAATCATAAGAAAGGAGGGGTCTCTATAGCTAACTAAATCGCCCATAAGAACCGTCGCATTCATCCCCCCCAACCCCCCCTAAAGCTACTTTGAATTATGCTCTTGTTAAATAATTCAGGAATTTATTCATATAAGTACCTTTATTTCGTGACCTCGAAGGCGTTTCATTTTTAGATTTTGAGCAGATATCTGCATGAGAAAACAAGGTGATGGCATTGTCAAATTCTTTGTCTGTATTGAAACTAATGACCAAAACCAGCTAGTTGAAAACTTCTGCAAAAACCAGCAGAAGTGAATAAATATGAATGATTTGTGACAAGGAAAAAGCTGATCGCCTGGTCAAAGGTAGACACGGATTTTCTGGCAGAAGACCATCTATATTTACGAGAAAGAAAATAAAAAAAAATAACAAATTTTACTAACCTTTTTACGCTCCTGGCGAATGTTTTTTCTTTTGTTTTGCTTCATATCCATCAGGAACTCATCGAAGCTAAGACAAAAGTATCAAAGATTTCAGTATATAATCAACTCACAGCATAATAAAGCCAGGCCATAAACTCAGTGCATATATGCTGTCACCAATGGCAATAAGTCATCACCGAACACAGCTTACGGTTCTAGAGGTTTTAACTATTTCTTCCCCTCATTTCTAGATAACTGTAAATTTCACTGAAAAGAAAAAACGCAAGCAAATATATGAAATCTCTAGAGATATATGACTGATTTAGGAAGCTTCAAATCGTCAAAGGATAAACATCTGGCGAGGTAAAAATTTCAGGCCAAGATCACTTAACAGCAAGACGGATATATGATATGTCGGGCTATAAAAATAAAGCGAACCAATTAATCCAAGTAAACACACGAAACTCAATAATATAATGTTGGAGTGTTGCAATTTCCAAAGACCAACGTAATTTGCAAACATGTTAGAGCTAGGAGCTTCACAGTGGACACTGCACTTGACTGCAGAAAAAAAATAGAATGTCTGATGATGTTTTACCGGTCTATTTGTGAAGGCTACTGTTTTCACTAAGTAATCACAAATAAAACACTCCTCACAGGAAATAGTGAGAAATCTCTTGATCAGACAAATGTATAGAAGAGGACTCAAACTTGTCAGAGCCTAAATGAACAAATCTAAGGAATGTAACCCAGCCCATTCCTCTATGCTTTGCAAACTTCTTTTGACTTTACAGAAGCGGTGGCAAGAACCTCAATTTTTAATTACATCAACTATAGGTTTATAGAAGAAATAATGTTTCAAATCTTTTGGGACATTCATATGACTTAACATTATAACTCCACAATGAGAATAAGGGAAGCAGATATAACGAGAAGAAAATACGTTCTTACATATGATTCTAAATAATCAATCCTCAACAGAAGCAGATATAGGCATGACAAACTGACATAAAATAGGAGTGAAGATAAAATGAAAAAAATCAGGATCTACAAAATCATCATGTCCTTACAATCATAAATATAGGGGGGAGGGAAAGGTATTAGAATTAACTCTTTGATCATTTTTCTAAAAACACATAGCACTATAAATTTATTAAGTATAAAAAGGAGACACATGGACATACAAGAATGTGTAAAGTGCGATCTCAAAAGAATTGAGAAGAGCAGTGACAACCCAGAAGAAGACTATACTTATCATAATGCTCACTTTTTGTAATTACGATTTTTCCAGTGATACTGCATCCCTGTTCTTTGCAGAAAGCCATCCTTCCTCATTTTCTGCCACTCTGTCTCAGATGGGAATGTCACATGTAATGATGAGACTTTCAACTGCAAGAACATTAAAAATTTAGTGACAATATATGACAACACACTCAAGCACGCTTTTGCCAGAATAATTCGATAACTAATCAGAAACAGCGCAATAATAGCAAGCGGAAGAAGATCCCCATCATAATTTTGGGCTATACTATGCCTATAGATAGCTGAACACCATGTGAGGAACACGATAACATCAGATGATTTTAAACAGAGTCAACTCATTTTCTGTATCTTAGCAATGGCCTTTACTGACAGCCTTGGATCACTAACAACGACTCAGAGAGAAAAACATTATTTAATAAATTTTCCCATTTAAATCAAGAATAAAATTAATTTTAAGATGTGATCATCCAATTCAGTAAATCAAGCCAATTGATTAGACAAAGGGATAATCAGCAGAAGTACAGAGGTGAAGATGACGGAAGTTTTTCTATGGGAGAAGAAAAAGAAGGAAATAACAGGAAAGGTGAGGGGAGAGAGAGAGAGGCAGATCATACGAGATAGAAAAGGGAAAAAATTAAGATGATGGAAATGACAGAAAAGCAAGCAGAAGCATAGGGCAGAGATAGACAGAAAAGAACACGAAAAGAGATTACGAACGGTACAAAACAGAAGAAAGAATTGTCTTCCAAATCGTACCAAGCATCGAAATTGTAAAAATAAATAAATATATTATTATAATGGCTAATTATAACTGAAAAAAAGAAGCAATTTTTGCATTTAGGTCTGTGAATCAGGTGACTTGGAAGATCATCAATATTTTAATAATCATTATCCTTCAGGGAAATGCACAATATCATATTTCTCAGTGGTTGGTTTGAATGTAATTGTTGATACATATTTTGAAAAAGTCAGTTTTCCTTTTTCCTTCTTTCAAAAAGGTTAGTCGTATGCGTGTGCATATATATGACCCTACGTTTAATAGATGTATCTACGAGTTGAAATGGTTGTTGAAGTCGTAAAACTTGTCCACAAAATCATAGCATGCGACATTTCAGATTAGATGCATATATTCTTACAACTGCTCAACATCATTTAGTTCTTGCAACTCTACATTCTGCGGATCAAAATAGCACTCCTTCCTAGGTATTAAACAAGTTTTCTTTTGTGATGTGAAAGCGCATTGAGATAGAAAGATTATCTCACAATCGTTCCTAGACTGTAAATTTGAAATAACCATTGCATGATCGTATCCATCTATAAAAGAGATCCCTTTTTTGTCCTTGCTCAATTTTCTAGGTATTTGATTCATGACAGATCTCCGGGATGTAGTTTTCCAACTTATTTTTTCATTAACTTTTTTCGAGAACCATACTTGTCAAGGAATACAATGCTATCAGAAACCAATTTATCTTCTCTGTGCAATAGAGGTAACTCTTTCTAGCGGAAAAAAGGAAAAATTAACCGAATTTGCGTTTCTTCATTACATTCACGGTGGTTGATAAAAGAAGACAAGATAAGAATTCATCAGATTAAGAGGTGAGCAAGTAAGGAGTACGAATTCATGAGCAGAAAAGCATTACCTTATTTGTAAGATCCTTCAATGCGACAACTAACATATTGAAGACTTGTTCCCTGCACCAAACATTTCTCACTAATATCCTTTGACCTGTCACTGGAGTGAATGGTACACAACATTGAAGCTTTGGATAATAATAACTACCATAGCTGTAGTAGGCATCAGCCCATGAATGATCAAAGACATACTCTCCATATGAGTGACTGCCAATTCAAATTACAGTCGATTAGTTAAAAGACAAAAAGGGAAGAAAATGAATTGAAAACTAGGAGTTCCTCCTCTGAACTAAAACAAGAAGAATGGAAAATATGATAATAAACCATTCTCAGCTTTTCAGATGTTAAACCTTTTAAGATATAGTGGAACAACACCTATTGTATTTTTATACTCATCCTGAGCAACAATATGCTGTGGCAACCAACCAGTTCCCTGAAATGATTCAGATAAAGTGTCAATAAACGCTAAAATTTCATGTGAATACAGGTGGCTATGGAATGCAAAATAGCTGTTCACTCGTGAGATCTAGACCTTAGGAGATGACAGCGGAACAGGGGCCAGTCAGCAACTGTGGTATCCCAAGTTAGAAGCAACATTTCTTTCGCTTACATTTTAAAGCAGTAACGATCTTATTGTTTACCCCACGTCGCAAACATAAACCAGCCAACCATTCAATTGAAAATGTACGGCTCATTACGACCAAGTGATGGCTAATCGCAGAAAGGACCAACTTCTTTGGTCCATGGGATTTGCTTCAAGCAGTCAAGCCATAAACGTCAATCAAACGTGGAAATCTTCAACAAATAGGAAATAACTGTGGAAATGATAGTGGAATGTAGAGAAAATCATACATCCTTGTTTACTACGAAAAACGTAAATCGAAGGGGACCTCCACATCTTTCATCCATAACCCAAGGGGATACTTAACGAGCAGAGGAAGAAACGTAATATCCCTCATAGTAATCGTATCAATTTTTGGTATTCAATGTACAAGATTTCAAACTGACAAATACAAGAAAATGCTCGAAAAAAAATGAGAAAAATTAACATTATAAAATAAACAGTAAATTTCATCAGGCGAATGAACTGGCACGGAGTATAAAAGCTAATACGAGGCATAAGAACAGCATCTGCTGCAAATAACTAACCAGAACTGCAGATCCTGATTCCTCCAAGCTTGAAAGAAAAGCATGCGTGAGGAATGGATTAAACTTCTCTAGACCACTCGAGTCTTCTGCACATGCATCCCAATCCTTGGATGAAACATCTGAAATGGATGCCGCGACTGACAGGGATATCCTCCGAGGCTTCACATCAGTGACTGAAAAGTCCTACATAGACTGTGTAGAATAAGAAGATACACTCAACCGGCATTAAGTGCGTCTGAAGACGAAGGTAACCAGCGGAAAAGTGGGAGAAAGGATCAAACCTCTGGGGGTGAGCCTGCCAAAGAAAATTCCCCAAGTGAAGTTTCAAACTTAAGGGATTCCGCAGCTTTTTTCGGTCCCCAAAACAATGCAAAAACTTTACATGAACGAAACGAGATTGGAGTGATGTATCTAGAAGACGACTTGCCCTGGAAAACAGAAAAAAAAAAAAAAACTGTTACAACTCATAAGGGAAAAAGGAAAATTCATCGTTTACGATTATCGGCAAATGTATCCAATCATTCCAGCGGCATGCAGTTCATTTTCTTTCCCCTCGAGCTCCGCATATTGACGGCCAGTTTGAACGATTCAAGTCTCACGCCTCCCTAAACTGACGAATTAGGAAGGAAGGAAAACAGGCTCCCGAAATCTCTCGCGTCTATTGGGAAGAAAACAGTCACGGAGGAAAGCCGTGGTTTGCATGCGCGGTAGACGGGGGAGCTCACCAGCCGTCCCGGCGATCGCCCTAGGAAGGAAGAAGGCCAGTGCGCCGAAGCAGAGCAGGAGCTGCAGTAGATGGCCATGCCGGCAAGCCGCCACCGAGGAAGGAATCCCCCCCCAGGGAATCGCCCTTCCCACTCCCTCACCGTTGGAGACGCATGGCGCCAAGTGGCACACGCGGCCTCTCTCGCTGCCCCCGAAATATATTTCTGGTCATAAAAAAAGGCCAATTTTATGAGGGTGACGTCAATTTTACCTTTAATGCTTAAATACTTTAAATTTTGTATAAATACTCTTAACGCGAAGGCTATAATTTAAATGATCTGGGTATTTTCGTGATTTAAATTTTTGTCGTGCCGTTTTCTCGTGCACTCCATGTGGGCCCGATAACCCCCAAAGGGTTGGAGGGGTGTGTACATGCATAAATTTGAAAACTAAACCAATAGGAAGACTGTTAGAACGGACATAATTTTTAAGTATATGTGGTTTTCGAAGGTAAAATAGGGTGTGTACACACGGGTAAGCCCCCGGACGCGAATGAGATAGCGTTGACCGCGTCAGGCAACGCTGATCAGGCTTCGCCCCCGTGGTCCCGTCAATGGGCCCTCGTAGACCCAGTCTCCCTTATTTCACATGCGCGAGTACTCCGCCGCTGAATAAAGACCGTCCTTGGTCAACGACGACCACAGTACAAGAGAGCGGATATAAGCACACAGAGAGAGAAAGAGAGATTCTTCAGCGCACGACTAAAATTTGAAGTTCCCGCGGGAGGAGGAGGGACTGCATGGATCTGGGCCCTTCCTCCTCGACATGGGAGGAGGGGGAGGAGGCAGCGTCACTGTTCTGGTCCTTCGCCGACGAGCTATCTTCCCTCCCGAGTGGCGTCTCGGCTCTCATGGACCTTCCGCCATTGCCACCATCGCTGCTGCGGCCGCCGCTGCTGCCGCCGCCGCTGCCGCCGCTGCCGGTGCCGCCACCGGCGCTTGAGACTGTGTTCGAGGGTTACTGGAGGGAGGAACGGGAGGTAGCCGGCTACACTGGAGGCTGCAGCGTGGTCAGGGAGACGGTGGAGCTCCCGACGAGAAAAAACGCAGGCGGCGATTCGGCGGAGAGGACCAACGAGGGCAACCGAGGTTTCCGGCATATGATCAGCGAGAGGAGGAGGAGGGAGAAGCTGAGCAAGAGCTACACCGACCTACGTTCGCTGCTTCCGTCTACGACCAAAGTAACCCCCCCAACCTTCCCGTTCTCCTTCTCCCCTGCGATCCTCCGCTCACCTTTTCCCTCCTGTGGTTCGCGCAGAGCAACAAGATCTCCATCGTCACGGCGGCGATCTCGTACTTGCGGAGTCTGATGGGGCGGCTGGAGACCCTGCGGCGGCGCAACCGGGTGCTCGGCCGGAGAATCGCGGTGGAGGTCCCCAGGGGTCGGGTCCGCTTTGAGACCATAAAGCTGCCAATCACGGCGGCAACCGCCTCCCTCACGACGAGCTCCCTAATGGAAGCGCTCCGGCGGTTGAAAGCCATGGAAGCGAGGCCCAGAACCATCCGCTGGAGCTGCACCGGCGAGGAACTGGTGGCCGGTGCAGACACCCAACCCGCGGTAAATCTTCATTCTTTTTTACCTCCATTTAATCAACGCAGATAATCCCTCTGCCAGGAACCAATATATCGATATCAACCCAGATATCGCAAATAATCTTCTGATTTAATGAGAGTTTTGTATTACTGCGAGAACTGTTCTAATCCCCGGTCCTCTGCTCTACAGAAAATAGCCGAGGAGATTGACACGGTGGTCAATTGCGTCCTGGTGCAAGAGGAGGAAGAACTCGATGACTCACTCGATGTCATCGGAGATTGGTCAGCGTCCTATCGCGGGTGCATGGGGAGTGTAAAACCCGAAGTCAACGGATGAGATTGAGATCTTGTGCCGAAATCTCTCCGGCATTTTATTCTTTTTGCGCTCTGCGTGGTGCCCACATTGTGAACATGAATTCGTGTTTGCCGTATATTCTTTATTTTTCGTATATTTGTAAACCAATAATAAAAATTCAGTTATATTGGGACTCTATTTATTAAAATATAATTTGTTCATAGCCATGTGAACCTACAATAGAAGTCCATATTAATGCGCAGCACATGAAATATTATTTTGCTATTTTTATTTTTATTTTGGATTAACATATTCGTTGTGTAAGATAAAATTTAATTGCATATAAGTTTTCATTTCATGTATTCAAAATTTTCTTTTATTTATTTCTTGCATCATTTTTTATGGATTGTCGGATTCCCATGACCGTTTCCGATCAGCGATGTGCCCCGGACTGGTGTGGCCTTTTTCCACGGGCGGCAGAGCCGGTTCAGCTCACGTTAATGGATCTCCAGGCTTGACCGACCCTCCTTCCACGTCAGATAGGACCATTAGTAGACCTTCGGGTCAACGTCTGTGGTGGGCCTATCCGCGGGGACCATAGATATCATCACCAAGAAGCCGTCTAACTGTCGACAAATCGCAACTGGGGCAACGGCTAGCCGTTTCTCTCTGTGCGCGGCGGCAGGCGGAAAAGTTCGGGGGGGGAGAGAAAGAGCGGGAACTACGAGGTGCTTTCATCCTGAGTCGATGTGCCGGCGGAGCAGCGTATCTCCTCTTTTGTCGCGGAAAAGTGGAGGGACGTTACGACTTCTCTCTCGATTCTTCCATCTCGACCGTCGGGGCGGGATCACGCGGCCAGAAATTCAGATGGTTTGTGACTGCTGATCACGGCCCTCCAATCGGGAGGGCCCTGATCGTTGGGCTCGCCTCCCCACGCAGCCCAGAGGACAACAAAAGAGGGGCTCTCTTTTTCTTTTCTTTATTTTTTTATAAAGCAGGATTAATAAATAAAGAAAGAATATCATTCCCCCATTTCCTGGGAATTATTATATTTGATTGGGGAATTATTAATATTATTATGTTAGAAAAAAGGGTTAAAACGGGAGGACGACTGGTCATATCTGTCACTGCCCGCGGCAGCGCACCCACCTTCTCCTCCGCCTGCAGCAACAGCAGCAGCTGCGGCGGCGGCGGCGGCGGCGACGCACGCGCGGGGAGAACGCCCAACGCATGAGCATCTAGGGTTTCGTATACGTTCTCAGTACATCGTTAATCCTAGGTTGTCCTGGCTCTTGGTTTTTTGCTTCCGTCTGTCTATCTTCTTTCCATGGGGACGTAGGCGGAGGCGATCATCGGCACCATGAGAGCGCCGATTGTGGCTCTGGGGTCTCAGATGTCGGAGAGTTGGGCGAAATTTCAAATAAGGTTCGGTGATGTCCCCGTTCCCGTAGACATTACTCGTCTGGATTGCGAACCAATCGCTTCTAGGCGTTAGGTTATTGGTGTCAGAGTTATTCCTAATCGTTGTCCTGCATTATATTATGATGATTTTCGGTATCCATGCATGCTTCGTTTGATCCGTTCCAAGAGGCATCCGTTTCCATTTCTGAGTTTGAATAGATCGTTCTGGGTTCCTCCTGCCGCCCACGTCTCCCTCGCGTTATCCCACGCGAGATTAGCATCGAGTAGGGATTCCCGACGCTCGATATCTCCGTTTCTCTCGGTTCTTTCCTGTCGTTTTGAGGAGTTTGGGTCCTGACTTTTTGGGGCGATGGAAGAAGTGGAAGAAGCCAACAGAGTTGCCGTTGAGAGCGGTGAGAGTGTTCTGAGCCTGTTATCTCAGCCACAAGATCAGCTGCAGTGGGAAAACATAGTGGTTGAGACGGGGAAAGCCGTTTCCAAGTTCAAGAGAGTGGCTTCCCTGGTCAGTAATCTTCTTGGCCGTGCTAGGTTCAGGAAGCAGAAGCCAATCCAGACTCATCTCCCTCAGAAGATATTCTTGGATAACCCAACTGTATCATACAGGGCTGAATCCTCTCTGACTCCCCTCCAGCTCCTACCAAGAGGTCTCCTCGGGCGCTCTTCATCGGAGATGGACGCACCTGCTAGAATCCCCCTCTCTCTCGCCCAGAAGTTTTCAGGGAGCTCTTTTTTGGAATTGGATTCGCCCGCTAGAGGTCCCTTCCAAGTTTCCCCACTGGCTCATTCCATCACGCCATTTCAGTACCTTCAACATCAGAACAGCCAAAGGTTTCAGCTGCTGCAGCAGCAACAACAGCACATGAATCTCCATTCAGACGTATACAGTAGGAGCAACAGTAACATAAACCTCAAGCTTGAGGGCTCCAGCTGCACGCCCACGATGTCGTCCACCAGATCATTCATTTCTTCCCTCAGCATGGACGGAAGCGTGGCAAGTTTGAACGGGAATGCGTTTCATCTGATTGGCGTCCCGCAGTCATCTGATCGTTTGGGTCTCCAACCACCTTCCAAGAGGAAATGCACAGGTAGAGGCGAAGATGGGAATGGAAAATGCGCTATTAGTGGCAGGTGTCACTGCCCAAAGAGGAGGTTAGTGTTGTCGATCGCTTTCTGTGTGTTTACCACTTGGGAACTTGGTAAATTCTCATTATTTGTTCAAAAATTGTAGAAAACTGAGGGTGAAAAGATCCATTAAGGTGCCCGCCATCAGCAATAAGCTCGCTGACATACCACCGGATGAGTACTCTTGGAGGAAGTACGGGCAAAAACCGATCAAAGGCTCTCCGCATCCTAGGTTACTTCTACCCTTTTTTTCTTTGTCAGTTTATACCCTCTGTAAACGTAAACCAGTATATGGTAACGAAATTTCGGGTTTTTTCATGGTTTACAGCTCTAATCTTCCCTGCAGGACCTATCAGTCGTATGCCTTTCAAGCAACCCACTTATTTAGATTCCTGATTGAAATTACCACCCGCAGGCTTGGGGTTTATTTGATCCGAGTTTAGTGTCTTTCCCATTATAAATCTTTGATCATGTTTTCTCTCATGCTGAGCGGAGTATTCTGATTTAAGAAGCTTTCAGTGGCTTATATGCGAAGAGGTGAACCATATTTTATCAAATATGTGCGAAGGTCTTTTCCCCGACTGTTTCTCGGGGAAAGTACCTCCCACAGTCTCATTCATACGCCCGTCGTTTGATAGCACTGATTAGCATCCTTTGCTGTTGTATTGTTTGTTTGAAATGTAATCTGAATAGAGGAGTACGTAGAACTGAAAGCTTTTTTATTCGCCCAAATTATGCAGAGGATACTATAAATGCAGCAGCATGAGAGGCTGCCCTGCAAGAAAGCACGTCGAGAGGTGTTTGGAGGACCCTTCGATGCTCATAATCACCTACGAAGGTGAGCACAACCATGCCAGGGCACTGTCACGCTCTGCCACCTCGTAGGTGCTTTTAAAGGTCTCCGGTGAACATGGAGGTGCGCTGGCTCGTTTCTGTAAATGAACTGGTAGAAGTCTGACGGTAAAAAGGAAGAAGAGGAAGAAGAAGAAGATATTCGATACAGATCAAGATAGGCTGCTGCAAGGGCTGCTGTTGGTTGGTATATGTGATATCTAACTGTTTCATCCAAAACATCTGTTTTGTTTAACCTCAGATCAGATTGCCGCTTTGAAATTTATATATCATTTACAGCAGCTGCTTGTGCAAACATGCACGATGATTGACAGATGTTCAAGCAGAAATCTGTGGACAGTCAAACCTCTGCTGTATCCCATTTTGTTTTTTTAAAAAATTATCTGGGTTCTCTGACCTCTTTGTCGATCTTTTTGTTTTGAGGGTCCATCTCACTCGTTCTGTCTTTTCCATTCTAAGAACCATACTACTGAATCTTGAATGAACCAGTTTTTTTTTTCCGTTGTGAGTCTACCCGCAGAGAAGATAAATTCGCCGATTTTTAGGGAACAATTCATCCATTTAACGGAGCTTTTTACTCTTTAAATGAAAACTATGATGGACTCTCATCAAATCGATTTTATGTTTATGGATAGATGGACGATGAGCGGTTAGATCACAGAAATGAACAGATTTGTTCACCTTAAATACTCGATTAATGAGGAAGAGGATCTGTCGGAAGGCCCTGCTTCAGACCACGTAGAGGTCTTCCCCTGTTCTTGGGGGTCAGCCATATGGTGGCCGAAATCGTCGGGCTTCCGACGATTTCGAGGGCTCCCCACTTTTCCTCTCTGCTTCTCCGGTCGGCCTCTCGCTTCCTTTCTTCCTGCCCTCCTATCCTATCTCACCTTCTTCCTCCTCTGGTTCGTTCTCCTCGTAGACGTCGAGTGCACCAGAGAAGAGTGAGCTGCTGCGAAGAAGATGGCGGTGGACGGAAACCGGTTCCACATGGAAAACAGCGCCGCGTCATTCATCGTCTGCTACGCGCCGACGATGATCACCACCAACGGGGTGTGGCAGGGTGACAACCCGCTCGAGTACTCCCTCCCTCTGTTCATCCTCCAGGTGCTGCTCATCGTGATGGTGATCCGGGTCGTCGGCGTCTTCATCAAGCCCCTCCGCCAGCCGAGGTTCGTCTCCGAAGTCATCGTAAGCGCATTCATCGACCCTGGTCCGAGCCGCCATGACCTGGCTTCCCTCCCCTCGGAAGCTTGCTTGAGCTCTGTTTTCATGGTAGGGCGGCGTGGTTCTGGGGCCGTCGGTGATGGGGAAGATCCCCAAGTACCTGGACGTGATCTTCCCCACCAGGAGCGTGGCGGTGCTGGAGACGATGGGCAATCTGGGGCTGGTCTACTTCATCTTCCTGGTGGGACTGCAGGTGGACGTGGCGGTGGTGAAGCGGACGGGGAGAAAGGCCTGGGCCATGGCAGCGGCGGGGATCGTCCTTCCCTTCGCGTTGGCCGTCATCTCCTTCTTCATCTTCAGGCCGGGCATCTCCAAGGGAACGGAGACCGGTGCGTTGGTCCTCTTCCTAGGAGTCTCCCTCTCCGCGACGGCGTTCTCCGTCCTCAGCCGAATCCTGGCGGAGATGAAGCTGCTCACCTCCGAATTGGGGAAGATCGCCTCGGCCGTCGCCATCATCAACGACGGCTGCGCATGGATCCTCCTCGCGCTGGCCATCGCCGTCGCCGGCGGGCACGGGTCCTTGCTGCCGCCGCTGGCGGTCGTCTTCTCCGGCTTCACCTTCATGTTCTTGCTCTACCTCACCGTTAAGCCGGGGGTGGCGTGGGTCCTCCGCCGTACGCCAGAGGGCGAGGCGGTGGACGACGCCTACATCTGCTTCCTCATCACGGCGGTGATGGTCTGCGGCCTCGCCGCCGACGCCGTCGGCATCCACGCCGTCTTCGGGTCCTTCATCCTGGGGCTGATGATCCCCAGCGGGCCGGTGGGGGCGGCCTTGATCGAGAAACTCGAGGACTTCGTCACCGGCTTCATGATGCCCCTCTTCTACGCCGTCGTCGGGCTCAGGGTAGACGCCTCCGCCGTCACCGACGTCGGCGCCGCCTGGTTCCTCGTCATCCTCATCCTCACCGCCGGCGCCACCAAGGTCGGCACCACCCTCCTCGTCTCCTCCTTCTACGGCATTCCCACCCGCGAGGGCCTCTCTCTCAGCATCCTCCTCAACACCAAGGGCCTCGTCGAGCTCGTCGTCCTCTACATCGCCCTGGACAAGAAGGTAATCGACCCTCCTCCTCCTTTCCTTCCCTCCCCGGAAAAGAAGGCCGGTGCAACACGTTTTTCACTTTCCTCCGGCAGGTGGTGGACGGGGAGACGTTCGCGGTGATGGTGTTGCTGTCGGTGGCGGTGACGGCGCTGGTGACGCCGCTGGTGGCTCTGGCCTATCGGCCGGTGCGTCAGCTGGCGCCCTACAAGCGGAGGACGATCCAGCGGTCGAGGCCGGACTCGGAGCTGCGGATGCTGGCCTGCGTGCACAGCACCCGCAACGTGCCCTCCATCGTCAGCCTGCTGGAGGTTTCTCACCCTTCGAAGAGGTCCCCCATCTTCGTCTACGCCGTCCACCTGGTGGAGCTCACCGGCAGGGAATCCGCCATGCTCGTCGTCCACGAGGCCGAGCACCGGCCGGGGAAGCATTCCCACGGGAACCTCAACCGGATGCAGGCCCAGTCGGAGCAGATCATCCACGCCTTCGAGAGCTACGAGCAGCACGCCGGCGGGGTCACCGTACAGCCGCTCACCGCCGTGTCCGCCTACACCAACATGCACGAGGACATCTGCAACCTCGCCGAGGACAAGCGGGTGGCGCTCGTTATCCTCCCCTTCCACAAGCAGCAAACAGTCGACGGCGGCATGGAGGTGACCAACCCCGGCATACGCACGGTGAACCAGTGCGTCATGGCCGGCGCGCCATGCTCCGTCGCCATCCTCGTCGACCGTGGGCTGGGGGGCACGGCGAGGATCTCGGCGGGGCAGCACGCCGCCCACCACATCGCGCTGCTCTTCTTAGGCGGCGCCGACGACAGGGAGGCGCTGGCGTACGCCTGGCGCATGGCCGACCACCCGGGGATCAGCCTTACTGTGGTGCGCTTCCTCGACGGCGGCGGCGGCGGCGGCGGCGGCGAGGCGGCGGCGCCGCCAAAGCTCCCTGCCGACATGAAGAACGACGCGAGGGTGGTGAACGTGATCACCGACCGTGAGAGGGAGCTGCTGTTGGACGACGAGTTCATCGAGGAGTTCCGGCTGAGGAACGCAAATGACGAATCTGTGGTGTACACGGAGAAGGTGGTGTGCAACGGCGAGGAGACGGTGGCGGCGATCCGCGCCATGGATAGCATCCACGACTTGTACGTCGTCGGGAGAGGGCAGGGGAGTTCGTCACCCCTTACCGAGGGGCTGACAGACTGGAGCGAGTGCCCCGAGCTGGGGGTCATCGGGGACCTCCTCGCCTCGTCGGACTTCGGCGCCACCGTCTCCGTCCTGGTGGTGCAGCAGTACACCGGCGGCTTCCCCGCCGGCGAGGACCCCAGCTCACCCGTCAGCCCCTCTCAGCAGGCGCACCAGCACCTAAACAACCACGGCAACAACCAGAAGGGGAGGTCCCAGGCTTGGGGGCCTTAGCCCCGCCACCGCCGCCGCCGGCCATCTCTCTCTCTCTTCTGTAGATTCCCTTTTCTTCCCGGTTCTTATTGTAGCAGAGTCACAAACCCGCCATCACCGTCATTCTGTCTCCATTCCACTTATGAACCAGGTTTTTCCACAGAATAAAATCCCAGAATGAAATAATACGTAGGCATTCCGCCATGTACAATATCGACAGATATGTATATAAGTCCGTGATCACATTCTCGGGTCAACCACACGAGGTGAAAGCTAGCTGGATTTTTTCCAAAAATTAATCGAAAAAATGCCACCTTGCATTTTTCAAGATCCTAAATCAAGCATTAATTTATAATCGACGTGATTTGCACCGCTGACTTGACTTTCGACGATCAAACTGAAATATTTATCTTCTGATATATATATAACAGAGAGAGAATGAAAGAGAGAGAGAGAGAGATTAAATCCTTAAATTGGTGGGTGAAGATAAGTCAACTAGCCAAATATATTTCGTGAAAAAATTGACCTAGTCGTGGCTGTCCCACCGGGGCGGCGGCGGAGGCCACGTGGGGAACGGTGTTTCTGTCATTGGGCAGTCAACAGGTGCGGTTTCGAGAGCCGCAATCGGAGCGACTGGCAGGGAGACGGCGCCGCCGCTGTGCGGAAGCTGCAACCCGCTGTTTCTCTCTCGTCTTCCCGATAAACCTGCTCCCCCACCCCTCCGCACCAGGGCATTTCCCACTCCCACGGCGGCGGCGTCGGCGAGGCCAGACGATGCCCGAGGGTTCTTCTGGTCCCCCCGCCGGAGGATGGCACCGGCGGTGGAGCAAGCTCGACAAGGAGGTACATAGAAAGAAACGATTTCGCACGATGTACGCGGAAAAGCTCTTCTGCGAATGCAAGGGATGTGGCCTTCTTCGTTGTGAAAGCTGTACAGATCAAGGACGACGGTCGCCATCGAAGACATCCAGTTAAGAATAACGGAGAGGAGACGGTAGAGGGAGGGAGAAAGAGAGATGTAAGATGCCGGGAAATGGGCGGAAAGAAGAAGGCAGGGAGGGAGGAAGGATGGCGGAGGACGACGAGATCTGCGGGTCAGGAGGTAGGGGCTGGTGGGAGGTTGAGGTCGAAGGCTAGCGGCGGCTTCCTACTCTTTTCGGCGGCGGTGATGCTCTGCTGCAGTTGCAGCTTGAACTGGAGGTGGCGGAAGTCTGAGAGAGCCTCTTTATGAGGCTTCCGCCGAAGCTGCTCCGCCACCCCCATCATCTTCTTCTCCGGCTCGCCCCACATCAGCATCTGCATCGGCAGAACATCCTGCCCCGCCGTCGGTAAAGACGCCGCCATGCCCGGGGGGAGATCCCAAATGTCGGTCCCTACGACGAAGCGGCCGGTCCGCCATGGCTGCGGCATCGGCAGGTAGGTCGAGGAAGAGGTCACCGAAGAGGAGAGGGACGGAGGCGACAGAGAGAGCGTCGTTCCGGCGGACGACGTCATCTCCGGCTTGTCGCAGCAGGCCGCCGTCGACAAATGCCCGAAGTTGGTCTTCGCCTTGGGGCCCCGGAGATTGCGGGCCGCCTCGTCGTAGGCCCTCGCGGCCTCCTCCGCCGTGTCGAAGGTTCCCAGCCACTTCCTGGTCTTCTTCCAGGGGTCTCGGATCTCCGCCGCGAAGCGCCCCCACGGCCGTTTCCTCACTCCCCTGAAATGCGCCGCATCCTTCCCCCCATCCGCCGGCGAGCCCACGATCACCCCGCTGTCACCGCCGCCGCCGCCGCCGCCCTCCTGCCCCAGCCCCAACATTCCCCCCACCTTCCTTGTCCGCTGTGTCTCCACCACCACCATTCCCCGTCGCAGATACTAAGAAGCGAGAGAGAGAGAGAGAGAGAGAGAACCGGCGCTGGGAAAGGAGGAGGTGGGGAGAGGAGCGGGGAGGCTTATAACTCGCCGGCGCCGCCTGTGGAGTGGCACCGAGTCACGCAGGGTCCAATGTGGTCAGCAGACCCACCGCCCATTTATCTCGCCTGCGCCTGCGCGGCGCGGCGGAATCAATGGCCGTCGTCAGGCGCCACCAGTGGGTCCCTGCCGCCGCTCGGGAGTTCCGGCTAGTTGTCAGGTGGGCATAGGCGCGACGCCCCATCCCATCACACGGCTCTACGCCGCCCCTGCCGCGGTGAGCGGACCGTCGCCTGTCTGGAAATCAGGTTCTCGTCGGCGCCGGAAAGGCCGCCGTGTGACAACGAGATGACGACGGCGCCGATGACGGCGACCGGTGATTTCATCGTCGGTCCGGTGATTCCCCTTCACGGGGGCACACGCGCGGGGCGGCGCCGACGAGGCTGTTCCTCCATCAATCTCCTCCGCGGAGGGCGGCGGCGGTGGGGCCACCCGCCGCCTCCCCCCATCCCACTTGGCAAGAACGTAAATTGGGTCTCGTTCTTCATCGTAATCCCTCCCCAGCTGCCGTGCTGCTGCCCGTTCGGCGGCGTCTGAGCAGAGAGCTTTAGCGGGAATCGTAAACTACTGGGCAGGGCAGGAACAAGGGCCGGGGTAAAAGGGTGGCTTCGACGGCGCCGGCGAATCACCGCCGCCCCCATGCACGGCGTGTCGCCGGTGTCGGCGGATCGCCCGCTCGGAGACATTAACTGTGGCGAGCGGTCGACACCGAGAGCGGGGGGGGGGCTGCCGCTGCCTGGTGGCGCCTTCCTGCCGCGCGTAATAAAGACGGGCGGCGGAAAACAAGCAGCGGCGACGGCGTTGGGGGGGGGGGGGGGTGGGGACTGATGAGGTCGGCGGTCAAAGGCATCTCCGCCCAGTAGCCCCAGTAGCCCCTCGCTCTTCCCCCGCCTCGTACCTGCTCCGCCGCTTCTTCATCTTCCGCCTCTCCTGAAGGGGAATCTCCACCGCAAACCTCAAAACGCATTGATTATCCTCTCTCCACTGGTAGATTTCAAACATTTGATCCTGGTCTCAGAAAAAGGGAGGTTCATTTTTTTTCGCCCTGGGAAGGGTGGGTCATTAAATGACCCCGGCCGGTCGTCTTCTACCTGTCTACTGTGGAGCCTGTTGAGGTGGTCTTGTACCTACCCGGCAGGCCCACCGGCGACAGCAGCTGAGGGCCGGCAATCGAAGCACAACGAATGTAGAAGGACACGTGACGGCAGCGTCCTGATTCAGGGCAAGTCATCAGCCTTCTACCGCGAACTGCGGATGCAAGAATGAGATCACAGGAACTGTGCGCGCCGCTGGCAGAGCCTTTTCCGGCGCCGCCTGTCGCCGGCGTGGGCCACCGGAGGCCCGCCAGAAAGCCATGTCCTCCGCCGTCTCGTCGTCTTTTCTTCCTTCGGAGACGTCCGCCCGCCGCCCCCGTCCCCGCAGGGAGAGAACGACGACCGCACCTCTCCAGCCGGCGGCGAAACCTGACTCCAGGGGGGACGAGAAAGCGACTACGAGGACCACGGCGGACATAGCCCTGACGGCACGGTGGTCCTGCGAGGTGGGTCGGTCCCATACAGGGCCGCCTCGTAAAGGAACTTCCTCTGCTAGTCGTCAGGGCAGCGGGAGAGGGGGACGGCGATGACCTCACCGGCCTGCGACCACACGGGGCCGACTGGTCTTCCGTGTGCCCAGCGCGCACGCTTCCTCTCTCTCGCCGTACGGTCGGCCCGCATGTGGACGGCAGTCGGCGCCAGTCGCGTCCACGGGAAGGAAGACCCCGGCAGGGACCGTAGAGCTTCCAGTTTTGACGGTGACGTCCTCGTCGCCGAACCCGCCGCCGCGCGGGGCGGTAAGCGGGCTCATAACTGCGAGCACCTGCGCCGCCATCGACCACGCAGCCGCCGGACGCATATAAAAAAAAGCTCTTCGTCCAACGTAACACTTAGAAAACAGACGGGTTTCCCGGTCGGAGACCTCCATCGCCGCCGGGCAGAAGGACGTCCGGCGGCGAGTGAGTTCCGGGTCTGTACAACGGGCGGGACGGGAGAGGTTCTCCGGTTTCGCGGTTCTCCGTCGATGGTGACGGCGCAGCAGGGGGGAAATCCAGTCGCCGCCGCCGCCGGAGAACGCATGTCAGTCGCTGACCGGTCATCAGCAGATGCCACCGCCGGCCATCTGCCTCACTTGTGGCGTTGAAACAGTCAGTCCCACTGTTCAGCGGACGGCGTGGTTCGGATTCCGCCGTCGGAGCGCCGGGCCAGTGTGAGAAATCATAAAATAAAACAAGCGGCAGACATTAATGCCGGCGGCAGAGCGCACGCTCGGGCAGACGGAGCTCGACGTCACCGGGCAGGCTCCCGTCGACCGCTGCGCCGCAGCCCTCGCCGGAGACACGACCCGTCAGCAGCCCTAAATGTTCAGCAGCAGCAGCTATGGCCATCCCGTCGCTGCCCCGCCTCATCAACTCACTGCTACGCCAGCTGGGGAGGATGGTGGGGCTTGTCTGGCGGCGCAGGTAAAGACGGGGTCAGCCCTCGGCAAGGCTACAGTGAACGCAGCTTTCACTTGGAAGCGGACTCCCCTCGTACGAATGACCGGAATGGGCCCTCGTCTAATCGGTCGGCAAGTACTATGGTTGACTCCAGAACCCAGAGGCGCCGTCCGTTCATGAAATTTAGGTCGGTTCGAAGCAGTCAAACTTTACCAGGAGTCTTGTCCGAAGAAATGGGAGACGATAGAGCATCCAAATATCGATATAATCCCGATTAAAATCAAATCTTATAAGACGAAATTTGTCGATATAATCAAGAAAGAACGAGGATGGTTTGACACCTCGGTTTCAGACGGGTGGGTAAAACTTTAGTCGTAGTTCTATAAAATCGAAGAAAGTCAACTCTGCTTGCCGGTCAGTGGCTCTTCTCTGTAATTTCTACCATTAATTACTATTTCCGGTTAATCTTCTAAACTCTTTTGTATCTTCTGCTCTCCTTTCCATTGTTGTTTACCCATTCCCGTCACAGAAGGCACCGACCTGGGCAGCGGCTGTACTCGATTGTGCCGGCGGTTCAATCGGCGGACGGCGGCGCCATTTCACATCGCCACCCGTGGAGCGGCTCCGGTGGGGAACAAAACCCTCCCTGTAGGATATTCTTGGTCCTCCAGATCCTCTCCGATTTGGATAAGAAATAAAACCATCGGATGAACTCTTATTCAGGTGAAAATTGGTCCGCAGGCCTCCATGGCTTTTAATCGTCTTCCTCGAGCAGCTTGGGGAAGAAGGATGCTCCTCCGCCTTCCCTCTCGGAGGAAAAAAAACATAGAACAGGGGGGGGGAAAGGAATGCCGGGTCTGGGCTTGCATTAGGGCTACTGATTCTCTATCTTCTCGACGGCGGTTCGGATATCTTCTTGAACCGCAGCTCTCGACGGCGAGAGGACGGCGTCGGCCAAGACGGACGGCAGCCCGCCGAGCGGCGCGTAGAGCTCGCAGGCGTTGTCGGCGTCCTCGTTCAGCGCCGCCACCCTGTGCAGGCAACCGATCTCCTCGGGGTCTATCAGCAAGCCGCTGGTGCCGTCCTTCCAGCCTATCAGCTGCATTCAGGGAAAAAATGTCAGGGAATCCATCTCCGGCCAAGTGAACTACGGGGTGGCTGAGGGTTCAGAAGTTTGCTGGCCTGGGGCGGCGCTGCCATGACGTTGGTGCAGTAGAGCCTGGCGTTGTCTACGAGCTGGCAGTACTTGGGGAAGGCCCTCGCAAAACTCCGGTGGGATTTGAGCTGCGACTTCACCCTCACCGCCCGCTTGGTGAGTATAGCCCGCCTGAGATTTTTCAGATACCGACTGGTTAGAGAAATGAGCCACGCCGGCGATGTGTCCTCCTGTTCTAGGTTTTTTCCGGCTGGAAGACGACCTGATCCCTCTCACGACGGCGAGATAGGTGTCGCACACGACACCCACCAACTCTATTCTATATGGCTTCCTCCTCTGGTCGCCACCGCAGTTGTCTTCCTCCTCCTCGGCAACCTGCTCCCAGTAGTTCTCGATGACGGAGCCGTCGTCCTGGACGCTGTAGCCAACCCCCATGCGGTAGCGGTGGCGGTGGACTGCCCGGGCCATGGCGATGGTCTGCTCCACGAAAGGCTCCCACGAGAGGGTTCCGTCCATGATCACGTCCCGGCCCTCGTTGAGGGCCGTCACCAGTAGCGACGACGCCGCGTCCGTCGACGACTGGTGAACCTGCAGAAAATCCCTCAGGTCTTCTGCATCACTGGACGGAGGCGGCGCGCTGATGGCCGGCCCAACTTCTGGAGGGCCAAGTCAACGGGCCCAGATTCCTGGCCTCAAGTGAAGCAGGTGCTCCCAACAAATGTGACGTGAATATTTACTTATTTAGTTTTTCTGCATATATTATCTCAGATATGTACTCAGAGAGACAGAGACAGAGAAGGGGGGGGGGGGGAACTCTGTTTACCAGCTCGGCAGTCTGTAGGATGTCATGGTGATCGCCGCGGGAGCTGAGGGCGCGGTAGATGACGTCGGACTCCTTGAAGGCGTCGGCCTCGACGACCACGGCATTGGAGCCAGCGCCACCCGCCCAGAAGGACCTGCGCGACGGCGAAGAAGCGAGGTCAACGGGGAACACCGCGGATGAGGCGTCAAGCGCTGGCCACGAGCACGGCTCACTCCTGGAGGATGTCCTTGAGAACGGTGCTCTTCCCGGCGCCCATCCCGCCGCCCATGAGCAGGAGGACGGGGCTCCGCTCGCTCAGCGCCGCCGGCACCATCACCTCCGTGCAGCGGGCGTCGTCTCCGCCCCCCATGCCGATGGCCTTCATCTCCTCCGTCAGCGTGAAGAACACCCGGGTTACCTTCAGGTCCCTGGTCACCCTCTCAAATCTCATCTTCCTGTTCACAGTTCCTCACGTCAGTCAGCTGCCATGAGAGAGCTTGAGCTGGAGGAAGATGGCTAGGAGGATTTTAGGGAGGGAAAAGACCCAACCCACCTGGTGGCCTCCATGACGAAGCTCTTTAGCTTCTTCTCCTTCTGCTCGGATTCCGCCGCCAAAACCTACAAGATTCGCAGACGCCATTGATTCATACACCAGCGTGCATATGATTCGACTTTCTGCAGGTTTTTCGTCCAGTGGGAAATACCTGGCGGATCATGAGGGTGGTGTGGCTCCAGTGGAAGGCGAAGTAACCGAGAATGCATCTGTCCAGCTCGTCGACGAGCTTGGCGTGGAGGGACTCGGGGTCGGGTGAGCTGACGAAGAAAGCGAAGATGTTCTCCTCGCAGTCTTTGGCCTTCCTGAGATAATCGTTGGCCAGCTTCCCCAGTCGAGGACACTGGCTGCTGTCCCCGAACCCCATCTGACGAGCTGCAGGAAGAAGCAGACGAATTTGGTACTACGATTAAATCTTGTCAATACCATTGGTCCATCTATCAGTACGCGACGTGCCAGCATGATTAGAGGTTAGGAAGTACACAGATTATCAGCAGCGGAAAATCTTACATCCCACAGCTTCGGCAGATCGCTTAGAGCACCAATTGGTAGAAAAAGACCCATGACCCCTTCGGGTTATGAAAAATAAAATAAAATGAAAAATGCAAAGGTCGTCTTATTCAAAACCCCAATTATAACATCTCTTCTCTCCCACTTCACACCTAATTCCTTCAGTGGTTTATCTAAAAGATTCGCAATATAACTAGGAAGGCGTTTTAAATACCACACGAGTCACTGGACATGCGAGTTTTATGTATCCCATTTGATATCTTCGTACACGAGAATCAACAGATTTGTGATCTGTAGGTCCAAATATCGAAAGCGGATTCGAGTTTCTACAGATGTGGGGATGGTCCGACCACGCGCGAATCGAGAGACGACTCGGATGGGAAGAAGACGAGGGAATGACAGAAGGGAGAGGAGATTCGATCCATACGCCATTCGAATCAGATCCTATTCGCAGGTCGATGGGAGTCACGGGATCTGATTCCCCAGGACCGCGATCGAAATCGGCTGGGTTACGAAAATCGATGGCTGAATCTGTGGATCAGTCAATCTCTCACCAACGTAATCGGGGAAGCTCTCGAGCTTGACGACGAGGCCGGAGTCCCTCCGCACCAGGCGCGGGATCGGCTTCTTCTCCAGTGGGCGCCTGCTCCTCTCACGCCGGATCCGCGCCGCCGCCGCCGCTACTCCGGCCGCCAGGATAACGACGGAAGCGGCTGATATCCCCAGCAGGACGTGTCCGGTTATCCCATCTGCAAAGAACACAAGCCGCCGGCAGGGTAAGAAGTCGTCAATCACAAGGGGAGAACTGCTCGCGTCCCCCGTAAGCAGATCCTCAACAACAGTCGAGAAGACGAGGCGGCGGCAGCGGCTGCGGTGGGGGCTGCGGCGGCTGCGGACTAACCTTTCGACATGATGAATTCCGGCGACTTCCCGTCGTCTCCAGTGCACGGGGGAGGCACATCGAATTGTCTTCGTGTCTCATATATAAAGACCTCATATGTTACACACACCAACTCTATTATTGTAGTATGACCTACTGTAGTATCGTTCGTACGTGTCAATAGTGGGCCCCGCAGAGTTTTAGATCCAATCACGTTCATCTGCGTAGATCATATATTCTCTCTCTCTCTCTCCCTCTCTCTAACCCCAACGACCAGCTAGACTCCTATTTATTGAGTTTTTAACGATTTTCCCTTTTAAAAATATATTAAAATAATATGAATGCCAACTGATTAAAAAAAGAATTATAAATAAAAGTACATTTTCCGTATTTCTTAATTTAGAAAAAAATATATAAAGACTCTTCGCCCATAATTACATGTAAATATGACGACGACTGTAAGATAAGATTTAGCTTGTTCCTCGGCGATGAATTAGCTGCGAGTTATCCAGTCCTGGGCTTCTCCCCAGGTCAACGTCAATCATGAGACGTTAAGAGATCCCCCCACAAACGAACATCCTGCACAGCAGACGGACTCTACTGAGACCTTCGGCTCCGGTTCAACTCCGGTTCGAATCATGAACAACAGGCTCACACCGCCACGTCATCATCCTCCCCCGGAAATTGTGAGGATGATGATCCCGACGTGGAGACGACGCACTAGTCAGCGCTCGCTGTGCAAGCAACCTCAAAAGTTGTGGACGAGAGTCCGCCTTCGCACGTGCGCAGCGCGTCGGACGGAGCCTATTCGCCGCGCGTGGTCCTTATCCTCTCCGCCGCCAATAAGTAATGCTCGAGTACGTAGATGAACGACCCTCTCTCTCTCTCTCTCTCTCTCTCTCTCATTGCCATGGCAGTTGTGTTTGGTTCCAGAGGCCAAAGCGTCGCCGGCGACGACAAGACGATGAAGACGGCGAGGGAGGAGGAGGAGGGCGGCGCCGACGGAAGCGTCTTCGACATGTTCTCCTTGATGGCGCAGCTTCCCCAGAAGTAAGCACAAAACAGCAGCCATTGACAAGCAGTCCCTCTGCAATGGAGCGGCCTCTCGTTCTTATTCCCTCACTCCTCCCTAACCCCACCGTTGTTTCTCCTCTGTGCAGGAGGAAAGGGCTGTCCCGGTACTTCTCCGGCAAGTCCCGGTCCTTCACGCGCGTCGGCGAGGTCAAGTGCGCCGGCGATCTCGAGAAGCTCGAGATCCCGGAAGCCAAGCGGGGGAAGTACGCCGGCCGGCACGCCGAAGTCCTTGCCTTCGTCTCCTGCGGCACCGCCTCAGGCCTCTCCCGTTGCGGCTCCGCCCTCGGCTTCACGGGGGGTCTCGCTGAGAAGTAGCCGCCGCCCTTGCCCCCTCATCGTCAACCTCATCAAACCAGCTGAAACTGTGAGATCACTCACATCTCTGACCGTCTACTTCGTCGGTGGGTTTTTCCTGCTCGAGAAGCCTGTGAGGCTGGTTAGGTTTATCGCCGCTTCAGCCAAAGCCAACTAGGCGGAACTATGGCGGCAATTGTTTTTCCTAGCCGATTTTGCGTCATGTAAAGTGCACCAGAGCAGGCTGTACCTGATTAAACGATCTCAAAGGCCTCTCAGCGTATTAATAGCTCCAAGAAATTGGTCGCCTAATGAGAGACCCCTCATGAGCCTCCTGGTTTTACAAATAAATCCGCTTGTTTATGCGAAGATCCCACACGGGCAATCGAGCTATGGGTCTCACCGTTAATATGATGATGATGCTTTCCATCATCATCTTTGCCTGCTGAAAAAGTATTAAAAAGGGACATTTCACTTTTTATGAATAAAAACGAAGAGTAGATCGTTACCCGGTTCGATCATTGGGGGGATTGTCAAAACGAGATCCAGGCCAGTGCCACATGCGCCTAGGCGTGATCGGTTTTCCATATGCAGCTTCTCTGAGAAAGGGAGAGGGGGACATATATGCATATAGGTAGAGCGAGAGAGAGAGAGAGAAGAGGGAGCCAGTTTTTTGAAGTGGGCATCTCCAAGAGATCCCTGACCACCCGATCTGTTGCTCTCTGAGTCAGGATGGAGAACTGAGAGGAAGCAGGGCTGGTTAGGGTTCTGGGCGGCTCCGTGACATGGGGGTGGGCTACCAGCAGAAGTGACCCGGTATCTAGCCACACTTTCTCACAGAGGCAAGCCTTCTTCAACATTATCATCTCTCGGGCCAATTTTTTAAAAAAGTATTCAAAGAAAAATATAAAAAATACGCTAAATTTTAGGACAAAAAAACCAGGTAATCCGTATCTCAAACCCAGGACAAGAGGATGCATGAAACCCATGTCTCAAACCCAGGTAATCTCTCTCTCTCTCTCTCTCTCTCTCTCTCTCTCTCTTTCTCTCTCTCTCTCGTTCTTCCTCTGACACTTACTCGTCGAGATGACGATGAAAGAATATCTACTGTGGTCAAACAAGCGCATACTTATGCAGCAATTCGCTTCCATGTTCACGATCCCCATGAATTATACAGCCATACCTGAAGAGCTCGAGAGACACACTTCGCTCACCAAAAATCGCCACACGAGCACTGTCCATCGGTGAAATGGTGGAAGCGGCTCCGGTCGCGGACGATGATCGTCCTGTTCCAGATCTTGGAGATCAATTTAATGGCATGATGGCAGTCCTCGCACGTGCGTAGGTTCTTCAGGATCTGAATAGGCAGATGTGCGGCGCCCGACTTCATCAGCCCGAAGGCGATGGCAATCCTCTCGCTGTGAACGAGCAAAGACTCCTCCTTTTCTTCCTCATCCACGTCGATCGTGACCCTCCACGTATCCGGCAGATACCCCGCTTCCCTCAGCCTCCGCGCCATCTCGCTCATCATCTCCCGGATGTCCGAGATCTCGGGGTGCGATCGGTCGCCAGCGATGAACTCGTGGATCTCTCCGTTGACCACGACGGAGCTGCATCCCGCCGTCTTCTTGATCCCTCTCTCCTCCATCACACGCCTGATCTCAGAAGAACTCGCAGACATTCCGGAACTCGCATACACGTTGCAGAGTTGAACATACGCGGCGTCTTCGTGCGGTTCGAGCAGAAGAAGCCGCCCGGCCGCCTTCTCAGCCAGTCGGACATCTCCATGAAACCTGCATGCAGCAAGAAAGGAAGACCAGATGACGGCATTGGGCTCCATCGGCATGGCTTGAATAAGCTCCTCCGCCTCTCTCAAGTACCCGCCTCGACTCAGAAGGTCGATCATGCACCCGTAGTGTTCGATCTCAGGCTCTATTCTGAAGAGGGATCTCATCTCTTCAAAATGCCAGCGGCCATCCTCCACGAGACCTGAGTGACTGCACGCCGTAAGAACACCAATGTAGGCCACCCCATTGGGCCTGATCCCTTGCTTTTGCATGTCGGAGAAGTATTCCAGGGCCGCTCTGCCCTGCCCGTGCACGGAAAGCCCTGAAATGATCGCAGTCCAAGCTAAGACGTCCTTCTCGGGCATCTTTTCAAACACCAGGCGCGCATCTTCGATCCTTCCGCACTTCGCGTACATGTCCAGGAGTGAAGTCCCGAGGTGAAGATCCACCCGGATGGAACACACCAGGACGTGCGCATGAAGGGCCCTTCCCTGTTGCAGAGCTCCGAGGGACGCGCAGGCGGCGAGCAATGTCACCATGGTGACGTTATCAGGCTTCAAACCCATCGCTCGCAGCTCTGAAAACACGGCTAGCGCGTCTCTGACATCACTGTTTTGGACATACCCGCCGATCATGGAATTGAAGGATATGAGATCGCGGTCGCCCATTTCGTCAAAGATGGCGCGAGCTAATTCCACGTGGCCCAGTTTGCAGTATCCGTCGATCATGGCGTTGCACGCCGACAAATTCATCCAGCCTGTGGAGTCGAAGACTCGGCGAGCAGAGGGCAAGTCGCCGCACTTGGAGTACATATCAATCATGGCAACGGATAGATTTCTAGTAAGTCTGATGTTATGATCATCGACGACGGCGTGTATCCACCTGCCCAGTTCGAGATCCTTTAACTGAGAGCAAGCAGAGAGAGCAGAGACAATCGCGACGGAGTCTGGCATCACATTGGCAGACAGCATGGCCTTGAAAGTGCGGACTGCTTCTGCTGGCCGTCCTGCCTGAGAATAACCTGTCATCAGGCTAGTCCAAGAAACCACGTTCCTAACAGGCATTTCATCGAACAAGTTCTGTGCCTCATCCAGACGACCTGATTTTACGTACCCGCCGACTATCGTCGTCCAGGAGATCACGTCCTTGTGATTAATCCCTTCGAACGCCTTCTTTGAGAGCTCAATCAAACCCAGCTCCGAGTACATGTGAATCAGAGAGTTCCCCACCAGAGGATCATCACCTTCGCCGAAGGCCCTGAGGAAGTTTCCGTGCACCGCCTGGCTTTCACCAGCGGAGGAGAGGCCACACGCTCTGAAAACAAAGCAGAAGGTGTGCGCGTCCATCTCCACGCCCTCCCGCCTCATCCGACGATAGAGCCGGATGGACTCCGCCGGAGCGTTGTGCCGGCAGCAGGCTCTAACGAGGGTATTCCAGAGGAATGTGGAGGGGCCGGGCACGCCGGAGAAGACCCGGAAGGCGTGATCCAGATCATCGCCGCCGTTGGGATCGGAGAGGCACATCATGAGGTGGGCCAACGATGGAGGGTGGCGGACGGCGCCGGTGACGACCATGTGGGCGTGAAGCTCGGCGGCCTGCTTCGGAGTTGAAGGTGCTGGCCATTGGCTGCGAATTCCGGCGATGGATCGGTTCAGAGAGCGAGGCCGAGCACCAGGTGGAACCATTTGACGTTGAGCAATCCTTCATCGTCGTGGAGGAGATGGAGGGAGGACCCCGGACGACCACCATGGACTCTCTGAAGAAGCCACGAGCGAGGATCAACGCCGTTATTTAATATTATATTCATGAGTTCATAGAAGCGCATGTTCCTAATATATAGCACACTAAGCAGATGGAACATTAATATCATAAATGCCCATATTTTAAAATTTAGAGTAATATATTTTATAATTAGCACGTTAAAAATTTTCAGAAGGGGTGCTTGACGCCAAATTATCGACCGATCTAAGCAGAAAATATCGAAAATTGTTCATCGTAAAACTGTGAAAAATCAAACGATTCTTCACATGTCAAATAATAAATAAAATATCGAGTTCAAATATTCATACATAAATATTTATATATTTATATGTGTGTGTACGCGTGCATATGATACTAATTAATAATCTGAATTTTAAAAATCATTATAAATTAATATTTAAATGACGAAAAAATGTTCTCGAATAGGGAACTTTACATTCTATGAAAAACAACAACAAAGCAATACGAAGATGTTCATTAGCTCCACAAACGTATCTTGCCAAGCTAAAAGTTGTTGCCGGCGCCTGATCGAGCCATAAATGGCCCGCAATGAACAGCACGAGCCATAAATGGCTCAGGCCTGGCGCGAGTGAACAAGTCAAACGCGTCTCGGGGGTGAACAGTTGGATGAGCCGATGAACCAACATAGGAAACGCGTCCTGAGTACGCACTGGAAATCTTAATGGCGTCGGTCGACGTCAGTTCTGAACCTTCCAACGTTGCATTCATCTGGGGCGGCTGCAGCGCCACCGGAGCTCGTCCTCCTCGGCAATGCGACAGAGTAATTCCCGCAGCCACGCAGCCCCCAGGTTCGTGCCATCAATGGTCTCGCAGCAGGACAAGGACCGGACAGCTCGTGTCCTTCATGCCTCTCTTCTCGTTGGCTTGTCGGTCGGCCTCCTTAAATTTTGCAGGACAGCTCCGGCCAGCGCCAGTTTTAATGGTGGCGGCAGCGACGGCGACGACCGTCAACGGGACGTGTTCGTGTGAACAAGGCCTGTTTCGGACGGGAGAGATAGGCAACGGCTGGGTGCCGGTGCATGCATGGCGCCGGGCAGTGCCGTGGCGGCGAGGTGATCAGGGCGCCCCGCCGGCCAGTTATTGGGTTAGCGCGGTCCGCTAGCAAGTGAACGTCACCGGGCCACGACTTTAAAAGAAACTATATCTTTAACCAAGAGGCAGGTTGATTTGTTTACCGACTTCTGAGGGGAGAGGTGGTTCGAGATCTCTCTCTATCTATTTTTCTCTATATTTCTCTCTAATCTATCTGTCACTATCTCTATCTCTCTCGTTTATCCATTCGGTGAAGACTAGGGGAAAGAGGAATCGTCGGTCCAGGAAGACATGTCCAGGATTTCACGGTGGCTGTCCGCCTTCTTCGTCAACCCAGAGAGAGAGAGAGAGAGAGAGAGATGATAGGCGCTGGGGGAGTTCAACTGTCAGGAAGAACGGCGAACTTGTTGGCCGTATCCGTTTTCTTTCCAGGCAGATTTACCTACCGTATCTCTGTAGAGTCGGACAGTCGAACCAACGCGTCCGCCCGCTGATGCGCGTCTACGTACACCCCCGAGAGAGTGTTTGACTTGGGATGGAAACTCTGCTCTCTTTAAAAAATTTCAATGCCGGGCAAAGCCAAAATAACACGCTAAATTTCCTAGAATCTTAGATGCTTATAAAAATAATACGAGTATTATTGATTTTGTGTAGAAACTGAAAAATAAGAATCGTTAAATGACTTTGTAGTTGTCGAGTATTCATATCCAATAAAAATCAATACCAATGAGCTTTAAAGAGATAAGCCACTGTTTCGTCAAAATATTATGGAAGATTAAGACTTAATTCTGGTCAATCAAGCCTTCCCTTGAATGACTTATTCACTGCTCTTGATTACACTGGGATTGGTCATTATGATTGACCATTTGATTAAGAGACATCAAACACCAAATTAATTAATGTATACCAAAAGATTATCTGAAGTGTTACATTGCAATTATCATGTTATCTCGGTAACAATTCAATAAGACCAGTCTTTATTTTCGGATTTTCCACAGGTTTTTTTTAAATAGAAGGAATATTGTTGGAGAGCATGCTTCCAAGTGAATTTACGTTCCCTTTGACCAAGTCTTTTGGGTATTAATAATTTCATTACATGGGCACCATTGTTAGCTGATATTTTGGTGGATGTCTATCAAGCAAATAAAGACCCAGACCATCATTGCGGTGGCATTAATTCTTATTCTTGTTCTCGCACAGCCAATTGTGTAAATAATTACCTCTTATAAATAATTAATTTGTATACTCATTGAGAGAATAATAGCTTGATTAAATTACCAGAGATGATATTATGCGCAAATTACCAGCGATAATATTTCACCGTAAGACATTAAATACATATTTACGGAGAATCATAAAAGTGATCTTAACTATAAGTGCAACAAATCATTGAAGTCTTCAAAATAGATTAATCCGTTGTATATTTTATCTGATTTTCAAACAATTTCCGGACAGAAGTTAATCCATTTAGATAGCCAGAACAAAGTCAACGGCATATGAACATACAACAGTAGACCGAGATGAGGGGTCTTAACCACTCCGGGCTAATATGTGACGCTCCATTGCTCACACGATGCAAACTAGAAACTTTAGGTCGGCAAGGATCTTAACCTGCCCGATTAGTGTCCATCCGGCGAGGGATCTGTCTCAGGGTGCGGATGGGAATTTGCCTTCTGTCGACGGTAGTCGACAATGTATTCCTGGTCAAAGCCAGCTCTGTAGAGTGTGGCCCGGGTGGATGCGCGGTATGGGCAATGGATTGTCAGCGTCTACTTGACAGTGGGGCTTAAGTCCCGCCTAATCAGACGGCCAGGATCTGTTCTAGTCGCATGTGACGTTGGCATGATGCGTAAAATTTCGTTGACCCAGCCACGTCGGACGCGCACTTGCCGCCAGGGTGCCCCGTGGTCTCCGATACTCTCTATCTCTCTCTCTCTCGCTCATCTTCGAAGAAAAAGAAGAGATGGATGGAGTACCCGGCGGCACTCGTGGTAAATCTGGTCGTCCGGTGTGTCCGCACCTCAGCCAGATCCCCCGAGCCACCCTTGTCTGTCAGAATTCAATGCTCCTCCCGGCCTCACTCAATAAAAATGTCGTTGGGGTAGTTGCATCCCCCTTCTCTCTCTCTCTCTCTCTCTCTAGCGTGACCCATCTCTCAGACATGAACAGGAAGACGCGTATAGACCGGGCTTCTTATTCCTCCCCCGGAGAAGGCCTATAAATGAACCCCCCAGACTGAGCCCCTGGTACCGCAACAAAAGACCATTTGCAAACGCCTCCTAAATCCCTTCTCGATCTAGCACTCCCTTCGACTCTCAGGAAGACATCTTTCTCCCTCCCTCATCTTCGGTTCTCCGGACAGGAAAAACCATGGCGGATAGAGAGGTCGCCGGCGGGGGGAGGAGGTTCCCCCTCCCGGACTTCCTACAGTCGGTGAACCTCAAATACGTGAAGCTCGGCTACCACTATCTCATCACCCACGCCGCCTACATCTCGATACCCTTCATCCTCGCCGCATCAACCCAACTCTCCCAGGTCACCGTCGAGGACCTCCGCTTGCTCGGAGATCAACTACAGCATAACCTCGTCGCCGTCGTCCTCTGCCTGGCTCTCTCCGTAGTCCTCGCCACCGTATACTTCATGTCGCGGCCCCGCCCTGTGTACCTGGTCGACTTCGCCTGTTACAAGCCCGAGGACGCGCGCAAGTGCACGCGGGAGATCTTCATGGAGCAGTCTTCGCTCGCCGGCTCCTTCACGGAGGAGAACCTCGCTTTCCAGAGGAAGATACTGGAGCGGTCGGGGCTGGGACAGGATACCTACTTCCCAGAGGCCGTGATGAGGGTGCCACCGAACCCGTGCATGGCGGAGGCGAGGAAGGAGGCGGAGATGGTGATGTTCGGCGCCATCGACGAGCTCCTGGCCAAGACGGGTGTGAAGGTCAGGGACATCGGCGTGCTGGTGGTCAACTGCAGCCTCTTCAACCCCACCCCCTCCCTTTCCTCCATGATCGTCAATCATTACAAGCTCCGCGGCGACGTCACCAGCTTGAACCTCGGCGGCATGGGCTGCAGCGCCGGGCTCATCTCCATCGACCTCGCCAAGCAGCTCCTGCAGGTTCGTTGCCGATTCTTCTCGCCCGCTGCATTAATTATTACGGTTCTTCGTGGTTGGCAAACAGTACAGACAGACGCATTGAATGGAAAAATTAGTTATGTCGCGGGTCCGTGTCGCCATAAACACTCCTAGTTAGGGGAAGCTTTCTCCTTGTTACCTCCCATCAGGATCCACATAGGACATGAGTATCCATTTCACGAGAGAGGGAGAGAGAGAGAGAGACAGACAGACAGAGAGAGGGAAAGAGAGAGAGAAGTTCTTCCTCCCATGCAAAGGATGTGGTTGAGCTACCAATCAAACTTCTCTAGGATAACAGCGAGGTTGATGTCAGTGATTGGAACCCTAATCACGTAAAGGGGGTCGCCCTCGTCGGTGTAGTGGTTGTACCGCTATATCTTGTCTTACTCATTCATGCATCCTCAACTATTCACACGTGCGAGGACACGTGTGGAATTTTCTCTCATGCTTGCAGGACATCCCTAGGAGATTATTCATTGAGCATATTGACGATAAATAGTGATGTGAATATTCTTTTAACATCGCCCATCATCACTATGCAGGTGCAGCGGAATACCTACGCCTTGGTGGTGAGCACGGAGAACATCACCCTTAACTGGTACTTCGGCAACAATCGGTCGATGCTCGTCTCCAACTGCCTCTTCCGCATGGGTGGCGCCGCCGTCCTCCTCAGCAACCGCAGCTCCGACAAGCGGCGGTCCAAGTACCAGCTTATCCACACGGTGCGCACTCACAAGGGCGCCGAGAACCGCTCCTACGGCTGCGTCTTCCAAGAGGAGGACAACGACGGCAAGGTGGGGGTCGCCCTATCCAAGGACCTCATGTCGGTAGCGGGGGAGGCCCTCAAGACCAACATCACAACTCTGGGGCCGCTGGTGCTGCCCATGTCGGAGCAGCTCCTCTTCCTGGCGACGTTGTTGGCGAGAAAGCTCTTCAAGGTCAACATCAGGCCGTACATCCCCGACTTCAAGCTGGCCTTCGAACACTTCTGCATCCACGCCGGCGGCCGGGCGGTGCTGGACGAGCTGGAGAAGAACCTCGAGCTGAGCGACTGGCACATGGAGCCCTCCCGGATGACCCTTTACCGCTTCGGCAATACGTCGAGCAGCTCCCTCTGGTACGAGCTCGCCTACACCGAGGCGAAGGGGCGTATCCGCCGCGGCGACCGCACCTGGCAGATCGCCTTCGGCTCAGGCTTCAAGTGCAACAGCGCTGTGTGGCGGGCGCTGCGGACCATCAACCCGGCAAAGGAGAAGCAGAACCCATGGTTGGATGAGATCCACAACTTCCCTGTCGACGTGCCCAAGGTCGTCGCCATCAAGTCCTGAGCCGGCCACCTCGCCGCGGCTACCAAGCAACTATCGCTGGCTCTGAGGGTGATCTCCATCCCTCTCGTTCTCTATACATATCAACACAGGAGAAAGGAGGGACAATTCTTTGAAGGGTTAGGTCGGTGTGGGATTGATTTGAACCATATTTATCCATCGTTTGATGCAAATAGTTCACGGATTACACGACCCGATGGACTGTTCTAGGCAAGGTTCATGGATTCGTGGATTCGAGGAATGAACCTATTTGATACCACTCAGGTATATTTAGACCACATGTACTCAATAATCTTCTGAATTATCTCTGCATGCCATGAGTTCTTTTCTAAGTCGTCTCTGTTCATATCCTCGTAGTATCAAATCAATAAATGAAATTTTTTAACAAGTCGTCAATCCTAATACTTCTTAAAGCGATCCGATGATACGCAAATGAGTTACTCACGTACCTACCTAACGTTTAAAGGCGGATTGAATTCCAGATGACCACTTCTCGGAATACGTTTGGAGGTTGATTAAAGAACACTACTTTGTAGACAAATAGATAAACACTACTTTGCTGGGCAAAATAAATGAAATCCCTTAATGACTTAAGTATTGTAATATGTCTATATCAATATATGTAAATTGGAGTAAGGTAGGAGGGCGGTCTCATCGGAAGAAGGAGCATGTTGGGCACATAGGCGCTGACAGTGTGGAGGAAGAGGAGCTCGTGATCGGAGAGTTGATGGCGCTGCAAGGGGACGGAGGAGCTCGGGCAGAGGTGGGGGAGGTCGCCGCAGTGAATGCCTGAATTCGCAGGGCGGAGTCTGGTGGACTTCCAACAGGAGCTCGGAAGACGTTGGGGACGAAGCGTTGGGAAACATGAAAACCCACGGTGGCGGACCACCTTCTCCGTCGCTGTCAGCCATAAAATGGGTGGCGCGGGTGGTGGTGGTGAATGGAGGTTCCCGCAGTGGGTGCTTGAATGCAAGGCCCGAGTCCGGCGGAGCTTCCCAAAACAGCGCGGAAGACAACGAGGCGAAGCGTTGAGAAAGAAGAATTTCTACGGCGGTGGACCATCTTCTGCGCCGCCGTCATCTCCGAGACTGGTGGCGCCGCCATTTTCGAGTGACCAGAATTCCCAAGTTCCGGCGATGAAGAGATTAGGCCTTGTTACTTACGTCAAGACGTTGAGATTCGCCAAGCCCGGCCGACCTCTTTTCACATATCTTTCGCTTTCAAGAAATGGCCTTGCTCTTGGTTTTTCTAATGTTTTGATACGTCTGTTCACCCCCCTCCCCCCTCCCCCCTTCTCTCTCTCTCTCTCTCTCTCACTCACTCACTCACTTAGGTTCCTCTCTGGAGCTATTTCTTGGACTTTTCTCTCTCTGAGCAGGATTTGATACGGGCCGTTGATATTTTCTGCGTTGTTTTCAGGAGAAAAGATGTTTTTTTTTTTAATGGATACGGTAGGTCGGCACTGTTGTGCTGGCATCATCCAGCGACGTGTCAAGCCATGGTCGCGGATGTTGGTTTGCGAAAAACAGATGGGCGAATCGAAAGCCGACGCCTGGTGCTTCACCCGTCGGCTTCCGCCGCGCCCCTTCATGCGCCCACGAGCTCTGTGTTATCCGGAAAGCCAACTGCTCTGATTTATCCTCTCGGGGGAGGGGATGAGCCGCTGATGGCTACCGGACGTGCTTCTTCCTTCCTCGCCGACACCAGCAGTGCAGAAAAGTGTAACAGCTGCGGCGGCGGGGACTCAATTGGATAGATACTCCAGCTCGAGGGACAGTTTGTGCCAAGCGAGATGCGGAGGGACGGCTTGGCTTACGGCGATGGCGCTTCTTGCCACCACCCTCCTCTCCGTCCATGTCTGCACCATTCTCACTCCTCGTCCTCCCTTTTTCCCCACCCTGCAAATGAGCCTTCTTAACCCGTCAACTTCCAGCGTGCGGAGCGGCATATCATCCCCCTCCTCGTTTCTTCCCCCTGTCGTCGGCGGCATTCGGTGGAAGAGGTATCCTTCTCGTCCTCTGAAAATGGAGCAAGGTAGAAATGGGAATCTCGGATGCTGGTGGAGGACTGCTGACTCGGCTTGGTGCAGAGGAACAGGCGGGGGAGAGATGGAGCCGGAGCAGAATGAGAGGATTCTGGCACTGGAAGCAGAGATATACGACTTCATGGAGGAGTCATCGAAACCCAATTGTTTCCCGACCAAGAAGGAGCTAGTGGCTGCTATGAGGATGGACCTGGTTGAAGCCATAATTGACCATGGTGGTTGGCTTGTCTATGGATGGGATTTGGATGACAGCGTTGACGTTGAAAAAGGCATTGAGGAAAGGCGACGGCAGTCACTGAGAGGGGAAACGCGAGCAGAGGCCATCGATTCCTCTCAGATTAGAGCAAGCTCTTTCACTGTTGGCATGGTTGACAATATGACTGGTCGGCAGGGTGATGGGATCCCTCAAAAAAAGAGGTGATACAGAGCTAAGGATTCTCCTTCTGCTTCATATTCCTCTCCTTCCACTACATTCGTTTCTCGTAGACCGGGAGCGTCTGTTCTTGTCCTACACAGAAGACTCACTATGTCCTTAATATGTCATACTGCTCAGAGAAGAGGATGTCGGGGAAGACGACGGAATTGAAGGCATTCTGAACCGGCTGGAGAAGGAAAGGAGCCTCTCTTATCCAGAAGCTGACGATAGATCATCAAGGAACAAGGATTATGCTGCGGGGAATGCAGGTATGCTATTTTGGGACCTGGGAGACTCCACGAAGCTTCGATCTGCATGTCAGCCCATGGTAGTTTCTGCTTGTATCTAGTTCTTCTGAGAGCTGTTTGAGGCTGCTTCTGCATCATTTTACAGATTTTAGTCAATATTATGATCAATCTATTACAATTATTTTAGTCTCAATTTTTTAACTTAGAATGTTGTGAAGGGCATTCATCTCCTTATTAATGGTTGTCATGTTTGCACAAGTAACAGACTAGTTAGTATTCCAACATCTTATGGGGAGTTGATATCCCCAGCATGATATTCAAATGTAACATATCAGTATATGCTGACTTATGAAGATCAAACTTATAGGTATAACGAAAGCGTAACATCGGTCATTTTGAAAAGGATGGGACAGAATCGCTGTGGGCAGTGTGTAACCCGGGCTTCCTAAGTTAACTGCAGAAACATGAACCTGTTAATGAGATGCCCAGGTTATTCAAATTAAGTCATGATGATATGTGAAAATGTGAATGCAATTGAGCCCAGAAGTACACCAAGATAGATTGTTAGATTTTTGAAGTGGGAACATGAAACAGTTGAAATATCTGCAAGTTGATTAATATTTTGGCAATTGGATGCTTAAGAAATCGTCAGGAGCTGTGAGATGAACGTATGACTCAAGTCTTGTTTCGTGAAAGAAAAAAAATCCCATCTATATTTGCGTTTTTAATCTTCTAGAAGAAATGCTTCCCAATTCTCATTTTCCATTTGATGAAGCAATAGGAATCTTATATCTGATCTTTTCATGATGTAATTATTTAGTTTCTACACTAAATTGGCAACTATGAGCGATTTACCTGGATAATCTGATTATTTGAGGTTGACAGTGATGGATCAAATTCTCTCAAAATCTAACCCTTTTTCAGTTTGTAATAATAATAATACCGGTGATAAATATTTCCAAATACTGTTTATGTTCTGTCTAAACTACCTTTTTAATCAAAGATTCATTTGCAGGTATTTTATTAAAATGATAAATTATATTCAAAGAAACTACATCGGATGGAATATATTAGTTAAAGTGAAGTACGGAACCGAAAAGAGGATGAGAAATTTCACAGACCACAAAAGGGACACGATTTTATGAATCTCTGGTGAATCCTATATCTACTTTATTCCCCAAGCCTCTAATTGTTTATAGATTTATCTCAAACCTAAGTTCTATGGGCTATTCTAGGGTATCAATCAGACCTTATGGAATTGGATGGTTTGAGAAATGTATCCATTCTAGCCTTTCAGGCCTCACTCTACAGCAAGCTTGTTCAAGACACAGTAAACCCAAAATATGAGTCATAAATCCCCTTCTGTGGATGAAGACGTTGTGGTAGGTCAGGGTGCTCGCTCAAAACTTTGATGCTTTTGAGTACTGTGAGCTTGAGATTGCTTCTAAGGTTTGCAATGCAGACTTACGAAAGCTTCTTAATCTCTTCTTTTAATTTCTTTTGTTCTTGGAGATTCTTTGATAGAAACTGCATGAGACTGCTCCAACAGCTGAAACATGATTTTCTCTGTACTTTTTGTGTTTTGTTTTGAGCAAACTAGCTGTTACAAAAGTGAAGATGCCGTCCCCCAAAAGTCAGGTGTCAAGCCTTCAGTCGACCAGCTCTAATCTGATGTTGACCCTTCATCTATCAAGTTGTTACCTTTAACTGATTTTCCTGTTCTTGTTAAAGGCGTTGACACTTTTGAACTCTAGTGTGGACACTAATACCCAAGTGTGAACACCTAACTTTCAAGCATCAGTCCTCTTGTTTAATGACTTCTGTTTTGCTTGGAGGTGCTGGCATAGATGTCTTGAGAGTCAACGCTAAATACAAGTGTCAACACTTCCAGTTCTGAGCTCGATACTAGACTTCGGCCAGTTCAAGTTTATTCGTACAAATTATCTGACTGCCTACGTTTATTGCCCTGAAATTCGTACAAAGTTTATTCGTAAAGTTATCTTTACGGTATCAATAATTTATTGATCTATTGACCTCATTTTCTGACCATGTTTAAATTCATGGGTCAAATCAGAATTATAATCATAATTAAGGTTTTGTAATGAGTGAGATGAGCATATGCGGTTCAACGGCAATCATTTGGGGTACTTGTCTAATTTCTTCCTTTTCAATGTATGTTCCTTGATCGGTCATTTTGTTTGGTGTAATAAAATAAGCATTTGTCGATTTAATGTCATCATTAATTTATTTATCTTCACGTTTAATCATTTATCGCTAAATTCTTGTTTACTGATTGGATTCTATCTATCTTTTTGGTATCGGTAACATTTTGAATTCACCCCCAAGTTCATATTTTTTTCGAGATGCAGCTAGCCAAGCAGTCAGAAATCTACACTGGCATGGAGGAAACGGGCTCTGGGGTGACGTTGATACCAACGAACCAGTATACCCAATGGCCGATGACATGAGAAATGGAAGTGGCGAACCGCAGTCATCTTCTGTAAGCGACAGGAGAGGCATATTGTCCGACCTTCAATTGCTGGGGTCGGAGCTTGCTTCTGTCCTCAACTCTCTCGGGTCTAGGACGAATATGATAATTTCACGCAAGGTATTAGGGATAATTCCAAGTTCATGTCAAGGTATTAGGGAATATGATCATCTTCTCTAATGTTGATATGCTATGGTTCTGCCTTATTTTTCCTTATCGATTTTTAGGGTCGCCAAAGCTCCTTTGAGGAGTTGAACAAGCTTTCTGATGATTTGGAGTTCAAGGAAACGGAAATAGCCAATGTTCAGGACAAGGTACGATCGATTAAGGCAAAATTATCGGCATTAGAAGGCAAGATCGCGCTTAGATCAATGTAAGGAATCCTCTGCAAGTCCACATTTGGCCCAGGTCACTCGTTCCCTTCCTTCTGTTCCAATGAACACCCTCCTCTTTACAGCGAAGCGACGAAGATTCTGGGGGAGAAGCAGAAGAGGATTGATGCAGTTCAGAGGGTACTGGGCCTCCTCTCCACGGCCTACATTGTTTGGTCAGGCTCGGCTTCTGAGGTCTTCTTGGCTGGCTCCTTCGATGGATGGGCCACTCAGGTCGGTCCTCGTGTTTCGAGCTATGAATCCCATTCTCTGTTGATTCATCATCCTCATTCTCGCTGAAGCTCTCGCTTTCCTTTTTCTGTTCTCTTTAAGAGGCGAATGGAGAAGTCGAGCACCGGCATCTTCACTCTATACCTGAAGCTGTACCCGGGCCAGTATGAGGTGGGCAGTTCATCCTGTGTTCTTGGTGTTCGGCTTCCCCCAAACCGCTACTCCCTTGCTGACTTCAACCCTTCTGCAGATCAAGTTCATCGTCGACGGCGTGTGGATGGTCGACACCCGTCGGCCGATTGTGCACCATTCTGGGTTCGAGAATAATCTCCTGACCGTCCGGTGATTGCGATCGAGTGAGATTTCGCACGAAAATGCGCGAAGTTACTCGTTCTATCCGGTCGATCAGACCCAATTCTTTGACATTCATGAATTGTACAGCCTAACAGTTCTGTGACCCAGAAGCCCATCTTTATTCTTTCTCCTTATCCGCCATAATCTGATCTCCACCCGACTTCGCGAGCTACCCCCACCTCTGTGGATTGGGTCCATGTTCATCCGGGAATCTTGAAAAGGGAAGAAAAGGCGGCGTCTTTCTTTCTTTCTTGAGGTGCAGAACCTTGGGAGTTTCGAGTCAACGTCATCTTTGGGAGCAATGTGGAGCGGGAAAGGAGAACGCCAGCTTGTTGGGCCCGCGGGAAGGAGACCGGAGTTGATAGAAATGTCAGCGGACCGCCCAAAAATATTCACGCGGGCTTTATTTCCGATGTGGGCTTCGCCGCCTCTTGGGCCCTCACAATTATGGAATTGGGCTATAGAGAGAGAGAGAGAGAGAGAGAGTATTATTGTATGTTAGTGATGAGAGAGAAGTCGCTCTGCCGTCATTTCACGTCGATGGCTTCTTGTCAAATCAGATAACGTGACTTTCAGACGTCGCGTCTAGCGCTGCGAGCAGAGGGGCAGAAGGTGAGAGGCGAAGACAGAGCAGGAGCACGCTATAGATTGATAGATTCACAACGGCGCCTCTCGCCCTCACCACCTAAATATCGTCGGCGGAGTAAAAATTGTAATTTGGTGACCGTCGCGTCATCCTCGCCGACGAGAGTCGCCGGGGTACACCGGCGAGAGCTCCTGTTCGCCGGCGCCGGGGGCGACGCTGCTGCCGCTGCCCTTGTAGCGGTAGAAGTGAGCGCAGACGAGGAAGTAGAGAAGGTTGGCGAAGCCCATCCCGGCAAGGAGATAGTAAAAGTACTCGAGCCGGCCGGCGTTGATGTTGTCGTCCAGCCAGTTCGGCTGGCCGTGCTTGCCGGTCTTCCTCTGCACCACTTCCACCACTAGGCTGCTCAGGTAATTCGCTCCGGCAATGCTGCAGTAAAAGAGAGATGTCGCGATGCTCCTCATCTGCTCTGGGAACTGCTGGTTGTAGAACTCCATCTGCCCCACGGCGTTGAACGCCTCCGCCAAGCCCACCAGCGCGAGCTGCGGCACCAGCCACATCACGGACAGGGGCCGCGTGGGCTCCGCCACCGCCCTGTGCCGCCTTCTCTGCTCCACAAGGCCGGCGACCACCGTGGAGAAAGGGGAGATGAAGTTGCCGATACCCATGCGCTGCAGCAGCGTGATTCCCGACTCCTGCTTGGTGGCCCTCCTCATTAGGGGCACCAGCAAGCGGTCGTAGATGGGGAGGAAGACAACGATGGAGAGGAGGCTGACGACGCCGAGGGACGCCGGCGGCACTTGGAACTTGCTGCCGAGGCGGCGATCCATGAAGAAGGCCTGGATCACCGCGAAGGTCCAAAGCTGGGAGAGGGCGAGGAAGCAGGTGATGCCGGAGACCCACACGGGCACGATCCGTATCAGACACTTCACCTCCTCGATCTGCTGCACGCTGCACAGCCGCCACCGATTTACAGCGGCGCCCCCGCCGCCCTCCTCGTCGCCGCCGGTGCATTTCACCTCCCCGGGGAGCTTGATGGCGGCTCTGTTAAGAACCCTGTTTTGTTCCAGTCCGACAACGACTTTTAACTATCTCAAAAGTCAGAGTCAAAACGCGACGAGCAACTACCTGCCGGGACCCGACGTGGCGGCTGTCGGGGTGCGGTCTGGCAGAGTCAGAACGCAAGTGGGGGGCTTTTACCTGAACTGTTGGCTGAGAGGGAGCCTGACGACGGGCAGAGCAGTGCCGGTGGTCTTCGCCGGCGGATTGAACAGGGTCGCCTCCTGCTCCGGTGGAGATGGGAGCGGCAGCGACCGCTTCCTGTAGGCGGCGGCGAATACCTGGACGACGCCGGCGAGGACGCTGCCCTCCGGCGGCACGTAGACGTAGAGCCCGGCGCCGAACAGGAACAGGGCGAGGGACAGAAGCATCAGCCCTGCGGGGACGGCCATGCCGACCGCCCAACTCACACTGTCCTGCAGGTACACCACGAAGGTGAGGCCGACCATCACGGCCGCCGTGTTAGTGGTGTAGTACCAGTTGAAGAAGCTATTGGTCCCCCGGCGGCCCTCCTTGGTGGTGCGATCGAACTGGTCGGCCCCGAAGGGGAGGTTGCAGGGTCGCACCCCGCCGGCGCCGACCGTCAGCAGCGACAGAGACGCCACCAGCATGGCCGACTGCGCCGCCGTCGGCCCGACACATCCCACGCCTTTCGCCGGCTGCGCCGCCCCCGCGTCGCAGGACGGCGGTCTCAGCTCGGAGACGCTCGCCGTGAGAGTCATCCCTACCATGCCCTGCATCGTCACGGACACAGTAGAAGGAAACAGTAGAGAAATTTCAATAAATGCAGAGAAAGGACCAGGGTGGAAGGAACTTGGGATCTTCTGAATAATTAATTCCCTCTTCGTCTGTTCATTGATGGGCTCAGCCGGCATGAAGAGGAATGTGGATAGTGATCGAGCAGTGGAATTCGCCTCTGGAAGGGAGGAAAGGAGAGGTGATGGGGGAGGGGGAGCGTACTAACCAGGAAGGTGGCGACGCAGGCGAGGACAATGGTGGGGAACCTGCCCCAGTAGGCGTCGGAAAGGAAGGCGCCGACCAGGGGGGCGAAGTTGGTGGTGCCATTCCAGATGTTGGTGAGGTTGGCGGCGGCCACCGCGCCCATGTTGTAGCGCTTCACCAGGTAGACCGTCAGGTTCGTCGTCATCCCGAAGCTCGCCACCCTCTCGAACGTTTCGTTGCCTACGGCAAGCTCCGGTGTATAGACCAGTAGATAGAAAGCGAGAGAGCGGCTGAGAGATAGAGAGAGAAGGGGTTTGATACCGATGATATACGGCATAGTCTTCCACCCGCCAGGTCTTCTGCCGGGAGTGATGGGCATCTGCTCCTCGCCGCCGGTAGTCGTGGCGGCGGTGACGGCGTCGGTGACACCGCTCCCCCCTACGTTGCTTGCGGACGACGGCGGAGGGAAAAGCCTCCGGTAGCGCCGAGCGATCTCTTCCTCCCAGCGCCTCTTCATCTCGGTCTACACACCCCTCCGCTCTCCTCACAGCCCCTCTTTATATCCTCTTGCGTGTGGTAAGGCACTGTCTTCTTTCTCTCTCTAGCCCCCTGTTGTCATGCCCGCATGTGCACATCCGACATACCCCCCCCCCTTTCAAGAGACCCTCTTCTCAGCTGAGAATCTCCCTCCATTCAGATAAACACTCCGTAGATAGACTTAGAGAGAGAGAGAGAGGCGTCTGCTCGCTCATCTGCCTTGGTGGGTCGTGAGCTGTGAGAAGGCCCGGTGAAGAAAAAGGCAGGAGCATGTGGCGACGCATGTGGGAGAGGTCCACCGGTAGGAATTCTGACCGGCGTGTGCCCCGTTTTCTGCTCCTCCCTCATCCCCCCCGGCCATCCCGCCGGTCCCCACAGCTCTCGGACCCTTTCTTTCCAGAAGAGAACCACGTCCTCCCCAGCCCGGGGGAAGGGGGGAGAGGAGAGGGGGCGCAGAGAGGTCATCTGTCTCCTATTTCCTCTGTTGATCTAAGGAGAATCCCAACTGAGAAATTAAATCTCCGACTCTCCTCCATCGGACGGAGCCCGTCAGCTGCTTGTGTACACACACACACAATAGAGAGAGAGAGAGAGAGAGAGAGAGAGAGAGAGAGAGTTGCAGGGGGATTGCAGAGTATGGGTTTGCATCCACATTACGGGTGAATCCGATGACCAGCGTCCCTTTCATCCTAGATCTTCTTCGTGAATCATTCCTTCCCCTGGATAATCTTTCTTACTTAAAAGGCCTGCGGCCTTTTTCGGTATTCGATCCGAAAAAAATATACGTCAAGCACTCAGATTTCCTCTCTCTCCGCGTCTTTCTCATACTACAGTTCTCGAACATCCGTTCTGAGGCGGCTGATAGGTTTTGACCGGAACACGTCCTATTGCTCCTTCGTTGGCTAGGGAGAGGGACCCCTCACAGCCCACATGGCCTGGTCTTCTATTTGGGTCCCTCTCCTCCGAGGGAATGCGCTTCCATGTGGGCATGGATGACTGATCGCTGTCGTTGCTATACATCGTCTGCTTAGTACGAAGCCCCGGCGTAGGGGGGGGGCCTCCGACCACGTAAAACTTTCTTGTCCGAAAGAAAAACCAGAGAAGCGAGAGAAAGAGAGAGAGAGGGTTTCTTTTAACTCCAACGTTGCTTGTGTAGTTCTTCGAGAGGGTACGTGCTGATGGACTGATTGGGACTGAGCGAGACGCCGGTACTGTTGGCCATAGCCGCCGCTCAGAAGTGGATCCCCGTCTTCCAAGGCGCCGAGCCTCTCGTCTGCCTGGCGGAGGACGGCCGGCGGGGTCCCCCTCCGGCCGAATGGGACGGCACCTCCCACCTTCGCCGACGCCCACGGTGGCACCGCCCATCCCGTCCTCGGAGTCAGCCAGCCCTCGGGACGACCTTACCGCGTTGCAGGACCAGTGATCGCTCTGACACGGCGCCGGTCCCCCCGGCAGGACTGCGGCGACGACGGTGTGGATGGAGCCACGGGATCGCCGCCGTCGGGCCTGCCGCCGCTCGCCGGGGTATTCCCACCGGAGGCGACAATGAAGGAAACGGGCTTAGCTCCAGCTTTCACACTCACCCACCTACTACCGTCTCTCTCTCTCTCTCTCTCTCTCTCTCTCATCGACACTACCCCTCCCCCATTAATGCATTTCACCTGCTCCTACGACCACCCAACTTCTCCATCTTGCTGATTGAATACTAACTAATTAAGCTTGTGAGCTAAGAGTATATAGATAGTCCCAACGAAAGGTTTTTATCCTCTTTCTCTCTCATACGGCGAGAGAAGCTCAGTCGAGCTCATTTTCCCAAAACCAAACAGTCATCAACGACCGAGAATCCCAGCTCCGGGCGAGCTCACTATATAATAATAGAAAAGCAACCAACTGAGGAATTGTGGAGATGACTGTATGAAACAGCATTCAATGCACATTATACAGCAATAAAAGGGAAAAAGCAAGGTTTTTTGACCCATGATGCAGACAGTCTCGAGTATCCCATTCTTGATGGCACTCGTCCTGTGACATAGAGGCACCCTATCATCATCATCACCACCGCGGCCACCATCTTGATTTGTGCAGGAGGGTGGGTGTGTATGGACTCTGGATCTGAAACCCGGAGAACATGGATTTTTCAGCACTCTAACATGCGGGGGATGAAAAGAACTAAAAGAGAGCCAGCCCGAGAAGGAATCTTTAGAAAGAAAAGTTACTGATGAATGGAAGACGCAGATCATGGCTTCGAATGGGCAGCTGCGGGGGGGTGATCAGCCGGCTGGTTTGAGCTCTCCTGTTCAAGCTTGACCCCGCTCGGCTCATCCAGTGACATAGAGGCGACATCCGGGATCTGCGACCCAACATCACCCGAGATTATTCGGACGGTTCGTGAATGAAAAAGAGGTAAACAGATCGTCTTTAGACCATCACCTTGGGACACGAAGTGTCCTCGGCCGCCGTCTTCACCGTTTTGACATGCTCTGTAGTCACCTTCTGAGCTTCCTGGAGACGAGCAATAATTACATACACAAAAAGGGAAATGCTTCATAAGAAATGAAATTATTGAAACTAATATGGAGAAGAAAAACTGGGTTCAAGGGATCAACAATGGACGGGCAAAGAAAGGATTAAAGGACGAAGAGCATAATGGAAGAGTAGTTGACAGTAATTATCAGCAAAAACAGTTCACTGTGATGTCGTACTGATGTATTAGATACAAACTACAAGACTGATTAAAGTAAAACTTTGTCTGCCCTTCTAAATATGTATCCTCATATGCATGCCTAAGCGCGCTAATCCTATATTTCTCTCAGCAAGCCCTTTTTTTTTTACTATATCTTTCATGATTATCTCATGAGAAAGGCTCCATTCTTCCTGACAAGGTGTTCGCTGCAAGATCTCAGCGTGCCCTGGAGTCTGTGAGGTGGGGGCAAATTTCCCCACCAATACCGAGCTACAAGGGAGAATTTAATAACTTCATGACATCATCAGATGCCGACACTGAAATCAAATAATTTTTTTGATGTTGAAGAAGCAATATGATAAGTTAAAAATAAATAACATACATGTCAGGCATCATATTTTACTTAATGGATTCTTGCAGGGTGTTCCTCTCTATATTCTGTGTATGTGCATGTGCGTGTGCACGTGAGCGTGGATGCGAGGGGGGGGGGGGAGAGAGAGAGAGAGAGAGAGAAAGAGAGAGCAAGAACCTGATCTTTAATCTCTGTTTCGGCAGCCTCCTTTTTTATTTTTATGCTTTGAACCGGAGGCTTACTGTAAAATCAGACGAAGTATCAGATATGAAACTGTCATAACGAAGGAAGGTAAAAGATTAAAAATAAAAAAACACAGTACAGAAGCTGCTCATCCGCATGCTTAGTGTCATCCATCTCTGTATCAGAATCAGCGTCCCATCTGTCATCTAAATCCTCTTGATCTTCGTCTGCCTGGATATTAAGCAGTTGACAAAAAACATTTATAAGGAAAAATGATGCATTACACCACCAAGGAAAAAATGTAGCAGCTGGCTACAGTGAAGAAAGTCTATGCTATTGACTATGAGATAAAGCAGTAAGAATCATTTGGCATCATCTCATCCAAATGCACATTACTCAGAGCATCCTTCATTAGTCTTATCCTTGATCCTTAAAAATAGAGATTTTCCCAGAACATTTGACGAACGTCCTACATTATTGAAAAGTAATCTATAAACTGTTTAAAAACCCTAATGCTATTCACAAGACCGTATAATAATTCAAGATTAGTACCATAATTGGAAAACATGACCAGCTAATTAGATAAGCATAACGTCCAAAAAAAGGGTAAGGAGTTATCATATGAACCCAAACCCTACAGTTTTTCTTGGCAAGGTATCGTGCTCCTCCCTCCACTCCTTGTTCTTCTGATTTTTCTTTTCCCCTCTTCTTTCCCTGATCCTTGTATGGATCTCATCACGAAACCATAGAAAGGTAGACATCACATCACAGATAGGTCTCAGGAGACGAGAAACTCAAAGACCCCAATGCCAAGAAGACGAAATGAATATTCTGATTCTGTTACAAAATGGCTCGTTATCTTCATGAAAAGAAGGTTTTATAATCCTTAGAAATTGTAAACACCATAGACTCTTCACCTCTCATGGGTGTTCTATTAAGCAGCACCTCCTCAATGTCTTCTGTAAGTACACCCTTCCATAATAACTAGGTTTCCCAAATTCCTTTTTCTTTCTGTTCCACATAAAGTTGGAGACAATGGATCAGAGAGCCACTTAGGCATATTGTTTTCATGAAATTGAGAAAAAAGGACGAAAAATGGGTTATCATCCAACACGCCAGACTTGGTCAGGCCAGACTAGGTCTAGCCCGAACCTGGAATCAATTACAAGGCCTCAGCCTAAACATAAGCCCCAAGGACAGAAGCTCCAGATCACATTCCTTACGAAGCCCACGCTAAACAATGTAGGCCTGGCCTATAGATAGAGATAGATAGGTATGCAAATGGATATAAATAGCGAGAGAGAGAGAGAGAGAGAGAGAACGAGAGCACTGCAGTGATCCAGGGACAACAGCGTGAAGAGAAAAAGGAGATCCAGGCCTTCATGCTGGATCCTAGTGAAAGCCCAGGGCAAATCATTTGACTAGTTCTATTTTTTTCTTTTTGAATTTGATTTCAAGGCCCAAGGCTGTTAAAAAACCGGCTCAGGCCAGGCTCTGGTTTTACGCGGGCCATTGACACTTCCAGTTCTTGCACAAGAAAATAATGACTGGAGTCTTTCACTGTGAATTGAAGGCCCATGCCATCTATCAAAGTCTCATTTACAGGTCATTTATAATCCATAAGCAGCAGCATGATGCACAATCCATAAGCCAGTTTTTAACATGTTAAAAGGATGGAGGAAAAAAATCCAACTGACAATAATCCAGCCTGCCAATAATGGTTCAAGAAACTGTGAACTGATGGCATCTGCGACCTACCTAATCAAAACAGACAAGAGTAGTCATCACAGAAAAAGGAGATAAACCATAAACCATGCGACTCCGACCGACTCAAACTGATTCGGCTGACTAGTTTTAAGAAAATTAAAAGGACGGAAAAAAAACCCTAACAACTCCCGTTTTTTTCTTGATGAAACACCACCATATGTTTCTTGAGCAAACACCAGATTCGAATCAGATTAAAATCAGCCAATTCTGGAATCAACCATGCGTTTGCAGTACCAAAGTCTAAACTAGTCGATGGGGTTTGCCCAAACTAAATAACCAGCACAAATCTGGATCCGGCACCCTCAGATTCTTGGAGAAAAACCGTACTTCAACTCATATTGCCATATCCATCTGCCTTAGCGTATATCTCGATAGCAGTTTTGAATCTGGAATTCCTACGGTTAAAAGATATTCTTTGACGCTCGAAATGGACTGTGTAAAACTTGTCTACATTCCAGAACGCACGAAAAACTGCCTGATTGCCCCTAAAACAGATGGAAAAATCTTTAAAAATCATGGATTTTTCTCACAAGCAATGCCATCTCCTGTTTCCAACTTGAAAAAAACCGGGATCCAAGATAGAACGAAAATGATGAAGAAGGTTCTAATGGTGCAATTGGGCTTAGTTATTAGATTTCTAAAGACAGAAGGAAAAAGATTTCGAAACATAAACAAGGACTCGGTCACAAACTTCCACATAAAGAAGGAAAGGATGATTGCCATTGAGACATGTCCTTTTTCATGTAAACAAACACAAAATGAAAAGGCATTACTAATATGCAACTAAAACTCCTATCTGTTTGATTGGAAAGCAATAAGCCTGAGATCATGGCGTTCATGCCAAATGCAATTTATTCATAAAAACTCGAATTGCTTCATGTCGCAACTACAATAGTACTTCAAACTTTTGAAATATATGAACTGCAACGCGGGATCATGCCATATAGAGCATGAAAACCTTATTTTTTTGGTAATGTGGGTAAAATAGACGGACAACATTTGCCACCAGAAAACAGGCCGAGGAGATGAGGGATTGAGCACTTTGTTCGTCATGATTTCCCCTAAAGTGGCGTGTCAACATGCCAAATACTATCAAAAGCGCAATGCACGAATTCTGATGGTTTATACATGTCTAGAACGTATAGTTACTATTTTATTATTTTTCAAATATTTTCACCTAAATGGAATCCTTTTTCTTTAGATGGTGGTGACCAAGCATTATGTGTACTTTTCCATTAGTAAAAAAATACCTCCAAAGTACCAGATTGGTAAATTGCAACCTTCAATCACATTCAATGCTCCTAGAGGGTTCAATGCTTTTATTTATCCGATCCTGTATAGGGCTTTTCCTTCTAGATTAGATGGGCATGGGGCATTAAACCGATCCAGAATGAGACGGCCGCGCCAGGGCTGAGGATCTGATTTAATTACATAGAACTTGAAATGGACTAGAAATAAATTTCTAGAACTAATCAATATCCATAAAAACCATCTTGGCACCGTAGGGGTACAAAGATGCCCAAGAGGCAAGACATACAATGATAATACGAGATGACAAAAAGATTGACTTCCTTTCATTATCTGTCCCTCAAATATGGTATCATAGAATAGAAAATTACAAGTAATACCAAATTGGCAATAATCTACCCATTGGGCATGAAACCATGAGCTAGAGCATATATTCTCTCTAAATTTTTTGTATGAAAAATCATCAACCCACACTGCATGCTTGTTAATTCCACCAGTACTATTTATTAAGACAATGTTTCTAAGTCAATGCCTAATAACCCAGATGTCTTGGAAATTCAATTGGAAAAAAATTGACTTTGGGAGGTCAAACCTCCTAATTCTCCATCAAATACATCGGACAGCCACTAATGGAAACATTTGCTTAGAGCTGGTGCCATCCAGACTCGAGGTTTTGATGACATCATAAGAAATGTTCACAACATACAAGAGATAGAAAGTCAAGGCTCTCTCTACCAGTAATAAGCGAATTATTTCCAAATATGCTCCTTCAAGTGTAAATTTTGTTTTATCATTAGGAGTCCCGGAATTGTTCATGAGAAATTGAAAACATTAATATTGTTTTTTTCTTGGAAGGAGATGGCAGAAGACAAAGGAGGGATGATGCTCATAAAGATTGATCCTTTAAATAAAAAGATTTAAAATGCCAGCGGAGGTTGAAAGGCATGGATGTGGTGCCGAGAATCCAAATCCGGGTGATCCTTCTGGTGCAGTAGTAAATGGAAATTGGAACCAGATTGACGACTTATCTTTGGATAAAGAGAGGTATCCTAATTAAATCTCAGTCCAGTGCGAGGAACTGGTCTTGAGTAAGGAGAAACATAATGCTTCATGGGTACACTGATTTAGTAAAACCATGAAGAAAATTCATAATCAATACAAGTGAACAGTGAAACCCCAGATACAAGGATTTTAAAATGACCATTTGCAGCCATATCATTAATTAATTTTTTTGCTGATGCGATTCATAGAGTAGAGTTCATAATTTCAGATAAATATCGCCCATCAAAGTTTATATTTTTTGTCGCAGAAAGAATCAATGGACACTACAAGGAGAACATTTCTGACTACTGGATACACAGTGGCGTGGATATTCAGGCATCTTCAACTTCACCATGGAGTACAAAAATTGCCAATCTCGAGTTTTGAAAAACAATTACGACAAGTGCTAAATCTTAATGTTGTGTCCATCAGGATGGAGGAAAATAGGAGAAGATTTGAAGATGAGTTCGGACAACTTACCTCACTATTGATGGAACCAAACCGCTAATTTATAAAACTTAAATATTGGAAAATTTTGAGAATAATAAAGCAGCAGATAGAACACACCTCCGGAATTTCTGTATCAGGAACCCGCTCCTGAAATTGCATACTTGGTGCATGTCGTAGTTTTGAAATATTTTCTAGAATCTTTGATCTTATCTCTTCCAACACCAGGCGAGTGTTTTTGTTCTCCATGTTGCTAGGTGCCACATGAAGTGTATAGTCTGGACCAAAGTATTCATAGTATTCATGCAGCGGCATCTTATCCTCAAGTTCGACCCCTTGTGCTACTGCTGTCTGCACAATACACCAAGAAATGAGAGAATAAATAATTTATGAGTGACACATTTATGTTCTTTTGTTTTGAAAAATATACAAATGCATTGTTATTACACTTTAATGAAATGCATCCATGAACACGGTCACAGGCATATACACACCTAAACACACATATTTGCACGGCATAAAAAGACCTTTTGCCTCTACACCACAGAAATACTCAATATTTAAGTAACCTACGAAATTAGTTTACTCATCTGTACATCAAAAAATGCGCATTATAGTTCCTTCAACTCTGTATCCTAAATAAACAACCATTTTTAACCACTCAAACCTTAACCCATCACCAAAATGATATTTCCAAACACTGCAAGAGAATCAAAAAATTGTTCAAATGCATACATCAATGCTTAACGCAATTTAGAATTCCCTGAATATTGTTCTCTATTGACAGTCCCTAAAATGACGATAGGTCGTCAATAATTTCAAAACACTGCAAGAACATATGTCAATGTTGAGAATTCCCTTGAGATTGCTCTCAATTCACAGTTGCTATCCTGTGAATAGGTCACAACTGATTTCAACGATTTCATGGGTACAAGCAAATACTGATAAAACCCAAAATAACAACTGACACAATCCAAAATTATATCAGATGGCTGCATGCTCATCCAATGTAACCAACCATAGGTTTTCAGGGTACATGACAGAAAAATTTAAGCACAATATATGACTATCCTACACTTCGTTACCATACAGATACGCACACGTATTTTACCTATAATTTTTTTTTTCACCGACATCAGTTTCTTCCACAAGGAGAATCTACCATGTGAATCAAGAAGCCAAGAAAACAGGAACATTACAAGCCAATCAACTTGATTCAAAAATTGTTCAAGAAAAAAGACAGTTTACCTGGAATGAAGGAGCAAGAGTTTTAAATTAAAAAATCAACAAAAGTATGAGCAAAAAAGGCAATGTACAGAAATGAATCCATGAAGAAACAAAGAAGATTTAAATATCCCCCCCCCCACCCACTTGAAGGCTAAAAGAATAATATACAAATTCATATCCGTGCATTAAAGAGGTAAAAACTACATTATAACAGAACATTGAATGTTGTAAAGCTTAAACTCGTAATGTTAAGGATGGGACAGAAAGTTAGGGTCAAAAAATTCAAGCTCAATGGAATCTAGAAGACAGAAAATTCATGGAGGAGCCTGGGTGCAACCAGTTCACAACCTCATGCTAACTCTCTAGAAAAAAAAAAAGCACTGGAGAACATAAGAGTTGAGAACCAGATCACCCTAAGGTTCATAATCAAATAAAAGACATGCACCAGTCTCCAGAATAAATACCTCATAGCACCAACAACGTGCAACATTTCGAATGGTATATCCACCTCCACCCAACATTAACAAAGGCACATTAAATGATCTCAGGTATCTAACACATTCCGCGTGTCCTTTTATTGAAAGGTTAAAACACCCCAACCGATCTCCTGATAGTGAATCAGCTCCACACTGAAGGACCACTGCTCCTGGCCGGAAGACTTCCATTACTTTCCCAATTATAGGCTTGAATAACGACTGATAGCTATCATCATCAATTCCATCATCCAGAGGAACATTAACTGAGTAGTATTTCCCTTTTCCATATCCAACATCACGTACGTCTCCAGTGCCAGGAAAGTAGTCCCCAAACTTATGAAATGACACAGTCATCACTCTGTCAGTTGTATAAAATGCCTCCTCGACTCCATCTCCGTGGTGGATGTCAATGTCCACATACAAAACACGCTGCCAGATTATTAAAAAAAAAAGGTGTTAGACAGTAATTTAGAATACCACAATACATGTCGATAATTTTAAATAGAATGTCATAGTATCACCAATTTTTGCCACCTACGTCCCACAAATCAATACAGATTGCAGATTATAAAAATGTAGCCGAGTGACCCTTGCAAAAAGAACAAACTAGACACATTTCATTTTTTTAGTGCAAAAGGAGATGTCAGTCGAGCTCCAAAACGATAGACTATTTTGATGAGTTCAAAGCACAACACTATTTCCCTGAGAAATGAAGTCCTAACTTTTCTCCCTCATCAAATGGTTTTCAACATGAGTGTTCAGCCTATCATCAAAGCCACCTAATCAAAGAGATTCATTTGCTGAACTCCCTCTGACACGGCTTTTGCCCCGAGAAGAACAATATCTTGAACTGGCAAGATGCAATAAAAAATTTGGACATTGCTCCGGGGATACATCATTTGCACAGAGATTTTATCATCATAAAAAAATGCTTTAATACTTTTCTGGAAGGATAAAGGGCTAGGCCAACTGCGAACTTAAAAGGGTAAAAAATAAATCAGTCTCACGCATTGAAAGATGAAAGACATGCCCAAAGGTCATTGTTTGATGGTGCTTATCTTTTTCAGAAGAGAGAGGGAACAAAGATCATGTCGTCTGATTACTACAAAATATGAATTGCACAGAACGTACGCTTTAATACTGGACATCAGACAGAAAAACTGGAGATTATTTCTCTTCTAAATTACAGAAAAATTAAACCGGTGAAGCAACCAAGTTTAAGCTTTTGGAGATGAATCGTAGCACCGACTTAGTAAGATCATGAGAAATTAATACTTTCTAATGATCCTCATCCCTATCCATTATCTCCAAATCCATTGCATTACCAATATGATCTAGTAACAAGATTCCATTTTATTATTTTATTTTTTAGAACTGATCCATTAATAGTAACCAACAACGTGTGAACTCAGTAAAAACACATCAAGACAGAAAGAAGTTGACAGATAATGAAAAATCAACAGAAAAGAACACTTTTTTTCTGAAAGGTCGAATGTAACGTAATATTGATCAGGTATTATGGACATATCACAGAATATGAGAGCCATCGGAAGTGAATTAGGGTCCACGATGATGAAGATTATGAGAATATCGCCAATTTTCTCTTGTGCTGTTTTGCCTGTTAAAAGGTTGAACGGAAACCGCCAACAGGAGAGAAAGAGAGTGATGAAAATTTCAATTATTCCATAGGAAACGCTAATATGGATGCAATAGGACGATATGAACGAACCACTAAGCCCGACAGTATGGGAGATTATTCACACGAATGGATAGACTGAACAAACTAGGGTACTTTATAATGAGGGAAGAAACGAAGGAAAACGAAATATGAGAGACGGAAGAGATGCCACCGACCTCGTAATGCTTAAGGAGTTCAAGGATGGCGAGGACAATGTCGTTAACATAGCAGAAGCCCGAGGCCTCGCACTTTTTGGCGTGGTGAAGACCGCCAGCCCAGTTGATGGCAATATCACAGAGTCCGTGGTTAAGTTTGACGGCGCCACCCATGGAGCCCCCGGCATAGGTCTGACAGAAGTTGAAAAGGCCATCAAAAACAGGGCAATCCTCGCCGACGTTGAAGCGCTTGAGAGCCCTGATCTGGTCCTGCTGCGTCTCTGGGGAGATGCTGCGAAGGAAGGCCACATAGTCGTCGGCATGGAAGCGACACAGGTCGCGGTCTCGGGCGGGGCAGGGCTTGAACACTTGCATGTTCTGAAGCAGGCCATAGTGGGCGAGAAGCGCATGGGTCATGCGGATCCGGTGGGGTTTCATTGGGTGCCCCTGACCGTAATAGTAGTTCCCCACCTCCGGATCGTAGAAATAGTAGACCTTTCGCTTTGTCCCATCGCCGCCGCTCGCCGCCGGCAGCGAGTTTCCCCCTGCCTCCATGCGGATGCCTCTTTCCCCTGCCCCCGGCAACCACCACCAAAACCTCCGATACCTTAAGTCCTCTGCTCCGCAGATGAAACTTCCTTTGGTGTCCGGTTTTCCTAGGCAATCGGAGATACTCCAAGGCAAGACAACGAAGAAGAACGAGCAAGAAGGATATGCATGAAGAAGAGATGCAGAGAACCCGCGATAGAGAGAGAGAGAGAGGAGAGAGATGCCTGTATAGCGCCTGCTAAGTCGGCAAAGGACGGCGGCTACTTCTCTCTACTCTGCGTCGCGCGGGGGAAGCGCAGAGAGAGAGAACTAACAATGAGGGAGAGGAGAAAAATAGTTGCCTTATTTATAGGCAATTTAATATATATTTAAAATTATTTTATCCAAAAAACAGCCTTCAGCTTGGCAAACAATTACATCTACCGCTGGGCAAAATGTGAGTTGGCCTAATATCCACAGAAAATATCCGCCTCGGCTCTCTCTCTCTCTCTCTCTCTCTCTCTCTCTCTCTCTCGGAGAAACTCCTCTTTTTACCACCGGGGGCGAAAACCCAGATTTGGCAGCGATTACAGGAGCAAACCGCCACCCGATTGAGCTATAGCCCAGAGGAAACCAGGGGGGGAGTCCCCAGCCCCCAGGGAAGAAAGGTTCTTCACGCAGCTCGACCATATACAGCAATGGCGACGCCGAAAATCTCAAAGCAAAGCTCCCAACACACCCACCCAGATCGATCCGCTCCCGTGATATTAAGAAAAAAAAAGAATGATGCATCGAGGGGAACCCACTTTACAGAAGAGAACAATGAAACAAGTTACAAAATGGACGAGGATTTTATCCGTAGGACCAGGTCGAGGCGCCAAAGGAGGATGCTTCCCCTCCAATAGAATCCGAGCCGGGCACCAGCCTGATTAGGGATCAGCGAGGCATGGAGATCCGAAGAAGAAGCCCTTCAATTGCTAAAAACCCAGCGTGCCCTCCTTCATGAGATTCATGCTCAAGCTCTTAAACCTCTCTCTTGAATACTGCCGAGATGCTTTCCTCCAGTCAGTGCCGGTCTTCATCATCGTGACGAACTCCTCGTAACTGATGCGACCATCCTGGAGCATCGAAGGAGCTTCGTTAGAGAGTGCCCAGCTATGGATGTGGAACTCTGAAGTCGTAGAATCATACAGACCTTGTCGGTGTCCACCTCCCGCAGGATGTCGTCCACCACCTCCGCGTCTGTCCGGCCCAAGTCGTCCATTAGGGCTTCAGACAGTTCATCAGTTTCTATGTACCCACTGCCGTCCTTATCGAAGAACACGAACGCTCTCCTCAAGTGGTCGTCGTTCTCTATCCTCTGCAAATGGATGGTGATGGCGACGAACTCCCCATAGTCCAATTCCCCGTTTCCGTCAACATCAGCCTGAATAATCCCGGGCGGTCGTCAGAAACCAGGGAGATCGTGTTTCCAACAAGTTTGGCTGGCCAGACTATCCAAAGAGGAGAAGAACAGGCTTACGCTTTCCATCAGCATCCTCATCTCCGGCTCGCCCAGCTGAGACCCGACCTTCTGCAGACCAGTCTTCAGCTCATCGTACGTTATCCTCCCATTGCAGTCGGTGTCCATGAGCTTGAACATTTCTCTGATGACCTCCGCTTCTTCTATAGACAAGTGCTCCGCGATCACCTGGTGGAAAAACGTAAGATATACAAATATTACCCATGTATATGTGGCAAAGTTGGCAGAACTTCCGACGAGATACGATGAGAAAGAAGAAGAGAAGCTAACCCGCATTGCTTTCTTTTTTAATCTATTCATCATGGAAAACTGTTTGAGTCTGGCCCTCACAATGTCACCCAGATGAACATTCGACGCTTTCTTCGCGTTTTGAAGCCATGGATGCTCTACAGATGAGGACGAGGGGCAAAGAAAACGAGTAAGTAGATGCAGAAAGCACAGAAAATGGGAAAACAATTCAAAATACTGTTGAGCATGCCCAAATCTATCTTATGCCATTCATTCAGCCGATGAGAAATTAGTAAAAATAACGTCTTTTTTCCTATTTTTCGACAGATCTTGGCCCCAGACACAAAGCCCGATCCCCAAAACATGATCTCAGAACCCTCAACTTCTGGGCTTTTCATCAGGAAATATATACAGCCCATCAACCATGGTGAAATTGTAAGGCATCACACGATAGAAGAATTTTCAAAATCACGGCAAAATCTCCAATCCTGTCTTTCATTACATGATAATTTTCTGTCTACAATGCAGAGTCTGTTCGACCCAGGAAAGACCGATTGAAACCCAGATCCATTTCTTTCCGAGATCCATCTGCTAAGAGTTTCATCATCCCATGTCATACTTCGTCGATGAATGAGTTCATCGATGTCCATGAGGCCAGTTTTCAGAGCCCGCCATTTTTGGGTTGCTGAGCACTTAATTATTACATCAAGATTCTGATAAAAAACACCGACTTTTGATGGCCTTTTCTTCAAGCCAGGAGAAAAATTACATCCCTTCGGAGAAATGTTTGTCATTTTTGCCAGCTTTGAAAATCGATCGGAGTTGACTAACTAGCTCAAGGATGATGTGGTTTAATCTGTCGGTCGGCACCCACTTTTAGTAATGCATCTGGGGAAATATTTACTATCCTGGGATTGATAATCTCGGTATTTAATTTCACCAAATAATAGAGATAGAGCCGGACTTACCGAGGACCTGCTGAGCTGTTAATCTGCGCAATGGATTTGGATCGAGCATCCGCTTGACGAGGTTCTTAGCGCTGTTTGAAACCTGGGGCCATGGATCCCGCCTGAAGTCAACGGCGCCGCGAAGGATTGCCCGGGCAATGCCCTGCTCGGTCTCTGCCGTCCCGGCTTACCAGATCAGGCTCAGAAGGATCAAGAGGAAAGAAAAGAGATTGCTTTGTGGGCCATCTTCAGATCACAGAGAAAAATTGCGATCTCAGCGGAGGGGGGTAGATGACGGTTGCGGCGGCTCTGACCTGCCCAGAAGGGAGGAACACCGCAGAGCAAGATGTACAGGATGACGCCGGCGCTCCAGATGTCGACCTCGGGGCCATAGTTTCGCCGGAGCACCTCCGGGGCCATGTAGTAGGGGCTTCCGACGATCTCCGAGAAGCGCTCCCCGGGGCGGAAGAAGACGGAGAGGCCAAAGTCGATGACCTTGAGGGCGGAGTTCTCCTTCTTGCTGGCGTAGAGGAAATTCTCGGGCTTGAGGTCCCGGTGCATCACGCCGTGGTCATGGCAGGTGCGGACGACCTCCGCAACGGTGCGCAACACGGCGGCGGCGGCGCGCTCCGAGTAGTGACCCCGCGCGACGATGCGGTCGAAGAGCTCCCCGCCCTCGCAGAGCTCCATGACGAGGTGGACGGCGTCGGCGTCCTCGTAGGCCGCGCGGAGGCGCACGACGTTGGGATGGTCGGGGAGGGCGGACATGATGGCGACCTCGCGGCGTACGTCCTCCACGTCAATGGCGGTGCGGAGCTTGCGCTTGGATATGGACTTGCAGGCGAGAGCCTCACGGGTCTCGCGGTCGGTGCAGAGGTAGGTGATGCCGAACTCCCCCCGCCCCAGCTCTCGCCCCAGCACGTACTTGTCCCCTACGCCGACGCCGCCGCGGTGCAGAGGGACGACGTCCTTCAGCACCTGGATCGACTGGGCCGCGGCGATATCTTCGGCGAAAGGGTTGGACCTCGTCTGTTTCCCCCTCGGCCTACTCCCCTGCTTCACCCTCCCGCCGCCAGCCTCCTCCCTCACCGCGGGTGTCAGACATGAATAACACCCGTTCCCCATGATTGCTGCAGCTCCCTGTCTCCCTCTCTGTCTCTCTCTAGACTCCGCTGCTGCAGCGGTGGCGTGGGATAAGCCCGAAATCGGTGACTTCCTCCAGACTCAACGGCCGTCTTCCTCCCGTTGTTTCCATTCTGATGTGACCCACGGGCACAGGTTGAGAAGCGAGAAGACTGCGTTCTCTACCGAGGGTGGGGAAAGGGACATCCCTCGCCCATCCTTCCCTTTCTGTCTTCTAACAAATCCCCTCCACTTCCCTTACTGTCCCCGAAGGAGAAAGGTCCCAATTGTTTATGGGGGGGGGAGGGATCACAGAAGGAGAAGGAAGAGGAAGAAGGGGGCACCACCTGTGTCTGCCGGCTTTACCCAGAAAAGCGGTATTCTTTGCACTCGAGGAATCTCCTCGCCGACGGAGTGGAGTTGGTGACAGACCGGTTCCCCTGCCGGCGCCATCCGACTGACTACATCCACGCGCACGCGTGTCGCTTAAGAACCCTCTGCTCGGCGTGAAGAAGATAGAGAGAGAAACAGAGAAGAAGATAATCCTCTCTCTTTCTCTCTCTTCCGTTGGGTTGGATTTGATCGAATGGGGCGCGCGGGCACCGCGATACGCTGCGGTTTCCGGGCGAGGGCCAGAATCGATGGAGAAGATGATGGGCCGCAGTCGCGGGTGTATCATCGATGAGGGCTACCTTTCTGTTGTTCCTTGAGTTGACCTTGTCGGATTGGAAGGATAAGTCAAAAGTCCTCTCACCCTGCCGTCATTCGCCGCAGATAGCGTGCTCCTGCACTCCTCCCCTCTCTGCCTGCTTCGGCGACCGTTGACCAGCGACATGAACCTCTCCGGCGGATCAGGGACAGTGGGATCTCTGTAGTTCCTCGCAGAGCTCGTCCTCCGATGAATTAGGAAACAGCGGACCCCATTAGATCACCAGAAAGATTTGATCCGAGCGAGCTCTGCAACAGGGACAACAACACCTGCCCACGTCGCTGCGGCTAGTCCTACTGGAGGGGATGGGAGCGCCGCAATAACCAGACAACCGCGACTGGCCCAGATGTGGCTCTCCCACGAGTTGTCCATTCTCGCGGGACGCTGACCGGAAACTCCCTCGGGTCTGGATCTTATCCGTTTTCGATGGTGAGCCATGTGAACCCCTGCTGCTTATTTCAAAGATCCCGCTTTATTTATTCCGAAAACTACTCGGTCAACCCAAGGGAATTTTATGCCGCGTAATCTACCACCAGAGTTGACCAAAAAAAGTCAACGGTGACGACGAAAGACCAAAAGGCCCGCCAACCCATTTCATCTTCGGTTGCATTTCGGATGATCCAATCATTTCTGCGTGTTTTTTATACTAACTTTTCCCTACCTAATATCCATGACACACCTTCGTGATTAGAGTCGATAATATAGATATTTATTTTCGATATATTGTTCAATCAAATCATTGTTTTCAATAGTAGTAAGAAGAAACCTTGCAGAACATGAGCACTCGCCTTTTTATTACCTTTAAATTTCCAGAGTTCTCTCTAAAGTAAAAGAGAGAGTAACCTCTACCGGACACTGTACACTAATGACTTTTTTATAGATGAAGAGTATGAAACAAAGTTTCGAATCGATTTTTATGTCTGATAGATTAGTTTATTGTTCTATGTAAAATATAACATTAGAAAAAAAACTTAAAAAGTCAACGTTGTTGGGCACTTGATAATATTTTTTTTGTAGATCAACAACATGAAGAAAATCTCCAAAAGGTTTGTGCTTGCAAGATAGTTTCTTGTTCTTTGTACACTAACAGAAAATTTTTTGAAAAGTCAACTCTACTGAGCATTTGATAATAATAACTTTTCCATGGACAAATAGCATGAAGCAAATTTCAAAAAGGTTTTTCTGCACCACAAATTGGTTTGTTGTCCGTGTAAACTAAAAAAAAACCTCAAATTTATTAGGCACTTGAGAATAATGAGTTTTTGTAGATCAAATCTCCAAAAGGGTTTTGCATGAGAACTTAGTTTATTGTATTGAGGTTAATGAATTAAACCTATTTTTTGATGAATTATATAAATCCAATGATTTTATATAATATAGAAAAATGATCTCAAAATTGAAAAAAAAATGTGGCAAAAAAAAAGATATGTTAAATTTCTCCTCACTACTATTGAAAACAATGATTTGATTGAACAACATATCGAAAATCATGGTTGAGCATTTATATATTGTTGGAAAATATATTGTTCAGTCAAATCATTGTTTTCAAATCTTTCTCAAAGTATTAAGACACCAAAACTTGAGACTTACATAATCCACTTATAGTGTAGAGATTGTATTTTTCTACCATAAGTATGTTTATATATAGATGACGTCATCATTGAAATGTGACCCAATAAGACACTTTTCCATTAAGCCCAGAGACTTGGTCCACTCAAATGAGGCAGATTAGTCACAAAGGCTTAGTCCACCGTTTGAATGTTTCTATATTACTATTTAGAATCAGACCAGAGACATCAGTTAGGTATCAATCCCATGAAGCCCAAAGTCTAATGACGTCCACGTCCCAACTAATCACTGAAGCCCATATTATAGGAAAGCCCAACATTACATAATTGTTGGCAAAATAGCTCGTCTCGACGAACCTAAGAATAAGAGGGAGAGATCAACATGCACAAGTGACTTCTCCTACTATCTTTTTTCTTATTTGGCTCAAATCCAATCAACTTTGACGCCTTGGAGTGTGAACTTCATAAAATACTTATTTCATATTGAAATATACAGGCTAACATAACCTCTTACTAAGACCTTATTGCATATATTCTATTCTCAATTCATGTTTCATAGATCCATAAAATTTTATGGTGTAAGAGGGAGCTGATCCCATAAAGCTGGCTGTAATCAAAGGTGATGATTGCTATGACTTGAGAATAATTCATTTGGAAGTAGATGTAGACTTTAGAAAACATAACCGCTATAACTCTTCCTTTTTATTATATGTTTATAGATCATACATTTAATGTGATAGAAGGAAAAAAAATCCTTAGAAAACAAACTGAATGAAAATCAAATAAATATTATTGAATGAATACATTCAACCCTTCCTCTAATGATTGGTGATTCATAGAGCGACCAACATATTGTTATTTTTGAAGTACCCAAATTAAAAAAATTGAAAAATTAAATGTTATCAAGAGCTTGAGGGTAAATATTTTTTCTTGGATTAAGAACATGAGACAAATTTCTAAAAGGTTTTGTGCTCATGAATTTAGTTTATTGCTCTATGTCAATTAACGAATAAAAGCCAAAAAAGTGAACTCTATTAGGGAATTATTAAAAAAACGAAGAGCATGAACAAATCTCAAAAATATAACTTTGCGCTGAAATAATTAATTTATTTTTCTATATAAAGAAAATGACAAAGAACCGTTAAAAAGGCAAATTATGAACATGCATTTAAATTCGGACCACTTTTTGATGCTTGCCCTCAAACGAGTGGTCAATAATTAAGTGAATGTAAGATTAGGAGGATAATTATAAGTATAACATTTTATCGTCATCATGTAAAAATTATGACGTCATTATAGTGATTTTATAGAGACAACTAAAAATTGAAACTTTTTAAAATCACTAATTTTTTAAATAAACTTCAAACAATATCATCATATATAGGTTTTACCTCACAAAAATAGATATTTAATCACTGATTAATATTCTTCGAGAATGATAACGTTAAAAGAGGCACCTTATGATCAATACGATACTAGTATGATACAATTTTGTAAATGAGAAGGTTTATTTTGGTTTAAACTGATGGACGAGGGTTTTTCCAAATCTCATTATTATCGGCGTATTTTTCTTGCTGGAAGTCGGGCCATATAAATAGATCTCTGTCCGTTTCTCAATATATTTCCCACTCGTGCTCTCCTCAGACTGCTGGAACTCCGGCCGCCGCATCGCCGCCGGAAGCTTGAAGCGAGCCATCAAGCATGTCATCCACGCTGTTGGAAGTGACGCGGTCCGCCCACGAGGAAGTGGAGCGGCTCGAGCGGCTAGTGGTGAAGGACCTCCAGCGGGATCCGGCCTCCGGCCGGGAACGGCTGTTCCAGGGTCACCGCGTCCGCAACGTGATCGAGACCATCATCTCCACCACCGATAAGCTGGTAAGTTCTCCTCCGCCAAAGCCTGTCCGGATGTTTCCATTAATTCCTCTTCGCGCCTGTTTCGTATTTTTTGATCGCGATTATTTCTGCTGCAGATTGAGATATACGAGGACAAAGACAGTGCGAGAAAGGACGAAATTGCTGCGTTAGGAGGGCAGACTGCAACTGGGGGCACCAACGTTTTCAGCGCATTCTACGACAGACTGAAAGAGGTAACCCTAGAGACATTATACCGTCTTCTTTTCTCCCTCATTCTAGATTTAAGAATATTGGCGAACTCGTGGCATCTAAGACTTTCGTGTAAGAAGTAGGCTTAGATGGGGGGTTTGCTAAAAATCCTTGTTGGCCGCTCACTGGAGGAGGGGGAAGTAAGGGATTAGTTACAGTCGAGAAAAGTCAGCACAGTGATAAGTCTGTGGAATTAACCATTGAGGTGCGCCGAAGAATCGAAAGGAACCTATCCATCTCATGACAGCTGAAATATAAATATTCTCGAAACGATTGCGAGTAAGTGAACTTTCTCCGAGTTACGCATGGAGTTTGCAGTCACGACGCTGCCAGGTCGAGCTAGTATTAGGCAATCAATCCCGTTATCAATGGAAACAAAATTGCTGTCCATTCATAGTACTTTTATCATCTCATTAAAGTCAAGAAGCAGACAGTCAGATATGAAGCCAACTGTTTTGTATTAGTTTATGTCGAAGGGACATCATCTTATGCACGGCGTATGGGGTTTTTTGGGTGTATTTTGGTACTCACGTACATGTCGTGAGTGGCTGGATTTCTGCAGTCTCTGGGATTTGCTAGAGGATGTCTTCTTGAAGAGAGAAATATGATGTGCCAAGAGCTAAAAGGCAGTCTGTTATAAACGTAAGCAGTCTTTGTTGATGGAGGTGCGGAAGCTGTTCAACTATTTGCTTGCTAGATATCAGCTGTTTGCAAGGCAGCGCTGCCGAGTACAGTCTGCAATTCATGTAAAATAGAGCATATAACCCTATTGTGCTCATTCTACTGTGATATTATGTACGAAAAATCTTCTTCAAGGTTAGAGCGTCTTTGTCAAAGTGATCGATTCTCATGTTTTTAGACTTTTAGCATCGTTATCTTGAAATTTATCTTAAATAAATGACAAATTTAAATGTACAATCGATTAATCTAATTTAAACTGTTTTTTAAATATGAAAAATGTGTTATTTATTGTTAAATGCTCACGCTCCGTCTGATTTTTTTTTGATTGCTACAAATCGGTATCATAATTAGTTGGGTTTCAAAATTAATCACATTGAATTATTGTTTAACTTTTTTTTATGGTCAGGGTCAAGAAAAGTTTTTAGAAAGATCCCCAGCCACGATGAGTTTTCATGACATATTTGTAAACATTTACTCATGGAATATCGTTTTTCTATTTTTTATTTTTTTTTGGAAGTTCTTGAATGAATTAGGACTCAAATTGTTGATCCACGTTTCCAAATCAATAGAAATTACATTTACTTGTATATCTCAAACATGTATATGTTCGTAATTTGTAACAAACACAAATAACCTCTGTATGATGTTTTAATGCTTAGAGTGCGGTTGAAACTGCCTATCATGCCATCAGTTTATATAATGGCATCTTTAGCATTTTTTTGAAAAACGTGAACGATTTTTAATACTCTTAACCCGTGATTTACTTCAATATACGACTTTTCATCTTGCAAAACGTGCGTAGAATACACTAAATTTTGATTCACCAATCTTAATTCATTATTTGGTAGGTTGGAGAGGTTTTTGAATGATTTTGTATTAAGCCGAAACAAACTGGTTTGGTCGCATTGCTGTAAGTTTCTGGTAAACCAGTTGCCTTTTGGTTGGTCTGACATGGGATGGCCAGCTTAGTTGCTTTCCATGCAGAACATGAAGTTTGAGCGCAAGGACTCAGTCTGACTTGAACGAGTCTACTTAAGTTTTCACAGAATTGGCTAACCATGGTATCCGAGTTTCTAAGTGACGGGAGTTTTGGACGGGAGGGAGGGGCCTTATCCTAATACCCCTTTGCATGGTTGGATACATCGACACATTGGATAACAAGGGCGAGATTATAAAGCCTGCTGGTTCTGGATCATTTCTGGTACAACAATACAGCTTATTGAAACCTGGAGATAGTGCTACTTTTGGCTTCTTGTTGACCTTTCATTCTCTTTCTGGCTATGGGTTCCAATATTTATATTTTATGACCTTTTCTATTCAAACTTTTTCTTTTAAATTTCTTGATCGTGTCTTTCTTAGCTTGTGCTATAGGTGACCGAATTTGAAACATCATTATACTGAAATTAAATGTATGCCAAGAGTAAATGAATACAAAACACGACACTTCTCATTTGGATTTGACTTTGCCAAATTTCCATGGAATGCTTTGGTTTCGAATAATTTTCAGCTGTCTTCTGTTGTGTAGATACGTGAGTACCATAGACGTCATCCAGTGGGGCTTGTTGCTGATGCAGCTGCAGAGTACGAGGAATTACTTAAAGAAGAACCAGTTATTGAGTTTAGTGGTGAGGTAGATTTCTTCACTATAAGTTTCTCTGTGATGTCATTTTGTTAGTTTTCTCTGCTTATCTTATCAAGGCCAATGAAGTTAAGCTTCACCAGATGATACTGTCACTGTTTTTTTTTCATGTTGAGTTATAACCTCAATATTTTTCTTTCCAAAAAACATTTAGAGAATGTTGGCATTTCTTATTGAACTTTTTCAATGCGATCAAAACCCCGTGTCATTACTGTAATAAAAAAAAAGATCATCATATTTGCCTCCAAAATGTAGAAAAGAAAACTCTAAATCATCAAAAACTCACTGATCCCACATTTTGGTAGATAGCTGATCATGCAGTAAAAGAAAAAGGGGCCCTCCAACAACGAGGTTAAGAGACGGTACCATCTTCAGATGTTCTATCCCAGTATAACTCTGTTATATTTCCAGTCACAGTAGTTCATGAGCAGTTTTCCAGAAGCATAGTAAGCCTACTGATGAGCACAAATAATATTTTAAAATTTTCCTGGTTATTCTGTAATTCCTCATGTTCAAGATTGGTTATTATGTGTCTGGGATAACACCTCCACTAGTGTTTCGTTTTCAAGAGCTATATATTTCACCCCTTTGCAATATGGACATGTATTTTCTGAAATTCTGCATTGGACATCTTCTACTTAAAAAAGAGATAACCGTATTACCTTAAGTGATCCACTATTTGTCGGTCTGATGGGAATTTGACGAAACTACTAGAAAAAGGTTCCAATGGATAGAATTCTACGAGGAAACAGAAGAAAGCTGAATGTTATTGAGACATGGTCGGGGGCTTATTTTGCTTGTTTCTGTGTGTGTGTGTGTGTGTATACATATGCTGGAAGGTTAAATCTCACATGAGGTCAGTGACAGACTTGCATTGGTCTTATCTCAGTCTAAACGTGAGAACAAAGTTTGAGGTATAATAAAGGCCTCTGGACGTTTCGATAATATGGGACCAGTTTAGAGGATAAATTTGGAGGTGCAACCGTTGTCCTCTGCTGGATATGCCTGAGGGTGTTATACAATTTTGAACCAGTACAAAGAAGAAGGCCATATCAGGAGGAAATTGCCAAAGAAGGGGACTTTATTTTTTAGAAGTTTTGATGTAGTACACTTGTCGTTCTCTGTGTAATCATATAAGTTTGACCTTCAGAAACATACTGAAGTAAGAAATTCCATATAACTTTGACGAGATTGATGATTTTTGTGGTTTGTGTTTAGGTTGACAGGCTGATGTACTGTGCTGAGGCTTTTAGGTTATTTAGAAGATTTAAAATTTGTGACTAAAAAATGATGCATTGATTTTGATTTAGATTGATTCATTTAAATCTCTTCTTTGGTTTGGATAATAGGAATGGATAGTTCTGTAGATTGACATTGATGAAGTTAAATATTTCAGTTTTGGGAACAAATATAATTTTTTCCCTTCAAACATTCCTGCCACAGATTTTAGAGAAACATTGTTACCTGACAGATAATTATACAAATTTCAAACATTGGGAGAGGTGATGTCACCAAGTGGGTATCTCTGGTTTAACTTTATGAAACTGAATGCTGTTCTTACATATGAAAATAACTATATACGCTATGCTAAGGAAATAACAAAGATCATGGTGCATGACTTTTAATCAGAAGAAACTTTATTGATAATTAAAGGGTGACATTTAGAGCATCAACAATTGATGCAGCAGATTGTCGTTAACGGAAAAAGAGACATACAATTTGGAGATTTGAAGTTCAGTGTTAATACCTCTGTTAGAATATGTGGGGGTGGTGGCGGTGGCAGCATTGAATATTTCGTGCTTTCGATAAGGTTCAGATTTTGAAGCCTATAATCCAATAAAATTATTTTTTTTGTTGCTCTGTGAAGGATAACCACTGATCTCCTTTTTCCACACTGTGATTCTATTAGTTTGAGGAAAATTTACAGATGTTTATGATTTGCTGAGGCAATGGTCTCTTCCCATTTTATTTGAATAGTTGAAAATGCTTTCCACAGCTTTGCTTTGGGGACTTCAGGTTGGATAGAAACAGTGGAATACCTCTGGAGGTTACAGATCTAAACGACATCAGACTAGTGATTAATTAGTCTAGAGGAACGAAAGCGGTGTTTGATCTTCTACTGAAGAGAATGAAAGAAATGTGAATTGTTTTCTTATCTTTCCGTCTTATTTATCACATTCCTGGATGATTAAGGTTACTGTTTCTGGGATGTGGTAAATATTTTACTCTTATTGACGTCATGGTAGTAATTCTGTGGGAAAAGGATCTTTTATTCGCGTTTGGTCATCCATTGCTTGTTTTTTTAGCTTGTGCTATCACAGACGTGATTATCAGTATTGTTGCAACTTTTAATACGAATTCCGTGTGTATTCTGTAATCTGACTTTTATTCAACTTGGGATATTTCTCAGGAGGCTTTTGGTCGATATCTGGACATGCATGAACTATACAATGAGTTTATCAACTCAAAGTTTGGTGAACGAATTGAATATTCTGCTTTCTTGGAGACATTTTCTCAGACGCACAACATTCCTCTGAAATTGAAGCTGACAAGGTATATGCTCCTTTAAGAAAAAAAGATTGGATTTCTTGTGCCAAATTTGCTGAAGTTTGGCTGAACCACATGTATCTTAAATGAGCAGAAGTGAAATGTTTTTGGTGATCATTCAGTGTGTTTTTTGTTTTATTTGCAGGTCACTGTTTTTTTTGTCGTGTTTGACTGCTTCTTGTTAACATATTTTATCATACTATTTTTTTCTTGAATTTTCGCAGGCAATACAGAGAATATTTGGAACATCTGTTGGAATATCTGATATCCTTTTTTCAACGGACAGAGCCATTGCAGGACCTTGATCGAATATATATAAAGGTTCAATTTATATTCTTTTTCTTTTGTTTCTCCTTGAAGCTCTCTTTTGAAGGTGATTAGCATATAAGTTATTATATTTACTGATTGTCATTATCGATTTCTATGATATTGAATTTATTTACATATTTTTCTTTCGTCTTGTCTGGCCTGTTAGGCTTGCAAAATCACCCATACAGGAGTATGATGGTTTTTAAATGTCTTTATTTTTATTGGCTGATGATTTTGGTGTGAATATTGCTATTGGTTTTTAGTACTTTCAACGCTTTTTTTCTTTCTCTTGTTCCCACGCGGGCCATGGGGAGATACTGATTGGCTTGTGGCAGGTTGAGGCGGAGTTTGAAGAGCAATGGGAAGATGGTAAGATAATTGGATGGGAAAACAAGGGCCTTGAAAATGGGCATACTTCGTCTGGGGAGTTTGCATTGGATCTCGACTATTATAGTACTGTGGAAGAACTAATGGAAGTGGGTCCTGAAAAGTTGAAAGAGGTTTGTATCTCTTTTTATCTTCTAGCAGATCTGTGCTGTGCCGCATTTTCATTATATTTTATGGATTTCTCAGTGCTCTTTTCTGAAGCAACCTCACTTTGCTAATGATAATTCCTCCACCTGTATTCAATCTTTTATGTCATTGCTGACTTCAGCTGTCTCGTCAATGCGTTCATGATGGCTCTTATCAATAGTATACGAGATGCTTCATCCTCTTTCATTTGTCCAATCTTATCATTATTATTTTTTGAAAGTGGATTGTAAGAGGCGTGCATTCAATATTCAAAAAAGAAAATGTGATGAGCAAGTATTTGCATGAATATCTTCAGTATTTTGCACGAAAGATCTCAAGGACCGTGATATTTACAACGTTTGTAAAATTACAAGAGTTATCTTAGCTCATTGTGTTGATTTTTCGATTTCATTATTTGCATTTTTTATTTTTTGCTTTACCGTGGCTTATCTTCGTGATCTTTTGGTCCAGTGTCTCTTCCCATGATTTGATATTCTCGTTCAGTTCTTGTCTCGTTCTATCCATTCTAACAGTGTCGGCAACAAAAAAAATACGCAAAGGAGATCTTTGGTTAAATAATCAATGATGTGACGAGTGGATAGTCCCCTAGGGATGACAATGATAGAGAACAATTGAAAAAAAAATTCAATAAGTTTTCCCACCTATCATCAGACCATTCTACATGTCATATACGGTATGCATTCTTGTCTGGCCTGTTGCTTAAATTGCCAACCCATTCTTAGGTCAACAAAATTCATTCTTCTGGGAGCTGGGGAAGAAGAGAAAAGCTGTGAAGTGAATCCCTATCGGGAATGATGAATACCATTCCCACTCCCCCATTTATCTCCTCCCTTGTCAGCCATTCCCACCTTCTAAATTTTAGTTACCCATGGATTAAATGGCCCCATCAAATGGTTAAGATAAAGAAGAAGATGACATTGGAAGAGTTAGGGAGTATCGAATGCTCGCCTCCATTTGCGAACAACTTATCACTTTGGTTGTGAATGATTAATTTTTCAAATATAGATCGTAAAACCAACCTTTCTTTTATCATAATCTAACAATTTGATGCCTGTAAATTGTTAAATAATTCTCGGATCTGACCTTGATTACATTCCTTCACTGCCATTCCACCATATGAGGGACTGTCTGCAGTAGGAGGTTTATCAAGGTTTGGAAAGGAATTTGGCTGTTATTTACTATGCTTAGTAATGCCTCTTCGTCAGCTGATGAAACGTTCAAATTCTTGAACTTGTTGATGACATGGTCTGTTTGTTTGTCAGTTATCATAAGAGCATTATCACATTTTGCATTTCTGTTTTTAACCTTCCACTGCTCTGAATCCCTGAAGTTTTTCATACTTTTTTGCAAGATTGTCAATGAGTTGCCACTCTGCTTTTTGCTAGTTAAATGCATTGTTTTAATCTTTCCATTGCTCTGGACTGTCTTTATCCTCCCGGAAAGTGTGGTTGATTGAATATCTTCTGGAATTTCATCCATTCCTTTGTGTACTGGGACCATATCATCATGTTTCTTGCTATGAACCTGAATTGTCATTCTATGTGCGGAACATGTGGAAAATGCATCTTGCGATCATCTTTTACAGTAGAATCGGTGAATACGCTAAAAGTTAGTTGGTTTTCATCAGGCTTTAGCAGCTCGGGGACTTAAAACAGGTGGTACTGTTGCTCAGCGTGCTGAGAGGCTTTTCCTGACAAAGGTACATAAGTTTTCTCTTACTGCCTAGGATTGTTCGCCACCCCCCTTGTTCTTCCCCCTTCCATACAGCCGGGTCCCTTCTCCCTTCTCCCATTGTATAGTGCCACATATTTTATCAATAAAAAATTTAACTGGGAAATGCATGTTTAATGTTACCATGACCTTCGAGGTTTTTTAGAATGTAACCCACATAATCTATCTGAGGTTCTCGGTAGATTTTTATCAAATAATCGCTATTGAATTTAACCACTGCGTCTGTATACTTAACATACTGGAGGCATGCTGGCTCGAGGTCTGTGTTGTCTCGGCTTAACTGTTGCCGTGAGTGAGGACATGAAAGGTCTCCTTTTTTATTTTCTTTTCCTCGTTTCAATAAAACTAACCTATCATATTTAAATCAGCTGCATCATTCTTCTTCATTACTAAACTTTTCAAATGTCAATAGCCTACTTGAGACTCACCTTTAAAATTTCATTTCATCATTTTCGTAAATTAAAAATAAAGATGGGGAAAATTTAATTGATCCCTGGAAGGCATTTTCGAATTGCGTGATTCTTCCCAGTTTCATCATTTTCAATTGTCTTCTTTGGTATCTTTTTTGTGGTTGTATTTTTAAAATTTCTCTGGAGATGTTTGCAGTCCCTGTCGGTATCAAACGTTGTTGTCTTTTGTTTGCTCTCGGTTTTGTCTTTGACGTATGTTATCCATTTTTTCATGCTCTTAGATTGATTGTATTGCTTTTTTCTGTACAGCATACACCTTTGGAAAAACTAGATAGAAAACATTTTGCTAAGGGATACCGTGGTCTGGAAGAGAATGTTGCTGGTGCAATCTTGCAGCAGAATGGTACTATGAAGGAAATTGCTCTTTTGGAGGGCAAAATGCAGAAGATGTGTGAATTACTAAATGAGGTCCCTATCCCATCATATAATGTGGATTTCTTTATAACATTATTGTATTTCAGTTATCATTATCATTTCTGTGGTATCTGACGAGTCTTATTTTTTCTTTTATTTTGAGTGTATAAAGGTCATTCTGCAAACAAAAGAAAATGTTGAAAAGAAACAGGCATTGACATACGAAGAGATGGAAGCTGAGCGTGAAGAGGTAATGTTTTATGGTTTCAGTTGTTTCGTTTGAAAGCCCCGAAACCTGACAAAACAAGGCAAAAAATTATGTTTATGCGCTTCTTTAGCAAGGAGACATTACATCCTGTACGTAGCCAACTTTACATTACGATAGCCATCCAAAGTAGCAATCATTCTACATCAATGAACACGAATGTTTTAAACTATGGCTGCTATGTGCTGTATGTTTTGACATTGAGGCTTCGAGTGTAGTGCTGTTCCTTTGAACGATTTTTTTTTTCCAATTTGACAATGCAAGCCAACGTGCTTCTCATTCACGATCGTAAATATTTCATTGGAGACTGTGCATTGGCAGTGGGCAAAATCATGAGCCGTCCCCAGAAAACATGACTGTATCTTTCGACATTTCGAATCCTGAATGGAAAGGGGATAGGATTGAATTGTCAGTTGTTTCTCGGTATGTATGTTATTTCAGGAATTCTCGGTATGTATGCTTCTCGGTATGTATGTCAATTGTCAGTCGTATCACCGGGTCAGGGAATCGTATGTCACGACCAATTTGCTTTAAAAAAAAAAAAAAAAAAAAACCAAAGTTGGCGAAATAGACGTTGACTATTATCTTATCATTAATACGAATGATATTTAATATTTCTTTTGCTGCTAATAAATGTTGTCGTGGAGCTGGTTTGATGGGTTACTATTGTTTTTGAGCAGGAGGAGATACAAGCTGACAGTGAAAGTGACGAAGATGATCAACAGATATATAATCCTCTCAAGTTGCCAATGGGTTGGGATGGGAAACCAATTCCCTATTGGTTGTATAAACTTCATGGGCTTGGACAGGTATTATTACTTTTTAGTTTATGGCTTATTAATTTTCTATGTACATTACTGCAAGTTCTCTTTCGCTTCTTCTATTTTGTTTGTGGCCTATGTGCTACCATGAAATCTACCATTGACTTTTAGGTTGGATCGCCTTGACCAGAAATTCGATTTAAACCTTGCACTCTCCTTCACCTTTGTTCAGTATTATGAATTAATACTATTCATGTTGTCCCCTAGATCTATCCTCTATATTTCCAAGGGTCATGCAAATGAAAAAAATCAACATACACATCCCAACATAGTCTTTAGGAGCAATTCATCGCTGTATTTACCTCAATAAATTGTATGTTTCTCTAGTCATTCCTTCTAAGGATGCCATGGGATTAGTAGCCTGTTTTCGCATGCCACATCAATAATCTAGATATTATCCCCCAAGAGGAAAATTAAAGTATTATATATGGGTGTGTTAGCTAATCTCCTCTTCATATATGCACCCTCAATATCTTAGAGGATCATTTTGGGTTGCTTCTCGGCCCCATGATCTTGAGACTTCTCCACCAATCATGTAGTTTCCGTTGTTGTCGAGTGGCCCAAAGTGTGCCTAAACTCATGTCGTCACAGAATTCAACACCAATCGTAAAGAGTCGGAACCAGTGAAACTGCCCATCGGAAACCTGAGATTTCTCTCTGGATTCCTCAACTGTTCAAGACAGTCTCAAATCGGCAAGATGTTGGTTTTGGCGGCGGCAATGGCTTGTCCTCTAGTCTAAGCTTTACAATGAGCACATCCTCGTCGTCTGTGTGTGTGCAGGAATTCAAGTGTGAAATATGCGGAAACTATAGCTACTGGGGGCGCAGGGCTTTCGAGCGGCATTTCAAGGAATGGCGCCACCAGCATGGCATGCGCTGCCTCAACATCCCCAACACCAAGAACTTCAACGAAATCACATCCATTGAGGTAACCCGCTTCTTCCATTTCCGATCACCCGAACCAAAGACCGTATTTTGTTTACATCTCGCAACCGATATGAGTTGACCCAGATGTTGTGGACATCTGCCCTGGTGGCTTCCCGTTGACATATACTTTTACTTCCTCGATCCCGCTCTACGCTGGAAATCCGATGGTCAACGATCCCCGGAATGCCATGCCATCTTCGCCGAACGAGGTGTTTAATCTGGGGATGTAATCAATAGTTTGACTGTTTGTGCAGGAAGCGAAGGCTCTATGGGAAAGAATACAAGAACGCTCGGGATTAAATAAATGGAGGCCGGATCTCGAGGAGGAGTACGAGGACAGAGAGGGCAACATCTACAACAAGAAAACGTACACCGACCTCCAACGCCAGGGCCTCATATAAGAATGTGGATTTCTCCGACTTTAGCCGTCTCCTTCCTGCCAGCTACGGCAGAGCTGCCCATCCGCAGACACTGCGGCAGATGGAAGCTGCGATGGGCCGAGACTGATGGATAGCTGGGGATCGCTCTTCAGTCATCTGGTCCATGAGAGGAGGAGGAGGAGGCTGTTGATTAACCTAGGAAGCTCCTCGCTGGTTCGCCTCAGATGTAGTTTTTGACTGCCGAGTGTGCGCTACTATGGGTGCAGATTCGCAGGAGCATGGGCCTCTTCAGTTGACATATGTAGCCGTTTGGCTGATAATGACGATATTATGCTGTAGTTGAAACCCTCCCTGTCACTTTCTCCTGTTGGAAGGTCAATCGTGATTCATGGTGGGAGTACTGAGATTGCCGAGGAGTCTTCATTCCATGGCATGGGAAAGTCATGGCCGTGCCTTCTTTGGGCCAGATGATTATTAATGTGCCTTCTTTGTGGCCTTTCCTAGGGTTTGGGTGAGGTAGGAAGGGTTGAAACTTGGGGGTCCTTTGAAATAAACCTAATCCGAAGATTTGGGATTTGGTTCGGATTGAGACCAGTGAATGGGGTTGACTTTAGTAATCTGAGAATAAAATAAACCTCATCCGAAGTTTTGGACTTGGTTCGGATTGAGAACAGTGAATCGGGTTGACTTTAGTAGTCTGAAGATAGAATAATCCACAACAGTCTTTTGCTTTGATATGAGATGAATGAGGAAGAGTTATTGAGTAATATTTTTGTAGTGGGTTTGCTGAACGGAGCAAACCCACAACAAAAATCCCGTCTTTGCCCTCCCAGTGTTCGTTCAAAAGCCTGTCTGTGGCGCGGCCCTTAAACCCTAATCGGCACGCCTACAGGAGTGAGTTATCGATCACAACGCAGAAAAGCTTTTTTTTTTTTCTTTGCAATTATTAATACCCTCTTTCCCTTCTCCTACCACTCCCTCGCGTCGGAGTACATCCAGTCTATCGGGGTACCCAGGGCAACGCGCAGAGAGAGAAGAGAGGGAGGTGGGAGAGGGGACAGCGTTACAAGTGGTGTTCGCGAAGGCGGGACGCTTGCATCAGCGTCGGCGGACGGCTGCTGGCGGCTAGAGGTGAAGAGGGTTAATGGCTACTGCGGGGTCTTCTGGGGCGGCGGCGGCGGAGGTCGTTGATGGGCCAGTGCTGAGCATGATGAACAAACGGCTGCGGGCCCTGCGAAAGAAGTATAACCGGATATTGCAGATGGAGGAGAGCGTGGCGCAGGGCAAAACCCTCAACAAGGAGCAGGAGGAAGTTTTCCGCTCCAAGCCCGCTATCGCGACCCTAATCGAGGAGTACGAGAGACTCCGGCAGCCTCTCTCAGCTGCTGTCCAGGAGGAGTTAGCCCTCGCGCGCGCCTCCCTTGTGCCGCCGTCCGCGCCTCCTCCTCTTCCCTCTGTTGAGGACGACAAGCAGGATCGGGATCAGGGGGAGACAGCAGTAGAGGCGGCTGAGGGTACGGGGACTCCGCAGGAGCCCCGGCGAGACCGCGAAGCCGCCGTGGAGGACCTTCTAAACTTGCTGTACTTTGGATGTCTCTTCGACGTGAAGAGTCAGAGCGAGTTTGCATCCATGGTGTTCACTAGAACGCATGAAAGGGAGAGCTGCCTGACTTACGACTACGTAACCGATGACTCCACTGGTTTCCTCCTGGAGGGCGACCTCGATCTCCTCTCTAAGCTTGCTAGCCTTGTAATCTCGAGGCCCGTGCACTCTGGTGACTCGCATAAGAGTGCGCTCCTTGGCTGCGTCCATCGTGCTAAGCTCTGGTTAGGCAATTCCGACCAGCCCATTCATCCTGAGTCCTCCATTACCTGTATCCAAGCGCTACATTACTCTCCGTGCTTACATTTTCTCTGATGCATTTTCTTCTAATTTCCTTATTCCCTGTTGGGTTTCGAGGTTACCTCCTCGATCCGCCTCGGATTTTTTCGAACATTACCTCGACAGAGAGGATGTGAAGATTTCTCTTGTGTCGCTGGTTGGTGTATTGCAAGCTATTTGTTCCCTTAATTTCACCACAGACGCAGGATTGAGGGAACGACTTAACAGGATCTTGTCGTCCGACTACTTCACGAAAGCGCCGGAAATGAAAGCTCCTGCTGATGTGGCTGTGGCGGTGGGGAAGTATCAGGTTCAGGTTTCTAGCTCTGCAGGAGTCCCCCCATCATCTGCGGTGGCTGATGCGCCTCCAGCGCATTATCAGGAAAAGGTGATCTTTTTTTTGTTTAATTTCATTGGATTCTGTACTGTTTCCTCTGGAAAAAAGAAATGATTCGAATGTACACAATATTTGTGGGTTGTCAATGAGCATTGTCTCTAAAGGAGACCATTCACGACCTTACCATTTGTCTGCTTTATTTCTTCTGCTCGCGCTTCTTGAACCGATGATATGCATCAGGCTGTTTCGAATTCCCACGCCATGTTTACAGTTCTTCGATCTTTGCTGAAATCCCCTGGTACCTCAAAGGTGGTCGAAGGGTTGTGAGTTATCAGGAAGATGCTAGGTGCAGTTTTCACGGTGGAAAAATATCACTCCCACAATAGAAGCACCTAGAGCACATAAATCAGGCGTTGCTGTAGTTATGGCTTGAGCAAGAGTGGGCATCTGGAATGATTCTCTCGTGGTCAACCTTAGCAGAAATCACCATGTTTCGTGCTGAAATAATGAGACAAACTTAGGTCTTTTTTCTTTTTTGAGACATGTCAGCCATAGCTTTGTTTAACCTCATATCTGAACAGAGTCACCACGCGTTCACTATTTTTTTAATCCCTTTTTTCTCTACATTATAATTCTACTGACGACTGGCCAATCCTTTTCTTTGCTGGGCCTGGCTAATCTGTAGAAGAGCAATGGGATTTTGAGGATAACTATTCGAGGTGGAATCTGAATTATAAACTGTTATTTGATGGGCTGAGGCTGGGTTAATGAATAAATGATCTAAGATTTTTTTGACTAAACCCCACAACAGGTGTCTCTCATTATCATTTTTAAGCCTTTGTTTTCTCCTCATTTCTGGAAAAATCCTAATTAATTTTGAAGAATATCTGAAAAAATTATGTCATGCGTGTCATTATCATAATTTCTTAATTTCATAGAAAAGAAGTTGAGGAAGGGTATGGCTCAGACGATTTCCCTTTCTATCTCGTCAACAAATCCTTATATTCATCTTCTCTGAGCTACTGCTGAGGAATATTCCTTCATAGGTTAAGGTCCAAATCTCCCCAATTCCCTTCAGCACATATGACACAGCTCAGCTATCAAGGTGGTGTAAGCAGCTCTCTCTGTGACAGTAGTATCTAATCTGAACAAGAGCTAGTTAGATGATCATCGTAAGGATGATAGTAATAAAGTGCTCGATTGTATTTTGTATACGGGGACATCTCTATTTCATTGCTTTGTATTTGCGTAATTGCACTTTTATCTGGGGATTCTTCCATTTCGTTGCTTTGTATGTGTGCTAATTGAAATGTTATATAAGAATATATATGCTTGTACGTATTTTTTGTACTTCAATTTATTATTTAGACTCAATTTTTTTTTTAACTATCGCCAAAGCCATAACATGGCCCGGCAACCACTGGTATCAACATGGTTGGATTTACAACCATGATTCCGCTTTCCCTTTCATTAGTTGATGTCTCAGGAAAACTGTCTTATATGGTTGTAAAAGAATTTTATCCACATAATGTACCTTCCGAATCTCTTTCTTCAGGACGTTGTCATAAATTTTGTTAGATTATCGGAGCTAATTCTCATCATCATGTAGCTGGGTGTCCTTCTATGCCTCCAAAAGGCTTCATAGAAGGGGTTTGGATCATGATGCTGCTTCGTTTGGTTTCTCGAAAGAATTTTTATGCACGTACCCTTTTCCCCTTAGAACACGCTGTAATTATATCACATATTGTATTGCCACGACTCTTTCCTTAGTTTAATCGTCTGCTTGGCTGTCTGGCTCTTTATCTCTCTATAGATTCGATTCCATACTGCCTTCTGTTGGTTTCATCACTATTTTTTTCTCTTCACTCATCTCTTTCGTCGGTTTGATTCATCTATGGGTAACTATTCTCTTTATCCTTCTCGAGCTTTGCTGCTCATGCCACTCGTGTTTGGATATACATTTGCCTTCCCACTGATGGTTTTTTTTTTGCTCCATTATTTTTTGCTTTTTTTTTTTCCTGTAATTGCCATATTGCTTCTTAAAATTATGAAACGCCTGTGATTGCGCTGTGTAGTCTCCAATCATTAGACTCACGTTTGTGCCGTGGGTTTTCGAAATCCCAAATAATGTTGTCAAATTGTGAGTGCGCTGTGTAGTCTCCAATCACTAGACTCACGCTTCTCTGAGAAGATAACTCAGGAGATGAGAAAGAAGTGTGAAAATGAAGAAATACTTGACTGGGTTAATTTCCCTTTTCTTTGGGGTGGGGGGGTTGAAAATGGGTTGAAAATGAATGAATAATTCCATACCGGCAAATTTGTAGTAATTGTTGTAATACCTTACAGGCATCGAAACCACCCTTCTACCGCCTGGAAACCCTAGTTTTTACATTCAATGAAGAGGGGGAGGTGGTGGGATGTCTCCTCAGTGCCTTCCTTCAGAGGTACTTGCTGGAAGAGGTCAGCTGTGGGTAATCAGCTTGATGATACTTATCCCTTTAGGAGGTGACTCAACCAGCTTCAAAGGTCAATCTTTTCTGAAGAGCTACACTGTCAGAAATATTGTTCTTGCTTATTGAAACATGTTCCCAGAGACACACCCCGCAGTACTGTGCTGAAGTTCAAGCGTCTTAGAAGGGCTAATCTGGGTTAAGGGGTGGAAATAATCTTTGTTACGCCATTGATTTCGTCCTTACTCTTTTGGGCTGGGAATGGGATTGACCTTGGTCTCGGACAAGATCACCTGTATGGAGGAGACACATTTGCAGAAATACTATGGATATATATCTTGGATCTAGGAAATGGAAAACCTTTAGTACGAAAAACCAAAGTCTGGATCATCTTTGGCGGATGATGTTGGTTTACCAAATCCAGACTAATGCTTTTTTCAAAATTCACGCCGATGATCAAACTGACGATAGAAGAACGTGTGGACTGCAATTAGATGTCTCCAGTGAGTTCTCTTTGGCTATAGCTATGAAAATGGAAGGTCTAGAGTGTGCTGGAATCATATTGTTTGGGATAATAGTATCTTCTCTTACAAGCGTTTGGTACCCCATTTCGGATGCTACTCCTCAAAAGATCATCTAAGGGATGCAAACATGGATTTTAGACATGGGGTGATTATTGCTCTTCGTGTTTCGATGGAATGATATCCCTAGTATTATTTTTTCCGGATGGGATGAATGTTAGTGGCGAATCTGGCTTACTAAAATTGTTGTTACTGGCTATTCTGTAGATAGGGAAGACTTGGGACTTGAGAATTCTCCTGGGTTGGATCAACTTATCTACGTCTTTGATGGAAAATTTAATAGATGCATCTCATCAGCAGGATATGCAGATGGCCCCTCCTTCCTAGTCCCCGGGATTAGTGTGAATCAGTACGATGCGCATTTCGATTTGTAGTTATTTTGCTGGCCATCTTTTACTTGGGATTGGGGGGGGGGAGGGAGAGCGTGAGAGACAGAGGTAGAGTAGAGGGAAGACCAGGGACTGAAACTTCACGGGTCTCCAGGATCTAATCAATGGAGCTAATCTGGAGAATCTACCATTATTATTATTATTGTCGTCGTAGAAGACTCCTCCAACGATTATTATTTTTAAATGTTTTTCAAGCGATCTTTGGTGAAGATTTATGAGCCCAAACTGGGTAATTTGTCTCTCTGCATTTGGTTGGCAGCTTCAAGATGTCGTCCTCATCTTGCCTCTTATTTTATTCCGTGCTTTTCTGCAGGAGGAAACTCCTGAGAGCTTTGAAAGCAGTGACTCTGGATACGATCAATCTGGTCCTGTTGATCATTCTCCGAAGGTGGGATCAGAGTTGCTCTTTCGTAGTGTTTATCTGCTATTTCGTAGTGTTTCTCGATCAACTTTTGGTTTTTCTGATGCAGAATGAGTCGGGTTCCTTGAATGCTACCGGTGATGCCAACGCAGTCCACCCCGAGCGCTACCAGAACCAGAGAGACGCGGACTTGAACGAGCTGCAGTACGGTCACCGGAGGCCGTATCAGAACCAGCGGGGCGGCGGTAGGGGCGGCGGCGGGGCCGCCGCCGCCGGCCGGGGGCGGAGGGACTACGCCAACGGCCGAGGCGGCCGTGCTGCCCGCGGTGGCGGTGGCGGCGGCGGCTACCAGAACGGTCGGAGCCAGTACTACGATTCTGGGTACTACCCCAGGAACTACTACAACCCTAGAGGGAGGGGCGGCAGCAGAGGCGGCGGCGGGCCGGCGATGTACAGCCACGTGGCGCCGGAGGACGTCGAGCTACAGGCGAGCACCTAGTGTTCCGACCGCCGCCCATCTAGTGATTTTGTTCTCTTGTCTTGACTGTCGGCCTCCTCGGAGAGAACGGATGTGATCTTGGTGCGTTTTGTTGGGTCCCCATATTTCTCGTCTCAAAGCAGCAAAATACCAGATGAGGGTGGACTTTCGAAGCAACGTCTTTCTTCTTCTCATCGTGACCAAAATGCGCTCCATTGCCTCGAGAAATATGCATATACATATATATATATATATATATATATAGAGATATATAGAGAGAGAGAGAGCGAGAGAGAGAGAGAGAGAGAGAGAATGATTGTCGTGTTCTTGAGGTCAAGATCGAGAGCCAGGTCGCGTGGGCCTGACATAAATGAGCAGGTGGCACCAAGGGAAATGGTGGGCCCAACTATAACACAGAAAATTGCTAAACCCTCCCCATCAGATCCGGACCGTGGCACCCATCGCCGCCGACAAGAGGTTTAAAAAAGGGAATCATATCTTCGAGTCAACGGTGACAAATGACGGGTCAACTTCCACTCGGGTACCATAGTTTCTCGGTCTTGCAATCAATAATTTCTTGGGGGGAATATTACGTCATTACTTTATTTAATCCAGAAAAATATATTAGATTTTTCGCCCTTCTGTATTATGATAAAAAGGGGAGCCGGCCAATCCCCACGCTCGGAATTGGCCGCCAAAAGCGGTCCGGATCCCGGGTAGATATCTTCGTGGATCCCACATTGATAAGAGGAGAAAAGGACAGTCGGGTCCACGTGTCATGTTGTGGCTTTCGGCGTTTTCATTTCTCGGGTGCCACGCCGAGGCCACTTCCTCTGGATTCACTGAATATTCAGCCCGCCCTGAAGCCGCATCTGTGGAAAGTTAATAAAAACAAATAAATCCGAAAAAAGGAAGGATAAATCGTAGAGTGAGTTTCGTGGCGGCGAGGGAGAGCTTCCCGCGCGGGTAGTGTATCTATATATACACGTCTACGTGGGAGTCGGGAAGGAAGCGGTGTTGTTTCCTCGAGATTCGAGGGGCTGCCGAGGATCGAGGGAAGTCGCAGCCGTGGGAGATGATGGAGGGAGGCGAGGCGCTGGAGGTTGCCGGGGGGAAGATCAAAATTGGCGTCTGCGTAATGGAAAAGAAGGTGAAAAATGCGGCTACGCAGGTTTTCTGATCTTTTCTTTCTTCCCATGCGCTCCCGTCCTCGCCAAGTTTTGTTTGACGATCCCGCCATCTCAGTACCTCTTTGTTGTTGCTCCTGACGCTCGCTTTGTTTTTTGCTTCATCTTCTGTTGTTTTTGTATCATCTGCAACTTTCGCTGATGTGGTGTTGCGTTTGTTAGGCGTGCTCCGCTCCCATGAAGCAAATCCTGGATCGGCTGCAAGCATTCGGTGAATTTGAGGTAATTACTACATCTCTTTGATTCAGCTGTTGCCACACGATCTATCATAAGAAAGAGTGAAACGTCATCCGTGGACGGCCAGGATTGATCTTGATGACCTTGGAAATAGTCGGCCTGCCAAGATGGATAGTCTTCTGATTCATTGGTTCTCATTGTAACGTCTGTGGTCGTCGATTTGTTTTTGCCTTGCCATTCAGCGTGTTTTACAAACATTAATAATGAAGGCTCTTGGGATTGTGCATGTCTAAATATTGTCATTTTTTTTTCCCTCCCACAGACTGTGGACACCTCTCTCTGGCCATCATCAGTCTTTATTTCTGCTTTTACTCTATGAACAGCAATGTTTCTCTAGTTTTCTTGTGGTGTGTCTGCTTTGTGGAAAATTTCCCAATAGCTGTTGCTTATGTTTTCCTCTTTTCCATGAATCAATTTAATCAAATTACTACCGTTAAATCATTGCATGGAAGGATGGATAATGTGCAGAGGACTGATTTACATGACAGATGGAACAAAAGATGAAATCCACTTGTGTAAGTGCATACCGGTTTTCTAGCATTCTTAATACAATAACGAATTCGTCTGAATTCGTGTTCATTTTTTATATTGCGGAAGGAAGTTACAAAGTGGAAGTGTTTAAGCTTTGAATTGTCTAATTCTGATATTTAGTCCTTTTAACACTTTCATCTAAAACAGCTGTCAACTGACATAAGTTTGATCAAATCGAGAGTGTAGATTTGATCTATAATGCCTGTCACCTGAAAACACTGTCATAAGTTTTCTGTTTTAAATAATATATTTCTGTGGATATTTTGGGAAATAATGACACTGCTTGAGCTAAGACGATAAGGTTCATTTAACCTAAAACTGAGGAAATCTGTAGCTGATCCACGATCACTATCCTAAAAAGATAGTGATCTTATATAATCTATTATCTCGGCACCACTTTATGATCCTTCGATGGATCTGAAGTCTTATGTACATTTGTTGATTACACTCGAGGATTGATGTTCTTGTGGACGTGAGACAGAGAGTTTCTGTTTCAGCCTTTGTTTCGTAGTTTCATAGATTATAATCAGCCGTCATATGGCTATTATGATTTGAGGAATTGGCAGTACCTGTCCAGATTTGTCGTTAGGTTACATGCAGAATATTTTTAGCGTTAATTAATTCAGTTTTCTATGCCATTTTCTGAGAGGTCGCCTGAGAAGTGCCATAAAATATTGATGTTTATGCTGGTTTCGCTTGGCATCCAGTCAAAATGACATTTCCTTTTAAAGGATGACTCTCTGATAAAGGCAGTCATGAAATCATTCATGTTTTTTCTGATTTTATCTTATATATTTCCTAACTAAGCGTTGATCTCTTATGTTACAGATCATATGTTTCGGAGATCAAGTTATTCTCGAAGAACCTGTGGAGAAGTATATCTTTTGCATTGAATTACATGTTAGATTTTAATTTTTTATTCGTGCTTATTTTGCGCGGAAGGCTTTTGGGTGCCCTACAATGCTTGGATCTTTTTTATATTTTTCAAAAAAATATCATTAATTTTCAAATTGGAATTGGCCTTATTTCCAGAAGTTGTTATTTTTCTAATTTCACCATTATGGAAAGTGTATAAGTAGTTGCTATTGAATAAACCTGGGAAAAGTTGGGCAATCAGGTTAGACTGTCTTGACTAGGCTGTGTTGTGGGTCGACAGGCATCTCCGAGCTGCACTTGAAAATCGGCATTACCTGCACCAATTAGGGGAGCCCGCTGAATATACATGTTCCTGATGAACCTCAAAACTATTTGTAGATTGGCTGATTTTAGGGTTGAATCTGGTGATTATGGATTTCTCAGTCAGGTGTTGGCTGATTCCCAGGTGTTCCAAGATGTTTCAGCTAGTCCTAATGGCCGATCAAACAGAATAATGGTTTATCCAAAAATTATCGTTTCCCTTTGATCGGACAATTTTCTCTGTGCAATATGAAATTATATATTTGAAAATGTAACGTAGAATTGTCTGTACGAAGTTGATTCGTGTTCTAATGTTTACAAAATCAGCGGGGAATTACTCAATCCTACTTTCATCGATTTGAAGAAGAAAAAGTGCTTCCGTTGGTTAAATTTGGGAACCCTTTCTGTTAAAAAGGAGATATAAAGCACATCCAAGATGTTATGTACCTGTGAACATGAGAGAATGGGGATCCGGTGTAAGATCTAAAAGATTGTAAATCGAAAACCAAATCTGGACTAGTTCTGTCTATTTCTTCTTTGTACAAGTAACAGTTTCTTCCAGTTGGTTCTAGCTGGTTTTGTAATACATGAATGAGCTTCTTGAATTTAGCGGACGCCCTTTTAAATATTGATTATTTATGGAAGCTAACCTAATATGTCTTGATTTTCCTTGTGATATTGGGGGAAAAAGGCCAACTCAGCAGGTTGTTAAATACTTTAATTCAGGATGCTTTCTATACCTCAGTATTGCTTAGATACAAGTATAAATACAACCTTTAGGAATATTCACGAATTTAATCCGGAAATTGGATCGGGATAAGCGCAGCACAAAGTAGGATCATGCATTTATAATGATTTCTATGGAAAACACAGGCTTTGCTGACTCGTCATGGTTTGCTCTGATTCATGGATCAGTTCATTTTCATGATTCTAATCGTCAACACACCCTAGAATAGCCGGACAATGCATCTAGAATGTTTTTGAAGGAAATCTATTTTCTAAAAAATAGTTTTGCCCACGGGATTGCATAAGTTATAGTCGAGTCAGTCTAAATCAAAATTAAGTCTATGCCATCTGTTTTTGTGCTATACTTTCGAGCCCTGATAATGCACCAGTTCGCCGACCTATATCTTGCTGTAGAAAAGTGAAATTCTTATTCTAATCAGTGGATGACGGATTCTTAAATTTCTTTATGATTTCAGTTGGCCGATCTGTGATTGCCTCATTGCTTTCTACTCCTCTGGCTATCCAATACAGAAGGCAGAAGAATATGCTGCATTGAGGACGTATGCAATTTTCACCTTATCTTTTATTTCTACAAAAAATTATTTCGTGCATGTAATTGCAAAGGCTTGCAATTAAATGAGATGGTAGAAAAAAACTGTTCATATTATTTATATTGAATTAACAGTTACTTCATGACATGTACCTTTCGAGACAGTCACTTTACACTCTTACCATATATGTTGGTCGAGGGTTTGTTTACCTCTATCAGTCAATTTTTTCTTTGTTTTTTTTATTAAGGAAATTTATTCGTGATGCCAACGAGTAGTTAACGTTATCATGTTCTGTATTTTTACTTCTTTATCATCTCATTTTATCCTTATACTCGTTGAATATCCCATTTATCTTCCTGTTCGCATTTTATGTAACTGTGTTTTTTAATAAGGTGCGAATTATTTATATATTCAATTTATAATGTTAGTCGCATCAACTTCATCATTTACTGTTTGGTCGTGTGAATGATTTAAATCTATTTTGGATAATATAGTTGTAGAAAAAAGAATGTGTGTAAATTATAAGTCAGTACAGAATTCTTGATTGTTTGTATGAATGTTACCATTTTTTTTGAAATGTGGAAATATGGTAGATTTCTTGTAGGTTGTGAATCTTTTTATAGACAAAGGTTTGGGGATTGAGGTGGATTTTGTGTGGGATAATGCTTTATTGTGAAATGGAATGACCATGTATGATGAGTATAAAAAAGGTGTGATCTGGTAATTGAAAAAGCGTTATTCATGTCCTTGGGTATTTGATATTCTACTTTACCTGAGTTTATTACGCATGATAATACAAATACGAGAACAAATAATGTTTTCCTCTTCCTATTTATTTCCTTGGACTTCTCATTTATTTATTTCTTAATTCTTTATCATCGTCTTCATCTTCTTTCACCACCTCCGTCTCTCCTCTCTCTTCCTTGCTTATCATAGGGAATTTATATTCTTTCGAATCACAAGCCTTTTTATTGATGTAGCTTCATTAATCGTTGATCTATTACTGATATACTGACTTAGATTTAAGATACTGGTGAAACTAATTGTTTTTCTTTATTTTTCTAATTTCAAGTGTTTTTTTTAGTATTTTGGATAATCTATAAATTTGTTTACTTTGAATTTTTCTTTCATATTTTAATTTTTCATGTTTGCACATTCTACTTGTGTGTTAGGCCCTTTTTGGTGAATGAATTGGAACAGCAGCATCTACTTCATGATAGAAGGAAGGTTTATGAGGTATGTTACCTGGCTTATGAGGTCCGTTGTTTTGTTTTAGATGCACAGTTTTTGGTTCTTACGTTATTTTGATGACATAAAAGTGTGAAATTTGTTTTTCTCAATGCATCATCATTATCTTTTTTTGGAACTGTTCACATTGTCACTGTGATTTCAGAAATCTCGGGAATTCATTTTATAATTCTAATTTAAGCTATGCATTATAATTGACCCAACATAAGAGCTATCTACCCAACATTTATATCTACCGATATACGTCAATATTTTCACACGAAGTGATTATTGTATCTATTGAAAACACAAGTGATTGTTATAAAATGTAACCTCTTCATCAAATACAGAACTTTACGTAGAAGCTTTGACTCGTATGGGATGAATGAAACTAAAATAAGTCAGGCTGACATATGCTATCAATTCGTTTTATGGATTGGAGTATGCTTATGTTCCATTGGCCGTCTTCCATTAACACCCAAATTGTTCATCATAAGATGTGTGCCACCATCTTCAGATCCACAATCTCTTGAAGTAGCCTAGTAATTATTTAAAAAGAATACTCATGGAAACAAATGGAATGTCTCGTCAATGACGCACTCATGGTAATAGGTAACAACGATACGTGAGTCAAAATTTTCTTATGACACAACTTAATTGGTTATTAAGTCTAAACAGGTCGCAGAGTGAGACACAAAAAACAAAAGACGTTTGGAACTCGTAAAATAAAAGTCTCAAATAGGTTAAATCTTCATGCAAGACATAGAATAAAATGCTCTCAAATGTCTTCTGGATTTATTTATAAGGGTTGAAAAAAAAAAAAAAAGAGTCTTCTGGGTTGCCTGGAAGCCCTTGATGGCACATGCCCACTGTAGAACGCAAAGTCCATTTCTTGATTGCCTGCATATTATTTAAAATTTTCTAGCAATGAATATTTGATAAAACAGTAATATGATATCTGACGATCTTTATTTTTTTGTCCTAATCAATGCATTATTTCTTCTGTTTTAAGCGTCTCGAAATGTTTGGAATTCCTATACCGAATTATGCACTTGTAAATAGAGAAGCCCCGTATCAACATGTGGATTACTTCATTGAGCAAGAAGATTATGTTGAGGTTCATGGAAAACGCTTTTGGAAGCCCTTTGTGGAAAAACCTATTGATGGTGAGACCTTATTTTGGCTAATCTTGACGGTATTCATCTTTAGTTCAGAAACAGATGATTTTTGCTATATGCTAAATATGTCTACGGACGAGTTTTTAGAGCGCAGGTTTCATATTGTATGAATCTGTGCAAACATAATATAAGTTGTGTATTTATATTGTATATAATGACATGCTTTCCTTCCACTGGTATCACTGTAAAATATCATTTTTCAAAGTACTTGTTGCACATAATAAACAATAAAAATCAGAAGTAGAAAATGTCGACTTATTCTTATTTAATGAATGTACATACCGGAGAAGGATATTTTTCATCTTTAATGATTTTACGTTAACATAAGATTGTAAGACTACTGCAGATGTGCCTTGGTTTTATATGTATCCTCTATTATTTCGACCAATTAATGTCTTCGAGTCTCTTGTGAGAAACAGGCTGCTATGTCTTTCTAAGTTTTCATAGCCATAACATATATAATGTACAAACCACCAGACTAAGATTATGTTTCCGTTGGTCATTTATGTTTAGGAGTGACTAATGTTCCTCGACTCCATTTTATATTTCTATTCTCTTCCAAATCTTTGGTGTGTAATTAATTACACTCTTGAATGTGCAGAAACATAGCCGTTTTTTTTCAAATTCTGTTGGCTCTAGCACAGGCATATGCTTGGTGGATTATTATTTCTTTTCTTATTTTAACTAAGGAATAATTGCATGGAGTAAGTTTAGGATAATTTGGTATCTCTTGAAATTTTCTGTCAATCTTTTATTTCTTACAGCAATGACTCTTAACTTTTAACTTTTGCATGACTTTGATTATATTTATATTTTTAGGTGAATAGCTTGTTATTTTTGGCCGTTCTGATTTTCTACTTGAACTGTGTGAAGGTGATGATCACAGTATAATGATATATTATCCCAGTTCTGCTGGAGGTGGAATGAAAGAGCTATTTCGGAAGGTGTCCTCTCTCATAATCTTTTAAGTGCCATTTTCCTGAATTCAAATTTTTTCTTCGGTTTATTATATTAAGGCGGACTCCAATATTTATAGATATATATGCACATATATTTCAGTAGAGAACATAACTTTGCAAAGTTATATATTTATAAAATGATGTATACATAAAAGTTTCTTTTGAGGTGTTTAAAACTAAATACTCATATTTGAGATTAGATCATTATATTTGGCGGTTTGACAACTGGAGGCTCTTCTTTAAATCTAGATTTCGTGTTTAAAGTTCCAAGACGCCTGAATCCTTTCAGTTTTGCGTTGAAAAACGAAAACATTACGTTTCAATGTGTTATGAATGCCCCGTGTCTACTTATATCCTAGGTGGTGCCTGGCTTCTTATTCTCCTGAATAAGTTCGTGTATGGGTGAACGACGTTTGATCCATCAGAACGAGTGTGCTTTTTCTTATAGAATTTATTATTTTCGTACCATGGACAACAGCTCTTCTGATGCTTCAGGTTCATCTGTTCTTTCAAGGACAGGCATACCATGGCTTTTTGAGTGCCTGCTAATTCAACAAATTTCTTCTATGTTTGTTCTCTTCAAAGATTGCATCTACTTTTATTTGTTTTCGAGTGTAATATTTGTGAAATATTTTAAATATCTCTGTAGATAGGAAATCGTTCAAGTGAGTTTCATCCAGAAGTTAGAAGGGTGAGACGTGAAGGCTCCTACATATATGAGGAGTTTATGCCAACAGGAGGAACAGACGTTAAGGTTTATTTTTCATTTTTGGTTATTTTTTTCATTTCCTTATCGAGATTATACCATAAATAACTAATGCAATATGTGGAGAGATTATACCATTGCTCTTCTCATTGAACTTCTGGGGGGAAATGATCATGTGGGTACTTCTCTAGTGACAATTCTGTTAACATTGGTGCTACATTGCACAAATTAACCGGCGTGATTTCTATGTCAGCATTCGGAAACATTCTAGTTAGTTTTGTTGTTTGAAAATTTTAATGCATGTCAAGGCAGACCGATCTCCCACATCGTCGTTATTCCTAAATTTACGAATCGGTTACCAAGTTCCTACAACGTTAGAGCAATTATTTATCTGTTATTTGGAATTGATAATCGAGGCATGTAATTTGTTCAATTTGGACTAAAGTGCAAGCTATTTTTGCAACTATTTTTTTCACAAGTGGGATATTTTTGCAACTATTCCACGTGTTATGGGAAACTTGCATCGTGCAAATTTTATTATGTGTTGCTTTGGAATTTCACTACGTTTAACTCCACATTATAGTGAGATATTTACACCTGTGATTCATACGTTTTGTCATTTTTTTCTATAAAAACCTTTATGTGCTGGTTATCACATAATGAATCCCTTGGAATATGTCTGGATTTAAGGTCCAGGTTACTCTAGCAGAATGGGGTTGAAAGAAAGAATTCTGCATGTTTGTGTACAGTTGGCGCGGGATCTGTTAATATAAACCTGATTCACGGTTTCTTGGTTGCTTCAAGCACCTACTGTCTGACGGGACTTATAGATTTTAAATGTGTAAATCTTCTGGGAATTGTTTTACAAAATTTTGCACTGATAAATAGTGTTATCATTTCACAACTTCGTAATATCTTTTCTTCCCTTGTTTCCTTAAACATCTAGAACTCTAAAACCTACTTTCAACTGTGGTATGCCAATCCCAAAAGTAGTAACCAACGGTGACGTCATCAGGAGGAACCGTTGTTCAGAGTGGGTGCTTGCATTTCTTGCAATGCTTACACACAAATTGCACCAATAGCTGGCGGAGGTGCACTACCAGCAGTAGCTTCCAGCAATTGTAGACGACTTCCTTCATGATCATTTCTCCATTTCTCCTTTTTCTTCTCCTCTCAGCTAGGAAATACTTGTCTGGAGTCCGATCATCCTTGAATTCTAGCAAACTATTGACCCCAACATGGTTTTCTATCCCATATGCTACGGTCTAATTATCCTAAAAAAATTGAACGTTTTAATTTAACATGTGGTGTTTGGAGACCATAATAATTCTTATCGGAAAACATTTTTTTAGATATGATGAACTAGCATTTTTTCCTTGGATGTTGATGTGCAATGCTTAACCTTGGGACGAAAAACTAGTAACAAATGTACAACGCCACTCTAAGAAACGAGAAAAGGCCCAGAGTTGTCGACCTAGGTAGCTTGAAAATGTAAAAGCATGAAGCACAAAAAATTGAAGGCCCAAAATGCGTTCAAACCTAAAATTCAATGCATTAGGTATAAACCACATAGATAGGATGCCAATTCCATAAGATCAATAATTAGTTTCCTATTAATTGTGTTTATGTTGTTTTGCCCGCTGATCCGCTTTTTTAGAAGAGTAACGACTAATTTCGGCTCATTTAAAGACCACCACACTGTTACATCACAGTAATAGAATTTCGTTATCTCTAGAGGCTTTTCTCTATTCGTGGATTCAATCAACCTTTGTGCATTCCAGGACGTTGTTCTGACCCTTGTGGATTCAAAGATGATCCAAATCATTCCTTGTGAAAATTAGGCCCATTTCAATGCCTAATTTTCATTCTAGCTCGACTTCTGCGACATTAAGTAGCATCTGTAATTGGTCAAAGTTGCCTGCAGCTGTCCAGAATGTTTTCTCAAAATCATCGGAATGATTATTTTATTTAGTTTTACTGTAAATTTACTCTTTTTTATCTAGATATAGTCCTTTAAGTTAATACAAATATCAGGTCATTTCCAATATTCTCTCTATGAAACCCATTCATGCTTTCAGTGGAATGTTCTCATTACTGATTTCCTGAGAATAAAATCATTGTCTTTTGACAGGTTTATACTGTTGGACCGGAATATGCTCATGCAGAGGCACGGAAGTCTCCAGTTGTTGATGGCGTGGTTATGAGGAATACTGATGGCAAAGAAGTAAGTAGTCGTTGTTTGATCATCAATCTGTTTAATTTTGTATATCAAATAACTTTATGTCATAGCTTATATGCTCTATCATCAGCCCATTATCTGAAATGCAGTTCCTCTTTCATGATATCCTGTGAAATCAGATCTAGTCCTTTTCATGAACTTGTGTTTTCAGCCCATTATCTGAAATGCAATACCTCTTTCATGATATGATTTTAGTCGAATTTTAAGTGACATAGAGAATTCTATTCTTACTACTAATTATTTTTTAAGGTGAGATATCCAGTTCTATTGACTCCTACTGAAAAACAAATGGCAAGAGATGTCTGTATAGCATTCAGGCAAGCGGTAAGATCTCCATACCTTAAATTTCGCTTCTCTTTTTCCTCTTTGTTAACCAGTTATTAAAAATCTCCCTCCATTTTGTGACTAAATCGTGTGGTGCTTATTCCTTGATTGTTAGTCTATGTACGTATCCCTTTGTTGTTTTACAACGTTTTAAGACTTGAATTTTTTTTCTCCAAGATAACTTTTTTTTTAGAAAAAAGGTAAATTAATAACCTTTTAAAAAAATAAATCGTATTAAGAGTGGAGTAATATGGTCGTGGTCCACTTTTAGAAAGAGACCGGGGTCTCACCCTTACTGGCTTTTTGTTCCTCCCTCATAATGTTTTAATAATTGAAAATTCCACTTGGCAGTCTTGCTTTGCCTGAAGATCATTGAACAAGAATGGCAATGTTCTTGAGTTTACAGATAATTACAACGATAACATGAATGAATCCTGAGCCCTAGGCGAACCTGGATGCTTGTCTGAGTATTAACTAACCTTCAGTTTGTGTTTTTTTCCCTCCGAAATTTTATTTAACTAGATCTGATTTTTTATTCCAAATTTGACTGTTTCTCACTTTGGTCATCAATTAAATTATTCGTGACATTAAGCATACTATGGGTAACTATATTCGTTTTCCCATGATGGAGTCTTTCTATCATATTTATTTAGGGACATAAAAATAGGAATGACAATTAATCTTACACCAATGATTGTAGCCCTCAAAGATAAAGCTAGTGTTTCTTTAGAGAGACGCAGAACTCAAAATGGATGCGATATAGCCATGGTGTCCAGAAAGAGATTTTAACTGCATCAAGGTTCTGCAGGAAATAAATGGGCAAAATAGGTGGACCTCCGAAATGGATATTTTTGACCAGAGAATCAGAGACTGTAATCTATGGAAATTAACATTCCAATGAAAAATTATATGGGTCAATGTCTCCAGAACTTGTTTCTGCAAGACTGAACACAATTTTCGCCTTATACGAGCACTGGGAAATATCCTTCTTACAATACACAAAAAACTGAAGAAAAGAGAAGAGTCAGTTTAGTTATAAAGAGCACGGTTGACATGTTAAGGCGCAAAGGAATAGTGAGTAATGGTGGACTGTGATCCCCAAAAAATTATTTAAACAAATGTGATTAGTTAATGAAGAAAAATCAGAACAGTCAAGTACATGAATCCATCTTATCCAAGCACAACAGAAAAAAAGATGAGGGTCGGACATTTTTGTTTGGTCTTGCTAGTTATCTTTGGAAAGTAATCGTACGGGGCTAAGTACATGTGATAGAATATTTGAAATATGAAGACCCCAGAGTCCCTGAATTCTCTATCAAATACCTGGGGGAATATACGATTCTCGATAAGTGCTAATTAATTTCGTTCTTGGATGGAAGGTGAATGGATGTGAGGGATTATCCCATTAGATGGGAGCATTGCCGATTATTTAGTGTCAGGCTAGAGAGAAATGTCTAGAGCTTGGAAATAGTTTGGGATGGTTATAGAGATTGATGGACGTAGGTTTCTAAATCAGTCGTGTATGGCCCAAATCAATACACTCTTCGCTTCTAATTCAGATTACTTCAACATTTGTTGGGTCTCAGCTTGGAGGCATGCGCTGTTGACAGTAGTGAAAGCAGATACTTTTTGGAGTCTGTTGTTTTACATTTTTAGCACTAGCATTCCTAGTGATAAAGAAAGTTACGCCTAGAGGTTGTGCACCATTGTGTTATCGTGCTGGATCGTGTGGAGGATTGGAAGAAGATGAGCAAGTCATATGCTGCACGAGAAGGGACTATTGTTCTATTTGTCTTCTACATCTTAACTGAGCACGAGAAATGAGCAAGGTATTTAAAATTTTAGACTTCAATTTGGGGCAGCTAGTTAGTGTCACACAAGGATATACACTTCAATTTGATATATAGTTCAAGCGCTAAATGAATTTATTTTCTATTTAATCCGATATGTAGAATTAATGGTACCCTAATATTCAGCAAATTAAGCTGTGTATCCTCATCTCGTTAACCTTAAAATTTGGCAGGTTTGCGGATTTGATCTTTTAAGGTGCGAGGGAAGGTCATATGTTTGTGATGTAAATGGATGGAGTTTTGTGAAGAATTCGCATAAGTATGCATTTAATTATCTTTTCTCCACCTACTTTGATGAGTTGAGTCCTCACAAACGCTAGCTTTTTTTAATTGTCCTCGCAATGTTTTGAATTGAAGGTACTATGATGATGCTGCTTGCGTATTAAGAAAAATGTTTCTAGAGGCTAAAGCTCCTCATCTTTCGTTGACAATTCCACCTATTCTTCCTTGGAAAGTGAATGAGCCAGTACAACCTTCGGAGGGCTTAACACGTCAGGGTAGTGGAATCATAGGTACTTTTGGCCAGTCAGAAGAGCTGCAATGCGTCATAGCCATCATCCGTCAGTAAGTATTCTCTTTTTGCTTATATTAGCCTCAATGACTCTGTGGATGTCGAAACTTCCTCTTGATATTTGGTATGTAGATACTTCATTGTATCAGACGTAGAGAACTCTAATATTGATCGATATCCACTTTTGTCATAATTGATTAAACAGAAACTTTTTGATCACCTTTATATCAATTTAATTGGAGCACAATGAAATGGAGGTCTGAGGACGCGTTACTGATGGTAGATTCATGCCTTGTGATAAGGTGGCTTTATGATTATGATCTAGTTATAAGAAGAATATCTACGGTGGAACATTTAATTAATTTTTGACAAAATTCTAGCTATGAAAGCGATCCATGTTTAAATGCCTTGAAGGAGGGTAGGATGCAGCATTTTTCTGCTGTATAGTATGCTAGTGCAACACTAGTGGAAATGAACAGATCTCTATTTGTGTTTAGCTGTGGGTTGGTGACGGGTGTGGTTTTAGATCCAAATGATTGCTGGGCTTCTTTTGCTGTCTCTCATTTCTGTGAAATGCTTCATATTTGAAGGCCTTCTGTTTTCATATAACTCTCATTCCTTTTTACAAGCGCTGCTTTGGCTTATGCTTTTTCTGTGAATTTCGGCAGTGGTGATCGTACACCGAAACAAAAAGTGAAGCTGAAAGTTACAGAGGAAAAGCTGCTAAATCTGATGTTGAAGTACAACGGTGGGAGACCACGAGCAGAGGTGCTTTTGTTAAAACTTATCATTTTTTTGAAACGTTTAAAACCAGTTGAGATGCAGTTTTTGACCATGTACTTAGTTATTTTTTCTATCTTTAGAAATAAAACGAAAGAGAAAAAAAAGTATGAAAGAAAAAATGCCATAAGCATTGAAATGCATTTCCTGCTAAAAACCTGATTCCTTCATTTGGAGCATTGTCACCATCAGCAGGTTCTCACGTATAAAACAAAAAAAAACGTTTCTAGTCTTTCATTTTGAAATACAGTTTACATTTCAGCGATTGTCACTCTCCATTTGTTGAAATGTTGAGATGCATGTAGAGACATTCCTTTGTGATTCTCTCTACACAACCTTTCTGGAAGAGTGCTCTGTACTCCAGGAGAATGACGCATTCCGTTTCACTTGTCTATCTTGTGTATATTCTTCTGTAATAATTCGGTAAAGGACATGTTTCATTTCATGCTTATTTCGGCTTTTTATAAATGCCATCCTTCAATCGTTGTATTAAAGCCTTGGATTGCTGGAGAAGATTCTTTTTTCTCGAAACTCTATTTTTTCTATATTTTCAAGTTTAATTTGCTGAATTATCCTGTCCATGGAAACATTCATGTATTTACATCCATGCATATTTTGGATTGTTGAAAATCATGTTCAGTCGAGTATGATAAAAACAAAAAATCAGTTGTAGTTTTCTTCGTAAATCACATAAATTTAGTTAAAAAGTGTAACTCCAATTTATTTGATCAAAATCCATCCTTTGCTGGAAAACTTGGTGTGAGCTGTCTTAAGAGATCTGTAAATTTAGACCTTAGCATCCTGAAGTGAAGAAATTCAAGAGGAGTTTGGAAGGGCTCAGATGCTGATAAAAGCATTTACAACCCGATGAGATTGCCTCTGTTACATTTTTAACAGCTTGTGTATTATGGCATGAATCGTAATCAATGTTAGCTGATACTTACTCTTGCCATCCCAATACCCTATGAGTCAAATCCCTAAAAGCCTAATCCAGGTATGGTCAGGCTGTCTCCTCGAAAAACGCTTCTGTACCCATATGATCAATGTTCCTTCTTTTTATTTGAATTTTGTTTTAGAGAGTAAACGTTTGGTATGTTTTTTAAGGCTTTACAATGGGGTACACATTTTACACAATTCACTTCTGGTGAAAAGAATCTTGATTAATGGCATGCCCAGCCTCACGCATTCTACTATTTTGTTGTTTTTGATTGGTCTAGCCTGGTGGAAACCCCATAAAACGCATGGAAAATGATAACTTATTATCGACCAGTATCCAAATGAGAGGAGACCATCATTAGAGAACCCCAAGGTCATAGGATGAGACTAAAAAAGAGGAAAGTGGTTTCGAATGTAAAACTGGAAAGACTCTTGCAAGCAATCTCCTATATGCATTTGAGATAATGAACGATCTTCTACCGAGATTAAAGCTGGCATGCATCAAATATGTACGTAGAGTTATGACTGAGAGTTGAAAAAAATATATAAAAAAAGAAGTAACTGAATTAAAATGTTTTTTATCTTTTTCAGACAAAGCTTAAAAGTGCGGTTCAATTGCAAGATCTGCTGGACGCAACAAGGATTCTGATTCCGCGTACAAGGTGTCTACTAATATTTCTGTGGCATATATTTATTTGGATTTTTAGGAATTCATATGTTTAAAACATATAATAAACTTTTAGGTGGAAGGTCTTTTCTCGAAAAAAAAGTGTAAAACATGTGTTAAACAAAAGCCTTTCCTTCTCGTGAAAGTGTTGTATTTCTGTCAATGATCCTGATAGTTCAATGTATCTCCTTGATTAATAAATCATTTTATTCTTTTAGACAATCTTTAATTTTCTCATGTTTTTATTGTAATTTTATAGTTTTATTCATTTATATTTATATACTAAATAGCGGAATAAGTGGAGTCATTTGCGTTGTGTATGAAAGACATTCACGTTGAGATCATTTAGGTTTGACTCTGAAGAACTTTCTTGTGATATCATTAGCAACAAACCCGAAAAACTTTTTCAGGTCATGGAATTATATGAGTAACCAAAATTATAGTGATAATATTTCTGATGGATAATCTGATAGGCTTTAATGATATCAACAGATCTGGTCGTGAAAGTGATAGTGATGCTGAGGACATTGAACATGCTGAAAAACTCCGTCAGGTTAAAGCAGTTCTTGAAGAGGTATTCTCTATTGAAAACATTTATCATTGTTTCTTTTTTGTCAAAGTAAGTGTCTTCGGCTCAAACTATTTATCAAATATCTGTTGTTTAAGGCACCATGCCAAGATTAGTGCTTATCCAGGTTCCTGAAGCATTGTTCTTATACTGAAGTCACTGGAGAGAGATTTCGGTGACCTAGCCGTGGTTTTATCCTAGGACAGACGCGCTTAATATTTATCTACCAAAGAATTATTAATCACTTTATCTGTCTACGGATTTCGAGAGAAGTTTCTAGTTTCCATTATTTGAAAAAAATAGCTCGGTTCTGCTTTGTAGTTCAGTACGTTTTTTTTTAAAGGAAAGAACATTTTCCCGCATATTACAGTAAGATTTAGTCGCATTGTGTGAGAATGACCATAAAGAAGTCACTGCAATGATAAATTCCTTGGACACCCATGTAGTACGTCTTTTGATCATTGGGATGGAAGACATTCCTCTTTTCCCATATTGCCATCATAGGCCCAATAGCCAGAAATGGACGTAAATCATTTAAGTGAGTTCAATTCCAATCCAAGCACACCCAGGAAGGGATTCAGCATGTTGTGATAAGAACGCAACTAACTTTCAGGCGTTGGGCAGCTTCCAGATCTCAGATTCATGTAAAGCATTTAAGTGGATGGATGAGGAAAAGGCAACATGTGTGTGGTCGCTTTAGTAGATTAAAGCAAAATATCATAAACACCTTACGGAAAATTCTACTACATCACAAGCTTGGATCTACATGCCCACTTCACCTCAGCCCTCAGGCCACTATGGCCACTCATCAAGTAGCTTACTTATGCAGTCCATAGATACGGGTCTCAGAATCTCATGAAAACTTGGACGCGTATCTTTCTGGCAGGGGGTGCACTTGTAACTAACACTTCCAATACTCTGGATAGTGTTTTGGTATACAAATGACTAGTAATGTGCCCTATGATTTCTTAAATTTTCAGCTTTTTTGTTAGCGTTTTTCAACACAGAACTTCCTTCAGGATTTCCAACAAAAATAGCTTACTAGCGTGTTGGAGGCGTGTAATATCAAGTTCTCTAATATCTGATAGAGTAGACATGATAGTGTCTCCATGTGCCTGTACCGGTATGGATGTATATTTCATAGCCTTCTACAAACTTCTTATATGTTTTGCACCTTTTATCGACACAATTGACAGAAGTATTGACAGAAATTCATAATTTTACTCATCGATCCTTACATATTATTAGTATTGCATATCTGCGTTTGTTATTTGAAGCATTATTTTTGTTCTTAGGAATTTTTTCATTGAGTCGTGCCATCACTAACAATGTGTCTTTGGCTTATACCTGTTCAGGTGCACCATAATTTTTATGAATACATGCTCGTGTAAAGTTCGATATTTCAAGTAGGATGACGTAGTATAACTTATATAATTATTTTATTCTCTTTTGTTTTGGAGATGAAATATGATGTTCCTGAAAATCTAAAGTGTGTTTTCTAGCATCATGTATTACTATTTCTGTTTAAGAGAATATTTCGTAAGATTTTTCTGATGTTGGATTCCAGGGTGGACGTTTTTCTGGTATATACAGGAAAGTGCAGCTAAAACCACTCAAGTGGGCCAAGGTGCCAAGGCATAATGGTGACGGTGAGGAAGAACGCCCTATCGAAGCATTGATGGTTCTCAAATATGGAGGTGTTCTTACTCATGCTGGAAGGAAGCAGGTACATATTTTTCGACAACCTGACTAAGTTTATTGATACTGAATGCGTCTCTTCCTGGAAATCTAGTGTCCGTGCTACAAGCAGCTTTTAGAATGTATAAACTTGTCTGTGCAGTCTTCATGTTAAATTCTGTATGATGAATTTATAGGTCAAGTTTGAGGTTTGATGCACGTTAATGGTAATTTTGTGCATTTTTCTGGGGCTTGTCTATTGCGCAATTCATCTCATCAATTACCCTTTTTTTCAGGCTGAAGAGCTTGGAAGATACTTCAGAAACAATATGTATCCAGGTTTCACATCGATTAGCTTTGTTTAAATTTGCGGTCATTGATTTTTCTTTGCGTGCACACATTGTGATAATGTTAATGTACCACAGACATGATCGTGGAAAACGGTATTATGTGTCTTATTATGATTTCCTATTGTTTTCAATGCGTAATGATTCAGCATGATCCTTATGATTGACAAATATTCTTAAAAATTGGGTTTTCTGTTTTTTGAGCCCGCATCATCAAACGATCTTAAATATTTTGGTTTCTGGTATTGAAATAAAGAATAAACATATTTATGATTCTCATCATCACTTGTTTTTAATTAACATTTCTGTAGCTGTCTGCAGATTTTGTCTGACTGAGTATTCATCCTTTTTTATCTTTCGTTGAAAGACTATGGGAAAAAAATTCTTCTTTTTTAAATATCCAAATGCATGAGTTCACTTGCTACATACGTTTACTTAATTAGGTGAGGGCACTGGGTTGCTTCGTCTTCACAGTACTTATAGGCATGACTTAAAGATATACAGTTCGGATGAGGGACGGGTTCAGGTACAGTATATGTCTCCATCAACATGACATTCCTTTGTTTTTGACACATACTGTATTCTTATTTTGCGTTTGATTTCATATTTAATCACCTTTTGTTTGGAAAATCTTGTTCTTTTCCCTTTTTTTTTCATATCTCACTCTCCCTTCTATCCAGATGTCTGCAGCTGCATTTGCCAAAGGGCTTCTTGATTTAGAGGGTCAATTGACACCAATTCTGGTTTGTATGTCCCTTTTCTAGTCATTTGAAAGATGCGTTAATACCAACTGATTATCAATGTGTCCTCCGTGTCAATTCTTAAGGTTTCACTTGTGAGCAAAGATTCTTCGATGTTGGATGGTCTAGAGGATGCCAGTATCGAAATGGAAGAAGCAAAGGTCAGATTTCCTGTTGAAGTATTTGCCTATTTCTTGTAGCATCAGGATCAAAACTTTTCCATCTTAAGAAAATCGATATATTCAGTTGCGTGTTCGTTTGGGCGATGGTATTCTCTTCTAATTTTTTAAGTGTTTATAGAAGTCTGATTAATGTATGAAACATGAAAGTTTGTTATTCTCCTATCTAATTTATTTTGTTCTAGCCATGTCATTAAATATGATACCCATTTCTCATCTGATTTCAAGGCCAGGATACATGATATCATTTCTGAGACTAAGAGTATGCATCATAATGGCCATGCTGAGTTTCCCTGGATGATTGATGGTGCTGGTCTTCCTCCTGATGCCAACAAACTACTTCCAAGAATGGTACTCACGCATTCAAAGCACCTACTAACAGTCATACCTTTTCCGATTTTTTTCTTTTCATTTTTACTCAATATTGATTTTATTATAATCATTCATATAAATATACTGTAAAATTAATTTACATGTTTTGATCGTCTCATCTTGACTCTTTTATTTTGATAGCCTCATCACTATTTTCATAAAAAAAAAATGTATATCATGCGATAAAGAGGTCTAAGTATGATTTTATAGAACCTTGACTCTTCGATTCAGGACTACGTCAATGAGAATCAAAATTTAACTCCTTATATTGCACGATAATTTTTCGGGAGGCAATCTGAGATCATATTTCCAAACCCAAGCTGTGATGGTGTTAAAAATTGTTTACAAGAATATGTCGGATGGGATCTTTGTTTTTTCTTTAATCTCATGAACAGAGACATGATCTAATTTATTCCAGTCGTGTAGAAGGTGAAAGACTGTAAGAAGAACCTCTGGTTGAGATTTATTGAGAAAGACAATAAAATTCCTACAATGCCTCCCTATGAGATTTTTTCATTGAAAAGATCATGTCGATCCTGCCTAGAATGGGTTTAACCTATGTTTCATCGGGGACAGCATCTAGTCCTTTTGTTATAAGTTCGTATGTCTGAATAAATAAGCGGTTTTTGGACTTGGATAAAGTCCCACCTGTTACTGAATAGGCCAAACTCTAGATTTTGTGATGAATGGAGTAGGTCTTTATGTTTAATCATTAGAACTTATCCATTCGTGTGAGTTGACTCTAGATTTGGATGTTGTGATCATAGACATGTGGTCCCACCTATCTCGAGACTATTAAGGCAGATTGCTAGTGAACTGGACCACCTTGGTACTCAAATCACGTCAGTCACCTCGTACGGGCTCATGTACGACCCAAGCTCCTCCATTTAATGTGTATAGATTATTAAAAAGGATTTATTGTTGACCAACTTATGTGCATGTGGAACTGGTATTAGTTTCTTAAATACGAAGTTTTTTTTTTTCTCACTCTTGTCGGATGGCTCCTCTCCAAATCCCCATGGCATGCATAGCTGATGCCAAAGGTAGAAATTCTTGTAGGTGACACCGGTTGAAACCACTGGTGTTGGCAGCAAGGTTGGAACTTGAGACTAAGGAAGAAGAATAAACCATGGAAGGGGATAGGGCTGTTTTGCAGAAGTGCATGTGGAGGGTTTGGCAGCCATTTGAGGAACTACAGTGATTGTGAGAGACCTCTCTTCCTCTTTCGTAACATTTCTCTCCTTGTTTTTCCCTCCCGTGTCAACTCCTTTTTTTCCTTCCTCAGGTCCCACTGTAGAGATTTCTTCACAAAGTTTTGTCGAGGATTAATATTTTACCGACACATTTGATTCATACAAGTCGAAGTCATATGTACAAGCCAACTACGTTTTGAGGGTTTCCTAGTAAGAACCTAAGTCTGAGTCAGCCGATCCTGCTGGGATTCTCTTCACTTTGCCGCTACTTCTGAATTTATCTTCCTTACATATTTAATGGTCCTTTCAGCATTTGTATCCCTGATCCTTGGATGTGCTTCAACTTTTCTCGGGGATCTAACTTCTAACTTCAAACAAATGTTAGAGCCTGCCTTTCTGGGACTCCTAACGCTTAGAATTTTCCTTTCTTGAGGTAAAACTGGAAAAGATCTCGCTTTTTAGAACCCGGACAGGTTCTCACGAATCATATTGATCCTTCAATGATATATCAGTGACCCTCGTGATATCTGAATCATTGTTTTGTCGGGGAATTATCGATGTCAGAGTGTTTATTTTTTTATTTCACCTCTGGAAAGTTGCTGTTCTCTACACTTGGGACCTAGGTAAACAAAATAAAATGCTTATCCCTGTATATTTTCATGATCTCCACATTTTTCTTAAATAGGCCAGATTAACTAAGACAATAACTGAGCAAGTAAAGCTGCTTGCGGAAGATGAGGATGAGAAACTTGCCATGACAAGCTCATATGCAGTTCTTCCACCATATGACCAAGCAAGGGCCCTTGGTAAGACCAATATTGACATGGCACGTATTGCTGCTGGATTGCCTTGTGGCAGTGAGAGCTTCCTTCTGATGTTTGCTCGCTGGAAGAAGCTTGAGAGAGACTTATACAATGAACGAAAGGAGTAGGTACCCTGACTTATCTATGCCATTCATCCAATATACTATATCATCATGTGAGCAGTTCGTCGTTCTGTCTTCATTTTACACTCTGATAATAGAGCAAGCTAATTATCCCCACATTTCACTAATTTTGAATGTTAGGGCGCCTTGAATTTATACTGAACTTGTGTTCTTATGCAACAGCCGATTCGACATCACACAAATCCCTGATGTTTATGACTCGTGCAAGTAAGTTACCAAAACCCTATATGGCGTAACAGTCATATTTCAATAATTATGCCATAAAAATAACTGGGCAAGCACAATAATGCAAGGTATTTTCTATGTACTTATGTTTAAATATTGCAAATAGTGTCCATTATGATAATGCAAGGTATTTTCTATGTACTTATGTTTAAATATTGCAAATACTGCCTATTATGATAATACTCTCCAAACATTTTGGTCTTTAAATTTTCTTGAGAACAATAACACGGTGCATATGAATGATAAAGGTTCAGACATTTCACTAAAAGACATGTCAGAGCCTGTAACTAAGGACCCTGGGAAAATTAGAAGGTAAGAGAATGGAAGACTTATTCATCCATCATTTCAAATGCCAGGGAGAAGTATGAGGTACGCTTGATGATCCAAAAAATGGTCCAGAATTAGATGTCGGCAATAAATTGTTTCTGGTTCAGAATCGCTCACTATTTCGTTAATTTTATGAAAATTAATGGCTGTGATAAATTTTCGGTAGGAGAGGTTTATTTGATTTGGAAACAAAACATTGATGTGCATTACTGGCCAAATACAAATTTTGAATTTCAAGACAGCGTGTGAAAGGCCAAAGTTGCAAAGACAGTATGATTTTATTAATATGGTGTGGACGTCTTTCGGAGAACAATGATTCAGGACGACATCCAGACAGAGAGCATAGGCTTAATCATGTGTTCCAGCATTACTTTTTGGTGACAAAAATATTTGATCAACTATTAGATTCTATCACTCGATTGAAATTTGTTTCTAATCTTTTTCTTCGTGCTATTTTTTTGACCTATTTTCATGCTTACTCTTTCCTGTTTTATTTTCTGACAGGTATGACCTCTTGCATAATTCGCATCTTAATCTAGAAGGATTAGATGAGCTGTTCAAAGTCGCTCAGGTATGCATTTAGTATAAAACCACGTTTTCCTCTGAATAATAATTAGTAGAGGTATTTGGCCTCAGGGTGTTACATCAACGTTCACATATGAACGCAGATCTAGTGGATTTGAGTGAATATCAATTCCTCTGAGGCTTAGCCCTTGCTCTACCCGCGTTACACTTCTGCTGCTCTTTCGTAATTCGTAGATCTTTCATAATATTTGGAGGTGCTACATGGTTAGAGTGCTAAAATTAACTTCATTGAAACCTGGTTTCATCAGGTGCTTGCAGATGGTGTCATTCCGAATGAATATGGAATAAATCCAAACCAGAAACTGAAAATCGGCTCAAAGGTACGTGGTTCATTCACTAAATGCAGATCGTTTCGTGGTCTGTTCAGGGTTGCAATTTCTTTCTAAATATTATACTTTCAAGGTCTCTAAAAACGGTTCTTATTTTGAATTTCAATAGTTGACTAGTGTCTGTAGATTTGTATCGCTGTGCAGTGGCAGGCTTTTTGCAACATACTAGTAGTGATAACAGGGGAAACTGCCCTTTTAAACCCTCCGTAGATCGTTGACCCAGTGCCGTCTTCCACCTATACCTCGTCATGATGATACCAGAATTTTACATCACCTCACGAGAATTGCCGCTCTTGTTAGCAAGTAGATCTATCTCATATTAACCAACAGTAACTGTGGTCCTTCAGATTGCTCGTCGTCTGTTGGGAAAAATCCTAATAGATCTCAGAAACACGCGCGAGGAAGCCATCAGTGTTGCTGAGCTCAAAAGTAGTCCGGATCAGCGGTCAAGTCAGACAAAAATCAGGAAGGAGGACATCGACAACCAGTCGAGGACTCAGACCAAGAATGAAGACACGAGAAGGTGTAGTTTCACAAGTGAGAAGTCTTTGGACCAGGAGGACGATGAGGACAAAGAGATCAAGTATCGCCTAGATCCAAAGTAAGGACTTTGATCATTTCTCCATTTTCTGCCCTCTCAAAACCTCTCTTTTTTAAGAAAAACTCACCTTCCTGGTTTTTCTATGTCAGGTACGCCAATGTAAAAACCCCTGAGCGACATGTCCGGACCAGGCTCTATTTTACATCAGTATGTCCTCAATCTTCTCCATCAATCACATTATCTTGCTGCCGGCCATATCTTTGAATGTCCACGCCTCAATGCGTTGTAATCCTAGGAAGATCCGCCCGATCCATATCTTCCTATTTCTATCGCAACTATCCCCATCTAGATACTCCACAAAATCCATTATCTTGAAAACATCTTTCAAACATACTCGTAAGATCATATGACATGAAACGGCGCGATGCCACTGCAACATCTGCTTTTGGCAGACATTCTTCAAAAGTAAGCATAATCATAAAAGTCGCTACCAAATGAACTTTTTCTTTCGGATTTCTCTTTTCCTATTACGAATTTAACTCCTATGAAATGTATGACATTCATGTAAAAATCCGTTTTTCATCTTCTGCGATCGTAGTTCTGTGGTTTCTGTGAATCTAATCGATGCCATCCGGTAACGCAGGAATCTCACATACATTCTTTGATGAATGTACTTCGGTACTGTAACTTAGATGAGTCCCTACAGGGAGAAGAAAGCTTGATCTGTCATAACGCCTTAGAGCGACTATCCAGAACACGGGAACTTGACTACATGAGCTATATTGTCCTCAGGATGTTCGAAAATACAGAGGTATGAAAAGTCTTTCACAACTTTTTAGCTTCCAGCGTCAGAAATAGCATTTTCTCTCCATACCTCCTTGCGTTGTCTCTGCGCACAAGGCATGTGGATCACCTCGAATTATCTTCATTCAGATTATCGAAAAAGAATATTCGATCCCTACTGTACTAATCCATCAGTCGATGGAAACATAATACTGGGCATGCATTTTCCTGCTCCTCGTTTCCCGTCGGTAGAGTATCACCTAGTAATTCAACGGATGAACTTAAAATGCAGGTGAGTGTTGAGGATCCTAAGAGGTACCGGATAGAGATGACGTTCAGCCGCGGTGCAGATTTGAGCCCTCTGGAGGTAAATTACATCCTTCGGGGATGGCACGGCACGACTGTCCGGGATGGGCTACTTAATCTCGGTCATTCTCTAAACTGTCTCTGTGCAGAATAATGAAGGAGAAGCCGCATCATTGCACCAAGAGCACACGCTGCCCATAATGGGGCCCGAGAGGCTGCAGGAAGCGGGGTCATATCTCACTCTAGAGAAGATGGAGATGATGATCCGCCCATTCGCCATGCCAGCCGAGGACTTCCCCCCCCCGGCGACACCTCAGGGCTTTTCGGGGTACTTCTCCAAGAGCGCCGGCATGCTGGAACGCCTCGTCAATCTCTGGCCATTCAACAAGCACGCCTCAGGCAACAGAAATACCTGACTACGCTCCATCACCATGCCGCCCTCGTTGAGTTTCCCCTCTTTTACGTAATCTTCGTGGGCGACGACCCGTGGGGGATCAGAAAAGACTCGCTCGTCGAGAGGCAGGCTCCCTTACGAGTCGACTCGCCCCGGAGGCGATGGAACGTTGCTGTATCCAGCAGACGCTCGTTTTACACCTATGTTCTCGATCTTGATTCAAACAGAGAGCCAAAAGCCGCGCTTTCATCTCATTCCCGCAGCAGACGGGCAATGGAAAATTCCCATTTTCTAGCCCTCGTTCATAGTACTTGGAAAAAAAAAAAACGTTTACGTATTACCGCCGAGGGGAGCGGAGGGTCGAATGATCGGTGATTTCTCGAACTCCTTACTGCGAAAGTAATAATCGTGGTTCTGGTAGGGGCCGGAGCGGATCGATGGCCTTGTGAACTAGTGGGCTGGATAGGAACATACTTGATGATGGGCCCATCCATTACGGAGCAGCGATGGGCTTGTTTGGGTAAGTTTCGCATATGTAATCTTTACTGCAGACGTGGCTTGGCGTTCGTCCAGTGGTAATAATCCCGTCCTGACAAGTGGATACTTTTTTTTTTTTTTTTAGAGGGCCCTTATAAGAAAGAGACCTCCCAACCCCGGGGCACCTAAACGTCGGAACGCTCGATGGGCTTTCCGCCACCCGCCGCTCCGTACCCAGCCCGTACGTCAGCCGTGCGACCCTCCCCGACCAACGACCCCAGGACGAAAATTCGTCCAGACCGGCGTACGGATCCACCCGATCTCTCGGCACTAAACGTGCCGACCCGGCGACAGAATTCCTGCCCCCGCTCCAACTCGGCGCGCTAAAATAAAGTCGAGTAAATAAAACTTCGTTATCATATTTCGGGGATGCTCCTCGATGCCATCCCCATCGAATTCTCTAACCGGCCCGACCTCATATTCCCCCGAATCCCGAGATTATCTTTGTGCTCTTCACGCCCGAAACCTGGTAGTCGTCCATCTATCACCTACAACTTGATATATACATAGATAGAGAGAGAGAGAGATGAGTCACGGGGTGGCCTGCACCCGCTTTTAATGGGCTTCTCGCCTCCCGACCAGACGGCCGGCCCACGCCGACAGGAAGAAATGAAGGATAAAACGGCTTCGCTGGCCAACCGGGAAGAACTCGAGTTTCATCCGCGCCGGGCAGGTCCAGTAAGTATTGCAGGTGGGGAAAAGAGAGACACGGTATTTATAAGTAGATAGGGAGAGACAGAGATAGACAGAGACAGAGATGTGTATGGAGGGAAGCGCGCGAGGGTCATTAAAGGGTAGGCCAGTCGACGGCTTCGGCGCCGATTTACGGGCACGGCACGTGGTAGCCGTCGCCGGGGGCGAGCGGTCTGCTGCGCCAAACAGGGCCCATGGGCCCGCCGGGCAAATCATCCGGCGGCAGCAGCCCTCGTGACGTCCAGACAACCCCGCCGCGTCAGACTCCGTCGCATCCGCAGCGAGAGCCCGCCTGCCGGCATAGCCGAGCGCGAGATCTCTCGGAGATTCTCACGAGCTTAGAGGAGAGGGGACCGCGGCCTCGTCACGAGCCGGTATCTGCAACGACAGCAGCGCCGCCGCCCGTTGACGCTGCCGGGGGTCGGCATCTCTGGCTTTCCCTGGCCTCACGGCGCCGTAGTACGTACCCCCCATCCATCCTCCCGGCCAACGACGGCAGCAAACAGCTGAAAAGACAAACCCCCCCTCCCCACAACTCAAGAGAGAGAGAGGTGGGGGTGGCTCGGAATCTTTCACATAATCTATCATCTAGGTTACTTAGTTAGATAGGGTCTATAATGTCTAGTTGCACCAGGTCACAGCGAAAAACCCTGGCAGATGGGCCCCCCCGCACCCACCCTCCCGACCCCCCTCCGGGAGGCTAATTCCGCGTCTCGATACGTACGTACGTATCTTTGTGACGTGATTACGACATGGGGACATAAAAAACCCTACTTTAAGCCCACATAAATGTCACGCATCCACGCAACGAATATCTTCCTAAAAAAAAAGAGTTGATTCCGACATAAATTACGCTGAATTCGGACATTAAGAGCTGGCCGTTATCTTGTTCGAATGCGCTCGTCCAATGGGAGACCAAGCGTCTAAAGATGCTGGTCGGCGGCCTCAGGCTCGACGCGGAAGAATGCAAAGCCTGTGAAGAGTTTTAGGCTCGTGAGCTTTGCTTAAAATAATCAGAGGAGTAATCCTGCAAGTAATCATGTGCATGCGACGCGATGGGCCAGAACCAAGGAGAATCACGCTCGTACGATTCGCAATCGACGTTGTTGATTAATTGGGGTGCCTTCGCCGCTAAAGGCACGGTCGCTATCAGCACTGTGATCCCGAGCTTGATCGGTTTTCCGCCCAGTGTAGAATGTTGGTATAAAAATAACATTTTTATCTCGTCAATATTTTCAGTAACTGTCGCGAGGAAAAATATGCATATATCCCAGCATGAAGGGGCCAAGTTTTTTTCGGAGAAGAAGAAATGACAATGATATTAGCAACAACAGAAGGTGTTGTCCATCAATTCTCTCGATGGGACGCGAAATTTGCTTTTTTCGGGGTGGAGGATGACTATTTTTTCAGGAAAGTAGTAAACAAATTCGCAGAACTCCTGTCAAATTTTATGGCAGACAGCCGCTATTTTGCGAAGTACGCCTCCGTATACGTCCCCCCCAACCTAGTCTCTCTCTCTCTCTCTCTCTCAGTCGCAGACACACGCCCATCTTCTCGTAACACCCCATCTCGTAGCGAGGTGAAGTGTGATGGGGTGGGCGGTGTAGGTGTAGGTGGTTGGATGCCCTAAGCGCCTCCTCGTTGGCTGTTCTCCGTCACACTATATATAACAGGAAACAGTCTCCGAAGCAGAAATTAGTGCAGTGGAGCGAGTGAGTTGTTGGGGGGCAACGCCAACTGAGACAAAGGGGGGGAGGAATATAGTAACGCCCGCTCTGAACCTGCGGGTAACTGCTTCCCCTTCCTCACTAGGCACCCGTTTGTGATGAAATCCTCTTCCCATTCGTCTTCATCTTCGTCTTCTTTCTCGCCAAACGTCGAGCCCCCTTTCTAGTTCATCCGCGACAGATCGGTACACATCTGGCGTCCCCCATCATCTCTATTTTTTATTCTAAGATTTGGGCTTTCTTTGTTTCTTTCTTTTTTCAAATGGAGCTTTCCCGAATCACTCTTTTCACCTGGTGCTCTCCTCTTTCTGATGGCCATTTCGGAAAGTATGTATTTTATGAAGAGGGTTGGAGAACTACTAGCCGTCTCGTTGCCTCTGTGTCGTCAGTCATCTTGTATTTGGTTGATCCAACTTCGAGTAATTAATTGTTCCTCTCTTGCTTCTGCGTTCCATTTGGCCCTCATTTGCCGTAGTGCGTGCAGTTTTCTTAGTGTAGTACAGGGAGAAGGCGTTTGCAGGCTTTAAGGTACCAGAGGAGATTTGCACAGAGCAGCAGAGCTCAGGGGAGAGCTCGGAGGTTGGTAAGGATGGCGGAGAAGCCAGAGGTGTTGGACGCCGTCCTCAAGGAGACTGTTGATCTGGTTGGTTTCTCTCTCTCTCTCTCTCTCTCTCTCTCTCTCTCTCCGCTTTTTCCTCTTTCGTGGCGAGTGTTCTGTTGCTCTCTCTTCCGTTCCTCAAACCTTTCTCTGATTCATCTTCTGTGATTCGGCATCTTGAAAATGATTCTGGTGAAGACATCCACCGGGACCTCCCTGGATTATCCGTAACCTGAACGGTGAATTTGATTTCTTCAGGAGAACATACCCCTGGAGGAGGTGTTCGAGAACCTGAGATGCAGCAGGGAGGGTCTCACTACTGCGGCGGCCGAGGAGCGGCTCGCTATTTTCGGCCACAACAAGCTCGAGGAGAAGAAGGTCTCGGCAAGAAAACCCATACTGGGTTGCGATTTGTGCTCTCTGCTGGTTCAGAGTGCCATCTCTCTTTCGGTCTCTTCTCGTCTCATGTCGGTTCTTGTTCCGCTTCTGGCTTGCGGCTTGGTTTTCCCTGCAGGAGAGCAAAGTCTTGAAGTTTCTGGGTTTCATGTGGAACCCTCTGTCTTGGGTCATGGAGGCCGCGGCCATCATGGCCATTGCTCTAGCAAACGGAGGGGTGAGCCCTCCATCACAATCCTTCCTCTCCTGTTTCATGTTTACTTTATTTTCTGATCTCGCTTTCCCCTACAGGGCAAGCCACCGGACTGGCAAGATTTTGTGGGCATCATAACTCTGCTCATGATCAACTCCACCATCAGCTTCATCGAGGAGAACAATGCCGGCAATGCTGCAGCAGCTCTCATGGCCAGGCTTGCCCCCAAGGCTAAGGTACTTTCAGGATGTCCAATCCTTGGTGACGTGAAATTTCTCGGGAAGCCTGTGTTTAAAGTCCATGGAGACCTTGTTTGTTCTATAGATTCATATGCGCGATAGAGAATCTGACTTCAATTCACCGATGTAAACAGGTTCTTAGAGATGGCCGATGGAGCGAGGAGGACGCAGCAATTCTGGTTCCCGGTGACATAATCAGCATAAAGCTTGGCGACATCATCCCCGCAGATGCCCGCCTTCTGGATGGAGATCCATTGAAGATCGACCAAGTTAGTGTTTCCTCTCTGGGTATCCTACGGCATGCATCGGTTGGAATAAAATATGAGTTCTGAGTGTGATTATTTTTTAAAAAAATTGCAGTCGGCTCTTACCGGGGAGTCCCTTCCTGTGACCAAGGGCCCTGGGGATGGCGTTTACTCTGGTTCTACATGCAAGCAAGGAGAGATCGAGGCAGTTGTCATCGCCACAGGCGTTCATACCTTCTTCGGGAAGGCTGCACACCTTGTGGACACCACCAACCAAGTTGGTCACTTTCAGAAGGCAGGGACGACTAACTCATTTCTTAATATTTTCTCCTGTTCTTCTTCTTTCCTCGGTTGACGATATTCATTACCCGCTGTTTTTCTTCTTTTTTTTTCCCTTCAACCCAGGTATTGACGTCAATTGGGAATTTCTGTATCTGTTCTATTGCGGTGGGGATGGTCATAGAGATCATCGTCATGTATCCCATCCAAGACCGTCCCTACCGCCCTGGAATTGACAACCTCCTGGTTCTTCTGATCGGTGGAATCCCCATCGCAATGCCCACTGTCCTCTCTGTGACGATGGCTATCGGCTCCCACAGACTAGCTCAGCAGGTTGGTGAATGCGACGCTGTACTTGACTTCATTTTTTGATCCGGTAGGACCACTAATGGGAAGCAATCTCTTGCAGGGAGCGATTACTAAAAGAATGACTGCTATAGAGGAAATGGCCGGCATGGATGTCCTGTGCAGTGACAAAACCGGAACTTTGACCCTGAACAAGTTGACTGTTGACAAGAACCTCGTTGAGGTAAAACGAGATCATGTTGCTGGTTTACCATGGCTCTAAGCGTTTTTCTTTTTTCTTTTTTTAAAATCTATTCTCCTCCTGCTTACCGTCGTTTCTTTGGGCCTTCTTCAGGTCTTCGCAAAGGGTGTCAACCAGGATACTGTTATTCTGATGGCCGCAAGAGCCTCACGCACTGAAAACCAGGACGCCATAGATACTGCGATAGTTGGGATGCTTGCCGATCCCAAAGAGGTATGATACGTTCATGTTGGTAAATTTTCTTTGATGTATTTTATCTGTTCTTACGAGGCTTCATATTTCTCCCAAAGGCCCGGGCTGGGATTCAAGAGATTCATTTTCTCCCTTTCAATCCAACTGATAAGAGGACTGCTCTGACTTACATAGACACTGAGGGGAAGATGCACCGTGTCAGCAAGGGCGCGCCGGAGCAGGTAACGATCTTCTTATGGGTGCAGTCCTCTGCTTCTTCTATTTATTGCCATGCGACTGGTTGTCCCATTTCAGTGTCTTCTCCACTCCCCCCCCCCTGTTCTAGATCCTCAATCTTGCTCACAACAAATCAGAGATTGAACGAAGGGTCCATTCTATCATCGACAAGTTTGCAGAGCGTGGGCTCCGATCACTCGCTGTTGCATACCAGGTAGAACTCGTGGATTCCTGAACCACCTCTGTTCCTGTATTCTGCTTGCTAGGTTTTACATGCTTCCACTTCTTGCAGGAAGTCCCAGAGGGAAGGAAAGAGAGTCCAGGAGGACCATGGCAGTTCACCGGTCTTATGCCTCTCTTTGACCCTCCCAGGCACGACAGTGCGGAGACCATCCGAAGGGCCCTTAACTTGGGAGTCAATGTCAAAATGATCACAGGTGAGCTTCCATTATGTGGGTTCAGAATTCATCGGTCTGACACACCATTTATGAAACTTTATCCAACGTTCTTAGATTCTATTAACCGAGCATTTCAGATATAAACAAATAAATAAGTAAATTTATATACCCCCAGGTCTCCAGTTTTCTGATGTTGTTTACAGATGTATTTCCCTTATCGTAGAAATTGGGAGAGTTTTATGGGATCTATACCAGCTGAACGATGAGTCTGTGCTCAGTTATTTGTCCCAGGGGACAGCACCTTGCTCTCTTCAACTTTGATCCTTGCCCAGGAATGCGATCATAGGTTTTCCGTCTTCAATCGTCTCTCTGATAGAAGCTCTCCTGTTTTTCAGGCGACCAGTTAGCAATTGGAAAGGAAACAGGACGCCGTCTGGGGATGGGAACGAACATGTATCCCTCGTCTGCTTTGCTGGGCCAAAATAAGGACGAGTCTATTGCTGCTCTGCCTATTGATGAACTGATCGAGAAAGCCGACGGATTTGCTGGAGTTTTTCCAGGTCTCTCACGAATCCCTTGTGTGAATCTGCTGACTTGATCGGCTTTATTGCACATTTTGGTCTGAATTTTGTTTCTCTGAGCAGAGCATAAGTATGAAATCGTCAAGCGTCTGCAAGCGAGGAAACACATCTGTGGAATGACGGGGGACGGGGTTAATGATGCTCCTGCTCTTAAGAAGGCAGACATTGGAATAGCAGTTGCAGATGCAACGGATGCAGCTCGTAGCGCTTCGGATATCGTTCTTACAGAACCTGGCCTTAGCGTAATAATCAGCGCCGTCTTGACGAGCCGTGCCATCTTCCAGAGGATGAAAAATTACACGGTACGCTTTGTGTGTCATCTTTAGACCCAGTTATAGTTTTTCATAATCACCGAGTTTGACTTTTTCTTGGCTGCGGTGATTCTGTTTTGTTTTGTTATTTTTGCAGATCTATGCTGTTTCTATTACGATTCGGATTGTGGTATGCTATGATCTCTTGGCCATTTTATTTTATTTTATGGATGAATAAGAAGATGAGATGATTCTGTCAAATGGAGCCCCCTTGAGCTATTTTTCTTTCTATCGATGATCAATCTTTCTTGCTGGCCGTCGTACTTCTTCGAAGATAACCGGTTTATCCGTTGTTCCAAATATCTGTGATCGCAACAGCTCGGCTTCATGTTGCTCGCGCTCATCTGGAAGTTTGACTTTCCACCCTTCATGGTCCTGATAATCGCGATTCTTAATGATGGTCTGTATTCGCTCCTTGAACCCTACTAATTTCTCAAGTTTTGGATTTACGTTTATACTCCTTTGTTGTGCTCCTAATCAATTTGACGGCTGCTTCTATCTTGTTCAGGCACCATAATGACGATATCGAAGGACAGGGTGAAGCCCTCCCCGCTCCCCGACAGCTGGAAACTGGCAGAGATTTTTGCCACCGGCATCATCCTCGGCAGCTATCTGGCGATGATGACTGTCATCTTCTTCTGGGCCGCATACAAGACTGACTTCTTCCCGGTGAGGGTCCCCGGGCCGAGCTCAACGCCGTGTTTTTTTCCCCTCTCTCCGTCCATGATCTGTTATTCGTTATAAGTCAACGGCGGCGTACCCAAGCTTTCAAGTTTCATGTTCTGCAGAGGATATTCAAGGTAGAAAGCCTTCAGAGGACAGCTCAGGACGACTTCCAGAAGCTTGCTTCCGCCGTCTACCTGCAAGTGAGCACCATCAGCCAGGCTCTCATCTTCGTGACCCGGTCGCGGAGCTGGTCCTTTGTGGAACGCCCGGGGTTGCTGCTTGTGACTGCCTTCTTCGTGGCTCAGCTGGTTCTTTTCTTCCCCTCTCCCCTCCCAACGCTTCCGCTGAAACCCACCTGCCTAAACGAAGTCATCTCCACTCTCTCACTTTCTCTCGCTCGCAGATTGCTACCCTGATCGCCGTGTACGCGGACTGGGGATTTTCTGCTATCAAGGGGATCGGATGGGGATGGGCCGGCGTGGTCTGGCTCTACAACATCATCTTCTACCTTCCCCTCGACCCCATCAAGTTCATGATACGCTACGCCCTGAGTGGGAGGGCGTGGGATCTCGTCATCGAGCAGAGGGTAAGCCCGGCACTCTCGATCCCCGCCTGTTTAGACGGCTGGTTCTGTATCTAACTCAGGCTTTCTCTCGTGCCTGCCGCCGCAGATCGCCTTCACCCGGCAGAAGGACTTCGGGAAGGAAGCCCGAGAGCTCAAGTGGGCTCACGCCCAGAGGACCCTGCACGGGCTGCAGCCACCGGACACCAAGATGTTCGGGGAGAGAACCAGCGTCACCGATCTCAACCAGCTGGCCGAGGAAGCCAAGAGACGAGCCGAGATCGCCAGGTTGGGATGGAAAATTCTCGTCAACCCGCTCCTTTCATCCGCCGCCTCTGCCTCTCTGCTAAATGCTGCTCCTCTTTCTTGATTTTTTTTCAGGCTGCGGGAGCTCCACACGCTGAAGGGGCATGTGGAGTCCGTGGTGAGGTTGAAGGGCCTGGACATCGACACCATCCAGCAGTCCTACACCGTGTGAAGAGAGGGCTCAGTCCAGTCCGTCAACCTCTTATCTCCATTTCCCTATATATGATTCTGCAAGGATTCTCGTCTGCGTAGCGTCGTGTCGACCTCCGTCGTCTGGTAATTAGTGTACCCGGAGATCTTATGAATGTACAAAACTTCGTCTTTTTTGGTTTTCTGAGATCCTGTACCATCTCTCCCTCGTCCCTGTCGTATGCCTTCCCAAGGGTTTCGTTCCGTATCTGCGGGACGGAAGAGGGAGGGAGAGGAGACTTTCTGAAAGAAGGCCGTACCCCGCCCGCCACCCGTCCCCTCTTCTTCTGAAAGAGGTTACTCTCCCTTTGCTTCCTGTGCCGAGATTGCCTGCCTGCCTGTCAGCCGGTTGCACAGACGGCCATTACAGGGCTGAGTAGGTGAGATCCGTCGTTCTCCTTCCCTTCGTTTGATGGGGAGGATCACATCAGGGAACTGGAGGAGGTTGGATTGATTCTTGCCGGGATTGCGGCGTACGATTCGTTCAACCAGGGATGTGCTCAGCAATCCAGTCGTCTACGGAAAGCCAGGTGGGAGGTGAAAGACGGCTTTCTGGCCAGGCTGCCACCGTGAACTTGCCTCGGATTCGCCCCATTAATGTTCCCGCTAGCCACCCAATAATGTTCAAAGCTCTCTCTCTCTCTCACATTGAAGTCTTACTAGGACTGCACCGCTGGATCTGAGATCCGGGTGGAACAGTGGATAGCCTTTTCTCTCCTGCTCATGACTTCCCCTTGCACGTGTTCGCTCTCGAGGAGACGAACACCAGACATCACACGTGTTTGAGCAGCAGCCCTGGCCAAGGAGACGAATGCACGTGCCAATTGAAAAGAGGACAGAAACAAGTTGCAAAAGCCTTGGCGTTTTTCAGTTTCGACCCCGGTAAAAGTTTCCGTTTGTGAAAGCAACGCGTTGTCCTCTTTTATTTGAAAAACACGCTCACAAAGTTGACCAAGATTCCTACCGTTGTTGCCTCATCTGAAGGAAGTCACAATTCTGCCCCTCCAAGGGAGGCCTTCTCGGTGAGATGGGCACGTTGACGATAAGAGGAAAACCGAACATTTTAATTATGAATATAAAAGCAAATTAAAATAGTATTATAGGTATTATTTTAGAAATTATTAGACAATAAAATATCATAGTCTTTGCTGGCCTCTTACAAAATTTCTTTCCATATTGTCCTTACACGAGATTTATGTGGAGAACTATGATTTCGTATTTTTTGCTCAGAACTATTAATTGAGAATCAAAATTTTAAGAACACTTTAAAATCTTTAATAGATTTGTAACTGAGTTATCAATTACATGGCTTCTGGTTTCTTCATCAATAACTTCATTTTATGTTTGTAGTTTGATAATTGACTTTTAGATTATTTCGTGTATGTAGTTTGATAGTTCACTTTTATAATTCACAATAAACTATTTTAATTCACATTTTTATAATTCACAAATCAATAAAAAATACCATTTATTGTCACAAAAAATATTAAAAGTATTAAATCATATGAATAGCAAGCATTTCAAAATGTCTAGAATCATCACAATTTGGATAGCAACCTTCGACATGTCTTCTATTAGAGTCGTTTCCTTAGAGACATTGCGACGAACACCTTGCGTCAGACTCCCGCACCGGACGATGTCGTCTTATCCACGCTGTCATCCCAGGCGCAGAACGGCTCCTTGCGTATGACGCCGCGGCTGGCCAATGCGGAACCCCGACGAGGTCGCCTGCTCACCGCGCCGCCATGTCCGCGTTCTTGGTCGCGCCGGCGAATGCTCTCCTCCGCCCTCCTCAATTCCCATCCTGTTCCTCCGCTCGGGCCGACGTGGTGGCATCCCCTGTCATCCCCCAGACGGAGGAGCAGCGATGGCGGCAGCTGCTGGTCCCGCTGCTCGCTGGCTGCCGGGACATTCCTCGGCTGAAGCAAATCCACGCCCTCGTCCTGAGGAGTAGTACTACATGCATCCCCTCCGCCGCTTCCTCGGCCAGGGACTTCATCTTCCTGTACAGTCGCATCCTCCACGTCGCCGCCTCCGACGCTGCCGACCTCCACTACGCGACGCGGGTCCTCAATCACCTCCTCCTCCTCGACGACTCCGGCGCCGTCCACCTGCCCACCGCCTCATCCTTCTTCTGGAACACCCTCATCCGAGCCCACGCAAGGTCGTCCCACCACCAGCATGCTGCCGTCGACCTCTACCGCCGCATGCTCCTCGACGGCCGCGTCCCACCGGACAAGTACACCTTCCCCTTCGTCCTGAGGGCCTGCGCCTACCTGTTCGCGCTCCCCGAGGGAGAGCAGGTCCATGGCCACGCCGTCAAGCTTGGTCTCGCCCCCGACGTCTACGTTGCCAACAGCCTTGTCCACTTCTACGCGACCTGCGGACGCCTGGAGCTCGCCTGCCGGATCTTCGACGGAATGAGCAACAGATCTCTCGTGTCCTGGAACGTCATCATCGATGGTTTCGTCGCCGGTGGCCGCTACGAGGACGCCCTAGACCTATTCCGGGAGATGCAGCGCGAGTTCACCCCGGACACTTTCAGCATGCAGAGCCTCATAGGCGCCTGCGAAGGTCTGGGAGCGCTGTCTCTGGGAATGTGGGCTCACGCCTTCATGTTGAGGAGGTGCGGCGGCGATGTGCCCGGCGACGTCCTGGTCAACAACTCCCTTCTGGACATGTACGCGAAATGCGGCTCCCTGGTTCTAGCACGTCAAATGTTCGATAGAATGCCGTCCAGAGATGTGGCCTCCTGGAACGCCATGATTCTTGGCTTTGCCATGCACGGCCTCGCCAAGGAGTCGATTCAGACTTTTGCAAGCATGCAGGAAGAGGACGGCGTGAAGCCCAACGAGATCACCTTCATCGGAATCCTCAGCGCGTGCAATCATGGAGGTCTGGTGAGCGAGGGCCGCACACACTTCACCTCCATGGCCAGCGTGTACGGAGTCGGACCCAGGATCGAGCATTACGGCTGCATGGTGGACCTCCTGGCCCGTGCCGGGCTCGTCGACGAAGCTCTGGACCTCGTCTCCACGATGCCCTGCAAACCCGACGCGGTGATCTGGAGGAGCCTCCTTGATGCTTGCTGGAAGAGCAAGGCCGGGGTGGAGGTCGGCGAGTCGATGGCGAGGAGGGTTTTCGAGATGGAGGAAGAAGAGAGCTTGACCAGCGGCGCCTTCGTGCTCCTCTCAAGGATCTACGCCTCCGCCAACCGATGGAACGAGGTAGGGTTAGTGAGGAAGCTGATGAGTGAACAGGGGATCAGGAAAGTCCCAGGCTGCAGCTCCATAGAGGTGGGCGGCGCCGTCCATGAATTCCTCGCCGGAGACACCCGCCACCCCCAGTCGGAAAAGATATACGCCATGCTGCGGGTGATGGAAGAACGGGTCGGGCTTGTCGGCTACGCCGCCGATCTGTCGCAGGCGCCGATGGTGGCCGAGCACGACGACGAGCGCCGCCGCTCGCTGCGGCTCCACAGCGAGCGGCTCGCCATCGCGTTCGGGCTCATCAGCGCGCGGCAGCCAGGGGCGTCCATCCGCATCTTCAAGAACCTCCGCGTGTGCAGGGATTGCCACGAGATGACGAAGCTCGTCACTCTCGCCTTCGGCGTGGAGATCATCGTTCGAGACCGCACCAGATTCCATCATTTTAAAGATGGTCTCTGCTCCTGCGCGGATTACTGGTGATTCCGGCTACGCTCTCGTGCAACAGCAGAAATGAGAAGAAAAATAAAAACCAATTTTCTCATGTATCTTCCTAAACCCGCAGCCCTGAATCGTCACCCCAATGCCAATATTTTTCTCTTGTATTATGTTTTCTAATTAGTATTTCAGCTTTTATTGCTCTTTTTCTCAGCACAGAGAGAGAGAGAGAGAGAGAGGTATCAAACCAATGGTCACAATGTTCATCAATCGGTATAAGTCAAACCAGCAAGGGCTTCACCACTTCAGCCTCCAGAAGGACCAGCAAAATAGGAACGATTCCCACTTTCATCAATTGAGAATGCGTTATGGACAAGATTTCTCACCCAGTTCATCCTCCTTGTATCCAACCGACAAAAGTCTGATTATAACCCAAAATTCTGGGCAGAATTCTGCCAAAACAAGCAGTTACGGTCAGAGGCCGCTAAAGTAAATGCATCCTCTCCACATAGGAGTTGAGTAACCAGCTCTCGAGGGCTTCACCGCACCCTACAAAACACCCAGAATTCCCATTCTCAGTGGAGAAGGGGAACCTGAACAGATGAAGCAGTTCCCATACCGACTGCCTGACCAGAGAAGCCCCGGTGACCCGGCTTCTCCTCCCCCAACCTGTTATGATGTCGATTCGTCTGGGTCCAACACCGGAGGCCAGCATCTGGCTGCGGAACCAGGCCATTGTCCTTGACAATGCTATGATTGCCGTCCCGTCGGACATCACATGGAGGTTTATGAGCCAATAAGAGGATCTCTTCTCCCTTACTACATCCGGGTAAACATTCCTCTTCACAGCCGCCTCCCACACAGAACCAGCCTCCTCCTTGAGACCAGACTTATGAAGAAAGTCAACAACAGAGTCCACAAGTCCTCGCTTGCTCTCCCTGTCCTCGCTGTGCATTATGTCCAGGAAGGCGCTGGCATGGTCCCTCACATTCTGCCCGCCTGGTTCAGCTGATGGCAGCGAGAGAAGGAATCTATGGGCAGGGTGGCCGGTAATGGCCATCAGCTCACAGCAGTGCGTCTTATGAGACTTTGTCTCCATGCAGCAGCTGAGCAGAAGAGTGTAGGTCTGAAGGGAGGGGTCAAGCCCCAATTCCAGCATGCTTTGGAGAACATCACGAGCCTCGGAGAATCTGCATGCTCTCAGAAACGCACTGAGCAGAGAATTGCATGTTGGAACATTGGGCCGCAGGCCGGCACTAAGCATTGACTGGTACCAGGCCCAGGCCTTGTCCGCATCTCCGGCCTTGCCGCACATGTCCACCAATAGACCATATGCAGGCTCATCGGGAACAAAATCCTGTTTCATCTCCATAAACAAGGCCTCCGCTTCGCCAAGGTGCCCGCAATGACCAAGAATCTCCATCACAATACAGTACGTTATCTTATCGGGCCGGAAACCTGCAGCCCGCATGCTTCGATAAAGTTTCAGTGCACTGGGATGATTACGGGCCTTTGCGTGGAGAGCAATCATGATGTTATATGTGACCAGATTCGGAACACAGCCCTGTCTAACCATCTCACCAAATAGTTTATCAGCAAGAGAGAGATGGCCGGCTTTCCCAAGGCAATTGATCATCACACTGTACGTGAAGGTATCTGGAGTAAGTCCCGCCTGCTGCATATTCCGGTATAAATCCATCGCCTCCTTTAGATACCCAGCTTTCGCATGGATATCGATCAGAGTACAGTAAGTAACTCGGTCAGGATTGCAGCCTGCTTCTTGCATCTGATGGAACACATTGATTGCCTCGTCTATATAGTTTGCTTGTCCATAGCCATGAATTAAACGATTATATGTCACAACGTTTGGCTCACAGCCGCTCCTCACCATTTCCTCTAGAAGTTCCCCGATAGCACCGAATTGCCTAGCTCGTCCGAGGATGCCAACCATAGTGGTGTATGTATGGTTGTCATGCTTGAAACCTGGCTGCTGCTTTAACCAGTTGAAAAAGCCAAAGGCAACAGTGTGGTCATTGATGAGCTTCAAAACTTGGTTTGCCTGAAAGGGATCCAACTTATAGCAGATTTTATGTAATGTCTCTTCTGCAGCAGGGCCCCATTTTAACTGTCGCAATGTATGACGGTAAAGCCCAATTGCACATCTCTCTCCTTTCACCTTCACCGGTTGAGCATGGTTCTGCCTTTTATTCACGGTCTTAAACGTCTCAATCATGTCTGATTTCACTTCCAAAATTCCCGCAGAAGGATTTTTATCCAAAGAGATTTGATGGTAAGATCTTGTCCCTTGCTGCCTTCGATCCTGAGTGACCGTGCATGACCTACCAGATTGAGCTGAAATTCCAGGAGTTATCATTGAAACAGTTTGACCAGCCTTTGCGACATCAGATTTAGCTTCAAGCTTGGGGCCATTGTAATCAACAGAAGAACATGACTTTGATGCTCCTAATCTAACAGAGTTTGACCGAGCTTTGTTGATGCTGGTATTTCTATGGTGCTTCCAACTGGAAGATTTCCTGCTGGAGGGGGCGCTGGTAGTATCAACTGTACAGCTTTGGCTTTGGAGAAGACCAGGACAGTTTTTTGTTGGAATATCCTGGTTCACAATCCCAGATAAGCCCACAGTTGCAACACTTGCCTCGACTAGCTGCTCAGTAGGTACCTTGGACGTCTGAACAGGACCTTTATGTGGGTCATTACTCTTATGTTTACCACCTCTTTTATAGTTTAGATTCTCTGCCCTGAAAGAAGCTCTAGGAGATAGAACAGGGGAAACTGAAACTGGGTAACCAACATTCTCACTAAGATGATGGCTAACAGCTTCAATTGCGCCTTTCAACTTTGGAGATCCTGATCCTTGGGTAACATCGGACACCAGAATTGATTTATTTTTACCATGAAGAAACCTCGTGCTTCTTGACTGTCTGCCTGAACTATTGTATTCATCTTCTGCGCAAGTACATGCACCATCTGCACTTCCACATCTTGAGCCACTAACGATAAAGGTCCTTGCGCACTGGGAAAGAGTCCCCAGTTGCTTTGCCCTTAACATTATCTGCGTGAACAATATCAACGCAAGCTCAAAGATCAACTTAAAAATTTCAAAGATGATAATTCAACTCATCCTACCCTTCATAATTTCATTGATGTTATCATTTTCTGAATATTTTAGAAATGCTATCGAGTAATTTTAAACCAGGTTTATTTGAAAAATATACACTCCACGAGGAAACAAAACAAAATAGTATGGAATTTCTACTTTCTATTTTTATTTACTTGACGAGATAGTACGTTCAAATCTCGATTTTTCGTATACATGATGTGCATCACTAGACAGGGAGAACCAAAAGTAGCGTAGGATACTGCAATTGAAGAGAATAACTATGCAAATAAACGACCCTTCATTTTCAGTGGGAGGAAATATAGAATTCAGATGCCCACCTGCAGTGTATCCATTTAATACGTGCAACTAGCTTGTAACCATTGTTGCTCGACTAAATTGATCCAAAGGAGTCAATGATGGCACAGGATGTTGACAAGAACATAGCTATGCAACGCCTAATATCATGGGTGTGAATTTCAAAGACAAGTTACACGTGAAACGATCAATGTGATCAGACAAGATCAAGATTGTAGGAATAAAGGTGCACAGTCAACCGATAAATTACCTTGGAATGATAGTCAAGGAACTCGGAGGATGTGGAGACCTTTTAAGGTCTTGGTGTCATTTTTGTGCTTACGGTGAAATGTATATCTCACAGCCCACTAAAACGGGAAGGCATGTCAAAAAAAGCAACTCAAAAGGCTCAGGTCACAGAGTGGTGACTACCGTGATACAGCATTAGTAGACGATTGGGTTGATACTTCGTGCAAGTCAGTTTACATTTCTGCCAGACCAGACCCTACTACCCTAGTCCGATCATAGAGTGACTGGCTCAGGCAATCCTCACGCGAACTGCCACCTAATAACCAGAAAAACTAAACAAGATCTGGCTGAATCAGGAGATATTTTTATTTAAAGAAGCAAATAAAAGGGTTTATCGACTTACAACTCTAAGATGTAGATCATTCATAAATGGCATTATATCATAGCACTATCTTATTCTCCACTCCTCTTGGAGGTGAGTAATGTATAGGCAAACTGCTTCTGTCGTAATCGTTTGTGGAGCAGGTTGATATCACACAATCTATTCACACAGCAAAAAGTTCGGTTTCACTGTCTTTCATTTGGCTTGGATCAACTACAGCTAGCCAAAAACAAACTGAAGCGAGTTTTCAAGTACAAATGATGTTTATAGATTCAGTATAAGCCCTGACAAGGATAGAAATATCAGTTGAACGTAATCCACGGCTAAATTACTGGTTAAGGAATGTGGAGCCTTCAAAAGAAATCATTTTGTTATAAAATATTGAAAGCACTAGTAGACACAGTAAAACATTGATGGCCCACACTATATCTTATAATCTGCCAAAATGGAATTGAATAATAGGGTTCCTATGCAGTTGTACGGATGTTGGAGAGGAAGGGAGTACAATGGCGGGTAAAAAAGGGTTAAGTAAAAAATCATGATATGAATATATCTAACGCTAGTCAATTCATCGAACTTCAGATATACGACAAGCTTATTTGGCATACACAAATGTGTGAAAACTGAAGGATATCATTTAGCTGTGCACAATATGCTAATACATCTCCAAAAAAATTATCTAAAGCAGAACCAAGATAAAATAAGACAAAACAGTGGCTAAAAAAATTCAGATAAACCGTGGAATTGGATCATCAAGATGCTTGGATGGTAGTGACAGGTAATGCAAATGGGATTATAACACTGTTCTAAAACACAAAACAAAGAAGGTGATAGTTTCTAAACCACGACAGGAAACGAGATAATTTCAGGGGCAGAAAAGCTAGTTTCTCTTAATACTGTAATGACAAGATAATGGAAGTTCTCACCACGAGTATAAATTAAATCTTCATTTAAAACCACTCTTCAAACGTTATTGACTATCTACCCGCCTCCATTTTGAATTCCTTTGCCATCAGGGAAACTATAACCAAGCCTGCCATAAGACTCGAAATTTTTAGAAACGCGAGTTATCAGTTTACTCACACCTAGTAAAGAACACAGCGCAGGTGTGAAACTAACAATAAGGAAATATAACAGAGAACTTCCATCATCAGAATATTTCGAGACAAATCATAACAAATATATGAAAGCGATCTGGCACTAAGGAAAACGAGACAATGAATACTATAGCCAAATTTGAAAATCTTTATTCCCGGCCCAGCGATTGTAACTTTCGCACATTCCACCTATTAGTCATTTTTTTTGGTCATGATGATCATGGTTTAAACATTTTAGGTTACCAAGATAACAATACGACCAGTACAACATTGAGACATTAAACCACCACAAAACACTGAGATGGATGCAAATATTACAGTAAAATGGAAAATATCCCGTGCCAAAAGAATACTCAAGATGGCTAGACTGCAGGAAGATATAGAGATTCATGTAGAAAAACGAATACAACTTCGCGCATTGAAATACAGAATGAAACCGTGTAAGAAGTTAAAAAAGCACATGAGACATGGCATAAATCTCTAGTGCAAATCGAAACGTCAGTCTACATAAAAAATGACTTAGGAACAACAGAATAATATCAAAACTGCGCCCGTACAAAAAAATTCTGACTAAGCAGTTGGCGGAATCAACAAAGACACGAGAGACACGGACCAGTGGCGAGAGGAAGTAAGGAAAAAAGGGACTACTTGCAGCTCCAATAAACGATTCAGATATCAATCGAACACCGTGATACAACTTAATGCAAGGATCATTACATGTCATTGAAAATACAAGTATACTTGGAGGAACTCCTTGCACCCTTATCCAAATGATCGCAAGATGAAACAACGCTGGGGAAAAACGCCAGGGACAGGCAGAGGGCAAAAGCTTCCTGCCCACTTGATCGTGAGTTCGTGAGAAACTTAGATGGCATAAGAACAGTAAGGGGAACTCGTGATGGAATGTTAACCAGAAACATATAACCTTAAAAAAATAAATGAGGCCAACGTATGAATGAGGGGAATGCGGAAGACTGAGAAGCCGTCTGCTCTGCGGACCGTCTCAAAATGAAGAAAAATCCGAAAAATGGGGGAGCAAAGACACGACCTATCCCGTGTCAGCCTGACGCGCGGAGAAGAAAGGAAGCGCGACAACGGAAGCGCGCATATCGGAGGGAGGAGAGGAAAACGGAACCGAAAGGTTAGGTGAAGCGGAGGCGACGACGGCGGCGGTCGATCCCCCTGTCCGGAGAAAGAGGACAACCGCGCTGCCGAATGGCGTGGACCTCGCGGAGGTCGGCAGTATCTACATGGAACAAAAATCATATTTCAGTTATTATTTGCATTTCGGAAGTAACGCCTGCGACTTGTGGAAGGTGGATACGAGTGTCGAACGGCGATCTCCACAACTTTAGTACGTGTCAGCTGGGAAGTGGATGATGCCGATTTGTACCACGTTCGGCGTTTCTGCCAAGGATACCGGCTTTCTGTGGGACCCACAGAACCCTCCGGCTTCTTCCCCAAGTAATCGTCGGGACCGGAGTGATACTTTCACCCCATGCGTCTTTGCCGTTGAGATGGCGCGAAGAATAGTTTCAGAGCGCCGCGGCGAAAAACAAAATCAGGTGGGGTGAGGATAAATTCGGCAACAACTCGGATGGCGAGTCAACATGCGAAATCCAGTCGCGTGTTCGGTTTTGGAAATAATCGAATTTCTTAAATAGGCAGAATGATCTATTTTTCTTATAAATTATTAAATCAGAGCGCGCAATTTTCGCGTTATTTTGAATTATCTAAAATTCTTTTATGAGCACTCCTCTTCTTAAAAAATACAGCTTTGACCATCGTCTGTATTCTTCTTGGTTATTATCTAATATTTAAAGGTCTCCATTACTTAAAAATTTGTCTTTATCATGTTTTTCATGAGAAAAGGCGTCGTGTATCTACAATATATTCTACTACATTATATTCCTAAATACTCGCAATTTTGTGTAATATTAGAAAAGGTCTCTACATCGATCAGACCATTTGTATTAATTAGATAAACATCAAACAAAATAATAATGCTTACAACATGCCCTGCAAGGTAAATTACTAAACTTATTTATGGTGAAGAAATTATTTTTTCAACGTGTGTTAGTGGAAATTCTGATACCTGGGATTCCACCGAGATAGATGACGACGTTCATCCGACGATGAAGAATAGGGGATCTTCCCCGACAGGGCACTGTGACGGTTAGGCGTGAGGACTCACACCGCGGAGGAATAGCGAGCTATAAAACCGGGAATGCGCGCGACGAGGAGGACGAAATCGCACCGCCGTCACGGCCACAGGGGCAGGGCCGAGGCTGGAGAATTGGAGCTATCGCCAATCCATTTCTCTCACCTCCTCGACAGTGCTGCGGGGGCTGGTGTTGCTGGCACTCCGGATCGGGAGAGAATCACGGCGGCCGATCCGGCCGCTGGCCGCCTCCCTATCTCCATATCCGCTGGAGAGATTCTCCTGGACGGCGTCACTCCTTGTCGCTCCTCTTGCTTCTGCTGCTGCTCTCGGCGGCGGGCGAAGACGCCGCCACCACCACCGCCGCCGGTGTTCTCTCTGTTATGCTAATAGTCGGGGTACAGTATGCGCGGACCTCGGCATAGATGGGCGTAAGATGACGGGGGAGTTGGGGTAGGTGTGTGATTCGACGCCATTCTTGTAACCATTCTTGCTCCCTTCTCTCCCCGACTCCACCTTCTTCGCCTTGGATGCGGCATCAGCACAAGAAGCGGGGTAGCAGCACCGCCCAGCGGCCCCGCCAGTCGCCCGCTCCGTCCCCCCCCGATGGCAGCGTTACCGCCGCATCTGCTTTTCCCCCGATGGTCGGGGGGGATCCTGGTTCCGTTGTTGTCCTCTCGGAGGACGATCATCAGTCTATCCCTGACTCCGGTGCGTCTGTTCTACGTTCCAAAGTTTCCTGTCGCAGCCCCAAGGGAGAGGCCATGGCAGCGGAATCACCGGCTGTCGCAAAGGCCGTCAAGCACGAGTACGAGAAGGCCCTCTCGGCCCTCCGCCGGGGGAACCATACCAAGGCCACTCGGCTGATGAAGGAGGCGGTTGTCCGCCATAGCTCGTCCGCCATTCTCCACCGGGTTAACGGGACAGTGTCCATCAAGGTGGCCTCTCTCATGGACGACCACAGCGTCAAGCTGCGCCACATCCGTAGCGCCGTTGATTCCGCCCGACGTGCTGTCGCGCTTTCACCATGCTCGGTCGAGTTCGCGCTCTTCTACGCCAATTTGCTCTACGAAGCGGCGACAGACAGTAAGGACTACGAAGGGGTGGTCCAGGAGTGTGAGCGTGCCCTTTCCATCTCCGACCCGATCGACCCTGCCAGGGAAAGTCTCGACGAGGAAGAATCGCATCACAGGCTCGGCCCTACGCCAGAGGCTAGGATCGCTCATGTGCACCAGGAGCTCCGGTTACTCATACAGAAGGCCAACATTGCTTCCATTTCCTCGTGGGTAAAGAGCCTTAACGGGGCTTCTTTGGGAGAGGACAAGTTTCACTTGGTTCCCGTTCATCGACTCCCCTCCTCCGATGACTTAACGGAGCTGAGGCACGTCTCCTCTGCTCGTCGTCCCAGTGAGATAAAGAAAGCCACAAAGACACTGGAGGAGCGGCGCAAGGAAATCGAAGTCCGTGTAGCTGCTGCCCGACTTCTCCAGCAGAAGCTATCGCCATCCTCCGACCGTGACGACGAGCCATCAACCCCACTTTCGTCGCCTTCCTCGTCCACTTCTTCTGGTGCTCAGAGACTTGTGGAGCGGAGGAAGGCTATAAATTTACGGAAGGTCATGTCCTCAGTTGACCGAATGGAGCAGGTCACGCGCTACTGGAAGTCAATGGACCCAGAGAAGAGAGTGAGCTTCCTTAACATCTCTGTCTTGGACCTGAAGCAGCATTTTATAATCTTGAAAGACAATGCTTCCTCAGACATCCTGACGGAGGCATTGTCATTTGCTGAAGCCAATAGGGGATGGAAGTTCTGGCTCTGCTGCAAGTGCGGTGAGAAGTTTGCAGATTCCGACTCCCATGCGCAGCATGTTATGCAGAAACATATGGAGAGCCTACCACGGAAGCTGAAGTCAGTGTTGCCTCAAGAACCAGTCGGAGACTGGGTGGAGATGCTTATCAGTGGTAGCTGGGAACCAGTTGACTTATATGCGGCTGTGAAAGTGCTCGAGGAAGAACATCGATCAAATAGTCCGTTTCTATCGTCAGAGATCACCTCTTGTGGTAAGGACAGGGACTCACCCTCGGATTGTTGCAGATCCACGGATACACATGATTCATTTTCTTCTTCCAAGGGAGATTCTAATATCAATGGTACCTGCAGTGGGGCTCCTGGGGACCAGAGGGATACTTGTATCAATAATTTTGATGTTGACAATTTATATAAATGGCCTCTATCTAATGACACGGAGAGGTCCAAGCTTCTTCAAAGAATTCATGAATTGTTTCAGTTGCTTCTACAGCAAAGGTGCTTAGCTGCAGCCCACCTCGACAAGGTGATACAGTTTAGTATGAATGAGGTTCAAGGTCTTCCATCTGGTTTTCGAATTCTCAGTCGAGCACTCAACCGGTCACCCGTCAGCATCTGTTTCTTGAACGCTTCTCAGCTTCGCAAAGTACTACGGTTTTTGCAAGAACTCTCGCATTCATGTGGGTTGGGACAATGTGAGAATCGCTTAATTGATGATATTCATAGTGTTGCACAGGGCAGTGATTTATCAGAGGAAAACTTTCTTATCTGTGATTCTTTAAAGCTTCAGTTAGACAAACACTTCTTCACTAGCAAACTTATCAGCATTGGTACTGATAATTCTGGCACCGATGATGGTACGGACTCATTTGACACTGATGCTTTTATAATGTGGTTATTTCCTGGTGCATCAATCGGGGAAGATCTTGCAGCGTGGACTTATATGAGGGAGGAGAAATTGCGACAAGGGAAGGAAGTGCTTCAGTTGCTTGAGAAAGAGTTATACCTGTTACAAAATGAGTGTGAAAAAAAATGCGAACATTTAATCTATGAGGAGGTGTTGCAGGATGTTGAAAACCTCTGCTTGGAAGAAGTCAGGAGGAAGGATAACAGTGTGACTTTTGATAATCTTAGTTATGAAGCTGTCTTGAGGAAAAGGAGGGAAAAACTTCTCAAAAGGGTGGATGATGTGGTGCCAATGAACAGCCGATTTGAACTAGATGTCATTTCCAAGGTTCTTAAAGAAGGAGAATCCTTGATGGCCTCTCAATTTGGATCTGATGAGACGACATCTGGTGTAACATCTCACCCGTGTGAAGTGCATGCTGGGTATGATGATGAAATGAAAGTGCAGGATTCTTTGTACAAAGCAGACAATTGTATTGCAATAGCCATCCAGAGGCAGAAAGAACTATTGTCTTTGGAGGTCAGTCCCATATTCTTCATCTTTGAACAACTTGTAGTGGCGCTAATCATTTACTATTTAGTAATATTTTTTTGTGCTTTACAGCTCAGCAAAATTGATGCAAGGATCATGTGTAATGTTACCCGGCTGCGATTGTTGGAGAGCAGACTAGGGCCAGCATTATCTTTTGATTACCGCCTTGTTCTTTTGCCTCTTATGAAATCATTCATACGGGTTTGTATTGATCTTTTAGTGCTTTTGGTGTTAAGCTGTGCACCAAAAGCATTACAGCCTCGTCTGTTTGGTGTACTAACTTTATTCTATGTTCTCTCGTAGTCACACTTGGAGGATCTAGTGGATAAAGAAGCCATGGAGAAATCTGATGCCGCAAGGGAAGCTTTCCTGGCGGAACTTGCTTTGGATGCCAAAAAGAATGTCAGGAAAACCTGTGAACAATCAAAGCTGACACAAGAGAAGTTGAAGGATAAGAGGAAGGGCAGAGAGCACCGAAAATCTAAAGATATAAAGGTTTAAATTGTATTTTTCACGCGTTACTTCCTTTAGCGTGCCTAGTTTCATCCTATGATTTCGTTTTATTAAATGTATAACTTTTCAGGCACTTAATGGCAACGAGCGGCCTTTGGACTTGTCAGAAGAGGAAGAAAAGTCGTATGCCTGCCTTTCTCTTTGTTTCTTTCTTCTGAATCACGACATTTGCTATACTTTGCACCCATGTTAATTTTTCTGTTCTTTCTTTCTTTCTGTTCTTCCCTTTTTTTGCCCTTGAGGGCTAGGGAAATCTTGCTGGGAAATCTTTGGGCATTCATTCCCAAGAATGCAAATTGAAGGATCCCCAAATACATTAAGTGTTCTGCGTAGAAATTTCCACAATAAATAAGCAATTCGTAAACTCCATATGCATAAAGATTTTTTTTTTATGCTCTCATCACTTTTTCCTCACATGTGATAAATTTAGCACTTAACTCTCTCTTGTTTCCTCCAAACTAAGGGCACTTATCATGAGATATCTATTATAGAAATGGGATATTTCTGAAAATTCGTGACGTAATGTGCAGTAGAACCTTCTAACGAACTTCAAAATCTTTGGGACAAGTCATGGACTGTGGGATTGATTGATTTGGATTGTCACTAGCGGATATGATTTAAGAAAGTTACCAAACCTGTCCCACTTAAGCTGGTCGCCACATAATGCCAAAGGGATTGGATATTCTGGTTTGATATGATCAGAATTCGTGAAGGATTCTTTATTTGTAGTGGCTTATGGGGCCACCTGATCCAATCCTGTGTGCATCACGGATCAAGTAGAATCTGTTGAACGACGAGTTCTGAGAATACCAGATTTAAACAATAATGTCAGTTTTATTAAACATTCAGGCTTCGTGCTCCGAATGTTTTTTGTTGTGAAGTGTGATTTACACTTTTCTCTTGATAATTGTGAAATTTGTTTCACTCTCTCTTGATATCGTATTTTTGACCTGGTATATTTTAATGTGATGCAGTTCTGGTTTTTCGATTGTCCCTGGTGCAAGTCACATTCAGCCACAGCCCACATCAAGTGCTTATTTGAATCAACAGGATGCAAATAGGCATAAAATTGACCATGAGGGAGAAGAGAAGAAACTTGGAGAAGCCTTAGAGTACCAAAGGAGGATAGAACACGCGGCAAAGCAAAGGCACCTAGCAGAACAAGGCAGGCTGGTTCGTGCAACTTCTCCGGATGATGAAAAGAGTGATAATTCAGAAAATAATGTACAATATTTAGGTTCGGAAAGACAATCAGGACGGCATGATCAGACTAGGCATCTCGATGATGATTCCTCTATTGATGTAGGAGAGATAAAGTTTGGTAATGTTTGTTGGTCGGATTTCATTTCGGCAAAGGCTTGTCAAAAACCCAACGTCGGTTTAAGGAAAGAAAATCTAGGTAGATATAATCTACTGGTTTATTTCGGAAGAGCAGGCATGCTTGAATAGAATATAAATGTTATTTTATTTCTGGGTTTGCAGGTAACGCAGAAATGGACGTGAACATCAAGGAAGAAAGTGATATCCAAGGGAAATGTTCTGCTAATGCTGAGTCTCAGAATACTAAGTGGGAACTTGTGCAGTCTCATTCAAAAAAGAATCAAGGTTCGTCCTCCTCCTTGGTCGGGAAACTTTATCAAAAACTTTACCTTTTTACTTGTGGTTAACTTACCATATCTGTAGATCAATAGTTTTCATGAAAATAAACAACTGAACCTGCATTACCTCATGTAGATCTGTTGGGAGGTTTACATGACAATGCATTAGTTTCTGATCATAGAAAAGGTGGGCCTGAAAATCGGCATGATGTAAGGTCACCTGAGGGATGTTCCAGCCCCACGTCTGAGAGTTAGTGTTATGAAGTTTCTCACTCAAATGATGCAGGTCTAGTTGAAACTTGTATTTATACCTATGGATGTCCTTTTACAGTTTTCCTCCCCACTGTTATTAGAGTTTAAGATTCATGGCAATGAATTTTACTAGTGGTGTTAGGTAGAAGAATACACAACTAATGCTTGAGACCTAGGGTGATCTGAAGTTAGATCAAGTTGTTTTGGTTTTTTCTGATGAAGAACTACTTCGTTGACCAGATTAGAGTTTAATGTATTTTTTTCCCCTGTCTTACCTACCATAAACATCTTCTCTGTTGTTACCTTCTTTGTCTGAATCATACACCTTTTAGAACCCCTAACTTGCACCTTTCGCTAATAGTTGCTATCATGCCCCGAATTTTTTCCATAATTCTGGTTCGGTGGTGTTCTCAAAACCAGAAACAATTATTTATTTATTTATTTATTTATTTATTTCCGATTGCCAGAACTGTCATCAGGATCCATTCACTCGACATTGAAAATTTCTCTACATTTCTTCTAAGATTTTAGACCTAAAAAAATCCGTGATTCTCTACTCATATCGAATTCTGGGTAATATGCTGCCATTTTTTTGTCTGATATTTTATTTTTGAGTTTTTTATCATAGGAAAAAAAATTAAATTATCCAACCAATTTTTTTCAGCTTTTCTCCATCTTGCAGAAATATCCTTTGCTAGGATCACTCATTTTTTGCATGCCAAACAATGATACACCCCTACAGGTAGGCCTTGTTAATGGATGATACATGTGATATGGGAACATCCACGGGGATCATTCTGTAAGATTATTTCCGAATAAAGTATCGGAGATATCTTTTACGTCTGGCCGCTGGTTTGTTGTCAACTTAAACCCCATAGTGCCAGACGGCTAGCCATGGTAACTTCATGCGGGTCTGGATATGCCAGAAGATTTCAGGGTCACCATAAAAAGTACTTCTCTTGATCTCACAGTTTTAAGTTTCAAGCAACCAGGCGAACCCTTAAATATTCCCCTAGGTTGTGTGGAAGCCTAGACAAGGAGGAGAAAGGCAGCTTTAGTATCGATTTATGAAAAAATTCTGTAGGTCAACCATCAGCCAAAGTGTGAAGCGAAGCTCAAATCTGTTTTGCCATTATGTATGAAGCCATAGCAAGGTTATGAGAAGACGTGGTGGTGTAAAACATCCACGCATGTTGGTTTTTATGCGTCAAGGTGAAGAGCACACTGGTGTGAAGCAGTTGTTGGGTGCCTTGTTGGTGCATGGTCCAGCACAACTTTGTGAAGATAAATTCGTCATCCTACCTATGATTGTGACCCTAATTATGCAATCGACAAATGTATGAATCCTGATCAGTCATCGGTTGTCTGAAAAATTAGATTTTGGAACCCGTTGACATGATTAATAGGTAGCATTGCTAAGTAATGGATGCACATGCATATCTCCTAAATGATATATCATTATTCAAAGAAAATTTTAATGAAGGGTCATGGGGTGAGAGAAGACAGTAACTTTAAAAACCATGAGGCCTAGTTTTCTGAAAATGTCCATAGAGTGGGAACGTACTAGTTTTCAGTAAACTTAGCATGGAGTAGCTTTTGCAAAACCATTTCTTGTGTTTTTTTCTTGGTAATTGAGTCAATATGAAACAGTGTTCTTTGAAGTACTATTCCATTTAGATAGCCTCTTATCTATCTTTGCTTTGTTTTGTTAGATTTGGAACATCTCATATCTGAAAACCCCTTTTTAATTCCAGGGGACGGTGGAAGAAGGATACCAATTCAATTTAATACTGAAGATATTGATGAGGAACGATTTCAAACTGACCTTAGAAAAGATGTGTGCCAGAGTGTAGGTTAGTCCGAAAAATATCCCCTTAATTCCTGATCACCTTATGGTTATATTTACGTATACTGTTTGCTGGGTATCCATGATATAAAACTGGATTATGTTATGTTGCTGTGGTGGCTGAAGCTTGATTTCGATCTTAATCTGAACTGCTTTAGAAAATTTAAAATCCATGGTGGCTGTGGCATTTTTAATACCAACCTTCTGGTTTGTGGTTACCGTTTCGTGTTTGAGGTCAAAACAATTAATCCTTTTATTATTTATTGTTTCAAAAATGCTTTGTGAAATCCGATTCACATCAAATCTGTTCTTTCTTGAGACCAAGCCTGCTTGATTAGCTTTATATGCATTTATATTACCGTTTTTAAATTGTGCTGTTTTGGCCAATTTTCGTTGATGCTGCATTCGACACAAGGGTGATCCACCAGTGCCTTTATTATACCAAAAATATACTCATATTTTACGTTTGGACTTCTTAAATTTGCCACATTCAAAGCACTTCAAGAAATTACAGCATTTAGTCGTAAGGCCCAAAATGTGAATGTCAGCTACTGTTGTCAAATTGGTTTCTTTACTTTTACCTTTCATTTAGCCCTTGTCATATACATCAACACAAAATACACAAAAGCTTAAATTCCATTTATACGGATCTTTTTCTTTGTTCATTTAACTCAGTCTTTCTGGATCTCTTCAAGCAATTCTATGGTCTATTGACAAGAACAAAAAGGTGGGCCCTTAAGTTTCTCCAAGTTTCTCAGGAGAATTTTCAGCATCAGTTGATCAAAATCTTCATCCGTTTTTTGATGCACAAGCACTTTATTCCTGCATCGTGAGAATAGCCCAATTCTCAAGATTTTCCAGTGGAGATATAGTGGTTGTGCAGAGAGAAAAAGCATGGGAAAGGATAAGCATGTACGTACAGAAGGAAGATTGTTGTTCTTTTCTGAATGTCACGCCGTGGCAATAGAAAAAAGGATGGGAATTTTCTGTCAGGAGCTTGCAGGTGTGTGGTTGTGAATAATTCATAGTAATTCGCTTATGGTTCAGTAGTCCCTGGGGATTATGACATGAGACTGGTTTCGACTGGTTTCGACTGGTCTCACTTAAGAAGGCGTGACAAGGACATTGAGAGGCTTTTGAATGGTCGATTATAATGTGATGGATGACTGTCTCTTCACGTTCTTTCCATCTTGAAAGTTTTTCGTTAGGAGCGTGCATGAACATTGCTAGACCCCTACTGGAAAATACTCCACCAAATGTGAAAAACTTTGTTATCTGGTGTTTATGAAGGCGATTTGGTAGCACATCTTTGAGCTTGCATAACCTTGTGATGCTCGTGATGCCATAAATGATCACAGGAGTTGACGGCGTCCTTAGTTTTGCTATAAATTTCTCTGAGACAGCTGGTTGGGGGGAGAATTGAGGACATAGAATTTTTTTTCTTGCGCCAAATTTGGCTAAAAAAATTCTGATTTCCCTATCCAATACTCGTGTTAGGATTGCCAGATGGACTCACTGGTCTTCAAGTTTGAATAATGCCTGTTGAAAATTTAAAAGAATTGTGCAAAGGTCGAAAGCAAAAGTTCTTCTGTTCATTTTCACAGTTATTTTTTGTCTAGGACCCCTTGAACATTTAGGAAAAGAAGTGAAGCCGTTACAAGTGCCATATTTTTGGAAAGGGTTTGATGATGCCAATGCAGGCCTGCATTTGGTCAGTTATCATGAGGTGTCCAAATGAAAGATATGTGGAGGTGTGGCTAGGGTCCACTATTGGATGAGAATGATCATGACCAGGAAAATTACAAACTTCATTAAGTGGAGTATGCAACCAACTCGCATCTCCGGATTGCCAGCTTTGTGGGGGAATATCTTATTTTGTGAATAAATTATTCGAATCTCACTCTTTTATATTGATAATATGCTAAAAATACCCTGTTATGAGAATCGTCTTTTTATGTTAACCAGCATGTCTGGGATTTATTTAAGAGGATATGTGATTTATCCTTGGACGTAGAAAATGTTGTACAACTGAGAGAACGAGAGTTGTGGAAGGGACAATTGGTTGCGTGTCCAGCTCAGAGTTTGGTGAGGTGATTATCTTGCTCAACACTCTTCATAAAGTCTGTTTGAGATGAAGGGTGGGTGTTTTGGTTTACTAAAGTTTATATTTTTCCCTCGAAACTCGTTTTAAAAAGGATCATATTTCTGATAGGAAAAAAAAGTTCAGCTGTTAGTGCAGCCTGCATGTGGTTTAGCTTGTATATTATCTTGTTAGTGTGACCTGAAATTTGTAAACGGTATCCTGGAACTTCGGATTTTTTGCTACAAGAATGGACAACTCACCAGGCTATTTGTTTTGGTGCATGCTGACATCTCTGGTTGTTAATGTTCAAATGGACGCATTGTTAATCGTGTAACTAAAACGTAGCTCGACATGCTATATTATTTCGTAATCTTCTATCCAAAGCTAGCCATTTTAAAGGTAAGGAAGTTTATTATCTTCTTCGAAATTTGTTCAGATTATCATAAGAACTTTCATTTTATTGCAGACACCGTTAGTACTCCTAAATCTATGCCTGCGGCTCCCACAGTAAGCATGCTAAAAGCCTTATTTGTGGACGAGGGCCATTCTGGGCCCCCATCAACAGACAAAAGTGCAACAGGGAAGGATTTACTTGGAGTAGGTCTTAAGAATGAAGCTGGGGAATACAATTGTTTTTTGAATGTAATTATACAGGTCGGTACTAATGAAATTTCCATCTTATATTTTTTTTTGTTGTATATTTTTTTAATCGCAGTTTTCACTTCGATTGTTGAAATCTCATGTGTTTTTCTTCCTGGTAAAAATAAATACAGTCATTGTGGCATTTGAGACGGTTTCGGGATGAGCTTCTCAGGTTATTGCCAAAACACGTGCATGTGGGAGATCCCTGTGTTGTTTGTTCGTTGAACGATATCTTTACCTCCTTAGACCTGGCCTCAACGGAGAGGCATACTGATGCTATTGCTGCCACTTGTTTACGAACTGCCTTGAGCAACTTGTACCCAGATAGCAATTTCTTCCAGGAGGTATACATAAAAAGCATCTGATAATTTATTAGTTATTAGCCCATTTACCTCCAAATTTTTTTGGGTAAGAAATTTGTGTGATTTATACACTTTCTATGACTGATATGCTCGAGATTGCACGATTTTCTTCATACAATGTCATCAAATCAATCCTAATTTCTCTGTGGTGGTAGATCTGAATTGTTTTTTTTAACGAACAGGGACAGATGAATGATGCTTCTGAGGTTTTGGCTGTGATCTTTGACTGCTTACACCAGTCGTTTACGAAGGAAGAACAAATGACTGAATCGGAAGAGAACACTAGCATGGGTTCATGGGACTGCATGAACAGTTCTTGTTTAGTACATCATCTTTTTGGAATGAATATATTTGAACAAATGAAGTGCTATAATTGTGGCATGGAGTCCAGGCATCTTAAGTATTCATCGTTTTTCCACAATATCAACGCAAACGGACTCCGAATGATGAAGGCACGTCTGATGTTATTGTGATATATTGGAAATATATTTTGTGTGTGGGTTATCACTAGTATACTGAATTCCCACCAGAATTATTTTTGAATCGTAAATTTTCTTTTATTTTTTTTAGGTTGCATGTGCAGATAGTTCTCTTGATGAGCTTTTGAAGCTTGTGGAGATGAATCACAAATTAGCTTGTGATGTAGAGGCTGGTGGCTGCAGAAGACTTAATCCTATTCATCATATTCTTTCGACTGTGCCTAAATTCTTCACAATAGGTGATGTCTGTCAGATATTGAATTCTTTTGATTTTTCTTCTCTCATGGTATTCTCTATCAATGTCTTGACATTAACTTTGCCTCCTTGTTATAGTTTTGGGTTGGCAGAAAACCTGCGAAAGTGAAGATGACATATCTGCTACATTAGCTGCTTTCACCACTGAATTAGACATTGGCAACCTTTATCATGGCATGGACATGGGGAACAAGCATTCCCTTGTTTCTATGGTATATTTCGAAGACCAGTAGCTATAGATTGTTTACTTTGTCCTCGACATAGTGAGTAAAGTTTATGAAGTTTAGCTAAAGGAAAGAGCGAATGAAATGATGGATCGTCCCTGATAATCTTGATTCTCTTTTTCCTCTTATGTCACTGTGTACTTCTTACACAGGTCTCCAGATCTATTGTGCCGAAACACCATGTTAAAATCTGTTTTGATGTTGTTGTCTCCAATCAAAATATCACTAATCTCTTGGGTTACAGATATTTACCGTTAGGGATTGATCACTTCTAGGATGTTTTCATTCTCAACTTTGAACATTGGCACATAGAAAATGTGAGACAAGATATGGGACTACGAAATATAATGTTCGAGGGACTTCGGAATTGTGTGCTGGTTAATATGGCTAAGCTCTGTGGCATAAAGGATCGGCCAGCGCCCAGCTGAGTTTTGGAACTGTGCTTTTTTCTTGAGTTCACTTTAACAGCTACAAGTACGTTCGAGAGTACTCGTGGTAGGCAGCCTTACTGACATAATTCTTGAGAATAAGGGGGTACTTTTACACTAGTCACATGAGTGCCGACACGCCTTTGACAGCCGTTAATGACGAGTGTTGAACGTTTCTAGTTTTTTGGATTTAATAGTTCTTGTCTAAGCTAATGTATCCCTGAATATATCCTTGTGTTTTCATTCTTGATTTTAGACAGTTATGATGATAATTTTTTTTATAATTAATTATCACTTTTCTTACCTCTGATCATTTGAAAATAGTCTACCTTGTTGTCAGATTTATTGTTTAAGTTTGAAGATGTTCTTAAAGTGTTCCCGTTTTAATCCCATTAAGTAGCAATCTCAGGGATCCATTTAGTTTGTATTCATCTTTACGTGGTGAAGATCTTCAGTTTCATGCCACAAACATCTCTTCCAGATTTATCATACCCTTTGAACTTTATAAGGTGGCCTCGATAAAACTTCTCTAACTTTTTCGTCCATATCATCAGGTCATATTCCTGAGATTTGAAAATTCGCCAATAATTTTGATTTTATACGAACCTAAATAATATCTTATGGGTTCACGTCCAAAATCCTCATTTGTCTTATATCATTCAATTTGGGTGTATTATATTTTTTCTGACACAGTGATCAAGATCCTTCATTCTCTAGTATTATCTTGCCTACCAGTGAGGGCCTATTGTGTCCATATTTCTGTTTGGATCAGTTCTACTACAACTAGTGATATCTTTCTCTGCCACATACTTTCCTTATAAATGAAATCATAAGCATAATTATCGCTAGAATCATGAAATGTAACTACCAAAACCGATTCGAGGGAAATGCCCTTATTGCATACCTTGGCTTGAAAAAGCTTACTACTAAATTTTGGTACCATCACGAGATATTTTTTCAAACAAGTTTTACAAGGTGTTGACTTCTTTGTACTTTGATGACATGCTTTTTTTTACGACTGATTAGCCCTTTAAGTTTACATTTCTTCAATTTGCAGGTATGCTATTACGGTCAGCACTATGTCTGCTTTGCTTATTGTCATCAACATGCAGAATGGGTCATGTACGATGATTACAAAGTAATGGTAAGAATCATACTGTGATAAAGATGATCGCATACCGAGTGATTTTTCTTATTACCTATAAATAATTTGATTCAAACAGGTTATCGGAGGATGGAGTGATGTTCTCTCCAGGTGCAAAAGAGGACACCTACAGCCCCAAGTCCTTTTCTTTGAAGCTGTGGATTGACTCGCTTCTTGCAAAAGATGGTGCCCTCATGATAAATTTGGCTGGCGTTTGTCTGGAATTTTGCTCTACGCATTCCTCTTCATCTGATTCCGCTTCTGCATGCAATCATCTGCAGGTGGTTCATCGCTAGTCCAGCAGTTGACACAAAGACGTCGGTCCTTTGATGAACAACAAGGCATCATTAAAACCATATCCGAATCTCTATTCTTGGGAAGTACTGCTGAGAAAATTCTTTTTCCAGAATTTCTGGCTGCAGCAATAAGTGCCGAACTGACAAATCGGCTTCAGTGAAGACATGGTTTTCTTGAAAAGAAATCCGTTCCCTCCCCCCCGGTGATAGCTTTGAGATGAGGCCAATCACCTCCAACAATACAGTTCCGAGTGGCAAACAGTGTTCTCTCCTTATCCCCCCTTTTTGAAAAACTTTTCCCCGTATTTTGGTTTGATGGGGGAAGGGAGAGGGAACGGCAGCCAGGTATGCGCTCTAACTGTCTACTGCACATTCTCATACTTGTATGCGTCATGAGCGGGAATTTAAACTGGCACTCCAGGTTGTGTTTTGCCTGTCTGAAACCGGCAGTCCAGTCCTATTAGTTTCATTAATGGTTACTGACATGCTGAAAAATTGGTGATCATTAGCTGTATAGAACCAGGGATTCTATTCAATACAAGATGGGAATGACCGAGGAATGATAAATAATAATGTTCATGCTGGAAATTATTTTCTAGCCTGTTTTCCTATCTCTCGTGCGTTTGCAGCTGCCTTCATAGACAGGTTGGCATAGACAGTAGAATATGGGTGGTCTCATGGACAAGCGACGACGGAGAGGCATGGACGATCCTCACCAGACTGCTTCCACTTCACTCCCCTCCAGGTTGGCATAGCGTGACCAACTCCATTTGACAGGCTGATTATTTCTTCCACTAGCGGCTTCTGCTCAAGGCCCCTCCTCTTCTACTACGTTTTGGGAGTTGTATCCTAAAGTTCTACAAGCCCCCCTTTAAATGGCCCGGAGAACCGTTAAGTAAATAAAATGGGCTTGGGCCCGGATATGGATGATCTCACTTTTGGAGCCTGCGCACGGTCCGGCCCAATAGTATACGCTCAGCTGCTCGCCGCTGTGGAACGTATGAGCAGATCGCAGTTACTTGACCCCCTTAGTAATGAATGGCCTCTGCTTTCTGGAACCCGCCCTTCCTCCATCGTTGTTCTTGCTTCAGTTTCTTGAGAGATCGGGGCTCCCGGGGATGGAGATCTTCGAAAACGCGAGGACGGTCCGGCTGCGGAGCCACCACGGCAAGTACCTGATGGCGGAGGGGGATGAGTTCTCGGTCACCCAGGCACGCAACGGCTCCAACCAGCGCACCTGGTGGGCCGTCGAGCTACACAGATCCCCACCTCGTGGCTGGAGTGGGAGCCCATCAGGGACGGCCCCCGCGTGCGGTTCAGGTCCCACCTCGGCAAGTTCCTACGGGCCAACGGCGGCCTCCCTCCGTGGCGCGGCTCCGTCACCCACGATGTTCCCACCCGCGACTGTGTCCTCTGGCACGTCGACGTCCTGGAGACGGAGTTCCGGTCTGAGGTACAGCCCCTCTACCGGTTCTTGGCTCTGCCGGCGATTTCCAGATCTCATCACCGTTATCTCTCTTTGTCAGACGTCGTCTTCTTCTCTCCTCTCCATCTTCCTGTCCAAGAGCGACGGGCGGACCATACGCTACGCCATTGCCGACGAGGACGGCCTTGTGGACGAGAGGTCCCTGGGGGCTTCGTGCAAGTTCTCAGGAAGGAGCGTGGAGGATCTCCGCAGAAAGCTGCAGGAGGAGACGGGTGTCTCCGATGTGCTCGTCTGTTCCCGGAGCCCCTTGACTGGAAGGCTGCATCCCCTCTTCTGGTCAGCGCCTCGTCCAGAGGTGATCATCGCTCGCTCCCGACGATCTCCTCTTCCGTCCTACTGGTTCTTGTTTCCCTCCGTAAAATCGAGATTTTCGCTGAGAGATCAATTCTGCCGGGTTTTCTTTCAACGGATCACCGATAAAGCGATGTTTTGCATGAATAAGTGGCATTCCGGCGATTGGGTTCGCCATATTGTCTTGTACGTTATCCAGATGATGATATTCTATAATCATGGCCGCCGCGAAGTACTCCCTCACGACTGGTTTGACATTCTTTCTCCTACAGTGGCGAGGGGTTTCGAGATTCATCCAGACTTCCCGTGACTCAAATTGCAACTCCTGTAAAGGCTTCCTCCGTCCACTCCCAGTGGTCGAGAGGTGAGTGGAACATTGACTTCTTCAACAGTCCTCACGGCGGGTCGTTGCGTCAAACGTTACGTCGTTGTCTGTCGCCGTGGATAGTAGGTAACGGCGCTACTAGGTTACTGGGTATTTCCGAATTAACAAATAAATACATAAATAAATGAGACAGGGGGGTAGAAGGGGACCTAGTCCTCCCTCGATCTGCTTGGTTTGTTCCTCCGCGCCCCCCCGGCTTGGCTACCCCAGAACCGGAGATGCGCCGCTTGCTGTCCGCCGCCACCGCCTCCCGCGGCCGCCGTCGCCGCCGAGTGGAAAGGTAAATGAGTGGTGTCTGCCGGTTTGTGTGATATCGGTTCTGCCATGTCGTCGCCGCCGCCGCCGCCGCCGCCGCCGCTGCCGCTGCGGACTCCTTTATCGGTGGTGGGGGTGCTGCTGGTACTACCTTGCCTGGTCATTCTCCTCTCCTGTGCGGCCTCTGCGGAGACGGTGGCTCCGGCACCTCTCTATATCAAATGTAACTCTCCATTCTGCTCGCCCTTCCAGTCCCCGCCTTCCTTCCCGTTCGGCGTCGCTCCGGGATGCGGCCATCCGGCCTTCCAGATTCGCTGCACCCCGGACAATCGTTCCCAGATCACCATCGCTGGCTTCTCTTTTTCCATTCTTGATTTCCGCGGTGATTCCCTGCTTGTTTCCCCCTGTCTCGGTAGCCGCATCGATGGGGTCTGCGTTGCCGGTTCCTCGACGGCATTCCCACCCAGCCAGATCGATCTATCCAGTTCCCCCTTCCTGTTTTCCGACGAGTCCTGTTCCCGCCTTGCCATGATTCACCCCTGCAGGTCGGAGCTCCTCCGTCTGCCTCCAAACTGCAGCGCCATCGTTGGCGGTGGGAGAACCGGCGTATGGCGGTCCTGCCTCCTGTCCTGGCCGCTTCACCTGCTGAAGGGCTGCAATACTTCCCACTATCAGCGTCCCAACAACTCCAGGGACGATCGCCAGGGGTGCGAGTCCGAGATGTACGCTTCCATGGCGGACTTTCTGCGGTCGGGTATCTGGATCGAATGGCGCCTCACGGAGGACGTCTACTCCAGTTGCTCTAACTGCTGGAAGCAGAATGGCGCATGTGGTTTTAACCTTTCTGATCCCACACATTCCTTTCTCTGTCTTGCCCCTGATGTTACCCTTCCCAGAATACCTGAAAGCGGCCACAATCACAGAGTGAATCGCGTCGTCCTCTTCACCACGGCGCTTTTCGCCCTCACCTGCCTCGCCGTACTCGCCTTATCCGCAGCTATCATCTTTCGGCGAGGCTTCGGTTCCGGCGGCAACCGCTGCGATGACGGCGAGAACGCGGTGACGGCCTTCTTCCGACGCCACCAGCTCCACCTGCAGCCACCCGTCTTCACCTACGACCAACTCTGCTCGTCCACCGGCGGGTTTGATCCCAAGTGCAAGATCGGGGACGGCGGATTTGGGTCCGTCTACCTCGCGCAGCTTGAAGATGGCCGCAGTGTCGCCGTCAAGCGGCTGCATCGCAAGCATCCGTCCGCCGCGACGAACTCCTTCTGCAACGAGATACTGATCCTCTCCTCCATCCATCACCCCAACCTCGTCCGCCTCCACGGCTACTGCTGCGACCCCAGGGGGCTTCTCCTGGTCTACGATTACGTTCCCAACGGCACGCTGGCCGATCACCTTCACGGCCCTCGGCGTCTGCAGAATAAGAGCTCGCTGGCGTGGCCCCTCCGAGTGAGCGTCGCCTTGCAGACGGCTCTGGCTCTTGAGTACCTCCATTTCTCCGTGAAGCCGCCGGTGGTGCACAGGGACATCACGTCGTCGAATATCTTCATCGAGAAGGACATGAGGATCAAGGTCGGCGACTTCGGCCTCTCGAGGTTGCTCTGCTTGCCTGACCCTGGCTCCTGTTCGTCTGGTTCGGCATCGGAGTATGTCTGCACGGGGCCCCAGGGGACCCCTGGATACCTCGACCCAGATTATCACCTCTCCTTCCGACTCACGGAGAAGAGCGACGTTTACAGCTTCGGGGTGGTTCTGCTGGAGCTTGTCACTGGAATGAAGGCTATGGACTTGAGGAGAGACAAGCAAGAGATCTCCCTGGCCCATATGGTGGTGTCCAAGATCCAGGTTGGGGATCTCCAGCAGGTGGTGGACCCGGTCCTCCTCCGCCATGGTCCGATGATGGGAACTGTCGAATCCATGGCTGAGCTTGCATTCAGGTGTGTGGCAGGGGAGAAGGATGATCGACCGAATGCAAGAGAGCTGGTGACTGAGCTCAAGCGGATTCAGAACCGGATACAGGAGGATTCCAAGGGCAGCTGAGATCATTCTGTCTCGGTAAGCTCCCTGCTTCCATATCTTTAGTTTTAAATTAAGTGACTAATTTTGGGAAAATCTTCCGTATCTATGAGTATTCTAATTAATTCTAAGTCGTTTGGCCTTGTCATGCTCGTCTTAATTGATACCCAAGGAGCGAGACGATTTCAGCGCTTTCGCCATGATCTCTCGCTGCGAAGGTCTTACCTGTGATCTCCATTTGACAGCGCCGCTAGGTCGTTCGGATGCCAGACGATTTCTGGATGATTGCTGGAAGGATCATCCCAACACAGGAAATCTCCTCAGAGGAGACTTATTCGCTGATCTGCCGTTTATTTTCCAGCAAGAAGTCACATCATGGTTATTGCTCACACAGGCCGTTCATTTGTGGCCAGTGAGAAACATTCAGTGGTGATTGCTTTCGCACAGCTGAAAGCACCCCTTAGATGTTTAAGAAGAAGGGGTCAGCTCTCTTATAGATCTTTATCAGAAATGCAGACCATCAAGGAGACGAAGATCTTCCATGGACGGGTTCCTTGCATGAAAGTTTAGAAATGCAGGCCATCAAGCATATTACCAGAGATTCGGGTCTCCCGTAGATCTTTATCGTTAGTGTTTCATTGCCGAAGTTAGTTCTTTTGTGAAATGGGTCGTGCCAATCTCTCATTGAATTTGATATTAATAGTTCATGCATGATCTCTGTATGCTCTTGTTAATAACCCATCCGGTGGTGTCGAACACAGACCTGGTTTCCTCGGAGGTAGATGCCTGAAAACACATTCGGACAAGGAGGTTGGAGGAGAGAGAGAGGGAGAGAGAGAGGGAGAGAGAGAGGGAGAGAGAGAGAGAGAGAGAGAGAGAGAGAGAGAGAGAGAGAGAGAGAGAGAGAGAGAGAGAGTATTATGTCTGGGCTACTGGGCTGGAGACATTTGAGCCGGGCCAGGCTTGGCTTTGGGCTTCCAAATGGGACAATTTGTTTCAGATATTTCCGATGCGTTGGCGGCTTCTTGTCAACTTGTTCTGGAGAATTACTACTAAATTTATAAGCTTTTTGAGAGATCTAAAAAAGGTACAGGTAATAAAAATATTCGGGAAGTCTTGACGGCCTCCACACCGGCGGTGAGGACGGTGGGATCTCGATTGGAATGAGGGGGAAGGGGGCGGGGCCGGCCGGCGAGGCCGGCGTCCTCGGGAGCAAATGGGCGGCGACTGCCGCGAGCGTATGGATACAGTGCATGAGTGGGTCGTCGTACTGCTTTGGCATCTACTCCCCGCTCCTGAAGTCCTCCCAGGGATACGATCAGTCCACGCTCGACTCCGTCGCTGTCTTCAAGGACGTCGGCGCCAACGCTGGACTGCTCTCCGGCCTCCTCTACACCCTTTCCTCCTCGTTCCGCGGCCGTGGCGGGGTCGGCAATAGCCGGTGCTGGGGAGGGGGGCCATGGATCGTCCACGCCGTGGGGGCCGCCCAGTGTTTCGCCGGCTATTTCCCCATGTGGCTCGCCGTCACCGGTCTTGTTCCCCGTCCTCCTGTGCCACTCATGTGTTTCTATATGTTCATCGCAGCGCATGCGCAGACCTTCTTTAACACCGCAAATGTTGTCACTGCCGTGCAGAACTTCCCCAGCAACAGGGGTACCGTCGTTGGAATAATGAAGGTAAGAGTTTCTCGTTGCTTGGACGGTTTAAGACTTGCAAATTCTATCGTCTGAGATACTCCCCCTTCCAACAATTCCTTCATCTGTGTCACTTGTGAATTTTTGTTGGATGATGTCGTTTTCTCAGTTACGATTTCCTGATTACTTTTCCTTTAAGTTGGTATTTCCTAATATATACCAATTCTCATGGTTCATATAATTTTTGAGAAATCGCGCCACAAATGCGCTGCATTAGTGAAAGATACTACATGGCTTATTATAAAATTGCTGTCTGGCATATCATCGGTTATGCTACTAGTTATATGCGCAAAGGTATAGATTTGTTGCTACTAGCCTTTTTCTTCCTATTTCTGAAGCTATTGGGCCGTCTTTGGTTGCTGATCAAAGGAGGGGAAGGGTCCTTCTGTGGATAATTGCTCCTGACTTCTACCTGCTGCGACCGAGTGCCTCTGTCTAGAATAATATTACCCATCTTATCAAATCAATCTGTGGCAATTCACATTTCAGGGCTTTTTTTTCAAAGTCAAAGCCATGCCCTGCACTTTTTCTTGCTCCTATTCTGCCTTTTAGAGCCTGCTATCTCATTATTGGTGCTCCATGGAAATAGGCTGACGTCAAATTCTCCTTTTGTTGTTGGGCACTATACTCACGCATCCTTTTCATGTGATGCATGTTTCAACACCTAAACATATGGTTAATATCAAAATGTTGCTGTCTATTCATACTCCGAAATTCTGAGATCTTCAGCGGACATCTGATATGTGAAATGGCGCGGGGAGTAGGCATATTGACAGAATAAAAAACTAACTATTTTAATTTGATACTTTCTTATTTTTTTCTTTAAAACAAAAAAGTTTGTAGCATGTTCTTATTTATGCCACTAGAGCTGATTTTCTGGATCATTAAACGTCTCTGGAATCTCGCTCACTTGGTGCACGAATTCTTTGAACTGGTAGTCTTTCAATTGAGCATCTGGAATGTCAATTTTCCCAGTCTCGTCATTCAAAGTATATCTTGGGTTTGTCCCTGTTATAGTTGTTTTCCTTGGACACATTTGGACTTCGATAGCCTTAGATTGAAGAATTTGACTAGTTCAGAATGTAGAAAACAGATAGCTTCTTTATTTAAGATAAGTTTAGCATCATAATATTAGACTGTCACACATTCTAAGCTTTATGATCCAGTCGGTCTTTCCCCATCTCTCATATTCTGTATGTGGCAGATCGAATCAGTTTGGTACCTGGACTTGGCTGGGCTTGATCTGATCCAAATCAAGACTTGACTAACCAAATCTGGCAGCTCAGAGAAAAGGGGGGTAAAATAAATCGTCTATACTTTAAGAAAGGTTTCGATAGGTACCTGATAGTTTTAAAGTGAGTCCTTAGTGTGATGGACCACAGCTTGTTAATCCTGATGCCTAATCCACCGCCGTTTTCAAGGTGAAAAGTGGTCAGGGAGAAAGATGAGGGTGGCTATGCTCCCTCTCTCTCCTTTTCATATGTTGCCGTTGATGCTTCACTTTCTCCGTTCTTTTTCATCGGTGTATGCATCTTCATTCAACTATGAGAGGGAAAAACCTTGGGTCATTTAAAAATGTGTGATTTGGCCGTAACTATTTCGTACCAATTGTACCACCCAAATTTTGCTGAATTTTTATTTTTTCCTTCTGTGTTTTTCGAGTTCAGATGCTTGATGATTATTTTACCTTTAAAAACTGGATTAGGGCTTTCAGTTCTGGTCCAAAATGGCCAATTCAGTTTATAATCAGTCATATCTCTGTGCCATCGCGCACAAAAGGGGAGGAGTCTATGAAATTTTTGCTTAAATCGAAGCTTATCTATAAACTCTGATTTCTATCATAAATTAACCGATTACAGCATTTGGAGTATGAAGTCGGCCAATATTTTTCCCGAAGTTTATGGCTGAAACCAATGTACATTCTTAGCTTGCAGTACAGCGTTATAAAGCTATGTGCTCTGCTAGGTATCTGCTGTGGCGCGATAGGAGAAACTGATAACATTGATTTTTTTTCTCATTAATTCATTCCTCGTGGGCGGAGTTTAACATTCCTCGTGTTACTTCCCAATATATTTATTCATAATAATAGCATTGCCAATATATACCACCCACCCTCACATTTGTTTCACGTTTTTATGTCTTCATGGGGTTGGTAGGGAAGAACATGCGGTCCCTTGTCGGTTGGGACACTTTTAACAGGCGACCTTTATCTTAAGTTGGTAGTGAGATATTATTAGGATTCCTAAGGTTTTGCGTGCTTATTCCTTTCTCACTCCGTGGATTCGACCTTGGGGTTTCTTTCATGTCCAGGGTTTTCTAGGTCTCAGTGGAGCCATTTTGATTCAAATCTACCGGACAATGTACGGCGGAAGAGCGAGCAACTTCCTGTTAATGCTCGCGCTCTTGCCCACTGTTCTTCCCATCCTGCTCATGTGTCTCGTGAGGGTCCACCAAGCGACAAGCGCAGATGACAAGCAGGTACTGGATAGCTTCTCTCTCGTATCCCTCGTGGTCGCCGGCTACCTCATGTTCGTGATAATCTGGGAGAATATTCAGCCGTTGACATTGGCCGCCCGTGTGGTCGTGTTTACGGTGCTACTTCTGCTGCTGGCGTCTCCCCTGGCTGTTGTAATCAGGAGAAAGGCGAGAGAGCCCCGCTCGCTTCAACTGGAAACGTCATCGCAAGAGAGGACCCCTCTGAAGGGCGCCACCGCCGAAGCGCTGGAGAGAGGGTCTGATAGAGTGGAAGAAGACGAGAAGCCCGCCGGCGAGTCCTCCTACGGGAGGCTGGCGCTGTCCAGAGGGGAGGACTTCAACATTCTGCAGGCCCTGGGGACCCTGGACTTCTGGCTGCTCTTCCTGGCCATGGCCTGCGGCATGGGCTCGGGGCTGGCCACCGTGAACAACATCAGCCAGGTGGGGAGTTCTCTCGGCTACACGGGCATCCAGACGAACGGCTTGGTGTCTCTGTGGAGCATATGGAACTTCCTCGGTCGCTTCGGCGGCGGCTTCGTCTCCGACTTCTTCCTGCAGCTGAGAGGCTGCGCCAGGCCGCTGTTCATGGCGATCACCCTCGCCACTATGAGCCTCGGCCACGGGGTGATCGCCTCGGGAGTCTCCGGGTCGCTGTACGCCGGCTCGGTTCTGGTCGGCATCTGCTACGGCTGCCAGTGGTCGCTGATGCCCACAATCACCTCGGAGATCTTCGGCGTGATGCACATGGGGACGATATTCAACGTCGTCGCCGCCGCCAGCCCCCTCGGCTCCTACCTCCTCTCCGTGAGGGTGATCGGGTATATATACGACCTGGAGGCCTCCGGCGAGAAGACCTGCGTGGGCACTCGCTGCTTCGGCCTGTCCTTCCTCATAATGGCCTGTTTTGCGGCCCTCGGGGCCGCTGCTTCCCTGGTCTTGTTCTTCCGGACCAGGAGGTTTTACAGGCAGGTCGTCTTCGAGGGCCTCCGGCGGGCCTCGGCGGCATAGACGGGGTGAGCTCCTGCTGGTTGCTCTCCTTATTCTTCTTGTTGAGATGGCTAGTCCATAGATGTGTAGTCCGCAATCGATCTGCGGAGTACAGTTCAAGAAAATAATATACCCGGCAGAAATTCAGTCTATGGTCAGGCAGATTGAGGTAGAGAGAGTGGAAAATGGGTAACGTGTACGAAGATGATGGACCCGTGTTCGCGTTGGTGGGAGGGAAGGCTTTCGTCCTCGCTCGGACGATTCAGAGAAGCAAACGGGAGAGAGAGAGGGAGAGAGAGGAAAATGGGGACCTCGTAGGACGAGGGACTTCCTTTCTGGTTCACATCCCGGGTATGGAGTTTGGAGTGAGGCTTCGCTGACAGAGAACAGACACGATAGACCCGTGCTCGGATTGGAGGGAGGCTAAGGATTTCGTACACGCTCGGACGATTTGGAGAAGCAAACGGATGCCTTTCATCGATCTGGAAGAGAATCGACGGGAGTCGAAGAGGACCAAATGGCCTGCAGTAGGGGAATGGAACTGGAACTGAAAGCGATCGCTACAGAGCAAAAACGAACTATGCTGAATTCGGGAACGGGAAGAGAAGGGGATCCGATCGGGAGTTCGCTACGACTGCAACAAGGGAGGAGGCCCCCGAGATTCCCCTACTTGGCGGGTGAGGCGGCCTTCAGCTTCATCATCAACGTCTTGGCGAACTCCGCCAGCTTGTCCGTCTCCGGCATCACTCCCTTCACAGCCTCCTCGGCGCAGAACCGATCAGCCCAAGCGGCCAGCTGAGGGAACTTGTCACCATCCAGGATCTTCAAGCCGGACATCTTCTCGGTGACCCGAATCCACGCCAAGTAGCTCCCTAGGGTGATGTCCACGTACCCCACGTTGTCGCCGCCGAACCAGTTCCCCCCCTTGCCACAAGTCTGGAAGGCCTCCTCCAGCAGCTGGACCCCGGCGAAGATCAGCTCCGCCGCGGCTGCCCGCTCCTCGTCTGTATTCGCCTTGTTAATATCCCTCATCTGCATGGCCCACTGAAGGCGTCGACAATCGAAGTCAGAATCGAGACAGAAGGAGCACATCACATCGCGGATGAGGGAGGGATCGATGGCAGTTCGAGCCAATGGTGACCCCAAGTTACCTTGTCGTCGATGTAGGCCGCCCAGAAGCGAGCGATGGCCCGGTCGTAAGGGTCGGCGGGGAGGATGGGGGGGCGGAAGTCCATGTCTCGTCGATGTACTGCACAATGATGAGGGACTCGCAGACTGGTTTTCCTCTGTGCAACAGGACGGGGATCTTCTTGTGGACGGGGTTAGATTTGAGCAGAAGCTCGCTCTTGGGGTTCATCTTCTCCACGATGAGCTCGTAGTCCACCTTTTTCAGGTTGAGGGCGATCCTCGGCTTCATCGAGAAGGGGCTCGGCCAATCGCCAAGTAACTTCACATCCTCGTACTTCCCCATTCCTCTCTCTCTCTCTTTCTCTCTCACTACCCCTCCTCCGAAGTGCTCAGTATAGATTCCACTCGATCCTTAGCCTTCGTCTGAAACTTCAGCCTCGCTAAATAGCCGCGGACTTCATGGGGAAGAAGACGGCCGTTGGGGAAGCTGCGCCGTCCGGTCGCCTACTAGCCGTTCGTTGGTGTGCGAATACGAGAGGGTGACTCGAGACCATCTAATTTGTTAGTTGAGGCGTTATTGGCCTGGGAAGCCTAGATGCTATTGCGAAGGACCATTTATCTCTTCCAGCCCATAAGCAGCTGAACTCATGTTAGATATGTCCCTTGTTCACGAAAAGATGTCGCCCAATGGGCGAGGGATCCTCGAGGACAGTTGCTGGTGATGACGTCATCAAGTGTAGATCAACATGTCGGGGTGTGGGTCCAGCTGAGAGATAAGGCCGTCAAGCCGACACATGAGCCCACGTCAGATGTTTGTCAAACTGTTCATTATTATTCGAACAGATTTAAATAGAGAGGGAATCCTCCAAGAACTACACCTTATTCGTTGAAGATCTTCTTCCAGAGTTCTTTATGTTATCGTTTGCAGAGGAGGCTGTGGGATGTTGCCGAGCTTGTGGCATGGGTTCGGGGTTGCTCTTCTTAGCAATGGCAAATGGCATGTTGTAATAACACCAAACCAACATAAGCGGCACGCTCGGCATCAACGGCGTACATATATAGAGCAGGACAGAAGACCTGCCAATATCCATTGATTTTTCAAGAACCATAGGACAGAGCAGGGGATATCAGGTAGAACAGTCTAACAGCCGTGAGAAGGGAGCAGGTGCCAACGGGCTTATCAATACCTCAGAACTGTAGCTAACAACCTTACGAGAGCAAGGCGTCACATGATGACATCTCAAAGGTATATGCGCCCTTTTAAAAGGGACATACCTCAGTTTGTGTAAGATCGGTAATTCTTCCCTCTCTTGTGTAGTTTTTTTGCATGAAAAATATTCTATCCTTTTTGTGTTGACCTTGTTGGGTGAGGTTAGGTAGGCATCGGAGAGGATCGTCAACGCCAATCACATGGGTAGATATCATGTAGCTAGTGAGCGCTGGGGAGGCAACTTGGCATTAGAGAAGACAATAATGAGTATCGAAAGTAAAACCAATGGGCAAATGTTGGCCATCTTATAGAGAGGTCGGAAATCATCTTCAAGTTATAGAGGAGTGGTTAGAAGACCTGCAGACGATGACAATGGAGGCCATTGCCCCCCTGAAATAAATCAGGGCTGATCTATAATGTTGCTTCTCACCGAGAGGAGCTAGAGGCCCTCTCAATAATGTGGTGTTGTTGAAGCATAAGGGAACTTGTACACATCTAGTTGATGTGTCATACATAGTATGCCAACCTTTCAATACCCAAGGCATACGTAAGGACTCATGACACTCATGAAATTGAGAATTTCTTGAGATATTGGCCAACATTTTAAGGTGAGTGGAGCAGGATGTCACAATTATTATTATGTATCTTATGTCAAACACCAAATTATGGCGGATGAATCGATCCCTAGATCATAGGGACCTCATCTCCACTTGAGACAAGTTCATGAGGGAATGGAAAGAACAATTCCTCTTGACGAACAACACATGATTTCTCAAAGATAAACTCCACCAACTCCACCACATTGAAATGACTGAGGGAGTATGCGACGCAGTTTGCTTCACTATTGTTGGACATAAAAAATATGTCTAAAGAGAACAAGTTGTTTAATTTCATAATTAGTCTTCAAACTTGGATGTAAGAAGAGTTGCAATACCGAAGTATTCGGGATGTACAATTAGCAATAGCGACAACCGATGCTTTTATGAACTATAAGACCGAACATGGTAACAATAAGGAGGCTATCAAATGATAGATTCAAGGTAAGTAGAACCAATAGTGTGGCAACTACAACAAGTCACTTGAAACAAGCCAAGGTTGACCTAAGATAGAAGAAGTACGAAGAGAGAAGGAAATGTCCTTTGAATCTCCTAAGGATGAATGCTTTATTTGTAGAGGTACTCACTTGCTAAGAGTGTGTTATCTATGCATATCAAAATAGAGCCAAATGGACAATAGTTGTCTGATTTTGGATAAACACCAGTTGAAGAGAGAATTATTCCTATGGTGAACCTTGTTCAATTATTGGGTGCCTAATAGTAGTGTATAGAGTCAATAATTTTATTAGGATATCAGCTCATCTTTATGGAATTTACGATCAATGACAAACTTACCTTCACTATGGTGGATAGCAAGGCAACCCACATCATTATCTCATAGAAAGTAGTTACTCGATTAGACTTATCATTTCCATGAGAAGATGCCTATATTAAGATTATCAACTCAATAGCACATGAAATCTTGTTACATGTGAAAGGATAGGTAGGGTCAGTAGACTTCATTACCCTACTCACGGATGATTTCGAAGTATTCATGAGGATGAATTTATTACATGGACACAAATAATATTTTCACCGTAGGCAGGGTACACCCATATTTTGTCCCAAAAGTAAGGAGAATGCTTGCAATTTAAAGACCTAAATTATTGTTTACCCTAAAACTACAAGATAGATTGAGAGACGAGGCCTACCTCATAACATTAAGGAACTAGACAATGAGATCCGCTTACAAGACTTGAGTATCAGTTAAAAATTGGTGCATACAACGACACAATAGTAGTGATGGAGGCCGGCACATAGAGCCAACCCCCACCTGGAGTTGCATGACTCTTAGAAGAGTTTCAAGACCTATTACTAAAAAGGATTTCAACACATTTACCACCTTATCATGAGGTGGAGCATATGCTCACCAGCAAATGTCCTCTACAAGATGACACCAATGTTTCTAGAGAGAGGTAGTTGCTCTATGCGGGACTCATCAGTTAGTCTAAAGCTCCTCATGATGGTCGCGCCATTTTCCAAAAGAAAGATGGATCGCTCTGGGTATGCATGCTCCTCCACATGTAAGACTGTTCGATTGTTACGTTCTGACTTCTCCCTGTGCAGCTGATATACAGCGATTATACTGGCTCCGTTCTGGTAGGCATCTGCTATGACTGCCATTGGTCACTAATGCCACAATCGCCTCGAAAATCTTCAGCATGATGCATATGAGAATGATATTCAAATATTGTCGCCATCACCAGCCCCCTTTGACTCCTACCTTCTCTTTATGAGGGTATAGAGTACATATACTGCCTCGAGGCCTCCGGCGGTGAGAGGACCTGCTTTTGCCTGTCCCTCCTCACAGCCGGCGGTGAGAAGACGCTGTGAGCGAAAGCGGCTAGTGGTCAACTGCACCCCTCTTTTATGGGATATGACATTTGTTAGACGATGTGCAAAACGGCACACCATAAGAACAACTACAGTCTTATGCATTCTCATCGAAGATTGGCCACTTTGAAACGGTCCATGTTTCTCCGTGTCTGTCTTCCAGTATCTTCCATTTATAGAATCATTTCTTTTGTCATACAATCGTCATTACACTATTCCTTCTCCCATCAGGGAGGCTGGTCGTCTTCGAGGGGCTCGGTCAGCTTACACAGGTGCTTTCCTGCTCGTAGCTCTCCTTCTTGCGATGGCTAATCCATGGATGTGTACTCCACATTCAATCTGCCGAGTACGCTTCAATAATTGTATATGCGGCAAAATTTCAATCTTTTAATACGGATGCGTACGCCGTTCATGGATCTGGAAGAGAATCGACGGGAGTGGAAATGAAGGAAAATAACGAATGGCCTACAATAGGGGAATGGAACTGGAACTGAAAGCGCTCACAACAGTGCAAAAATGTACTATGCTGAATTCGGGAACATGAAGAGAAGGGGGGATCCAATGGGGAGTTCGCTACGACGGTAGCAGTGGAAGGCAGGACCCCGACCCGCATTTATTGGTGCAGTCCTACGGGATTCTCCAATGAGATTTCCCTACTTGGCGGATGAGGCGGCCTTCAACCTCGCCATCATCGTCGCGCCGAACTCCAACATCTTGTTGATCTCCGGCATCACGCTCTTCACAGCCTCCTCGGCGCAGACCCGGTCAGCCCACGCCGCCAGCTGAGGGAACTTGTCTCCGTCCAGGATCTTCAAGCCGGACATCTTCTCGGTTACCCGGATCCACCCCAACCAGCTCCCCAGGACGATATCCACGTACCCCACGGCGTCGCCGCCGAACCACTTCCCCCCCTTGCCACAAGTCTGGAAGGCCTCCTCCAGCAGCTTGGCCCCGGCGAAGATCTGCTCCGCCACGGCCGCACGCTCTTCGTCTGTGTTCGCCATGTTGTACTCCCTCATCCGCGGGTTCCACTGTAGGAGTCGAAAATCAAAATCAGAACCGAGACGGGAGGAACTCATCACGTCGTGAATTAGGGATCGGCGTCAGATCGAGACAGTGGTGGTCTCAATTTACCTTGTCGTCGATGTAGACCGCCCAGAAGCGTGCGATGGCCCGATCGTAAGGATCGGCAGGGAGTATGGGGTGGACGGAGGTCCATGTCTCGTCGATGTACTGCACAATGATGAGGGACTCGCAGATAGGATTTCCTTTGTGAAACAGGACGGGTATCTTCTTGTATACGGGGTTAGATTTGAGCAGGAGCTCGCTCTTGGGGTGCATCGTCTCCGCGATGAACTCGTAGTCCACCTTCTTCAGGTTGAGGGCGATCCTCGCCCTCATCACGAAGGGGCTCGGCCACGCGCCAAGTACCTTCACGTCCTCCGACTCCGCCATTCCTCTCTCTCTACGTCTCTCTAACCCTCCTCCGAAGTGCTCAATGTCAAGCCTCAGAAGCCTCGGCCTGGCTAAGTAGCTGCCGATTTCTTGGAGGAGAAGTTAACACGTGCGAGTGGCGGACATCCCCCGTCTTGTGGTTGGTAGTGCGAGTGGCGGACAGATCGCCGTTCAACGAGAGCGAAGACGAGATGGTTTCTGGAAGCTTCCTGAGTCCTTGAATAAATGGGGCATTGTGGACCTAGAAATCCCCCGTCTCCCAACGATCTGGAAAGCCCACATGTCCACTATGTGTAGACACAAGTACACATTCGGGCCCAATAGCCGATCTCACGTCGCAGGGGGTGGGTGACGACATCAGCTCTGCCTCTTGTTTCTAGTCCACTCAATAATGCCGCCCTATTGGGGAGGAGTTTTCTAAGTCAATGCCTACTGTTGATGCCAGGAGTGCAGTCGACGTGGACACTTGCTGGTCCTGCTGAAAGATTGACTTTCAGATGGGTAGAGCTCATCAGACCGGTGCATGCGCGCATGTCAGATGTTTGTCGAATTGTTGTCCATAGTAAGACCGGAATAGGAAATGGGAGGGTGAAGGAATTCCATGGCATTGAAGATCTCCTTCTTCTTCTTCCTCAATTATTGAGGTTATCAATTTCCTAGCCCACTGTCTTTGTGTAGGAAGCCATGAAGATGTCAGGGTAGATCCAATGAACTCTACCTACATCAGGACTGTCCTGCCCTTTCCTCATTATCATGAAATGTGCATGGCAGAGGTAATCATTGAGGGACAGTAATTGAAGGACTAAAAAGGATCACCCACAGGAATGTCTCAACAAATTATACAGTAAAACTTGAGAAAGCAATGGCTTAGATGAGTTGTGATCAACTCTTCCCTAAGTTCACAAGGGTGGTAGAGTCTACTAGTAGAGAAATAGAACTTCAAGAGAAGAAACTCACGAAATTATACTGGTAGAAAATAGTATGACTCTAGGGCTACATGGGGGCCTTTAAATAGATTGAAGAGTCTTGATTTGGTGTCAAGATTTGAATTTGAAATGAAATCTAAATTTAAATTTAAAAAATAACATCTAAAATGAGAAATAAAATTTAAATTTCAAGCAAAAATTAAAATTTAGATGAAATTTGAATTTCAAATGAAAATTTAAATTTTGGGAAAAAATGAATTTCAAAGAAAAATTTGAATTTCAGATTAAATTTAAATTTCAAATTCAAATTTAAAATTTGGATAAAACTGATAAAAATAAATAAATAGAGATATGTGCTTATTTTCATAATTGGGCTAGCTACTACTAAAGTAGGAGTCAAGTTGCAATGGTAATGAACTTTTAGGTGCATCAATAGTGGGCTTCAGGCTTCTTTAGTAGTGGGCTTTATGTTTAGGCTGCATTAATCTTACTTTATTGAAAAGGACTAATCTTAGAGTCTTTAACTTGCTCTAGATAATACTCATAGATATCCATAACATTGAATGTAGATGAAATTCTCATTGTCTCTACTAAGTCAATGACATATGCTTTATCATTAATCTTGCTAGTAATCATTTTTTTCTCAAATATATCATAATAAATCACTAACTTTAAAGATCTTCTGTCTTTTTTTTTTTCTTGTAGTTTGAATATTAATTGTAAGATGCCTTTTCACATTCTCATGTATTCTATTATGTTATTTGTAGCTACACTTATACTATATTTTTTTAATACTTCAATCAAGTCAAGATGGACTTTTGGTGGAAAAAAATAAACAATGGAAAATGGAGAGTAATTTGTAGACTGATTTATCATAGAATTGTGTGCAATTTCTGCTTGATCTAAAGCAAGATCTTATTGGGTTTGTCTCTTGAAATATGATAGGCTAAATTACCAAGCGTCTTATTAACCACATTTACATGCAATAAAATGTGTCATCTTTGAAAATATATCTGCTACGACAAAAATAAAATCTACTCTTTGAGTATGTGGTAATCTCAAAATAAAATCTATAGAAATTTCAGTCCATACTTTATCTGGAATGAGTAATATGGTGTACAAACTAGTGTTTTAATACTGTTCTTTATAAGCTTGACAAATTTGACATCTTTGAACAAAATTTTCAACTTCCTTTTTAATTGTTGCTAATAATAATGTTCTTCCATCATTTTCAAAGTCTTGTCACGGCATGTCCTCCTACATACAATTTTCAAATTGACTTTTCACGCAAAGAAGTTCAAAGGATATATAACTGATTTTCTCGAAATAAGTAATATTAAAAAATGTTAAATCATTTGGATGGTTTGTCTTGTTTACGCATACATCATCTTTGAGTAACATCTTTCTCTTGCATAAAGTTATGTTAAATATTCAAAACCACTAACTTCACTTCTCATTGTAATAAGAAGTACTAATCTTCGACTTAGTACATCAACCACTTTGTTTGATTTTTCTAATTTGTGCTTTATCACAAAAGAGATTTTTTAAATAAATGAAATTCATTTAGTATGTATTCTATTAATAATGGGATGAATATCAATTGATTTCAAAGTTTGATGATTAGTAAATAAAATAAATTATCATTGAATCAAGTGGTGTTTTCAAGTATGTAATGATCTAACCACAACATAAAATTTTAATTCATATGTAGTCTAGTTTTTTTTAGTTTTTGTTAATTTCTCACTATAAAAAAATGACTCGACAACTTTCTTGAGATAATACAACCCAAATTTTAATAATTGAGACGTCACATTTAGCTTCAAATAATTTGTTAAAATTTAATAGTGCTAGTATAGGGGCATAACTTAAATTTTCTTTGATTAGAATGAAACTTCTATCTACTTTATCTATCCACTAAAAGTTTTATCTTTTCATGCCCTTAGTGATAGGAGCTACAATTGAACTAAAATTTCAAATAAATTGTCTATAAAAGGATGCTAAGTCATGAAAACTATGAACATCATGTATATTTTTTAGAACTAACCAGCCTTTAATAGTTTGAATTTTTGGTTTATCCACTTTGATGCCTTTCACACTTATAATATGTCTTAAAAAAATAAACTAGGGAATTTATATTTCTTCAAATTGATAAATTACTCATTATATTGTAAAATAGTCAATATAAGTCTCTAATGTGAATCTCTTTATCTTGTGACATCTTCAAAATATAAATATGAAATGTTGATCTTACTTTGATACCTCTTGATGCATGAAAACTTGGGAAGGGGATGACTTGGATGAGTTGTGATCAACTCTAGTGTTGTCGAGATTGAAGTCACATCTTGAATCTTCAAAAAATATGTTTCAATGGTTGTCCTTTACTCTAAATCCATAGGTTGAATACGATAGGTCCCTTGAGTTCACAAGGGTGTGATTTTGAATCAATAGCATCGAGAATAGAGTTTCTTGAGTCCACAAGAGTGTTGGAGCCTAATAGTAGAGAAAGAGAACTTCAAGAGAAGAAACTCATGAAATTGTATTGATAGAAAAATAATGTCTCTAGGGCTACATGGAGTGCCTTTATATATATTGAAGAGTCTTAATTTGACACCAAGATTTGAATTTCAAATGAACTAAAGTGGGCTTCAAGCTACAATAGTAATGGGCTTCTAGGTGCATTAATAGTGGATTTCAAGCTTTAGGCTGCATCAATGGAGATAGAGATCGTTGCTTGTCATAAACATGTATGCCTAGAGCCATCAACAATAGTTTTCAGTCTTTTAATTGGCTTCTGTGTTTTTGTAGTAGGGAAAATTAATTTCTTTGAATTTATTGTTTATCTCACTATCTATCCACTCGATTATGAGCCACAAGGTTGGTGTCATGAGTGATAAGTTTGAACCGTCAGCTTCATCACCCAAGACTGGCCTAGACAATTGCTCAATCAACATTGGGCAACCTTACATCACTTGCGAAAGCTCCTACAGAAATAAGGCACGGAAGAAGAATTCCACTAAACTCAAAAACTTACAAGGGGGAAGAAGAAAGAGGAGATGGAGCTTGACATGATAGCTCTCTTCTACCTAGGCTCTCAGCTGTCTCCAAAATGGGGTCTTGCCATCACACTAGCACACTCGTACACTCATCTCCTCCTCAAGAATTCCCCACTCCTACGATGGAACCTCTCTCGTCCAAAGCTTCCCTTCCTTTGCTTCTCTTTCTCCTTCTTCTTTCTTCTTCTTTGTATAGATGACTTCCTTTTGTCTATTCCAGATCTCGTAGATCCAGCATGACCATTCCAAATTTAGGAGACTCGCTTTGCCGAGACCCCATTTTACCGTGTAGCCGTGCTTCACCCGCAATTGTGAGTCACCTGCCTTCCTCCACATGTGTCTCACATGGTCTCTCTTGGTTCAACCCAGTCGAGAGGTTCTGAGGGTGTCACAATTGGTCACTAGAGAACAATAATTACATGAATTTGTGATTTCCCTATTAGAGAGGGTAAAACCTCTCTTTCTAACCCGTGCGGCCATGCCTAACGCCACATGATTTGGCCACACCTTTGGATATGTTTATTATTGGCCTTCTCTATTGGTGAACGACAATGACTAGGGGAGATGACCTTTTCCACTCTCTTTGCCCCTTACAAAGAGTCAAACTTATTGAAGACTTATTTGGTGGGTGCCTCCTTTCTCATTGGTCAACAGTAACATCTGATGGGCTACAATGGGCCCATCTAATGAATCTGATGGCTACACCTATAATATGTTTATTATTAGCCTTCTCTCATGGTCAACAACATTGACAAGAGGAGATGAACTTTTTCACTCTCTTTGCCACTCATGGAGAATTGGACTCATTGATTATTCGTTTGGTGAGTGCCTTCTTTCCTACTAGCCATTGGTAGCATCTAATCGGCTATTGGCTACTACCAATCCCATCTTGTTTCATGCTCATAGGTATCAAGGAATGACTTGCATAGGACAAAAGTGATCTACAAGTATCATTTAAAGAACGATTTTGAAGATGCAAGATGGCTATAAAGAGATGATGAGGATGGGCGGTGGAGCGAAC